ATGACAGCAATCTAGCGAAAAAATAAGATAAAGTGATAGAAGATATAGATTTCACGAGCTCTATAACAATATTTGTAAACACGTTGCACGACACTTTACCTCATGCATGACGTTTGAAGACTTCTTGTGGCAGATGTAACCTTTAGTACTTATTGCTTTCTATTTGTGGGATGCATTTTCTAACATGATTAGCATGATTTAATTGTCTTTTATAACTTACCTTAAACTCAATATGTTATTGTCCAACGTAATTTAGACAAACATGCATGAATAGCCTAGCTTTGAAAAGTTGTCTTTGCCGTTGTTTTTACTTGCATGTGACTTTTGACCAAGTGTGCACAAGTAAATCTCTAGAGATGCTGCAGTCGGTGCAAAGCAAAGAATGGATGTCAGGTAAGATTAAAATTATTTGATGCACGGTCTTATCACTAAAATTGACTTAGATTTGTGCCACTGAATTTCAGAGAAAAAGCATGCATATGATAACGCAAGTTATTTGGCTTTGTTCAATTGTGGTTTCTTATGCTGAAATATCCTGAATGATGAAAGTACGAATGATGACATTGTGTGAAAGTTTTCTAACAGTTATGGTAAACTTCAAATTCTTTATGGAAACAAATCATCTATCAGAATGACTACGCTGCTATGCACATCACATGTATTTTGGTAAGTGGTTATTGACACGAAGAAATCTGTTTAGTTAGCAAACAACTGGTTGTTTCGGGTGCATGGATGTAATAATGCATTAAAAATTTTTCATTTCAGGAATTTCTCTCATAAAACAAACCACCTTCACCACTGCTGAACGTTTAGGAGAGGCAGTAGGTTGCCTATGACGACGAATCTGCAGGTATTCACGTTTTTTTGTAAATATCTTTTGTACTTGATCACTATCTGCAATTTCTGCAATACTTGTTACATGATGAGTTGGGAATTCGTGAATAAAGATTGCGCAACGTTTAACTTTTAAGAATCTCCCAAATACAATTTGAGTTGTTGAATTAGAGTCTTTAGCTACTATATTTGGGATAAGAATTTGAAAAAGCCATGGACTTTGTCAAGAGGCTTTTTTATCGAATATAACGCTATTTTTGTTAGTTTGAAAGACCTTCGTGTTATTTTGAATCTTTTGAATCTAATTGTTGTGTAGCGAAAGACCGATACAATGGTGGTTTTTTATATCAATTACAACATGGTTGTTATCAAGTACATTCTGGTCGTCGTGGATTTTATCGTGGCTTTCGTGGATTTTATCATGGCTTTCGTGGATTATATCGTGGCTTTTGTGGACTACATTGTGGCTTTCGCGGATCTTATCATGGCTTTCGTGGATTATATCGTGGTTGTCGTGGATCTTGTCAAACTAATCTTGGGTTAATTTACGTTAATCTACGAATGAAGACTGACGATGACGTTTCAAAAGCAATGGTCTAATGTCCATGTGATCAGCACTAACAGAAAACAATCAAACATTGGCTTGGAGTTAAAAAAAACTTTGCTGTTTGACTTCAAAACAATTTGATATTGTGTTACACGAACATGAGCTAAAAACACACACTTAATTTCATAAATTATGGTGGTTAGTCCAATGATAAATCAAGACAAGACTGGTGTAACGCATTGTATGATGGGAACATTAAAACAATCAATGGTATAGATCCCAACACTATGTGGAAAATTAAATATAGGTGAGGAGTATTCGACATTTGAATTTGCTAACTAAGGTGCTGAATATTTGTTCCAGTGAAAAAAGGTTTAAATGTTAAAATATCTTAATTTTGAGAAATTTCCACTTCATAAACAAACATTCCACTTCATATCTTGAGTTTGGAAGATATCTTTGATCATCGGAGTATGTTTTATCCTTTCAAAAAAAACCATCTTAAACAACAACACTGCTGGAAGTTTTGATGATGCAGTTGGTACCTTATGACGACCAATCTAAAGGTAATTCATGAGTTTCTGAACTTAATAATCCATCTTTACAGTTGCTTTTTGACTTCACTGCGAACAGGCAATAATAACGTAAATGGGAGATTGCCATACAAAAAGCAACTTTTTACGATTAGCCAAAAAGTAAATGATGGTTAAAATACGAAATTGGACTGTTATTTGTCATAAAGTGGAAAATGAATGGTTTGAACCCAAGACCATCGTTATACGTTTGTAAATGCAGATCGTCCAGGTTAGAATAATCTTAAGAAGGACTGTTGTTGTTGATATTAATGTTGACTCTGACGTTTCAACAACCTTAGCTGTAGTCATCTGAAGATGACTGAAACTAAGGTTGCCTAAACGTCAGTCGATAACAACGTTAACATTCCCTCTCAAAATTATACTACCTGGACGATCTACATCTACAAGCGTGTAATGTTATTTGTTTGTAACATTTTGTCTTCCAAGAGATTTCCCACACTGAATTATGTAAAACTACAGAGTTTGTAAGTTTTCACAAAAGTTTTTAAGATTATTGGAGTTTGATTATAAGCTTTCGGTGCATCATTAATAACGGCTTTTATGTCACATTTTGTTATCTTAAAACTTTTCATTTGTTTTGTAGTGAAGAAAGAAAACAACGGTGGTGCATTATATTCATATACTACATCATATTTGTGGTGGATTAAATCAAAGTTGTCATTGATCACAATCATTGTCATCGTAGATTAACTCACGGCTGTCGTGGATTACATTATGGTTAATATTATGGATTTCTATCATCGTTTTTTGTGGATAAACATTGTCATTGTCGTGGACTTTATGGTATAAATCCTGGGGATTTATCATTTGAGGAGGATTACCTTAATCTACGAATGAAGACTGAATACGACGTTTTAGGTTTGTGGTGTTTTAGTTAAAATCCTGGTGATCAGTACTAACAGGAAGATGACTGAACATTGGCTGAGTTACATAACAAAGTTAGTAGTTCTTTTAATTCCTGTTGGTGTTTTTTTTTACAGTTTTGTGCATGACGTAGATCTTGCAGTTTCCGGCTCCTGCAAATAATGATACATCTTATATTGCCGATATCGTGCAATGTAAGTTTATCATTGTAGCCAAGAGGTTCTTAAAACAGCAAAAACGGTGTACAACATTTGATCACCAGGATACACGATCCTCAGTTCAAAGAAATAAGCATGGGTTTCTTTGAGTTTTGGTCGTGTGTATTAGTTCATAAAAAGGTGTATTCAATTCTAGTATTCACGATTCTATAAATAAACATTAAAAATCTAAATGCGCGAATTAAAGCGCGCTAAAAAATTCGAAATCCGAATCATAGATAGCACTTTAAAAAAGAAAATTTCGATCTGAAACATGGTGCAATCTGGCATGCAAACCGCTTAGCGCAAAATAAATTTATTTAAAATTATAAAAGTCAGAAATATTCTTGCTTGATGATGCTTCATCAGAATCAACACTTTTAACCTTTGAATTGTTTAAATTTTGAACCATGCAAAACTTAAAATGTCTCTCAAACATGGGAAAAAGAAAAAATAGCTACGTACAAGTGAATATATTTAAAACAAATTTTTGTGGAAAAAAATGAGTGATTTGCATCGTCAAGAGGAATATGCAACAAACAATGTCTTATTGGTCTAATAAACAGCAGAACAGAATAGGTGCATGAAACCCGGCATTGTTTTTGCTAAATAGCTAGCAAAATCAATGTTATATGGCAGTGGCATGTCCAAGTTAAATCACTCGCTGTTATTTAACTTGAAGTAACATAAGTCAGAGCCGGAAGATAATTTTATTCATGATGAATCGGGTTTGCTCGTCTCGAAATCAAGTCGAACGTCTTCATCTATTTTATGCATGGAAGATGATTTGATAGAGAGGCGACCTAATTCGATACATTTAGTGTAGTTCCAGGTAGGAATAATAGTAAACGGTGCCAAATTGGTACCTAGGTGATCGAGTGTTGGACACAAGAAGGATTGGCTGGCACGCCGTTTGGTAATGTATGAGGGCCCAGGGAGGCGGTTCCCTATTCATTAGGTTCCCTTTCGGCTCGGGTACTAACGTTGCTTTACAGGTGTCTCATCGTTCAAAGGTATGTTTTATGAGATTTTGAAGCAGTTCATAGGTTTATGTCCAAATCGGTTATTTTCATGCCACTGATCAACAGGGTTTAGTTAAGGATGCGCATAGGAAAAAATGCTGCAGCTGAAAGCGGTGTAAAAATGGCGTAAAAAATGGCGTACGTCTAAAAAAGACGTAAAAAATGGAGCTGGTTTCGGTTTTTATGAAAGATGCATATTACCTATAAATCACCTCTTTTAAACAACCTTGTAAAGATAAAGGCAGTCTAATTAAATTCTGTAAGCATAATTAAGGCCTTAAAATTATGTGTAAGTATCCTTTTTTGTAAAGATAACTGGTAAAAACAGATGAGGTGATCCCAAGTAATGTGTATCCATCGACAGGCTTTCGTAGCTTGTTTGATCTCTGAGGGTTTTCCTCCGGCGATACGCCGGTTTCCCTCATCTTTAGAGAATCTCTCTAAAGAACAACAAAAAAGGGTGGCCATGCCTGGGACCTGCAGCGAGGATTGTATGGTTATTGGGTTGGATTCCCGATCCACTGGAAGAAAGATTAGAAAAGATATTTTAATTTTTTGCACATGCTCAGTACTTCAATGTTGAAGTATAACCCCCCGGAAATATTAAGATGGTCGTTGTCTTCCAAATGCAAAAAGTTTTTGATAAGTTTTGTTCAAGTTGCTACATTTGTATATCAACAAATTTTTCATGATGAAGAGGATCATCAAGTAACTAGTTAAGTTACCTTTTGAAAATTTATGAATTGTTCATTGCTTTCATGTGGATGATATTTGATTAATAGACCAATATGCAATTCTTGAGCATGGTAATATCATTTCGCCTAGCGATTCTTAAATCAATTACTCGTGCATAAAGCCATGTCAATATGAAATCATGATGTAAATATTATGTATCGCTTTTCTTATCAACATAGCAAAAAAAGATATTTTTGATGTCTTATTGACAAAATTTCTTAGCATGTTTATTTCAAATTTAAAAAGAGTCTACCAGAAACACCACAATTCTCAAAGTTATATGATTATTAAAGGTTTATTGCTAAATAACATATCATCTGAACCACAGTCTTGAGCTTTTCATTTTCATGATCATAAACAAAACTTTGATGATCATTTATAACAGTAAAATTAAGACAATCATAGTTATTTCGACTTTCAAGACATGTTGTACATATTCCATGCAGTTGCAAATGCTTAAATCATAACGTGACAGAACTCTCGGGGGGAAATTTGCCCCGACAGATCAGAAGTTTTATCTCGGCAGCTCAGTCTGAAATAGTAATTCACATTATAATTGCAGCATCTTCCTTGTTGGTATACCCTTCACGAATTTCAATTTCATCAGCAATTCGTTCATCTGGGGTGAAGGCTGAACGTATTTTCTCGCGAATATTTGAGCCAGAAGCCTTTACAAGTACATAAATCGCAAATCCAGGAATCCAAAGCATGGACGCAAGGGCCAGTAACCAGCCAAAGAACTCTGCTATTGATGGATATTGATATGTCCCGTATTGAACACCTTTCCAAGAATAGAAACTGAATATGAATACTCCTAAAAAAAGAAAACATACAAAATATTACATTCTAGAAACACAAAAATAAAGAAATTTAGCTGAGATAAAATTATATGAATAAACATACCTAATATGACTGCAGGGGACAAGTACTTCCATGCAAATGCCCACCATGGTAGTATTTTTCTACCAACCATCTTCTCGATATTACCAACGAAACGATCGGCACCATAGCCCCAAGATACTGTAATTACTTCAAAGAAGGCTAGGAAAAGTAAAGAGATTCCTCCAGACTGATAGTTGAACAGATTAAAAACATACATACCACCCTAAAAAAGAAAATCAATGCACACTGAAACTTATTAAATTCTCTACATTACATATGAACGTAGCAAAATTGATGTAACGCAGAAATGGTCAAACCTCGGTGATGTTTGTTAGACCAAATAAGAAAGCAATTGCACAAAGAACAAGAATGACCAACTCCTTTCTCCGACGCAGTTTCTTACCATATTCATCAACTAGACCAGTCACTACAGCTTCCATCATTGCAAATTGTGTGTCCAAGCCGAGGGTCAACAACATAAAGAAAAAGAGTATTGACCATAAAGGTGATACTGGCATCTGTGCTATTGCTTCGGGATACACAACAAACGCCAGTCCAGGTCCAGACTTCGCAACATCTGACACATTTTTGCCAAGGATATGTGCCATGTGACCCAACACACTAAATATTACAAAGCCTGCGAAGATGCTGGTGCCACAATTAACGATCGACACGATAACAGCATCTCTAAAGACAAAAAAAATGTAAAAGAAGTTGGAAAAGCAGATAATCTTCTGAAAGTAAAACCTGTTTTCCTCATTAATAATGTTTGATAATTTCAATGTAGCTTTCTAAGGACCAGAGTCAAGAAACAACGCGTATGTACACGACTAAGTAGCCCCCGATTCTATGAGAAACCGATTACTACAGCGTTGCGTGAAAATCGTTAACGTAGACAAATAACGCTCCAACAAAGGAATATTAAGTGTATACCAACCTGGACGATCTGCATTTACAAACATGTAACGATACTCCCGGGTTCAAACATTTACTTAATATTAAATGTAATGGTCAAAACAAGTGGTGCAACTGACACAGTTGCAATAACAACAATAAAACACGACAAAAAACTGAGGATTATTTTTCAGTAATTTATTAATTCAAGTATCATCAACATGCCTTACCTGACGCAGTCATTATTGTACTGGTTGAAGCTTCCATAGGTTACTAAAGATCCAAATCCGATACCAAGCGAATAAAATATCTGTGTTGCTGCCGCGACCCATACATCAGCTTTGCCGAGCTTGGTAAAATCTGGTTTTATGTAGTAAAGAATGCCCTTAGACGCTCCAGATAAAGTGACCCCACGGAAAAATAAGATGATAAGTACAAGATATGGGAAGGTTGCTGTGAAATACACTACTTTTCCCGATGACTTGATCCCCTTCCAAAGACAGAAGTAGACCATGATCCATGCAATAATCAAGCATATGACTAGTTGCCACCGAAGTTGACCAACTTCTTCGATGCTATCTGTTAATCGTAGAACATTATTATTCCAAAATTCACTGCTTGGTGAGTTGAACAATTTCTTTGTGACAGAGCAGTTCAGGATAATAGACGTCGTCTCATTCAAAGCATGGTTGATTGTACCATTTATACAATCAGAAGAATTGTGAAGGGTTAAACTAATATTCAATGATGTTACGTTAGGCTTTACTATTTGAAGCTACAAAAAGAAAAAAAGTTCTTCAATTCTTCAATAAACAAAAGCCAGTCTTCCATTAATCATGAATGTCCCACTACCCCTTCTTCCTTTTTTCCTTTTTTTGTAAGATATAATATAGATTGTTTTATCCAGAGAAATTTTTCGTACATTATATTGATCATACTCCACTTTTCCAGTGTCTAAGCATTTTTCTGTGTTCCACCAGTTATGACAATTTTTCCATGGAACTTCTTTGCGCAGGGACTGGGAAAGATAATACAGACACCAAGCTATGATGACGTTGTAGTAAATTGTGCATAGAAACGAGACAAGCATCATAGAATAACCAATTCCTAGACGAAAAAAGAAAAGCATAAGTTAAGAAGTCATGCTGATTGGTATTATTTACGATCAATTTTAAGCTATGGGGTCAACGGGTCTCTGTTGCCCAAAGATTTTTAATATCTGCAGCTGCTAGGTATTGAGTGCTTCAAATTATTTTAAAACGTTTAAACAAACGTATTTTTAAATCAAAATATCAATGATATTAAGTCTTCTCTCAAGTCAAGGGTTTTGGCGGCTCGAGGCAAAATTACATGAAAGCGACTCACTCTGTATGAAATTGGACGATTTTTTTCAGGAGAGATTCAATTACGTAAATTAACTCTGAAATTTATCTCGTAATGATATTATGTATAATGTAGAATTCATCTTTAGGGGGGTCCCTGTAATAGGTGCAAGCTGTTGCAATTATCCTGCTGTATAAGTAAACTAAATGAAAATTTTAATGATAACAACGACCTCACTCCTTAGAAATACTTTCAGAATGGATGGATTTCGATTGTGCATGTTCAAAAACTCAAGCTGGTCTGTTTTAGCACGATATGTAGTCTATATTATACGGCATACGGCCATCAATGACCGTAAAGCAACTTATCTCAAAAATGCCATTAATTATCTTAAAAGATATGAATAATTTGGGAGTTCTTACGCCATAAAACCACACGTCCAGTGCTAAACATGAAAAACATCAACGGACAACACGTGCAAATTCAATGGAAGACATCGTTCCAGAATTGTCACAAAAAACAGTTTACCAGTGGTAATTACTAACTGTATCTCAACAGGTAGAGTGGCGGACTAGTATCCCGAAGGTGCGAGTTCAAATCTCGTCCAAATAACATGTTTCTCATGTGCATATTAAAAACCGTGTTAGGATTTATATTATGTATAGTCACTTTAAAATGTTGACAAGCAATCGTTTCTGTATTTTTCGCAAATTGGTCAGAAAGCAGAGAAGTCAAAAGAGCACGATCAATAGTATATGAAGACTTCACACTCAAAGTGTTTTCTTACCAACATAGTTGACAACATATTCCAATAAAATACAAACCTTTTGCAATCGGTAGGATGGCAGCCCAAGAACTAATGGGTCCAAGACTGACGTATTGCCCCAGGGCAAGCTCCATAAAGAATAGTGGCATACCACAAATGATCAACATCAAAATATATGGAATAAGAAATGCTCCCCCTCCATGTTTGAAAGCCAGATATGGAAAACGCCATATATTGCCAAGACCAACAGCGTAACCAATAGCCGATAAGAAGAACTCTACTTTTTTGCTCCATTTTTCTCGTTCAAATATTTCACTGCTTGCATTGCTATGTGTACAAGATTTTTCCAAAGGTTTACTGTCTTCGTCTTTGCTTGTTTCGTGCAACTCCATTCGGTGGGCTTGACCTGCAATAGATTTAAAATAGCTAGGACATTGTTTAAAACCCACATTCATCATTGATGCTACATCAATGGATAACCACCCCCCACTAATGAACGTTGTAGAGACAGCTGGTGACCGCCCTGCTCACGATTAGCAAATAGTCTTAGTAGAATTACTTACAAATACTTCAATATGTTTATTTATTGTTACCTGATTTAAGAAATAAAAGATGTTTACTGTGATTGCACAGGCTTATGCAAACCGAGGAGACCTTTGGAAGAACTCGAGAGCAGATTAGTGCAAGGGTTGCACATGCTCGAGAGTTCTCGCAAACGTCTCCGAGGTTTGCATAAGCCAGTGCGAGCACGAAAAACATCTTCTATTTCTTGATAAAATAAAATAATGCGAAAAGACAAACATTATAATTTTCCTACTAGAATGTAGTCATGATTGATTTGCAAATTCTTTTTGTCTGATTGATTTGATTGGTTGAGCTCAATTGTGTTTTGTACAGGCTGATGCAAACACGGCTCTAGACCAATCACTGTACGCGTTTCATTGTTTTAATTTAATAATGTTCGTTGAATGCTGGGTGGGATACAAACACGAGCAATTGTTATATTTTACAGCAGGCTAGTCAGATAAGAAATGACAATCTAAATCAACCACAAGGAAAAAGCGTGCTGTTCAAATACAATGCTTAATCTAGATTTTAATGCACAACAACACAAGAAAAAAGCTTTATGTGAAGTTTTCACTCTAATGTATTGTCAACTTGCGACATGATGATAAACTGAACACAAAAAATCAAGTATCTGACTAAATGATCACGGATTTAGATTCACATGTTTATTCTTAAGATTCTGGATGATGGATACACGTCACAAACAATATATATGTGTAATTATAACTGTAAAAAAATAATGAAAAACGCACGATAATAAAAGTTTGCAACTTCGTCATGAATCATGATAAATGCGAGAATTTAACCTACCTAGACGAACGATACGTATTCCAAACAATCGTCTTTACAAGATAAGATGAAGTGCTGTTTGATCATTTACTCCACTTTGTCTCTCCTCTTCCAGAACGTGTGACACTTACAAACACTCGTGTCACAAACAATTCTTTATCTAAATCTCAATAGATATAAACATTTGTCCATAGTGATATCTTATTCATGCATATATGCACATGGGAAATAGCGTCGTCGCTGGGTCGAATTACGTTAAACCACAGAAAACATTTAATATTTTATGCGCATGTTGGGTTACGCCTAGTTTGAACGCTTTAAAGCTACAAGCAGCTGATCGGAATGTTGTGGAGCAACGACAGTATACACAATGCTTGATAGTCCTCAATAGTTATTGAAATTGTTACTTTTTTGATGCAAAATGAACACGATTCAAACCCTAACCCTTTGGCTAACTCACTGCGCTGACCTTAGTAATTTCAATACTTTTTCGAAGGTTACAACGTTCAGAACAGTGGGTGTAAGATACAAGTCGGTGAAAATTAGTTGTCAAAGGGAAATCATGGAATGAAAAGCTGATGTTTCTTAATGTGATTCTTCTCATGGTTGTCGGCAGTTTTGCTAACACTCATAGTTCGGTCTATTTTAACAAGAGTAAGTCTAACAAAATTAAAGTTGATGTTACTTAAGGCATTAGTGCGGCGTCATTTTTAAGTAAAAGGGCAATTAAACATTAATCCATCAACTGAATATTATCAGCATGCACATAAATTAAAAATAACACTTATGAAAAGTGTTAATTCACAAAATTAAGATAATTATATGGTTGCAAGCTACATATTGCTTCTGAAGAAAGAGAACTAATTGTGTTGCAACGTATATTTTATCTACTGCTCTGCAGACATTTTTTCATAAATAAACGAAATAATTTGTTGTTAGCGAGTTCTAGGAATCAATATTATTGACAACTATGGTGAGTTACGAATGAATATCCAAAAATGACGAACAAAAGTTAGCCGTTCTTTCATAAATTTGTCCTTTCTACAATTAAAATTGCCGTCAAACGTAGTTAAATTAGGCTTTCCGCAAATTTGGTAGGCGTCAAGTGGTTGCTTTTGAATGAGAAAAGCAACAAAAGTTACATTAGTCGAGAGGTTTGCAACAGAGGTTAGCCACATTACCAAGGGGGGGCATGGAAAATAGAATAAATATTTTATAGCACAAGAAGCTTGACACAAACAATTACCATAAACCATAAGAAGTATCTGTCCAACGAATCCATGACCTAGCCATGAAATGTTATCCTATAATCTTGTGACAATCAATGTTGACTTAATATTTTACTGCTTTGCCTTAACATTTCACGAATAGTCAATAGATTTTCATCAGTCAAATGTACCAGCAGCAACAAAATTCTTAAACATATAAACCCACTTTTGTTGTGTTCTATTTATTCCATTCACGATTTATTGCAAACATGTGTTATGTGCTAAAAATGCCGAAACGAAAAACTTTATCCGATGCATGCTTGAATACTAAAGGTAAAAATGTTTACGATGTAAACGCATGATGATCGTCCTGCGGACTGCTTGAGTACTGAAACGCAAGAGCAAAAACTCCAACTCTAGAAAAGATCGATCCTGATTTACAAAAACAGGATTTGACGCTGTCTTCGTTATATCAGTCTTAGGGGCTGTTCACATGAGCCCGAGTAACCGAGATTCAGCGAAACGTGAAATGATTTTGAGTCATTGAAAGGAGTAAAAACTTTAAGCGCAAAACTTACAACCTTTTCTAAAGCGTCATGAGTCATTTTAGTTGTAATTTTCAAATCAGACTAAATTATTTGTTTTCATTTTTAAAGGTTTTGTAAATTTTCAAAGTCAGAGCATAGAGAAATTGCTCGAATAAGTTTCTTGTTGTGAAATATTTAATCTTTCCATTTGCCAAAATGATTTAACGCTTCGCTGAATCCCGGCTACCCGAGCGCATGTTAACAGCCCTTATGCTTGTCATCGATTAGCAAAAAAAAATGAAACGACTTTTGCATGAAATTCATGGTAATTATGTTTGTAGATGTTGACGTGTGATCGTTTCTACATGTATAATGGTAATCTTCAATGGTCAACACCAACAGTAAGGTTCAACAACACTTAACGGTTCAAATCATTGGTTCAATTCATTCAATTTAACCAACGTTAATCTCCCAAAATGAAAAGCATCCTTATTGTAAATGCACGGTAATTATTATACAAGCTTGTCATCTTGCAAATTTCAAAAATCAAAACATATCTTGTAAAACAAATATTTGACACATTTTGTTGATATCATCAGATAGTATCTATTTAACAACACTTAAGCTTTTATGCGAAAGTTCAAAAGTTAAAGACTTCACACGTTATTTACATTCGCTTAAACAGTAATCACGAGCTTTAAACACGGACATCAATAAGCTTACGGATAGAATATAAGAGATAGGTTTTAAAATAGATTTAGAAAGCGTATCTCGTTCTGATGTCTTCTAGTTTTTTTGATACCTAGTAAATAGTCATATACAAAATAAAATTAATTCAACACCAACACAAAAGATTACAACCTGAACATGAAAAAAAATACAGTGCTTTCACTTACCTCGGCAGGCGTTCGATCTAATTCTTCAGCAATATTACGTCTTTTACTGGAATCGAGGGAGTTAAACTGCTCACAAAGATCACCATCAATAACATTCTAATGAAAAATTATGAAATAAGATAAACGAATGAGCACCCAACCTCATATTGGTGGTAACTAGAGTGACATTGCTCCGTCAAAAAAATTTGTTATCTCATTACACAACCCTCGAGATGTTGCTTACCTTGACAGGCAAGAAGTAAGATCTATAACTAAGATGATCACGACCACACAGCGGTGCATTCTCAGAACGTAAATGCATTTCCAAGTGTTGGAAGAAGTCTATATCCTAAAATCAATAGAAAAATTCATAATATGAGTTTTAAACTAAAATAAACAGATTAATTTTCTTACAATAAAACTCTACATCATCAAACCTCGCGAGAAGTGAATGGAACGAGCATTCCGACACGACCAGAAATTGTCGTATACACCAAGGATTCGGATCCTCCAGGAATGAGCGTTGCTTTCTGAAGAGATAACACTGTTTCACCGATGAAGAAATTACATATAGTGTCTGCCTGAAATTTAAAAAAATTGAAATAAGTTGTACATCCGCTGTTGTTAAGTTTAAAAACTTTTTATAACGAATGTTGAAAAGGCGATTTTCACAACACTAAGCATATCTTTTTAAATGTTAGGCTACTTCCAACCAACGCGAGTCATAAACTACATCATAAGTTCATAAAATATGATCAACATTTTTTTTGTTAGATACCCACCTTCTGAGGAGCTCCATGTAATAGGCCTCTATCCCAGAATGCCTTGTTGCCGGTTGGATCTTCGTCTATTTCATCTGAGGTCGACGTTGGAAGACGAACCTTTAAAATAAGGACACATGTAAATACAAGTTCGAAGAAAAGATGTGTCGATCATTAACGCACGCGTGTAAAACTAACCACGAAAATATTTCCAAATTTATCCGCTCCAGCCATCGTGTTAAAATCAAGAAGACATTGACACGTCATCCATCTTGAAGAGCAAAAATATCGAGTCGAAAACTTTAAATAATAAGCTGACATTTAAATAAAATGTTCAAAGGATCACATGATGTTTACCGTATATTGATATCATCGGCGAAAATAACAAGTTGATTCTCATGTGCTTTATATCGCACGAAGAGAAAAGATTCTTGAACGTCCATCACGACAATTCTTTGACCAACAGAATGAAGTCCAACAATCAAATTAGGAAGTTTCTAAACAATATACATATAAGTGAAAAACGTCTTGAGCATGCTAAACCACCGGTCAACATACGTATCCATATAAATATGCTTACCTTGTTTTCGCATTTTCGAAGAAGTTTCTTCTTCCCTAAGTCGTATATTCTCAAAAATCGTCCAACACCAACAGCTACACGACCCTAAAATCAATACAAGCAATTTGACATTCAATTCATACTTTAAAATATTTCGTTTCACAGCATACGATACCTGAAAGGATGCTATTGCCGAAGGTATATCATCCATTTCTGTCTGAAATAAAATAAAAAGCATGGATCGTTTATTTTCTAAAGAAATGCAAATATTAGTCAATGAAATAAAAGCAAGAAATCATTTTTCATTCGTCATCCTACCGTGTGCACTAATTCCAATTTCTGTCCACCGTAATTCATCATTGTAACTAGTTTGTATGTATGTATTGCGCCACCGGAGCAACTCCTGGGTTTGAGTGTCATATCAGTTGCAGTTCCCACCAAGATGTACGTCTCGTCTGGGCCTTTCGACGCAAAACGACAGACGCACACACTTTGAGAGAAATGTTTACAAGAAACATGTTGATAGATGTACGTAACAGAAAGAAGCTTGAAATAATGTTTTGGTGAATTTAATAAAGTGACTCTGTTCAGTTAAAAAAACAACTCCGCTTTGAATGTCATATACCTAAATGCTGCTTCGTTTTGCTTTAATTCAACTAGATCCAATGTCTCCCCCTGTTCATAAAAAGTGGAAACAATTTCAATACTGTTGTAGTTTACAAATTGAATTTGTTGCATTACAAGAAAAGTTTCGTGCAATTCAGAGTCGGATTGTGGTTTGAAATCATCAAGATGTTTTCATAGGTGTCCTAAGTTTGTCATCATTATGCAACGAAATGAAAACATAAATTGAAGTAAATATTTTAGAAAGAATCACCTTGATTGGATCAAATACTCTGATCACGGAAGCCCACATTCCTGGACCGGCTTTAGTGGCTCCAAACTGCTGTTCAGGTAAATCTTCCTGTAAAAATTCTGCAGCAACCTGAGCAACTGCTGCCTTATCTTCATCAGCTACGGACTCCACCATTTCCTATCCAATCAAAAGCGATTTAGTTTTGATAAAAACACACACATACACCATAACCAACGAAGGTATATACCATTGAACTAAAATACACGGAAGGCTACCTGAAGCATATAGTTGAAGCTAAATCTTACATCAGACACGCATGATTTTACCTCAGACACTCGTGTGTAGTGTTTCGAGATTCTCTCGCGGAGTAATAATTGATTGACTACACACGCGTGTCTGGGGTAAGATCCCGCGTGTCTGGTTTGAAATCACGGCTTCAAAAAATTATTAGGGTTTTCTAATACAGGTAGCGTTCCATGTATTTTAGTTCAATGGTATATACCTCTGCCATCAACTGTTTACGGTCTGCTTTTCCTTTATCCGTGAAGGAGTTGTGATCAGTCTCAATAATGATCAGACTGTTACTCTCAGAATCAATGACAAACTTTCGCGGTGTGTATTTCAATGGATGAGAAATCTGATTAAAAACTGCACCGAGTTTCTCAAGCGCTAAAATCCTGCAACAAAAGAAAGATATTGCATTTGGGTAAACTGATTTCGGTATTTGCCCCCTAGTTATTTACATCAAAGAACAATTCTCTATTCTTCACGCCCGATGCCAATCATTTTTTAGCAATAATGAAAAATGTATTCATGTCTTCATTATACCTCAAAGTATTGGCCGAGATGGCAACGATTCCTTCTGGACATTGTTCAGATGAAAAGCTAGAAGCATACTCAAGACTTTCATACGATAAAGGCGTGAGATGAAACCGTGATTGGTAGGAGTAACTAAGCCAAGAACGACTTGACATCGCCAGAACCTGTTAATAAGAAAATACTCTCCAATCACTAATAGCTACTTCTTCATGGACATTTGGCGAAATCTGACAAGATTTGCCCTCATAAGTGCCTTAATTCTAATCAAGAACCAATTCCATACTTACTGCATCGGATCCATGCATTTTAACGCGGAAAAGTTTGACAGGTCGAGATCCAAGATACCTACAAACACAAAAACACATACAGCAAGTCACTCCCACAAAATTACAATTTGCCATGTTTAATCGACACGATTATGGATCATTAGATTCAGAGTCGGATTGCGGTTTGATATCATCAAACATTCATTAGGTGTCCTAAGTTTGTCATCATAAATGATCCATTTAAAGTTATGTCGTCGGCAGGTCATAAGCATCTGTTTGAATGATGAAAAGCAAAATGTTCGTTGTATCCCACAACATATTCACGCAGCTCTTTATAACATCGCTTTATTTTGTCAAAGATAACGACGATTCAAAACAATGGTGATTGGGTTCGAAGGCGTGCTTGGTTTTTGTCACGTGAGTATTAGAGCACGTGCATGGTTTTTATGTCACGTGAGTATTAGAGCACGTGCATGGTTTTTATGTAAATGGTTCTTAGTAAATTTTGTAATTGTTTTTGAACAAAAGCACGCCTCTTGTGGAAATCAACCCCAGTTGACAAGGCCAGCGTGTCAAAATAAAGATTTTCATTCATTCAATCATTATGTCACGTGAGTATTAGAGCAAGTGCATGGTTTTATGTCACGTGAACATATAAACGATCAATAAAAGATAACTTTACCGAGTTCTGGTGTCAGATAAATCACCCGTGACTGTATCCAAAACAGTTCGCAACAATACACCATTCTAAAATAGAAAAGTAATGATTACAAAACATTGCCATCACGAACTGACAAAAAAACCCGATGTCTAACCTCTAGTCCGATGTTAAGAAATAATCCAGATAAACCTCCACCTTCTCTAGTCTCTTCATTACCTTCCTTTCCACCCATTTCAACTATACACAACGACTCCGCTGAGTCTGGTAAAGCCTGCATACTTAATGGTTGTAAACAATCCTAACATACACAAATAAGCATATATGTAAATTATACATATACGTACACACGCCAATCCATGTACTCAAGTGGTTACCTGTGGATCTAGGGAAATAATTCTGACAGTGTCGTCATTTAAGCCAACAGCAAGAAATCGACATCGCTGTTCACCAACAGGAACGCTACCAAGAGCCATACAACTCACATCTGCTGACATTTGCTTACGTTCAGTGTATTCGTTCAATTGACCGGACTGTATGATGGAAAACAACAATTAGATACAAACAAAACAATATTCTGTTTATCACAAAATAGACGATAGGGATTTTGTGTTTTAAATATTACCTGATCCATTTCGAAGTAGACAAGTTCTCCTCCACTCAACGCTATCACAACCTAAAATAAAAGAAGAATGCAATTGAACAGACAGTAATTTTTGTTCTACGCCAAAGATTTCTCGCAGTTAAAATGAGTGAATTGGGATTTTTTGTAAGAGTGCATCAAACAAACATTGTATGTAAACATTTCAGTCTCTCAGTTGTTCAGACAAATATATCAAATCATTGCTATCTCATATTTAGATGTCCTGATATATTTCATTCATCATTACAACCAACAGCTGTTGTTCTTCAATCCACTCTAGTACTGGATGTACCAAGCAATCCACTCTAGTACTGGATGTACCAAGCAATCCACTCTAGTACCGGATGTACCAAGCATCCACTCTAGTACTGGATGTACCAAGCAACCACTCTAGTACTGGATGTACCAAGCAACCACTCTAGTACTGGATGTACCAAGCAATCCACTCTAGTGCTGGATGTACCAAGCAATCCACTATAGTACGGAATAAACCAAGTTTTTGCTGACCAAAATTAACCAAATGACGTCTTACTTGTCTCGCGTTCACAGCACATTTCACGATGGTTTTCTTGCCAGGAGATTTCCACTCGTTGACACGTTTGTCCGAACGAATATGTCTAATACCATCAGGATAGACCTACAAACGTAAAATACACTACTCTTATATACACATTGGGAGAGAAAACACGTTTCACGCTTCACGGTAGTCAGAATTGATCTTTTGTCATCATCGTTGATGGTTCTTCTCTAGATACACGATCCAGAAAGGATGACAATTCTCCTACTTCACAATACTTAATACTGATCCCTTGTTATAATGATTATTTTTAAAGTTCTCTAGACTCACGAAGAGAAGGGATATGCCTCCCATTTTATATTCCTCAACAACAAGATGCAGTTAAATAAAACAACAATTTTATAGTGTAAAGACTATGCAACAAGTATTGTGCTACTGCTACTTTAACCTGAAGTAAAGCGTCTTCACCAAGCAACGAACAAGATAAAGTAGGAGTTGTACCAAGAAAGCCACTATCAGTAACTTCTTCAACTGTCTCACCAATGGACAAAACCAAGGTAGCATTCACAAATGACACAATGATATAAGAATCATAATCCTCTGAAAAAGAACTTCAAAGTTACTACACATTCATATTAAACAAAAGTTTTAATTTCCTTGCATACCAGACTTGTTCAATTTTACAGTCCAAACGGCATTAGGATTACCAGGTAACTCCGACACAGCCATTTCAGATACCTACGTACAATGAAGAACTATTTATAGGTATGTAATGTACATATATATATATATAAATAAGCTTAGGTTTTGTTACAGAGAACAGTTAAGACTGCTTTCTACTGTTGTGTTTTTCTGCACAAATATTATGTACATTTCTGTATGTGTGTTATCCTCCAAGTGCATCAGGGCTTAAGTTGAGCACTATACAGACATACATGATATTGATGCATATGATGACAATGCAGTCAAAAACACAAATGCTTAATATATTTTATTACTCATACATAGAAGTCATTTATGTATACCTCCAAACCATGCCTCAATACACGTAGTGAAGATCGCGAACCACGACCACACGCCGCGTACAACTGTGGTGTGTCCTCATTGGCAAGATCTGCAATCTGACAGGACATAATAGGTGCCAAGCTGTCTAACTCATCAACAAGGACAAGATTTTTCAAAGTTCTTGGTTGAAAAAAGAATGTTGTTCCTTCTTCAAGTTCCATGTTGCTTGAAAACTCTGGTTCATCATCATCATCACCCAAATGAGCAATTTGATAAAAATAACTAAAATGAAAACAGAAAATTATGTCCAGACACAAGGTTGCTGAAAACATACAATCCACAAACCAAAACCTCAACTGCTTTCACTTAAACATAAACTCTTGTCTAAACCAAAATTAATTTTCACCTGTGACTCTACATTAATTATTTTGTAATGATTACAAATAATAATATTTTATATGTATCATGTGACTACATTAATTATTTTGTAATGATTACAAATAATAATATTTTATATGTATCATGTGACTCTACATTAATTATTTTCTAATGATTACAAACAATAAGATTTTATATGTATCATTACATACTGATTTCCAAATTCAGATGCAACAAACAGAAAGCCAGTTTTCAACACACACATTGACGATGCCACTGGGGTGGTATCAAAATATTTAAGTCGTATTTCAGTAACCATCACCATCTCCTCATCTGTTTCAAGGGTACATTTAAATATATCTCCTTGGTCGGTTTGCAACAGAAAGAAAAACATGGACTAAATGAAAAAATTCACACAAACAATGTCAAACAAGGTGAAAGAATTTTAAGTGATTTTAATGGCATACATACCTTTGTTTTGTGTGTAGCAGCACATACAAAGATCATTCCTCTCTCTGGATCATCAACATCATTCTGTTGGATAAACAAACTAAATTTGTAGAGTTCAACATAAAAAAAAACTACTTTGTCATCTCACACAAGCCTGTACTATAGAAATTTTGAATGAATTCAACGTTTCAACCTAAATCCAAAATAAAGAGAACAACCTTTCGTCGAGGTATGGGCATTCGTAAATCTTGTTGATCACCAAAGTTTTTATATGTTAAATAATTCTCAGAGCAAACTAGAACACCACTTGGTCCATCACTACCTCCGGGAACTACATGCAAAAAATTTTATCATGTAAAATGTAACTAGCAAAGTTTTGATAATGACAAAAATAAAACAGCAGTCAGCTTGCAAAGAAGACAATGACTGTTTATTCCTAACCTGAAATGAGAAGATTTCCTCTCTCTTCAAGTGGTTCACTGTATTTCCTCACGACATGGTTCAAACCTAGATCAAGTTCATAAAATGTTACAGTCTGTTGAGTTGTTTGAGCTGCTTCACCAGACGGATCTTGGTCTGCTTCCTAAGGGAGAGCCAAAAAACAATACTTTATGCATTTCAAAAAAACTACAAGGATTACATAAGATCAATAAAAAGCTCTGTTTGACAAAAACATATTTGCCATATCTTTCTGCTAAAACCTTTGCAATAAAAATGTGATATTTTCCAACTGACCTCATAATCCAATTCAAGACAAGCAAACATTGGATTTTCAAAGCCAACATCAATTCCAGTGATGTCAAACACCAAAGTATGAGATTTATGTGCTTCAAGTGGTGATGATATAGTAAGTCTGGCAGCAGCATCGCGATTCATAATGTATACAAGTTTTTGTTTTTCAACAGCACCTTCACAATTAAAAATGATGAATGAAAGATGAGAAAAACAATGTAAAAATGCTTTAATGTTGATATAATGATTGATGAAGTACAGAAAAACATACATGCTAGTAATGCTACAGAGGATAATGTTGCAAAGTATAGTTTTGAGATAATGCTTTGGATCTTTCAAATGAAAATCTTATCTAACTTAATCAACATGTGATCATTTTATATGTAGTTTCATAAGTAATATAATTTTACCAATCATAATAGCTCGCCCCTTAGGATCAACAGCAAGATATTGACCAGGGACAATTCTTCTACAACCACTTTTTCCAAAGGTCTCCATATGAACCTGTTTCATAATCATACTTTGCATTAAAGAACTGCAATAAAAACTGTTGAATGACCATTACCTACCCTTTCAAATACATTTTTGTACGGAATATACTCTAAGACAACAATTCTGCCAGAATCAGATCCAACAACAATATAGTCTAAAAATATTTAAAAAAATGTTTTGGAAATGTTGAAGGAACCACAGCTACACAAAGTTAATCAACACAAGAGCCATCGAGAAAGTGAGAATCACTCTACCAGACTGGTAAGTTTGTAAATCACAAAATCATGCAGCCAAGATCTTGGGTGTGCAGAACAAACTTTCCAGTCAAGTCAGTTCATCCTCAACAAGTTCTTTGACCATAAAAAGTGCTTTAAACTGAATAGATCATTCTGGTAATATAATTTATACAGCAATTCTAACCTTTACTTCCACCAGTCAAACGAAATGGGGCTATATCTCTGACCACACAAAATACTTCCACAGCCAACACAGGTATCACTTTACCAGTGTTTGGGTCAGGACGAAGCAGCTCAATCGACCCTCCACGTGTCACAACAATCTCCTGCGATTTTGTGCCAGAAAAATTTCCATGTATAGCACGTGTGATTGCAGAAGCTCGTTGAAGAGTCAGAGAATACAGATGCATGGTGGAAAGGATTCTGTGAGACACAAAATCGTGTACAATTTATCAATATGGTGTTTGTTAAATTTCACATGTTTCAATATTCACAACTGTGCTTGCATAAGGAGATGATTTTAAGTTGAGAAAGGAAGTGGAAGCTATGCATCAGCCATCTACCTTACAATGTTTACAAATCTGAGACTCCATGATACTTTTAAAAGCGTTAATATAAAATAACAACAGCAATGATAATAAGATACACAAATAACGTTTTTTTAAAACAATTGCACCTACTACGGGTCTTATCTTTACTAGCAAGCCATTAAAATATGTAAGATGCAAAAAGATTGAATTGCATGCTTACCACTGACAACACACCAACGCTTACACCTCCATAACGAAGTAGAGCTATTTCGAGTCAGAAAATTGCGAGGGAGACTGAGGAGACTGGAGAGGAGACTATAAATTTGATGCTAAAATTAAATTATGACGGAAGATTAAACGGATTGTTTTAAGTTGGTGATGTGTGTCCAAGATGTAGTAAATATTTATTGAGCATAGAATCTAAAAAGTGAATAGTGTTTGAGTATTAAATGATAAGATATGAGGCGAATCTTATCATGATTGATGGAGCAAGAACGCTCATCCATTTGGACTCAGTCCTCTTTCGAAAAGCCAAAATTTCATACTCATATAGATTTTGACGGTAGGAAGGAAAATACCACAATTATTTTATGTTGTTAAATTTGGCGTGATTGGTACTTTATACATGCATGTGACTCAAGCACAACTATTTGAGTTCTCGTTAATCATCTAGAGTTTTTAAATTTTTGATGAATATATTTTTTGCAGACTCTGGTGTCCGTGCAGATGTGATCCAATCTCTTGAAAAGCGTATTCCAAACCATTTTCTTGTCATTGCTCTTATAAAACAACTGTGTTCACTTTACATTGATGAAGAGGAAAAGTGCTTAGAAACCTTCAACAGTAATGACATCACATATACATATATATATATACTGTACACAGAAATGCAGTAGTATAAGCAATAAATTTTACAAAATGTAGCATGACATGCATGATGAATGATGACTCCCTTTATCCACCCCTACTTCCTCCCCAAAGGCTGTAAAATACCACTCCTTAGTTCATAAAATAGCTTGTTTGCAGCTTGTAATTAAAGAAATGATAAATATCTCAATGACAGGAATATTATTTCCTATTCACATAATCAGCAAGCAGGCTATCCAAGAAGTTTTGATTGAATTTGTGTGGTTTTTGAAAATCATATTTTTTGTATTTTTAGAAATATGCGAGCAACTAGCCAATATGAAAGTAAGATAAGAACAGCTTTGTAAGCTTGGTTTATGAATTTGTAGCTTTCTTTGTTTAATTATTTAATATCTTTTAGATTATTCCGTTATTTGCTCTTCATGAAGATTTCTCTGCCATTCGTGAAAAATACATCAGTGCATTTCATAATGTTCTTTTGACAACCAGTGATAAAAAGGTGAGTTATGTTAACTCCTTGTTATGTCAAGTGTAAATTTCAGGACTGACATCTGTTCCCATCATCAAAAATTCCTTACAACTCTCAAATTTTCTGTTGTAGGAAACATGCGTTAAGAAAGTCACTGACTGTAAAATATTGTGTAAATCATCAGCTTCAAGGTGAAGTTTTGTAATTTCCATTTCAATGATAAATTTTTTTGGTATGTTTGTGATTAAGACAAACTTTCTTTCCTCCAATAGTTCAAAGATACTTGATTACAATGCAACTCGATACAAGGAAGAATTTGAAGAAATTATAAAACTAGGCAAAGGTGGATTTGGAAGCGTTTACAAGGTAAAAATGTGCAAATTACACAAATGCTTTGGCAATACCATAGAAGTTGCTAATTTTTGCCTGGTGTGACATTTGTTTGAATGTGTTGTAGTATTTAAATGGATATCCATTCGTTTAAGGTTAAAAATCGCTTGGATCGTCGTGAGTATGCTGTAAAGAAAGTTCATTTAAGTGAAAAAGATCTTGCAAATTGTCTTAAGGTATAAAGTACTACAATGTGTGATACAATTTATGCAATGTTTACTTGATAGTTGCTCTAAAGAAGCCTCTACACTACATTCATTTTGTATACAGTAAAGTTGGGTATATATGCACATTCTGTTTCATAATTTATTCTAGGTGTTACGTGAAGTTAAAGTTCTTGCACGTCTACGTCATTCTAATGTCGTTGGTTACCAGTCCGCGTGGCTTGAATTCGTCAACAACGAGAATTCTTTGGTGGCTTCAAGCATTCCAAGTAATCAATGATTGTTCAAAAGACGAGCTTTTATGTCCAATTTTGTAGTTCATACTTGTGCTAATCTCCCTAGGAATATCAACGCATCCCGATCGATTAGTTGATCTTGAGTTTGAATCGGATTTTAGAAAGTACGTATGAAATTATGAGAATAAACTGTTCACACCTTTTGCAATAAAAACAACAGAGACTTTGTCGTGGTGAGGATTGCCTTGAAAAGTTCAAATGGCCATAAATCATAGAGTTCTCAATACAAGAGAAAACAAGACAAGGGCAAAAGTTCTAAAACAGTTCTTTCCTCGAACACTTGGTTTTCTATCGGTTTTTACAACTCTTGGAAACTCTATGATTGTTACATGTTTGTAGATGTAGATCGTCCAGGTTAGTATAGTCCTGAGAAGGACTGTTTTTGTTGTTGTTGACTGACGTTTCGACAACCTTAGCGGTAGTCATCTTCAGAGTCAAAATGATGGTAGTCATTTTGGACGATCTACATTTACAAACATGTAACGATACTCCCGGGCTCAAACCATTTACTCTATGATTGTACGTTGTTCGTCATGGTAATTGCGTTTTTAAGGCAATATAAAAACTGTATAAAGTGCTGTGCTTTAAAAGCTTCCTTTATACATTTTTGAACGTTTTTTTTTATACGAATGAACGAGTAACCTTTAAAATAACCTTTGTACAGACTAAAGACCGAGGATCAAAGTGAAAGCAGTCATATTGTGTTCCAGACCTCCGACACAAGTATAGATGATGAAAAGTCAAACACAAGTCAACATACGTTTAGTCCACCACCCACCCCCGTGAGTAAGCTAATAAAGTACAAATATCTTCTACATGTTTGTTGTGGTGAGCTTTTATTTTCATGTATTTTAGGCGAATCTCGGAGTAATGGGAACAGTTTAGTTCCCATAAACAATTCTCGCATCCATAAATCAGCATCTGACGCTAATTTTGGACGTTTTCGTAACTCAAAGTCCTACAAAAATTCTCATCATCATTTTTCACCGAGGAAAACCAGACGAACGACTCTGACAACTACTCATACACTGATGAATCTGTCTCGGAGAAGGTTATAGACACGTGCATTTCACGTGCTTATGTCATGCTTTCTACATGATTTCTCTCTCTTTAGTGTTTTGGGATCGTATTACTTATTCAGATGGAACTCTGTGACATTACGTTAAGACACTGGCTGCAAGAGAGAAACAGTCAACTGTCAAATAATGAAGGTAAGAACAAATGTGAGAAATGTAGCCAAATGGTGATTTTTCTTTCTCTTTATACGGATGAAGTATTGGGCGAAAGAAATCGAATGCATCTAAATATGATTGGTTTTTAATTGAAGGTGGACTTGTGAATAAAAAGGAAAACATGAAAATATTCAAACAAATTGTCACTGGTGTAAAATACATTCATTCTCAAGGCTTAATACATCGAGATATAAAGGTAGCGATTGTTCTTGTAAACGTTAAGTTTCATCATAAGATGTATGTTCTTTATCCATCAGTCTTTGTGTTTTTTAGCCAAACAACATTTTCTTGAATCGTACCAAACGCTACGATGATTCCTACGATTATTGTGTGAAAATTGGTGACTTTGGTCTTGCGAGACCCGACATGTTTGGTGAACATTCCTTCGCGACAACAGAACTAACATCATTTATAGAACCGATTTCTCCATTGTTCCCTGGAGGTGTGTGTGGGAATGAAACATTGTTTTGATAAAGATGTTTTCAGATACGTGTAAAGGAAGATATGAAAATTTATACCAGTTTGCCTTTCAGATAAATACAATTGATTGAAGATTCTTTTTCATCAGTTTCGTTTTATTTTGATAATGAGTTATTTTCTTTATAGATACACCACCATCCTCATCAAGCCAGACAAAAGGTGTAGGTACTTGTACTTATGCATCCCCTGAGCAACTTCACAACAGAGACTATAGCTCTAAAGTCGATATATACAGTCTAGGTATAGTTCTCTTCGAATTCTTTCAACCTTTCAAGACGGAAATGGAAAGGCATACAAATATTAAAGATCTGAGAAAGTCACATGTGCCACAGGAGCTTAAAAATTTATGGTCTGAAGAGGTTGGTGACGTCACGGAAGGTCTTAAATAAGATCTTGATAACATCAAATGATTTGTGAATGCTTTCTTTTTAGAGCAACTTTTCGTTTTAAGGTACTTTCAACAAACTTTTGTAAGTCGCTAACATTTTTACCTAGAATGATTTAATTCTTCAAATGATGGCCAAAGATCCTGAAAGTAGACCGTCTGCTGACGATATCTTAGAAATGGATATTCTCAACGAGAAAAACAAGGTGTGTCTATTTTGTTGGTGTACTTTCTCAGAAATGCCTTTCAGTTTCAACAGTGGGCTGGGGAAAACATTATATCACTTTGGTCTGCATTTAATTTTGAATTATGTATTGTGTAGTGTTTTGCTGAATTGATGGTAAAGTTGGAGATTGAACAGAAAGAAAATGCCTTTTTACGTAACCGCATTCACGCTTTGGAACTTGAACTGAAGGAGAAAGACGAACTGATTGCTCAGTTTAAAGTTCACGACAAAACGTTGTGAAGAGAAGAGTATTCACAACGTTGTGATATCTATTTTAATTTGTAGGTTTAGCTTCATCATAGAGACGAAAATGGTTAGAAATAGAGATAAAATATTTTACTTTGGTGTAAAATAATTTTGACGATGTGACTGTCGATTAGAATATTTTGTGTTCATTCAAAGCTTTTCATTGTAGATAAGTGAAATGTTGATATTTTTGCTTGTAAAGAGTTTCGAAGAGTGTGTTGTGTGATATCCTGACAGAAATTTAGTTCAACTTCAGTTTTAAAAGCAAATGTTGTGTTCAACTTCGTGTTCATTAAACAAGTATATTCAAACGTTGATTTGAGCGCTGTCATTTAGCATTGTTTATAAGTGTAAAAAATCTTTACAATAATTGGTGAAATCGAAAAATGAGCAATACAAGATTTATTTATCACATATACATTGTATAAATATCCATTTTCAACAAGTATCAGGGAAGTAAAAGAGAAAAAGAAATATGATACTGTGCACATAAAATACAGCAATTATTTTAAGGTTCCATTTAGTTGTCTTTTGTGTCATAAGCTGAATCTTAACCAACAACAAGAGTAGTTTCATCAGTAAACGTATACTCTGGAATCTCTAAGTTGAGCGGAGCAGGACCCTTTCGTATGCGACCAGAAGCATCATAGTGTGAACCATGACAAGGACAATAGTATCCACCATAGTCACCAGCATTTGAAATGGGTACACAACCAAGATGAGTACAGACACCAAGCAACACCAACCATTCTGGTCTTTGAACCCTGTCATCGTCATGTTCAGGATCTCTTAACTCGGAGAGATTTGTGTTTTTGCTATCTTCAATCTCGGCTGCTGTCCTATGGCGTACAAACAAAGGACGACCACGCCACTTGAGAGCAGCATTCTTTCCTTCTGGAATTGTGTTAAGGTCCACCTCAATCTTAGCTAATGCCAATACATCAGCACTTGCAGACATTGTTTGTAGGAAGTTTATGACTGCGTTCTTTCCTGTGTGCAATCCTGTGATTCCCATACCAGCCATAACAACATAGGTGAAAGCCGGCGACCCATGTGTGCATCTAGTGGTTGGCTTTTTTCATTAGATGTTGTTCGACGGTAGGATGAGAAATCTGGCACTTCGACATCAGTATGGCTATATCTCATTTGAGTTTTTCCTAAACATGTTATATCAATTAATTCACTTCTAAACCAAAACAGCATCATTTAAAGATAAAGAATCAACTGGCGAAAAAACATGAATAAAACTGAGACAAAAGCACATACCAAACATTTTGTTTGTGGAAGCCGGTGCAAATCCGTTCACTGACTGAAAAAGTGCATTATATCCTGAGGTTGAAACTTGAATTTTCTCATTACTAGGAAGCGGCGTTGTTGGATTTTGATGGTTTGTGATACATTCACAACTGTTGCGGTAATCAAACGAGAGACACAAGGCGAAATAGCTCTTGTACTGAGCATTTTGCGTTGTAAAAAGTAAGTTAAAATTACCAAAATGGCGTCGAAGAAAAACGGTACGAATGTGGATATTAGGATACAATAGGGATATTATGCCACATACAAGGATATTTTCCAGTTATGTTCAATATTACCACAAGTTTTATCTCAAACAATGGCGCGAAAGAGAAAGGTGCAAAACATAAACATGTAGTTGAATTTTGTACTATTCATGGTATATTTATTGAAAAAAAATAATGAGCAGTTCACCATTGAATTCCTGCAATAGTGAAAGTGACATTCAACCATTAATAAGAAAGCTAGGTAAAATTGATAAAATATCCAAATGTAAAAAGTTACGACTTCTACGTACAAGCATAGTGATGTTGAGGCTTCTGTGTCATGTTCATAGCACTAAAATTTTTCTACAGGTCATTCTGTTGAAGAGATTCGACTACGAGCTTTACAAAGCATCAAGTTCAAGCTTGAACATGATTTGATTTCCGTTTCGGACATAGTCCATAAAAAGGAACTGTTTGTAAAGCTACTTGAATGGTTCAACTTTGAAACTTGTTCATGCCAAAGGATGCTCTTCAATTACTTGATAAGCTTTCGAAGGTTATAAGTAAAATTTATCACGCTGTATTAGTATGTATTATGAAATTTTCATTTCTTTCAATTTTTTATTCTTAACAGCACAGTTCAGGTTTGGAGACTCTTATTAATCTAGGTGCCGTGGATTTTTTATCCCATCTAAGGCGAGATATTGATCCATCATTATATCAGCATATTGATTGTGTTGTTTCCAACTTACTGAGTCTTCCAGAGACAATTGACAATCATATGGAGCATCTTCATTATGAAAAGCAAATAATTAATCGGAATATTGTAACACAGAATGAAGTAGCTCAGCTCACAGAAGTTGAAAATGATAAGACAATACATTTGGACAATATTAAAAAGAAAAATCCACTTCATAATGGCTGCTCAGGTTACTACTTCCATTGCTCTTAAATATAATCATTTCCACCATAAATTCCTCAATGATTATACCCTAGAAGACGAAGATGTCAAACCAAATCAATGGCATTTTCCATGGATCTCAATTGTTGACAGCGACATGCATGTGTTGGGTACAACAAACTCACGACTTGAGAGCAATAATCCAGAGTTAGCCAGGAAATCTTGTGAATTTCTCAACGATGTACTTTTTAAAGATTTTCCAGCTGAGATTTTTCTACAACAACCTAATATTGTTAAGGTGAATCACTTTATGAAATGGTAGGTTAGTGAAGGAAACTATAATTAATTTTATGTGTTTCTTTTGGTTTTAAAGACATTATTTAGTCTGGTGCACTTCAAAGGAGAATGTGATCTTGCTAGCTCTGCTATTTTATGTTTGTCATCGTTATGTCTTCATGTACAACATCGTTATTTTATGGCAACGGATCCTTTGTGGTACAGCCTTGATCCTAGTATGTTTATTACAATTGATAAATTGGTGGTGGATTTTAAATGTTACCATATGTCACAAACAACAAACAAACAACATTTGTATACCAGCCAGTATTAATCCCCGCCAGGGGGGTTGACCGGTCCATGAACTTTTCTACGCCAAACGTCTCTATCTCTCGCCATATCTCTCGTTATACCCATCGCCTTCATATCACTGTTCACAGCATCCATCCATCTCTTTCTCGGTCTACCTCGTTTGCAGACTCCATCAACATTCATATACAATGTTCTACGAATTTAATGCATATGTATTTATTTAAATATGCTTTCTATGTTTAGATTGCTGGAAATATTGGATAAGATCCACATCTGTTTCATCTAGTTATTCACCAACCAGTGAAATGTCAGATCTTATTGGAGAGTCACCTAGTAGAGGTGGTATATTGAGGTGAAATTTAAACTCTTAAAAATTGATTTTTGACCCCACCAACATGTACAAAGGGGACCTGAAGTATTGTTTATTTAACTTTACTCTCACTTGACATCTCTCTATGAAGGAATCGTGGAAGTGACCTTCTTGATGATGGTTTCATGAGAGAGGCTTTTGAATCTTGTCAACTGCCAATTGATGAATTTTGTTTGCAAGTGTTGCAGGCTTGTTGTTCGTTGTTGCAAGATGTTGCAGATTTGTTGCCAGTGTTTGAAGCTCTGCAGCATGCTTTGGATTTATTAGACATATGTTACCCTCAACGTCTCTGGTGGATGAATCAAAAAACGGTGATATAAGCACTCCTTTGCATCCCTTGTATACTCCCTTGCCTCCCTTATATACTCCCTTGAATCCCTTATATACTCCCTTGCATCCCTTGTATACTCCCTTGCATCCCTTATATACTCCCTTGCATCCCTTATATACTCCCTTGCGTCCCTTAGATACTCCCTTACATCCCATGACCTTTGTATGCATATTATTATACGCTCTTTCATCCAACTTTCTTACATTTGTACTAAAAACGGAGCATGATTTGAAAAGTTTTATCACATTTTAGAAATCACTGCGTGATGAAATCTTCACTTTGGTTTGTCGGGCGATACGGTATCACGTGACTAAATGTGGTTTTCAAACATGTGACAATGTTCAAGAACACAATGCTCCACGACACATGAATATTTTGTTGTTTCTCGCTCTTTGGTTAATGAGATACTGTGGATATTTTCTCCTTCAAGATCTTACTCTTGCTAGTGATGATGATGATAATGATGAAGATATTTATGAAGCATTAAAATGGCTTTATCAAACGAGATCCTGTTCACATTCTTTCCCGAGATAAGATGCAGTTTACAGCGTTCGTCAATTCTAGCAAGAAAGATGAGTTTTATGACAGAGTATCATAGAGCATTGAATGTGCGAGACTCCATTATTGCTTCCGTTGATTTCCTTCAAAATTTTAAAAACAGTAAGGTGAGCATTTTGTGTTCGTACGTACGTAAAGGTTTGTTGAAACGTTAGTAAGATTTATATAGCCAGGAAATCTTGTTTGTTTTTTCAAAAGTATTGATATTTATAGAATAGTGTTGTATGTATTAAATCAAAATAAATTCAATATGCATCTTTTCCAGATGTTATTAATCTGAATATTTTTTTCAATTAAGCTTAAAGGTTTTTAACGTAGCTCTTTTTGTTTGTTCTTTCCAAGGATAAAAGCAATCAAGACTCGTTAATCATAAAGTTAACTTCGTGTTTATCAGCTCTACCGTATCTACGTCATGAAGAACTTGTACAGAACGCCATAACGTTAATAAGCAACGTTAATCAACATGCTTCTGTCGCTTCTAAGGATATAACATTAAAATCCAAAGATATTCTACTTTATCTGCTTTCCTGTACGGATGATGTCATCCGACTACTGACCTATAAATGCTGCTGCGAAGTACTGGGACGAGCATTAAAAGATAGTCATGTGACCAATCCAATGTCCAAGCGTTATATGAAAGCTCATTTTATGATAGATCGTGACGTCATTTATGTCCTGGCCGCTTTCGGTCTGTGTGATGCAAATAAAGAGGTAAGATTCATCACTCATTTCTTTAGATATGTACTAGTTTTTATTGTCTTTGCAAAAAAAAAAGAATGTATTTTTTCCCTGTTGCTTTTTTACTCAAAATACAAAACATTTTGTTGCTTTAAAATTGAGGACTTGTTTTGCTGTGTGCTCCTTACTATGTATTCACAAATATTTCATCATTTCTAGGTTGCGAGCTTAGCCATGAATATTTTGGAAACTCTTTTGCACAGCCGTCTGAATATGGACACGACGACGTGGCGAAAACTCATAAATGATATTATAACATTACTACCTTACATTCAAATGCACATGACAAAAAAATCTCGACTTGGTGTATCTTTACTTGGTCTACTTTCTCCCCGGGACAATCATCTTGTTCTCTTACTGCCGATGGTGAAATTGTACCGTTTTCACAGTTGGAACGCTTAAGAGGCTGGTTACGTTGCATGTTCATGAAAGATAAAGGCTTTCGAGCAAAAGGTTACGGATATTTAATTGAAAATCTTGTCGAGGAGGATCTTCATATGAAATGTGAAATGGTTTACCCAAGTGGCACTCTTGAAAATAGCTGTGAACTATTTATGATCGACACCTTTTCTTTCTCAAAATTACATCGCTCATGCAAGCACGATCAGTTTGATGATGAACGCATTTTGAAGTTGTTTAATATTCTTATCATGGAAACAAACGAGTTATCTTTACGTAGGTCGTCTGCTGAGCAACTTGCCGTCTTGCTTCAAGGTAGAGCGATATCAACGTGAAAATTATTCTGTATCACTGTGAAAATCCATTCTTTTATTGTTTTCTTGCCATCTATCATTTAGATTTAGTCGTCATTATTACATGGCGGATAAGTCGGAGTCAAAATCCATTTAGATGAATCATGGCATTCCATCTTGCCATTTAGATCCTACTTGGCATAAGGTTTTACTGGATGAAAAGGCAGAAGATTATCTTATTAAACTCTTGCGTGATTCTTTGTATCGAGACGGAAAGGTTCACTTAAGTTCATTCGTAAATCCTAAATTGGAAATTGTTTTCCCTTGCTTGAAAATTATTCGTCTTCTTACGGAGTACAATGTTCGATGTCGGCACAAATTGGCACAAGATGCATCCTTATACCGTTTATTATCTCGTCATGCATTGATTGCGTCTGCAGGTAGTACTGTAAGATATGAAGTATCGTGTTTGTTGTCTCTGCTGCTGTTCGATGAGATTGCTCGCTCACCTATGTTGGAAGAACGAGAAGAAAACACTGGGGATATATCGTTTGCTTTGCCAGCTGAAATTTTGAAAAGGTGGTGATTGAAAGTTGCATGACTTTAAAAAACCTGTTCATTTCAACTTTGTTGACAAAAGCCGTCTTTTTCCTGTTTCTTTTATCTCAGATACACCTTCCCGTTCAACCCTCCAATCTACAAGTTAATTAATCCGCATGAACGCGATCAACCTCCACAGGATGATCTCCTCAGAGCTGATCCTCTAATGTCGATGCTAAGAATGACCTGGAATATTGCCTGGCGTAATGATAAAGAAGATCTTCCATGGACAAGTTGCGATACTGACGAACAGAAATGGTCATCTTTGGATTTGAAATTTTTTGCATGTTGCTCAGTTCAAATCTCCATGACGAAGTCGTTGAAATCAATCATAGAAGCTTCTTCACATAACGCCGTCAGACTTGCAGTCATGTCACTCTCGTTGCATTTCATTGGAGAAAGTAATTTATCATTGACTAGTCATGACGTAGCAACAACATCTTTGGTAATGGCGCGAGAAATGTTCTACGCTTGTGACTGGAGAATGGCATTTCAAAGGTGCGTGCGTAGCCTGCTCTTTTGTCAGGTTATTTGAAAGGTTTGTGGCTGATGACAGTTTCGTCGTGCTTTTTTTTTTCAGATATGTTACTGTGTTTCCCAAGTGTTCTGATGATGATCGCCTACTGAATGATGTGTTTAAGTTGTTTACAAACATACTGAGAAGATCGATAACGCCTGATGAAGAATTTCTTGGATGGCTAGCTGATGTGATCATGACACCAGACAGTGCTATGACGTCTCTTATTTATGTCCTGGAGGAACCTGAAACTGACAATACTGCAAGTGAATCAAAGAGGTGTGCTGAATATTATTTACTGAAATAACTTAACTTATTTAGTGTGTTTAAAGTTGTATTTATTGTAAATGGTTTGAACCCGGAGTATCGTCCAGGTTGGTATAGTCCTGAGAAGGACCTTTTGACTCTGAAGATGACTACCGCTAAGGTTGTCGAAACGTCAGTCAACAACAACAAAAACAGTCCTTCTCAGGACTATACCAACCTGGACGATCTACATTTACAAACATGTTGTATTTATTGTTATTGGGGGTTTTTTTTCTGCAGGAGGCTTCGAAAAGATTTCCTTGAATTTGTGAGAATATTTGCTCAAAAATTGCGCACTGTAAGCAAACCGTGGCTGTGGTCTGGAAAGACCATTTACGCAGGTGACTTCGTAAGCAGTCTAACCCTAAACCTCAGCCTGAGTGACAGCCCGCAGTATTACGATTTACCTGTGTTGGAGACAACATTGGAATGTTTGGTAGAGATAACAGCCATACCAGGTTTCAGCATCGTTTCTAAACTTGTTGATCCTAAAGAACTTTGTGCTAATCTTATTACTAGCTTACTCCAGGTTGGTTGTTCGTGATATTTTTACGTTGAAAAGTGTATCAGAAAATGTCGTTATTTCAGTCTCCACTATCACAAAGAAGTTTTGGTTACCGATGTGTGTACTATTTGAATTTCATCGTAGGTATTGGTTGCCTTCAATGCGGGTCGTCTAGGTGCAACGAGGTCATTCATGGGTCGTGGAGTCAGTATGTCTGCTGGTCTTTGTCTCACTCATCTCATACATGAAGTAAAGCAAATGTTGAAGATTGAGGTAAGTAAATATATAAGGTAATTATTGTCTTCTGTTGACATCCATGGAGTAGAGCCGTAAATAAATGGATCCTTGCACTATGTTACTTAACTTAAATACAAAAGTGTTGCATATCCTTACCCTTGCAGGATTATTCTATTACAAGGATATTTGAAATAGAAAGGCTTTTTGAGAAGCTACGTCAAATCTTAGGATGTTCTTGACCTGTTTCGTTTCCCTCCTTTTACATTATTCTGTTCGTCTCTTTCACCTGCAAAATTTCTTTATCACCAGGATTGGACATCGTTTTTGAGAACATTTCAGCAGAGAAGAAGGAGTCAGATTTTCCATGGTTATCGACTATGTTGACGGATCATCTTACTGAAGTTCGCTGGTGTGGTCTCTCAATTGCGACTCATATATTGCAACAAACAGCATCGCCTCTCTGTATAAAACAGGAAGTTGCTGGTGGCCTATGGAATGTTGCTCTTATCATTGCCATGGATGGGAAAGAGTGTTGTTTGGTTCGTGATCAGGTTAATTTCTCATGAAGTCGTTGCATTGTTGTTGTTTAGGAGTAAAGTAGGACTTATACTTAAGTGTGTACTTCAATGGCTCTTGCACATGGCGTTTTTGTTTTATTTAGGCTTTAGCTATGTTTTCAGCTTTGATTGCATCGTTAAAAAGTAAACATGGAACAGATAGTGGCCTCGTCGTAGAGACTGACTCGGTAATTATCGCTTTAGAAATAATTGAAACGAAAATGCAATGTTAAATGACGAAAAGGAATCTTCTTTCTTTTCCAGGAAACAGTCAGTAGTCTTCACGCTTTTCACGTGTCGCTTGCTCATCACAATTTCTAAAAATCTTCTTTCTTTTCTAGGAAACACTCAGTGGCATTCAGGCTCTTCACGTGTTGCTTGATCATCACAATTTTTATTCCAGTCTTCATTCAATCTTACATAATTTGGTTATAAAGAACACACCACGTCTGCCAGGTGTTGCTTTATTTAACGAGACCTTGACTAATCGAAGTAGTGAAAGTACTCGATCCAAATATGGAATACTGTATCAATCCCTTACTACTAACAGCCATCCTAGCAGTAGAGAAACGTTGACTGAAAGTTTGACTGTGACGTCATCATACTCTACGGATGATTCCGGTAAACGATTACTTCGGCACACGTCGAAAAGATCGAGCGACGAGGTCAATCATGGCTTCATCTCGTTCATCTTCAGCCATGCAGTCAATCACAGAAAATGAAAAGCCACCAGTGATTATTGGGTACACCTGACTGACAGAGGAATGTAATCGTTCTTATGAATAACAATGAATGATTATTGTTTCGTTTCTTTATAGCAATGGAAATCGTTCATCACCAGTCACATCCGAGTATTTAGAGACTCAAGCATGTGTCACTCCACGTTTTGTGGCTACCTTGATTGGCATGTTAACCAACTTGGTACAACTCTCGTCTGAAATTGTGTTACGTAAACTGCAAGAAGAAGATCTGCTTGGATTGATTGTGAGGTACAATTGTGGTAACATGTAGTATACAGATCTGTTTGGATTGATTGTGAGGTACAATTGTGGTAACATGTAGTATACAGATCTGTTTGGATTGATTGTGAGGTACAATTGTGGTAACATGTAGTATACAGATCTGTTTGGATTGATTGTGAGGTACAATTGTGGTAACATGTAGTATACAGATCTGTTTGGATTGATTGTGAGGTACAATTGTGGTAACATGTAGTATACAGATCTGTTTGGATTGATTGTGAGGTACAATTGTGGTAACATGTAGTATACAGATCTGTTTGGATTGATTGTGAGGTACAATTGTGGTAATATGTAGCATACAGATCTGTTTGGATTGATTGTGAGGTACAATTGTGGTAACGTGTAGTGTACAGATCTGTTTGGATTGATTGTGAGGTACAATTGTGGTAACATGTAGTATACAGATCTGTTTGAATTGATTGTGAGGTACAATTGTGGTAACATGTAGTATACTGTGAGTTTCTTTTAAAGGAATGATTTTTTATGGTACCTAATGGTTAATTTCATACCACTGATCACTTTTCACAATGTAATGTTTTAAAACATTCTTCTATATTTCTTATGTTATGCATCAACAGCATTTGACAAATTCTTTTTATTTCCATTATTTTCAGCCATTTAGATAGCAGTTACGCTACTTCATTGCTATATGATCTCAGGGCTGACAACGTAAAGTTTTCTCGTTTATGTTTTGTTTCTTCACAACAACATCACTTGAGGTTATCGCTAATGGACACATTCGATATGCATCGTAAAATATGCACATTGTTGAACATCTGTACGGGAAATAATCATACAATTACACGTACTTTACAGCAGAAAAATGTTGTTGAGAAATTGCTAGTGCTCTTTGATATTTGCTGTTCAGATTTAGGTATGATAATTATGCATCATTTATGCAATATATATAATTTATTTTCAAAGAACTCCAATGCCATGCGTTATAGATGATGATGTTAGAAAGTGTTGTCATAAAATGTGGGGAAGTATAGTGGTCCTATTAATGACCTTGTTGAAAACATTTAAAGATTTTACTATTTTGGAGACAAATTTCGAAGAGATGATGTTGAAATATTGGAAATCATTCACAGGTTATTGTTATGCATGTAGCATGAGACAGAGTTCTATAAGCAGTTAATTTTTTTCTTATAACTACGATCTTTTGGTCTAACGATGTTTGTAGTAATATATTTAGTAAGAACTTCCACTTGTATCTTGTTCAATTTCACAGAAAACTTACCCAATGTTTGATGCAGCTTTTCTTTCTCTTCTAGTTGCTTTTAATGACGTTATGTTATGTGACACAATAGTAGTTGGTGAACAGTTTCTCCGTTTACTATCTTACTTGTTTCTACGCGAAGGAAAGCGTATTTTATCAAAGAGTAAGATTACACATAAACTTACAAGTTTGCTCGAAAGAGAATCATTAAGAACCAATGATAACGATCTTCAAACTGGTGATGAATTCGAAGGAAATGGAACTGACCTTGCTGTCATTCTTCACAAATTATATGAAAACAGCAAAGTGCCAAACAAAGAAGCTTTTTTTACTAAAAGGAAACTTGTGTCGGAATCCTTAAGGCATTTGTTGTGTGTCAGTTTTAAAGCAAAAGAAACTGTAATAAAAGGCATGTTTGTTTGACTGTTTTCGTGGAAATGCATTGATTTACTCATGCTGTATATATGTATATACATTATTCTTCATTTAGCTGGGTTCATTGAAAAGTCATTGAACGATATGAAGCGCATACTTTGCCAACTCAACATGGAAAATTTGACCGTTGGCAAGTCCGAAATAAAGCGAAAAAAGGTACCCGATGTCTTTACGATTTGAGCCGACAACATACGTATTAAAAATTCCGTAACTGTTCTGACTGTAGGAAATAGATCTTCATCATGAACTTGTTCAAGTTTTGGAGCTGATGAGAAATCTCGTTTTCAGATCACCTGAAACAAAGGTAACTCTCATCACAGCGTTTAAACTATCAAACAACTAAAATCAATATTTGTTCGTGCATCTCCTTGGCTACTTCATCATTTTTTTTCATTCAGCTTAAAGCAGTCAATGCTGGCCTTCTAATTGTTCTACAAAATCTTTGGTCTTGGTGCATGGTAGTCAAAACTATCTTACTTGCTGTCCTGGAATTGTTATGTACACTTTCGGCACGATGTCCTCATGGTGAGCCCAGATAAGGTGGTGATTAGGGAGTACCGGGGAGGCTGTAATTGCATTTTTCTTGTTATTTTTGTTTGATGATGATGATAAGCACTAGAATTTTATGATTTGACTTCAGTTTCGATAAACATGTCAAACACATCGTCCTTAATGAGCACATCATCGAACAACACATTTGTTCATTGCATCATCAAACTGGCTGTCAAATTTCATGGAAAGATTTTGAATAGCTCTTCATTGCATGACACGCATACGTCATGCTTTCTGACGTTCTCGTTATTGAAGAATCTAGCCATGACGTCAGAATGCCGTGGTATAATGCTTAAGGTTTGCAAAACTCCACATATATGTCATATGTGTTAGTTGTCTATACCGTAAAATTTAATTTTCTCAAAACAATACCTATAGAGTAATTTCCTGGTAGAATTTCCTCGTCTCAGCTGCCTGAGTCATCAGAAGTCAAAAAGTGGCCAGAAGTCTCTGATCGTATTATGGTTACAATTACTTACTAACATCACGTTCTTTCGTGACGGTCAACAAATGGTCACAAAGATTAAGAATGTCATTCCTCTTTTGCTCGAGTATTGTGGTAACAACAACAGCAAGATTAGTGGAAATGCTCTTTCATTGCTGAGAAATTTGTGTTTTCACATACCCTGTAAATCGCTGCTTCTTTCAAACAGTATGTTTCTTATATTTATAATCGTACAGGAGTCTTAGATTCAGAAAATGCACCTAGTTTCTAAAGTTTACGAATAAAGATAAGTTACCACACGACCATTTATACAGAGATAATAAAACCTCAAATATGTTCTTATTTTCAACATCACGCATGCTCTGCTTGGGAAAATTTCATGGCAAACAGCTTATAAAATGTTAAATGTTTTCAACTCATATCTAGAGTTAACTAGTCCGTAACTCATGGTCAAAATGAACCACCTTGACATTTAAAACATATGTCTTTACTAGATGATCTGGTAGAAATTCTTCTCAAGAATGTTGAAAAAGAAAATGTCTTTGCTAGGTGTCTAGCGACATCCGCTCTTTGGGCATTGATCATCAACAATCAAAAAGTACTGTATTACTTTTGTGTATTCTAATGGTATTGAATGAAAACGATGCAAAAACCACATCGTTACTTTTATCGTTTTAGGCGAAAAGTATATTGGAGAAGCCAGCTTTGATGGCTAAACGATTGTCAGACTCCAGGTATTCGCTAGAAACGAACATCAAAGGTATTTTTTACGAGTGTTTTAATATTGTTGTGTTTTTTTTACTTCCAATTAAAGTTTAGTGATAATTTTTGACGTTATTCAGTAACCACACAGGATAACAAAGAAGAAGAACAGAGAATGCAATATGAAACAGCCACAAATAATATTTTGAAAATATTGGGTTATTAAATGCATATGAATCCGTTTCTACGATTATCTTTCATCAATTTATGTCATAAGAAATGATAAAGGAGAGTCGTTATATAGGTTCGCATTTAAAACAAATAACACTTTCATTTATTTAAAGTGCATTCCAAGCTATTCTTGATAGCAATTCCACATAAACTAAAGAAAACTCCATTCTTTTTTACAGCCACATCAAATTTTATAATGTAAAAAACATCCCATAGAATACAAGGTTAGGTAAAGTGTACTCTTAGTAGCACAAACAGCAACCAGCTCATTACATAAAAAAGTCCAAAAGTTTGACGAAATACACAAATAGTGGATTCGACCAATACGATTTACTGAGCTTAGCAAACATAATGTCTTAAGCTTGCCCTTCAATTGGATATTGAAGAATTATCAATAATAGTCTGCGATGCGATGAATGTTCTCGATTTTATAAACTTAGTTCTAAATCAACTCACCGTTATACATGCATATAAATATATGTATATATATATATTTAAGAAATCAAATATACAGCCTTACGGTTGAATCCGCTCCGCATGTAAAAATCCAAGGTTGTGAAGGATGAAATACACAATCCAAAATACCTATAGGCAAAAACAACTTTTTCACATAAAAGCATTCATGAAAAACAAAGTATTTTAGTTGCGTCAACAAGAATAACCCGCCATCGTACCTAAATTATCAGCTTGTTTATGTCCTCTGAGTAACTTTACAGGAACTATCAAAGGATTCTGCATAAGATCACTAAAACAAACGAAATACAGTGATATATTAATGAATACATTCGTCATCAGACTAGCTTCAGATTAAGTACGTAAATCCAGCGTAGTAACCTGTAAACCATTCCATGACAAACAATGACAGTGCCATCATCACTGCACGATGCAAACAATGGATAACGTTGATGATAAATTACTTGACGTAAGGCCTTTTGGTGATGCCTACACATGCACATAAACTTCGTCACAAAGATGAAGAAGGGAAGATGCAAATCAAAGTACATATCACCTTAACGTCTTGTAAGGATATGTTGAAAGATCAATATCGAACCAACATAATCTACGATCGTAACTACCAACAATCAAATTATCACCTAAAAACACAAGCATTCAAAGCCTTTTAAAAGGAGAACATCGTTATTCCTATCATCGTAAACGACGACAAACCTTGAGGATGTATTGCCATGCAGGAAATCCATTTGGCCGTCGACTGCAGTTTATTCAAAAGTTGTTGCTTGACAAGATCGTATATGCGTATGTAACGTTGAGTCTAACATAAAATGAATTACAACACATGAATTATAAAGATAGGAAGAAACAAAACATGGTACTATCGTTAAAACTTACAGCAACAAACAGAAATGGCTTCAGAGGATGAAATCGAACACACTGGATTAAACCTTTCGATTTTCGAAAGGGTTGCTGTAACACAGAAAATTATCGAATGGTGCTTGCTTCGAAACGCAAAAAGACATCAATGTATGATGTTACCTGACTACGACGTTTACTTAATTGATGTATTATTACAGACTGATTTCCACCTGATATTTTTTAGACAAAACAAGAAGATTACAAAAAATTTAATAGAACATGATACTTGTAGGCGCAGTTTTTAATTTGTACCTTCGGGCATGACGACAGAAAAATAATCTCCTTTTTTGTGCCATGCAACTTGTTGTATGGCCTACACAAAAGATGTCATCCTTTGAGTTATAAAATATCATAGTCATTGACGAAATGACTTCCAAAAAATATTTCTCTTCAAAACCTTCTTATGTTTTAGCACAAGTCTTATTCCATCTTTATATCTTCGTTCATCTTCTTTAACCTGCTCCCATGAAACATGTTGAGCCTTTTCTATTTAAAACAAATGCTATTTTCGTTTGATATCTTGTTCATTTTAATGTTTCCAACATCAGGGTACCTTCACTGGGCTGTTCAAAGGATGAAATTAGTTGCTCAGTGGCGGAATATATCAATTTATCACCAAGAAATGTGCTCACCAACATCACCGTATCAGCGCTAGAATAAACACGTTGCTGAATGTTGAATGTACGGCGAAGTTCTTTTTTGTCCAAACAGGATGACGATCATATGTAAAAATATCGACTACACGTTGACCAATAAGAAGTCAGGAAAATAAGCCATGTATACAATACTACGTGCAGGTACTTACACTACAACACCTATAAGTGATAATGATGGATTTGGATTCCATGCAACACTCTGGACTTTATTCTCAAACTGAATGGTTGAAAGACAACGACCCGTTGAAACTTCCCAGTATCGCACAGTTTTGTCATCGCCACCTGGAAAAACATGTTCATCGCAGACCGAAATGGATAGAATACGTCATATGCCATATATAATACCCGTTATTAGCCACTGTCCACTTGGATCCACAGATATACATCTAACAATCCCCTCATGTCCAAGATATAACTAAACAGAAAGAAGACAGATGCATGAACAATATTCAATGGCAGTTTGAATAGATCAGAGAAGAGAATACTCATCTTACCAAAGCTTGCGTTGTTGGGAAAGGTTGAAGGTTTTTTGGTTTTGGCAGTTTAGGAATAAGATCGTCTGGATTCACATTGAGCTAAGTACAAAAACAATAGAAAAATATTTACATTTACTGCATTTTTGGTGTGGCCTACCTATGTAGTTTACCCTCATTTTTCTTTGTCTAGGACACAAGTATAAATCAAGACATCTTTCAAATCTTTCTTGAATAAAATTCTTATAACCAGGAACCAGACGCAAGCTAGAGTATCTTGAGGCAAGAAAAAAAAACTCAAGGAAGGATATCTTAAAGGAAGACAAAAGTTTTGTGGTGGGCTAATTTAACATGTCATGAGCCTCATAACATGGGGTGAAAACATACTTTTTGGGAAGAAAATTAGTTTGCCTGTCTTCTGGATCCATCTCTTCCCAAGCTTTTATCTAACAAAAAGGAGAATCTCTGTGGATGTCCTTTCATAATGAGTTTGTAGTAAACAGTGCAATGCAGCAATAAACACATATTTATCAAGTTTAGGCTACCACACACCTCTTCTTCCGTGGGCAAATATTCAGGAGGTGGATTGTAGGATTCTTCATGACCTAAGATGAAATTGAGTTTGATTATAAAATATTTGTTAGTAATCAAGATAAAATGGATCACAGTTAAGATTTTTATAACCAGGTAGTTTCATTTTTGGAGCAGGTATATGTGTATGGTATCGAGATACTTTTTTCTAAAACAAACAAACCATTGTTAGGAAGATTTTTAGAACATACAAATACTGTAGTTTCTCTCTGACAAAAAGTTTTTAACCTGTAAATCTTCTTGGTCCCATATCATGTAATACCTAGGTTTATCAGTCACCGATTTCTTAGGTTTTATCCAACCATTACGAATTGCTCTAACAATCTTGATAATCTGCAATGAACATTTTAGTTATTGTAACTCCAACAGCATAACATAATTTGCAAGTCACAAATGTTTACTTTTTTATGTTCCCACTTTGAAGGAATAAACCTGCTTTTCGGCTCTGGCATATTAGAAATAGGATGTTCCATTTTGATGGAAGAAAAATGATCAATATAAGGCTAAAAAAAATGTAAATAAAACATGTTGTGTTCAATTAAAAAGTGGATTTCAACAAAATCATTAAAAAAAATTATATATGTTACTGACCTGATATGGATCATCGGCATTTGCCGGATAATGTTTATTCTGAATGCTGTCAATGATTTGCAGTTCTTGGTCAGTTAAGACAATTTCTTTCATTGTTTGCTTATCTTTGACAGTTCTCCTATAAAAGAAAGATTGTGCATTTCAATGCAACACAATATACAACAGAGTACATATCACATTAATACTAACCAGTAATTTGGATCATCCATTTTGGAAAGAAACTCATCAAGCTACACAGTTTTAATCAATAGATATGTTTACTACAGTGCAGGATAATAATCTGTTCATGGTGACAGAATATTTTTGGGAAATTTAGTAGCTTACCTCATCACCAGTAGCAGGTTTTAATATTTTTTCTCCATGATGATTATAACCAATATGTGGATATTCATTGTACCATTCAATGGGAACATTACCAATGGTATTTCGCACTTCCTTCACAACATTCAATAATTGTGAGTAAAATGAAAAAGACTTTCCTAAGATCTACTTTCAATTCTCACCTCTTCATCAGAATCCTCAGTTTCTAAGGTAGTCTCCTTCACTTTACGCTCATCTATTCTATCATTTTCACTGCCAACGTTCTTTTCATGTTTATCTTCATTCATACTGTCATCTCCATCAACCTGACGTTCATTTGAGCCTGAACCAAACAAATGAGTATTCTCTTCATCTGAGCTGCTTTCATCTTCATAAGAATCATCATCCCCATACCCTAAAAATGCTCATCAAAGACTTTTGTCTCGTATAAATGGCTACAATCTAAAGATCTTTATACATTTTCGAGTGCCTTTAGTTCTTCGCGTTCGTCAGATTTCTCGTCTTCTGACTCCAAGCCTTCGTATTCACTTTCATCCTCATCAGAGCTGTCGTTCGTTTCCCTGATATCATTTGCCGTCTCAGGAAACAAATCAGTCTCTTTCTACGAGTAAAAAAAACTCCGGAAAATCTTTCTTCTTTGCCATCGTGATCACATACCCTGGTACCAACAACCTGTCCTGCCAATCAGTTTAGCATCACATATTCTCAAGAGGAATGAAAAATACTTACATTGAAACCCACGAAAGGTCTTCTTTCAGTGTTCAAACTACGTTTTGGCATCTTCGACCTTTTTAACAATTCTCATATATCTCGTTTACCTTATCAAGTTCAGGAAATTTGTTTACAAAATACAATACGATGGGAATATTTCAATCCATTTGTGATTTCAATCAATGAGAATAAGCGAGCAAAGTCCACGTGCTTTACTATTGTCAGCGGTTTTATGATCGCCATAATAGAAATTATGTAACTAATTATATAATAATACATCAACAATATTTGATCAATTTGATGTTATTGCAAGTGGAACAATGCCATTGTCCTATATTTTATTTTACTTTACAATGGATGAATACACATACATGATAAATTTATTTAAATTTACAAGAGTTTCATACATGGAATTTAATATTAACATATCTGTTACAAAAGTTCACAAGAAGATCTTCAATTATAGTTGCATCATCTTTACATTGTGAATCAGGATGACAAACATTGATTAACCACCTTCAATAAGTGAGAATTCTCTAAGGCAGCAGCAACTCTCTCTTTGTCAGCCAGTTGCTTGTTTACTAAAAGAAAAACAGAAAAATCAAACATTTCAATTAGCTTTATAATAAGCATATTGTTATATTTTAAAACAAACCAGCATGTTCGGAGGCATGACTTCCCGGGGTAATTGCAACATCTACTTTAAACCTCTCAGGTAAAGATCTCAATAATTTCACTCGAATGGCAAGTCCAATCAAGGTTGCCATACTGCAATGTGGAATGGTGGGAGTAAAGTTGATATAAATCATGTTATTATCATCATCAACTTTAACAAGCGCTTCCTCAACAACATTAAGTTCTTCCAATGTCAGTGGATGTTCAGGGTCATTAATAGTACGAACAAGGTCTTTTGTAAATATTAAGGATAATGGTGAAATGAATACAAACTGTACAATCACTTGCACTAACTTTCACCTTCTTCATATTCAATCTCTAAGGATAAATTCTGCAAGGATTAAAGGATACCGAACACCTCTCTTTGATCAATTTTATCGACAACTTCATCATCTTCTTCCTCAGGAAGTAATTCCCGCTCATTTGCCTTTTGATGAATTTCGGGATTTGAGTTATCCAACCCTCGAACAGAGGCCATCTTTGTTTATTAGTGCCAATCTCCCACCGTTCGTAGGTCCTTCATATTTGGGTGTAGAACAAAATCACACAAAACATGGTACAATGGTGCAATCTTTTATTTTCACAAACAAAGTTTTTGGTAGCTTTACAAATACGATAATTGCACTTTTGATTAAAATTTAACCCCCCACTAAAATAAAAATTAATTACGACTAATAATTCGAGGATGTTCATCGATAGTAATTATTTAGGCATTATACAACACACAATAATAGCCAGGTCTCAATAAAGATTTTTATTTTCCAAGAAATATGAAAACATTTTAAATGCTTCTGCAGGCTTGTCTTTCGGTGCAAAATGGCCTGCTCCCTGAAGTAAAATAATCACTAATTAGAAAAAAACAGGTACGCCACAGGGTCACAAAATAGTTGGTTCTCGGTTTGTATATACCTTTATTGTAACAAATTTAAGACCTTCGAAGTCTTTTACAAATCCTGAGACTTGTCCTTTTATTTTCCAAAACCGACGACCCAACACGGGCTAAAACGACATGAAAGAATAGATGATTACAATAAAAATGGCCAATGACATAATTAGCATTTCTACAGTGAAGCAATACAAAACTAAAAACTCATTTAGTTATACACTTGATACTCAGAACAATGATTTGGGCGCGGTAAAATAAATAAAAAATACTTCACTGCGCAACATGGTAAAGTATATTTATTTTGATTACTGACGATAATCAGACATCTTAGTTTTCCTAATTTATCAGAAATTGCAATAAATTGCCTTCAATTATGTTGAAGAAACCTTCGTGGAAAGTCGAATAAAATCTGCGGAAAACTTTGAATGGATGACACAACCAACCTAATGTCATTCTGAGGGGCACATCGCACAAGGCTTGTAAGGAAGCTTGTAATTAGTCAGAAAAACGCAATTTCGTCGTTGACATTTTACTAATCACGAACGTAATAAGATAAGCTTTAAACATAAATTTCAAGAGTGTGCGACTAGCGTTTGCTCCCTATAGTGGATTTGAGCATTGTGCATATCCATGTATTCTGTGGTTTCCAACGATTTCTACAAATGGTGAGTAAGCCAAGGCCGGATCAACCAAAAGGCAAGAATGGGCAGCTGCCAAGAGCCTCCACACATCTTAATCCGGCCCCGGAATTAGCACAATCATTTTCAAAAACACTGAACAAAAAAATGTAGAAAAAATGCATGGATTTATAAAAAACCTAAATCGTCATATTATTTGTGCCTCGGGCATGTATAAGAAGGAAGACATGATGGATGAAACAAAACGGAATGACAATAAAATTGTTGATCCAGAAAATCATTTAAAACTTTGAGTTCAAAATGATTTTCAATCGTAAACGTAATTCAACATTAACATAACTTACTTTCAAACCAAGTCTTTCGACGAAATTTTGAGCACCCAAAAATTCATCGTAAGATCAGTATCGCCATTATAAATGAGTCCACGGGTTTTCTAATTTAAACAAAACTAGTTTCTAATCAACACGATTTTCATCTGACAAGAAAACACGGCATTCACGAGTACATTGTCATATGATTACCTGAAGTATTTTTTTAATCAAAGCCGTCATGTCGCTGTAATAACTCCGATAAAGATCGTTCACACTTTTACTAAATGAAGTAAAATGGTTATTGGTAAATGTAAAGTAAAATGAAAGCAAAGACTAACATTAATATTGATTTTGTATTCAGGTCCGCTCACAAAAGGACTGGTGTACATTTTAAGAAAAAATAGACGTGGTTATTTAATAATTGGTATTTCAAAAGAAATTGTATACTTCGTGAACGATTTTGTATTTTGTAAATTTTAAACTGTACAATATTTTATGTTTGCCAACAACACAGATTTTCTATCTCGTTTTGTGTTGATCATATCCACCTGCAAAGAGTCCATTCTCGAATTCCATCGTGTATGTTAAGAGCCTGTCTAACAGCTGGTGTGTTAAGGTAAACACGTAAATCTGTTGAATCTATGCATGATGTTGGCATATCAAATGTTCTTTGCAAAAGTCTTTGCTCTTTCTAAACAAACACATCGTAGCAAATTAATGGTCAAGAGCAATTTTTCGCCAAAGAAGTGTGAAGAGAAATATATAAATAAAATATAGCTAATACACTCACATAGACTGCATTCTCCATGGCAAAGAAATGGTCAATACCATTGGACTGTGTAATACTACAGTTTTGATATATTGCAAATGTATTCAAGCCAATATTCATTATAGTACTCTTCACAAGCTCAACCTAAAACATGTGGCATAAAGATGAATGGAGGATATTAGAAGATAGGTTTTATGAAATAATTTGTATTTAAGATGAAGATCATACCATTTGTTGACATGATGCACTTTTCGACTCATAAAAAGTGCATGCTCCTCGTGGACAGCAGTAGGTTTGAAGGTTTTTCCAGTCGCTATAATGAAAGAATGCTTAGCTGAATAATGTTTTTACATATAACAAGTTGGCTCACTTCATGACTTGTAAAACTTAGTTTGATTTACAATTATTATAATTTTATCATTACATACAATTTAAATATAAAGAGGGAACCACAGTAAGTTTTTTTAACAATTTATATTTACATGCATTGAACAACTAATTTGTTCAATGATAAAACTGACTATTGCCTTTATTAAGAAAAAATGGAAATTCCATACAAAAGAAAAAGTTGCTGAATTATCTTGTGTCCTTATTCCAAAGCCATCATCAGAGAATATATATAATATATTAATCCTAACACGTTAATATGCACATGAGTCCAAGTCACATGTTTTTCATGTGCATATTAAAAACTGTGTTAGGATTAATATATTATATATTTTGTGTCCAGTCTAGCATGTTTCAATGAGTATAATTTAAAATCACAATCTTGGATGTTGAAGTTGCAAAGTTTAGCTGACGAAAAAGTTCATACATACTCATTTCCAAGTAGTCCATGATAGTAAGCATAGTAAAAAAGTGATTCAGCATTATCTTTTACACTTAAAAATCCATTGCCAATAGCAAATCCCTAAAATGGAGAAATACTACCAAGTGAAAAAACTACATCCAGCAGACAATTTTAAGAAACGTATTAAGAAACAAAATCCAAAGAAAATACTCATCTTGAAATTTGATATTTGAATTAAAACAACAAATGTAAAATATGACACACAATATCATCCACCTCAAGCAAACTTTGTGTAATATGTTTATCCGTGCCTTTAAATATATATTTATTACCTCATCTCTATATGTATATTTATATAAATATGCATAATTATATTCTGTATGTGAAATATAATGTTTCATTGTGTATGACACAGGCTTTGAAAAATAAAGCAAAAAATGAACACATGATTTTACATCTCTTATTTTTGTTCAAATATTGCATTACAAGATGACTATTTTTTCAGAATCTGTTTCTTTTAACATTCAAGTGAGTTAAATGTATCATTGTTATGGCACTCAGTAATTGTAGAAGTAAAATATACAGAGAGAAATAATCAGTCTAAAAGAAGCACAAAAGGTATTCAAACCTTAAGATTAATGGTTTTATTAACAGCCCCTAAAATGTGACTTGATAATGTAGCCACATAAACTCCTGCGTATCCTTCTCCCGTGATGTAAAATGGATTATCTGCAAAATGTGGATACTTGTTAAAAAAGTCCTCCAATGCAGCATAGTTGTCTGCAGCCACCTAAAATGTACACACATTATCAAACTTTGAGTCTGAAATGATTTGGGAAAGGAAAAGAGTTATTGAAGATCTTACAGCAGTGTCGTTGGTAGCATAGTCTTCGCTATCTAAATAAGAGAAACCAACTCCTGCCGGTGATTCCAAATACAACATGTTGGCCACCTGTTTTGTATAAAACATTTTGTTGCAACTTTATTGGTTTGAAGTTAATGTTGTCTGAAATTGATGAGAAAGAAACTATGGGCTGTTAGCTTGATTTGGTTCTTAATGTGGAGGTGCGATTATATAGTAAACTAAGTGTTATATAACAGACCTTATTCCAGCTATGCGGATTATAACGTAATGTCTTGCCATCGGGATTGACCTGTAATGATACCAATAAATTATCAAAATCATACAAAGTAAAGGTAAAAAACATGCAAGTTTTCTCTATTGACCTAAAGTGACACAACTTTTTAGCAAAATAATTGTAATTTGAGTACATTAAGCCCTTCTTTCCAATAAGGTAAGTAATAATTACCAAAAAAGGGCCATGTTCAGATAAAAGGCCAACCATTGAACTACAACCTGGTCCACCATTTAGCCACAAAACGACTGGATCTGTTTGTGGATTACCTTGAGATTCAACAAACCTTAAAGAGTAAAAAATGTATTTTTGAACATAACTAGAAAATATGAAAATCTTCGTTCAAATAATACGAAGTCTAACGTAACATAACTAGAAAATATGAAAATCTTCGTTCAAATAATACGAAGTCTAACGTAACATAACTAGAAAATATGAAAATCTTCGTTCAAATAATACGAAGTCTAACGTAACATAACTAGAAAATATGAAAATCTTCGTTCAAATAATACGAAGTCTAACGTAACATAACTAGAAAATTTAAAAATTTTCGTTCAAATAATACGAAGTCTAACGTAACATAACTAGAAAATATGAAAATCTTCGTTCAAATAATACGAAGTCTAACGTAACATAACTAGAAAATATGAAAATCTTCGTTCAAATAATACGAAGTCTAACGTAACATAACTAGAAAATATGAAAATCTTCGTTCAAATAATACGAAGTCTAACGTAATACCAATAATGAAATTTTCTTCCTCCAGAAGCGCTTAGATAACCAGAATATTGTTGAAATACAGGTATGTAGGGAAGGCCAGGCAAAGACGATATTACATCTTTATTTGCTTCAACAGATACAACCAACCAGCTTATTCCAATATATTGAAAAAAAATCAGCGAGAAAAAAACGAAAGATGTCATTTTCCAGCGTTTTATACCTCTTAACAACGAATGTCGTAATTTGTACGACGTTTTGTGTATAGGTCTTGTGATGTTGTTGTGAGTCTTATGATGAGCTATATACCTTTCCCCCCTGCTATCTACATTTTTGGTTATTTAAATATTATAATGTTGTATACGGTTAGGGGGGTAAGCAGAAAAGATTGTTGACAACCCAGTTTCGATTGCTTCAATTTACTTTGGGTTGAGCCTTTGGTAATTAAAGGTTTGACAAAGGCGTGCAAGACGATATATTTTAACAAAAAAAGTATGTAGGGTAAAATGCACTTTATTCTCTGTAATAGCTATGCCCAGTTTAACTTTATTTACACTCGTTTACAGGCACAAACAAATAGTCGGGACAAGATTATTTGACAGAACTGCGCTGATCCAAAATGATATCATTAGCCGACGCCATTCGTCTGGAGAGAGGAAATCCTGCTGTAAATGCTTTTAAACCATGGTGGGAAGTTTGGGTTGATTATATATTAAATGGTTTTCTCATAGTTGTCTTGTTTGCGCTTGCTGGAGTGACCATTTCAGGCACGCCAGGCCTCACTTGTCTTCCAACTGACACAAATCAAACATCTTTGAACTACGCCACAAATTTTTACTTGAATGCTAAATGTATAACACTAGTTGATGGTCACATTTTAATTATTTATCCGTACATCATATTAGCCCAATGGTTGATTTTATTTGTCCTTCATATATCTTGGTTTAATCTTCCTTCGCTAAAAGCATTCCTTGAATCAGCCTTTGATACATTTCAAAAGTTAGAAAAGGAAGTTAATCCAAGATTGGCAGCTGAAGAAAGTTCTAAGAAATCATTAGGAAAAACTAACGTTCAAAATGAATGGCCTTCCACTTCTAATGGTGATGGCGATTATACTTATGTTTTGGGGAAAAAATCATCAATGGTCTATCTTGTCGACTGGCTACAATATATGCTTCAATTCAAATACTATATTGCTTACTTGTATATAATCAAGTCAGTTTCTAGTAGTGCTTTTACTGCTATACTTAGCATTGGACTCATATCTTCTCTTGTGTACTTCCAATGGAAAACAGTATTTCCATGTCATCTTCAAGGTATTATGCCACCACCTTTTGATCATAGTTCTTGCTCATTTCCTGCCGCACCATATGTCTATAGCATAATGGTTCTTAACGTCATTTTCACATTAACCTTGTGTGTTTTCAATCTTGTTGCCATTCACTGGATCATTAAATTCAGGTATGTCACACTGTAAATCTATTTTAAAGTGACTTGGTGTTCATATTTAATGATTTGTAACTTCTTGTTTTTAGGTTCACCTTTAAGACTTACTTATCTAATAAATGGAAGCATAAACACCCTCTTGAATCAAAGCCTGGTTTCTATGATTACTTTTTTTGCATGCAAATGCTGAAGACCATCAATGTAGAAGGTGATGTGATCAACAACCATCTAGAAGAGGCTTTTAAAGTATTCCAAAATAGATTGCCTGAAGACAAAACCGATAATATCATGGATTTTCCTATCATAATACCAGAAGATCCTAAGCATTACCGTTGTCAGTTTTTACTGAAAGAGATATTACAAGAGTTGGGAATGAGCATAAAACGCAGTGACCACGATGACCTGTGGTCAGTATTAGCTAACAGTTTACACAAGGGTCACTCGCCATTGGTTCAAGAGGCCTTGAATTCCTCCAAAGATGAAATTCGCGACTGCGTGCACTCGGAACTGTTAAAAAAACATGTTCTGTTTAAAGACTTGATTAATAAGGATAACGATTGCCCTTTGTTTGAGGATTACGTTTCAGAGATAAAGAAGCAACAAGCATTAAAGATGTGCATAAAAGAAACTCATTATGTTCTTATGGCATTTGCCATAGCATATAAAATGAATGTTGTTGTGATTCGTGCAGAGAAAAGTTGTCTTCTTTATGAACCTGAGCAACCAGAAGTCAACCAAACACTTTGCTTTCTAGCTTTTATACCACCGCATTATTATTATGCAACATTTGTCGACGAGGAAGCAAATGGAGATGAAAGCTTGCGCATGAAATTCCTTACAGATCAAGTTTATCAAACGGAGTTGTTGAAAAAAATTCAAAACCGATGGGAATCTCGAGGACGTGACGAGTATAATAAACATATTGATCGTATGTTACCGAAAGAACTTAGTTTCCAAGCTCCAGTGTTGAGTGACTCACGTGATGAAATGCAACCAATTGTCCAAGGAGTGAGAAAACGAGCTGCCGAGTCAAACAAATTTGGCAATAACAAAATCGAGCAAATTTCTTTAATGGAGCTCGCGTGAAAATTACAATAAGCAAGCTACATAGAGTCATGGACGAGTGTAATTATTTGCAGCTACTATATTTACCAATAAAAGATTTACATGTTTGTAAATGTAGATCGTCCAGGTTGGTATAGTCCTGAGAAGTAATGTTTTTGTTGTTGTTGACTGACGTTTCGACAACCTTAGCGGTAGTCATCTTCAGAGTCAAAAAAAAAAATGGGAGACTCTTTTTTTGACTCTGAAGATGACTACCGCTAAGGTTGTCGAAACGTCAGTCAACAACAACAAAAACAGTCCTTCTCAGGACTATACCAACCTGGACGATCTACATTTACAAACATGTAACGATACTCCCGGGCTCAAATCATTTACTTTAATAAAAGATTTGTGACGTTAAACGTCAGTTTGCAATGATACAGCATTGATTTCAATGCTTGATGATTTACGCGTTTGTGTGACACACGACATCGAAATCGATGTTAAATTTACGCGTTTGTGTGACACACGACATCGAAATCAATGTTAAATTTACGCGTTTGTGTGACACACGACATCGAAATCGATGTTAAATTTACACGTTTGTGTGACACACGACATCGAAATCGATGTTAAATTTACACGTTTGTGTGACGTGGCTTTTTGATTTGCCAATTGCTATACAGCTCATGTTTCTGTACAGTCCTCTTTTCAGGAGCAATTTTTACATCAAACGAAATCCATATGAGCAACCTTACTTATAAAACTTGCAAACAGCGGTGTGCCGACATTGCGATCTCGCGAGATTTTTTTTTATCAAAATTCTATTATGAAACAGCGCCGTTTGCCTGCTGTGACACACAACATTTAAGATGACATTTCATGTCATCATATCTTTTCGTCTAATGATTTGTGATTTGCAACCAGATAATTTGCATTCCTTTCTGACCACACAGACAACATACTTCGTATACTCGAGTTTAATTGTATTTGAATGTTAATAAGGAGAACAGTAGTTAGTGTTATAGAACACTGCCTTTTGAAAAAACTGGCTGTTTATTCAGTTGGCGAGTATTTGGAGCTATTTATTCAAAAGCTCCAAATATTTACTGGTTATTTATTCATTTCTCTTACCTTGAGATTTGAGAATGTATGGAGAAACATGCCACGTACGAGTTTCGTGTCAGTCATGTTTAACTTATTTTAAACAGCTGATCTATGTGATTGTCAAAGCAATATTATAACAAAGCCTAGAAACTAACGTCGGTATAATATGGTAGTTGTGGACTTGTGTTGGAGATTTTGTTGAGGAAGGAAAGAAATAAACGTTGTGAAAAATCCTTACCGTGCACAAAAACATTTGTTTTGTTTTTGTCAGCGTTGGATTTTATCGACTCTCTTTTCTTCGTCGCTTTCGTGGAACTTTTGTGAGACGTATTTTTAATTAGTGGAAGAAATCTTACCAAATGTTACGGTAAGAAACACCTTAAAAAACAAACAAACCACAGACACAACAGATTTTCATATTGATTTATTGGAGAGCTGGCAAAATTTGTTGAAGTGTCGTCTAAACGCCAGATTGTTCATACATTATAAAAACATTATCAATCATATGTTGACAATACAGTGATTTATTTCTGAAAAATCATTCACGATAATGATGAAGGTTCGTAAGGTGAAGATAGCATCATGAAACATGATATATTTACCTATAGTACACGTGATTTCATTTTTCTAAAGAAATTCACCTCAGGCGTTGTTACATACAAGTGCTAAAAACTCCTTCATAACCGAGAATGACTTGGCTGTGCCGAAATCCCTGCTTATTGACAGTGGCAAAATCTGCCTTTCTGATTCTTTTCTTGACAAAGGTATGTTTCGTTACAAAAAAAAATTATTCTGGAAATGCGTCAGACATTTTCAGCTTGAATTCACTGAAGAATTTTTTATCAAGAAATGTCATTAGTCAATGTGCAATCATGAATGTACATCACGCTGTTTAGTATGAGTTTTTAAGATATTTTGTCTAAGTGTATTCCTTTTATAGGTCTCATTCAGCATTTATTTAAATAAACCGCACTGTTTGTGTGTGCCTTATATAACTTTAGCTTTTGGGATAATCTATTTATATATAAAAGCCTAAGAATTTAAGTTGTAATTGCGATTTGTGTCTAATCTGCCTTTATGATTTCATGTTAAGACGTCAAGCATTATGAATGAGATCTATTTTTAAGACGCTTTCAAATGCGTAGTTTAAATATTTTTACCCGCTGAGGTTTTTGACATTGAAGTTATAATGAAGTACCAACCTTTTTTTAAAACTACTCTCATGGAAATTCAGAGTGAGCGTTGGCCAATTATGGTATGAAAGATGAACAGATCAGATGATCTAGACAAAAATCTTGTTTGGCTTCCCTAAATTTACTTAGTATGATTATTGAGTGAATGCTCATGCCCTGTCGGATAAAAGTTGATATTTTTGCGGTGTTTTTGATCACCAGGGTCCAGAGTGACTACTACCGCGTTCGAATGCGGTAATAGTCACTCTGGACCATGGTGATCAAAACCATGTTTTTTTGATACAAGTGTTAATTGAATTAACAGTGTAGAACAAACAGTGAGCGCTGTGCGTTATATCTATGGTATTTGAGATGTTAAAATGAGAATTAAATTATTTTGTCTAGTCTTTGGCCATATCTTCAAGATTCTGCCCGAGGTCATGCTAAATTGTATGCTTTCATTACTTAAACGGCGGAATTTCGGTTATCGCAAGAATTACGTGTTACATTCGGATTTTTATTTCCAATGTAAATTATATTTCGCCAATACGAGCACATACTGAAAACCAATTAAGATTTTGCTCAACTTGTCACGAACTGTGACTTGCATTTGGCTAAAATGCCTAAGATTTCATCATCATCGAAGTAACACGCAAATAGTCGTCTTTTAGAAAAACTGCCACGTCACTTATTATGGTGCAGAAAACATATCTGATCGGCGAGTGTTTTGATTTAACTTGCTTTTTATTTACAAGTCCTTCATAGTTTCTTAATCAAAAGACAGTGCGTTGAATGATTGAATTATAATTTGTTTGTTTTTGCGACCAACAATGTTTTCCTAATTCATTCTCGTTTAATTGCTCGTTTACATAAGTTTTTTTCAAACAGGCATCATATATAGGCGTATAAATATTCATTGCTTTATGGTTTGAACTTTTGAAATTACTTTTGAAAATGATCAACATACGCAACACACCACAGCTAAAACTTATACATGCATAGCTGTGTGATAAACTCGTAGTTTTCATTTCACAATTTGTTTTTAAATGGGATAATTGAAGCGTAAAACAACCTTAGAAATGTTTACGTCACGTATAATCAAACAATCACACAATAGATCACCTAGAAAAAGTTAAATAGTGTTTTCCGTGCAGGGTGGTCATAGCCGAGGAAATTTTTACGTAGAATTAGAATTCTATGAAGAAAAAGGAAACGACTGGACGACAAAATGCATTAAACTTTGTGTGACCACATCGCCATCAGGATTTCCTAAATGTAATCTCAAAAGCACAACTGGTGTTACAAAAGTTGATCTAACACATAAACGCATTTCTCCATTATATCGCCGATATCTTTTTCCATTTTCTGACTGGGAGGTAAGACATGACACTGAGTGTATTTTAATGAAAGATTGCTTTGTTTTATCAAACTTTCTTACTGATCTTCTAGGACAACAGTGAATTAAGTGTAATTGTATGGAAATTACCGAAAGGCAAATCATGTGACACGTCGAGTTCAACAAATACTACCAAATATGGACAGTCTACCGTCATTATACCACGGTTAGAAAGATTGAAATTTTTATACTTCGTTACAAAGAATTGGAAAGTCGGTATAGGATCATGTTTGCTCTGCAATAAACGTGGTTGTCTTCTTCCTTGCATTCCTCAACAAAATGATACAACAGGACATTATACATGTGAAGATGGAAACAAGAAATGTACACCTCGATGGTATGGAAGAAATTGTCAAAAAACTTGTGTCAAATCTGATGACCCTCCTGGTAACTACCAATGTTCAAAAACAGGTAAAAGAATTTGTTTACCTAACTGGTTTGGTGAAAATTGCAATACGTTCTGTGATTCAACTTTGTCAAAGACATATACTTGTGATGTGAAGGGAAAGAAACACTGTATTGCTAACTTTTATGGTGTCAACTGTTCAATTTATTGCAATGACACTGCATCAACCTATCATTGTGATAAAAATGGTAGAAAAGTTTGCAAGATCAATTGGTTTGGTTTGAATTGTTCAAGATTTTGTAATACCAGCAAAACAAACTATCTATGCTCTTCAAATGGAAGTAAAATTTGTCCCAATAACTGGTTTGGTAATTTGTGTGATGTCTTTTGTAACATTACAGCCTATAATTATAAATGTTTATTTGACGGACGTAGAAAATGTCGTAAAAACTGGTTTGGAAGTCATTGCAAAACATTTTGTGATACAAATGCTTCAAACTATCAATGCAGTGAAAACGGCAGTAAGACCTGTTTTCCAAACTGGTTTAACGACAATTGTAACAAGTTTTGTGACCTGAAGGCGACCCGTTATAACTGTACACACGATGGAGAAAAAATCTGCTCGGTAAACTGGTTTGGAAATAATTGTGACAAATTTTGCAACAACAGTTTATTTCATGATTACGCATGCAACAAGACGGGAGATAAAGTATGTTCTCCAGGCAATAAATGTTCAAATCATTGTGAAAAAATAACATCAACGAACGACCTTTATTGGTGCAAAAGGACAAAACGTTCAAATCACTGTCCTTACAAATGGCACCAGAGAGGTTGCTCAAAACAATGTTTTCAAGGCCAAGAAGATAAAATGGAACAAATCTTGAATGGTTGTAAAACAAATCCAGGTGAAAAACAGTTATGTTCACAGCACTCTATGGATATGGATCCCAATTGTGAGTCAATGACGGAAGGTATAAAAAATACACTTTCAAGTGTAGTAGGATAAAATATCTTAGATGAAGGCAATATAGGTTGTTCAGAATAGTAAAACATTTAATTCAGATCTATCTTTATTAGGTGGCAACAACTTTAAACGTTCATCTGACAAACGCATTTCAAAATTGCTTGTTGTTGGCTCGTCTAGCAGTTTGCTTTTGATTTCATTAGTGGTCGTGATTATATTCTTTCTAAGGTATGTTCAGTTACGAAGGGTTAGATTTGAAGGAGACAAACAGAAGATAGGTGGTGTTTTTTTTTTATTCATGACATCAGCGTCTTAGCTATTAAAGCTGCACTAATTACCTCAGAAAATAATTTAACGTTCTCGTTTTTGGTTTATTCAGATTTCGAAAAAAAGAAGAGAGGGTTGTGAAACCAGTTATTCATGTAAAGGAAAACAAAAGCTTTGATTGGGTGATATCAGAAATATAAAACAATTTCAGATATTTTGAAAAGCGTAAGGATTTTTGCCAACAATGAGCATGTATATAACGATGTAATTATGTACAATTACCGACTAAGGTGTTGATATCATCCTGTCCAGCTTAATGACTTCAAAAATAGCTTCATTAAAGCTTATTTGTAAATATTGAGGAAACGACGATACAGACTGTTGTTGTTTTACAATGGGCTTCAGTTATTGTTTAAAGTTGACACGCGTATAATCTTGGAGGAAATTTCTGTCGAAAAAAGTTTGGCTGGATACTTTATAATGACAAACCGGTGCTTCCAATTCACCATTTTGTGCTTATCCTTTTTAGGATCATACTTATAACAACGGAGCATGCCTCTGCAAATGGAAACATCATATCATTGTAAAGAGATAGTTGTTAACTTACATATTCATGCAATTATTCTTATTCAGTACAACTCTCCCTAATGTTGTCACCATCACGTTTATTTATCGTAACGTTTTTGTGGATTGATTGAAAAGAGCTTTTATCGTGATGTTGTTTTTCACGATTATAGACAGTTTTGTGTTTTTTATATCGCTTTTCTTTTCCTACATTTCCTTTTCTCCCTTTAGTATTTCTTGTAACACTCGAGTGGAAATCGACCTTTAAATATCTGTTGTAACAATCCTCTCCAAAAGTAATGCTATGTCGAAATTGACTCTTTGGACTATTTTCTTTTCGTTTGAGTACGAGAAGGTTCCCTTCGCTCGCAGATTTTGTCTTTGCAAAACTGACAGTTTTTCTTGTTTTTTGTGTACTGTCCAATAAACACGACAAACGAGAGTCGATGACGTCATGCGTTTTGCTACAATCAACCAATGGGGTTGAGTGTCTAGGAGGATCTGGTAACTGTCTTTTACGCAGTTGAAATTTCAAACGTCGTATATGCGAACGCGCCTCGTTTAACTGACATTTCGTCTGTTCTAATTGGCTATTGAGTTGAATCACAACTGACTTAGTGTTTTCTAATTGTTCTTCAAGAAACTGTACATACGCCTATAAACATTGGAAATTTATGAAAATTGAACGTCAAAAGAATATTACATTGACTTGCATAATCATAAATACCCTGCTTTCTTCAATGCTATCAAACGGTCCAGGAGGATCATGCAAACAGAAGAATTCACAGATTTCACGGCTAGAAGGATATGAAAAGCTCATTTCAACTTAACCCAAATATCATGAAGGTTGTTTGGGTACCAAGCCAGACCACAAAATGTGTGAACCAGACACAAATACATAAGAAAGTCTACCAAGTTCACTAAACTTCAGGGAACTTTACACCTGTTGATGACAAGCATACTGTCCTCACCTGATTTTTATGTTGAAATGTTGAAGAATTTCATGAATGAAATTTTGTAATCCTTGTGCTCGTTTTGCTATGAACTCTTATAAAAAAAAAGGATTGTTAGTCAGATGTGGTTAGTGAAGAAAAGATCAAAGAAAATAAAATACATTACCTGCATCAAAGTTATCCCCAAAGAGTCTTTTTGGAGGAAGATTAAGCTTGACTGTAGGAAATATTGACATTAACTGCGAACAAAAAAACACACATTGTAGTTAACAACACCTTATAACCTTCCATCTATAACAATGAAATGAAATAGTTAAAGTATACGGTATCACATTTTACCTGTTTATGCAACTGTTCAAAGTCAGAATACCTTCGAAAGACAAACCAACTTTGCGTTTGCTTCTTAACATGTATTTTGTACACCTAAATTATAGATTTGCAGTAGCTTTGTAAACACCATGAACAGCACCATCAACATTGGTACTCTTCAGCAAGTTTTCTACTCATTAATTTTTATCATTAATCAACAATGTTAAATTTCACTTATCTTATTTTGCAATGGTGCTAAATATGCATGATATTATGAAGAAATTGTGTAATCGACACACGTAAATTATACTATGATGACAAGCAGACATTGTTTTGTATTTATCCCTTAATTTAAAAGGAAACTTACGGTAAATCGTTGGCGTTTCTCAACTATTTCATAGCCAATAATTGGCAAAGAGTAATCAAAACACGGAGACTGACTGCCTTCTTCATCCATCGTTAGTTTTGTACGAGAAGAAGGCCTTTGCCCACACTGTTTCGCACGATCACCAATATTAACGTCATATTGAATGTTCTTTTGTAAAACGAAGTGCAGAGACTGTTTATAATTAGCCGGGTATGCATGAATAACTTGAAAGCCAGCTTTCATTTATGACATGTAAGATTTTCATTAAAACATCGAAATTTTACTTGCAAATCAGTCTTTGTTTGCTGGCGAGTACCACTGTCTACTACACGCATTGACCACGAAACCAACCAAAGTGGTGAATGGTGGTGACCATTAAGTGGTAACACCATACTAATATAAACAATTGTGAAATTGAAGCCCCATTCAGCTTGATATAATGTTTACTAATAAAACTATCGCAAAGCAACGAGGCAAGCAAAGACCAGGCTAAAATAATGCATAGAGACGTATATTCCAAGACTCCAACATCAAGAACTCATTGTTTTACCACATCCAACTTTGCTAGTTGAAATGAAAAGCAAAAAGAATTTTATTTGCTTTATGGAAACACGCTGCGAGACTATTTCGCGTATGCGAGCAACTGAGCAAGATATCTCGTTCACCTCCTCCACACAAGCTGTGGCCTAAACCTTGAGAATTGAGAAAGCCCTAGATTTTTAAAAGCTCTAAATCTTTATTTTTTCGGCAGTAATGATCCCCGACGCTTATAAAATCACACGGGGCCCCCTGCGAAGAGTCAGGGCCTTAGTAGTTTCCTCATAGCAATTTTTTATCAAATTGTTCTTTAATCATAATTACAACATTACCAAAAGATTATCAATGTAATATTTTAGTGTATATCTGTTTATCAGTATTTTACTTTTTGATATGTCAATGTTATGTATATTTTTTGTAAAACGGTATGACATTTTTACATCGAGTATGCAATCTTATTATGCTTTTCAACTTCAAAATTTTTGCGATGTGTAAATTATGTCAACTGGATTCACTTTTCTTGATGTAAATGCTATAGTAAACGATAACTGCTTGTCTTCGATTCTCTTTACTTGAATTCTGTTGACTTGACATTTAATAACACAAGACATTCTATAAACACACACACAAAAATTTATCATAAAAACTAGTGACGTCCGTGAAAAAATTGTCATCAAGTTTACCTGTACGTGATTACAAAAATCACAATGACTGTAAGAATCACACCAACAATTATTCCTCCCTTCATGATTCCAACTACATTTGATATTTTATGTCTTGGCTTCCACTGTGTAGGGTCTGATAAAATATAATGTTGTTATAATATTGATATCGATAGATATGCTGTACAGCCTTTTCTTACCTTCCGTCATTGACTCACAATTGGGATCCATATCCATAGAGTGCTGTGAACATAACTGTTTTTCACCTGGATTTGTTTTACAATCATTCAAGATTTGTTCCATTTTATCTTCTTGGCCTTGAAAACATTGTTTTGAGCAACCTCTCTGGTGCCATTTGTAAGGACAGTGATTTGAACGTTTTGTCCTTTTGCACCAATAAAGGTCGTTCGTTGATGTTATTTTTTCACAATGATTTGAACATTTATTGCCTGGAGAACATACTTTGTCTCCCGTCTTGTTGCATGCGTAATCATGAGATAAGCTGTTGTTGCAAAATTTGTCACAATTATTTCCAAACCAGTTTACCGAGCAGATTTTTTCTCCATTTTGTGTACAGTTATAACGGGTCGCCTTCAGGTCACAAAACTTGTTACAATTGTCGTTAAACCAGTTTGGAAAACAGGTCTTACTGCCGTTTTCACTGCATTGATAGTTTGAAGCATTTGTATCACAAAATGTTTTGCAATGACTTCCAAACCAGTTTTTACGACATTTTCTACGTCCGTCAAATAAACATTTATAATTATAGGCTGTAATGTTACAAAAGACATCACACAAATTACCAAACCAGTTATTGGGACAAATTTTACTTCCATTTGAAGAGCATAGATAGTTTGTTTTGCTGGTATTACAAAATCTTGAACAATTCAAACCAAACCAATTGATCTTGCAAACTTTTCTACCATTTTTATCACAATGATAGGTTGATGCAGTGTCATTGCAATAAATTGAACAGTTGACACCATAAAAGTTAGCAATACAGTGTTTCTTTCCCCTCATATCACAAGTATATGTCTTTGGCAAAGTTGAATCACAGAACGTATTGCAATTTTCACCAAACCAGTTAGGTAAACAAATTCTTTTACCTGTTTTTGAACATTGGTACTTACCAGGAGGGTCATCAGATTTGACACAAGTGTTTTGACAATTTCTTCCATACCATCGAGGTGTACATTTCTTGTTTCCATCTTCACATGTATAATGTCCTGTTGTATCATTTTGTTGAGGAATGCAAGGAAGAAGACAACCACGTTTATTGCAGAGCAAACATGATCCTATACCGACTTTCCAATTCTTTGTAACGAAGTATAAAAATTTCAATCTTTCTAACCGTGGTATAATGACGGTAGACTGTCCATATTTGGTAGTATTTGTTGAACTCGACGTGTCACATGATTTGCCTTTCGGTAATTTCCATACAATTACACTTAATTCACTGTTGTCCTAGAAGATCAGTAAGAAAGTTTGATAAAACAAAGCAATCTTTCATTAAAATACACTCAGTGTCATGTCTTACCTCCCAGTCAGAAAATGGAAAAAGATATCGGCGATATAATGGAGAAATGCGTTTATGTGTTAGATCAACTTTTGTAACACCAGTCGTGCTTTTGAGATTACATTTAGGAAATCCTGATGGCGATGTGGTCACACAAAGTTTAATGCATTTTGTCGTCCAGTCGTTTCCTTTTTCTTTATAGAATTCTAATTCTACGTAAAAATTTCCTTGGCTATGAGCACCCTGAAAGCAAAGTATGTCTTTGATGTGAGTTGTTTAAACTGAAGACAAAAGATTATTTATTTTGAAGCCAAATGTTTTCAATGGGTTTTTTTATGGAAAACATTATGTAGCAAATGCATTTAAAGTTGTGCACAGATGAGCAAATCTGCTATTTTGCCAGTGAACGATGTGTTTTTAACTGTATCGTACAAAGATTTCTATATTTCCCTCGAAATACATGGTTCAAAACGTGGGCAGTTTGTTGTGTTGTTGAGACAGATAGATTGTATGAGTTTTTCTTTTGGTAGAAAACTAGAAATGGCAAGGTATTAAATTAGTTTATGAGAAAGAAGAGAACGTCCATCAAGAAGAGGCGGACTGTGGACAACTCTGTATTGTTGTTTTTATTGCCTGCGAATCTCAAGATTTAATAAATGGTTAAGTCTCTAAGCCTAATTTGACTAAATCCATTCAAGAGAATATTTTGTAATGTGCCGACAGTGCATTGTTGTTTGAAGAATATAAAAAATTCTTCGTAAAAACTTGCCGTAGCTGTACATTTTGATAGAAATTAGAATCATCTGAGAGGTCAACGAGTACTGTGTACTCGTGTCAAAGAAATCTATTTTTGCATGTTATTTTGAAGGAATCTATTTTTACATTTTTACATGTTATTTTGAAGGAATCCGTTTTTACTCGAACGAAACTTGAGTTAAAAGAACAAAAATATTTCTACATTTATTCTCACGCAAGCAGTCTTAAGTAGAAGTTCTTATGACATCCATAGAAAGGAGGTTACTTACCAGGATTACTTTTACTATGAAGAGAAAGGCCAAAATATTCTTGACAGCTGTTGCGTTTGACATTCTTTCATCATCATGTCCATGGCAGTATTCACGACACAACGAACGACATGTTCATTTGGTTTGCTTTTAAGTGCGTGTTGAGAAAATCAACCATCAATGACACAATGTGATAGACAATAGGACAGTTTTTCAACAATATCGATGCAAACCAACACAAATCTCGCTATAACATAACTTATTTCTCAATAGGAGATAATGTATGTCTTTTTTCCCTTGAAAGCGAAATACGAAACTTTTCTAAGTTCAAATATATGGTGTGGTGATAGTTGATGTCAATTGACGATCTTAGCTCAGACAGTGCCAACCTAATGTATTTGCGCGATATAATTATTCTCTATTGTTTATTAAATTGGTTGAATCAGATTTCGGCATACTTTGAATGTTAATTGTTTATAAATTGATTTAATAAAAATACGGGGGGAATAATGAATTATCTGTTGTTGCATCGTTTATTCTCGCGCTATGCTCATTCCTTAAAAATATCTATGGTTCTTTTAAAATTATAAAGATACGTTTATCCAATATTTTCTCTCTCAATGATATTTTTACTTATAAGCTGAATGCAACATGATACCTTATGACCCATGATCGTTCACAAATGTACCAACGTTAAATCTTGGACTAAATCTTCTTTGGAACTTACGAGAATGAAAACTATATGGAGAATGAGTGTCAGTAATTTCCGATGCGAGCTTTAACCCTGCTTCATTTTCAATTATCAATTGCTGGAATCAAGAAGAGTTTTTGTTATCTTGACCTTGGTTAGCTTGAACGACTAAAGACACGTAATGGCAAGTCTTGTCGGAGGTTTCTAATGCGATAAGAGGGTTTAATAAAATAAATGGTGAAGCGTGAACAGATTAAAGAAAATTATTTCACTAAAATCAAATATCTTCGTTTTATTGACATGAAGAATCAGCCTTGCATCAAAACTATTCCTGGCAAAGTCGTAAAATGTCTAATCAAATTGTGTATTAGCAATCACTTGTCAAAAATAATGGTCTATTTACATTGGAAAGTATCTTATACAATTATTGTGTTTATATTTTACACTTACGTATATGAAGTACATGGAGATAAAAAATCAAGTTCATCGACGTGCTTTTAACAAGAAATGGTATGAATAAGTTCAGAATAACAACACACTGAAACTGTAAACATACTGAAATGAACAAAGAGCAAGAAAGCACACAGCAAGTTGATTTATTGCATTTGTTTCATTCGTATACTCCTGACAGAACCTGTTTACGTAAAATTTTCGAACCATCTGACTCTCACTATATCTCGTCATGTCATTTTATTTCTTCACACTGGGCTATCACTTGTGGTGATCACGTGTGCCACAGGAATAACATGGTTGGATGAAACTGCTCGCATATTTCGTTTTGATTGGTACAGAGGATTCTCAACCATCATTCCTTCGTTCACATACCCAATTTCATCATAACTAGACTGACGTCGCCTGTGAAGTGTAAAGTGTATAGTTGATTTGTCAAGATCAATGGTATTTTATTTTTCAACAATGACATTTGCAGTGTATGATTGGTGTTTAGAAAGGAGAAAGCGGAATCATTGTCTACTACCAGTTTTGAGCAGTTCCCAATTACTGATATTTTCTCTTACTTTATCAATTCGTCAATATTTAAAGTTAGTTCAGCTCGATTGTAGCTTCGCTCGAACACATGTTTGGCGATTTCTTTTGGATTTTCATAAATTGGAGATGTGCTGTTGCCATTTTTTTTCTTCAAACTGCAATGGTAAGTACAACATGGATGTCTTATGTTCCTTCTAAAAATCGCATCATGAAAATATCATTTTTGTTTCCTGATTTTTCTTCAAGACACGATCCTTACCTGACATAAATTACCACAATCGTCGTTATTATAATCACGAGTAAAAACGAACCAAATAAACCACCGTAAAGCTTCACATTCGACTTGTCTTTTTTGGAGTTTTTGTGCCCTAAACAAAAAAATGCAACATTGAAAAGACGACGAAAAAAACTCAAACAGCCTCTTTCCATTGAAAGCAATTTCTTTTGCCATAAATGACTGTTTCACTCCATTTGTCAACAGAACAACGTATTTATGTTTAAAAAATATTTAGATTCACCTAAATTTGCTGGTTGCATAATTTCGCATTGATCCTCTAAAATTGTTGTGTCGGAACAGAGTAATGCTTTTCCTTTACTTTCCAAGCATTTCTGCTTATATTCCTGTGCGTGCTGCTCGATGTCAAAGCAATTTTGCAAACATTGTGTGTCCAATAAACCATTTGGACATCGAATATCTTTGTCGTTCATATCGTCTGTCGGCTCACAATAAAAAAGTCCGCTCACCGAGATATTCCTGCATGATCGTGTTACATTACATTCCTTTCCTTCCTTATTTTTATTGCAAATCTTTTCACCATTTTCACCGCACGTGAATCTTCCTTTCTCGCTAATGCAAAAAACTGAACAATTTTACCATACCAATGTTTCATACATATTTTCTTCCCAGAGCGATCGCATTTATATCTTGGGTTGTCGTTTTCACAAAAGTCTAAACATGACGAGCCGTGCCAATTTTTTAGGCATTCTTTTCGCCATTTATACTACATTTATATTGTAAGGCACTGTTGTTGCAGAACTTGGTACAATTATTTCCATACCAGTTTCTTGAGCATTCCTTTTCACCATTTATACTACACTTATATTGTAAGGCACTGTTGTTGCAGAACTTGGTACAATTATTTCCATACCAGTTTCTTGAGCATTCCTTTTCACCATTTATACTACATTTATATTGTAAAGCACTGTTGTTGCAGAACTTGGTACAATTATTTCCATACCAGTTTCTTGAGCATTCCATGTCACCATTTATACTACACTTATATTGTAAAGCACTGTTGTTGCAGAACTTGGTACAATTATTTCCATACCAGTTTCTTGAGCACTCCATGTCACCATTATCCGTGCATTTATATTGTAAGGCACTGTTGTTGCAAAACCTAGAGCAATCTTTTCCATACCAGTGATAAAAGCATATGGGATAACCTATGTCATCGCATACATAATTACTTAATTCATCACTCTTGCAAAATCTGGTGCAATTTTCACCAAACCAATGTTTGAAACATGTTTTCGTACCATTGCCATCACAATGGTACGTTAAAGAATTTGGATCGCAAAATCTTGTGCAATTTTCACCAAACCAGTTAGGTAAGCAAATTCTTTTACCAGTTTTTAAACATTGGTAGTTACCAGGAGGGTCATCAGATTTGACACAAGTTTTTTGACAATTTCTTCCATACCATCGAGGTGTACATTTCTTGTTTCCATCTTTACATGTATAATGTCCAGTTGTATCATTTTGTTGAGAAATGCAAGGAGGAAGACAACCAGGTTTATGGCAGTACAATGTTGTTCTTATCTCGACTTTCCAATTTCCAGGATCAAAGTTCAAAATAACTCTCGTCCTGTCTAACCGTGGTATGATGTGGGTAAACTGTCCATATTTGGTAGTATTTGTTGAACTCGATGTGTCACATGATTTGCCTTTCGGTAATTTCCATACAATTACACTTAATTCACTGTTGTGCTAGAAGATCAGTAAGAAAGTTTGATAAAACAAAGCAATCTTTAATTAAAATACACTCAGTGTCATGTCTTACCTCCCAGTCAGAAAATGGAAAAACATATTGGCGATATAATGGAGAAATGCTGTGTTTAGGTTTTAGATCAACTTTAGTAACACCAGTTGTGCTTTTGAGATTACATTTAGGAAATCCTGATGGCGATGTGGTCACACAAAGTTTAATGCATTTTGTCGTCCAGTCGTTTCCTTTTTCTTTATAGAAGTCAATTTCCGCGTAAAAAAATCCTCGGCTGTGAACATTCTATAAAAAGGCTTGTGATTTTTATTCTTTTAAGAGTCTCAAAACTATTAGCAGTTAAAAAGGACAATAACGTTTTTACGTGAAAATAAACAAGCAAATAACTGCACTTACAAAGCAACAAATATTTTAATATTCAATTTTGTCCGTCTGAAATCAAAAGTTTTTTTTATTTATTTTTATAATTATCAAATTAGTTAAATCATTATGACACCCTTAGCTTTTACATCTTGGCGATGATCGATTAGAAAAAGAAGCGCACGGACTATATGACCATAAAAATGAAAAACATCCTCTTTTCATCTATAAGACAATAAATTTCTATACATTGATTTTGCAGCCTATGCAATCTTCCGTAGGGCAGAAACGGCATCCGGCATCCTTTATGAGCTATATTAATATTTGAGTGACAAAGACATTCATGTTGAGATACACGTTAATAGAAATGGAACTTCATTTTTTTTATCTTTTACCAGGCAACACACTATCTATGGATCGCATGGATCTTTTTACGCACATAAATGGAAGATTTTTCTCATAAAAAACACAGTTTTATTTTGGCTACAGCCTTAGGGCATTTGTTGGAATGTTCTATTCGTCTACGGTTACTATTCACATTAAAAGTCAATTGAAGTAAAGTCAAAATATCCTTCCGTGAACCTTGGACTTCGCTGTAATCATCTTCCATCTTACATAAGAAACAGTCAAATGTACATTTTCCGAAGGCATGCATTTTTAAATTAGAAATTTATTTAAAAAATAAAAGTTTTATGCATATGTCGAAATCATAGTTAAAACGTACGTTGGTTAGAGTCGTGTTTTTAACCATTTAAGCCGATGAATTTTTAACCAATTATATCATACGCAACTCAACGTCATACATAGTAATATGATGTTACAATTGCAGTTAAAAAAATCTACATAAAATTCTCATCCTTCCCTCTTAAGTTTCTTTTTTATTGATTCAGACATCCTTCCGGATGAAAATAGCGACAAAAAAGTAATTGAAATGGAGTCATACATTTTAATTTAGATTTCAAACTTGTTCAATACAAGTAAGATATATTGCATCGATAAACACATTGGAATGTCTGCTTACGTCTCGTAAAACAAACAATATTACACAATAAATAATTATGCGCAGAAATTAGGCGTCTTCATCAGCAAATTTTGAGGATGATTAAAGTAAGTCTTTTCTTTCAGGATGTTAAAGAAATCAACAAAAACACAGACACAGACAAATGGTTAAATTGATGCATTTTTTTGCAGACAATCACGTTTTATTAATTCGCTTTCTTTTACTGAAGCATGTGGGTTGTTTAGGAGTCAAAATTTAATGAAAAAATTTGTGTCTGATAACCATATGATCAGAATACATTCTTCTCATATAAGACCACGAGTATCGCCTGAAGAAATCTTTTATTTTAAATATACCAACGGTGAAAAATCAATAGACGGGTTGTTATGTTTCTTTTTTTTATTTAGCTATTGTGAGTTTTTCGAAAATAATCACCCGGTTACTTGTTCTATATGGTATTGAATCATGTTTTTCAGTAAAAGAATTTTGTTTGTATTCTATAGCAGTTAAAATATAAGTTTAATCCCAAACATTTTGCGTCGATGCGTTGAAAGATTTGTTCAAATATTTTTGTAAAGAAATTCTTCTTATCAAAATCAAGCTTTACATTCATGGAATGCTAAACGTTCATGAAAAGGAACAAAAAATCCAATACCCTATATAATTTCAAAACTACAGATAATTCGCATCTTAATTTTTACTTAAGTAAAAAAATAATCTCACTTCATCTCTGTTTGGAAATATATATTTGTAGCGCGTAACTGCTTTGACCCGTATTATTTCATCGTGCTATTTTTGGTAAAATTGCGCGCCTTAGTAGCAATCACGCATATGCTCTTTGGGTATTTCGCACTTTTGTCAAAGTTTTAAGAATCAGATTGTTTTAAGCTTTGTCTAATCTTCAGGAATATATATTTTATACAAGTGTCTACTCGTTTGCGCGCACATGTTTGTAAAAACATGTTAGTTACGTTGGTTTACGAGCGACCTCTTTATCTGTGATGTTAAAGTTCTTGTTGAGCGCGATCCATACCATAAACTTGTGTTCTTTTAATTATACTGACCTTCAGCGTCGTTATTATAACCAACAAACTAGAAAGAAAAATATGGTAGAATGCCATCTTTTAAAGATGTTGTCAGCGACTTCAGGAAAACTCCAAAGACCTCCGACTCCGAACGTGTCCTTTTTCACACTGCTATGTGTGGTTTGTTCATTTATCGTTTAGTTAATACTATACATACCGAGCCCTCAGTTCAACCTGTTAAACTGAGGTAACTTGACACCATCAGTTGTTATTCATTGACTGGTGATTGGTTATTGCAAGTGGTGTGGTACCATACCAATGACCTTTTATGCCTAAGTTCAATATAATGGATCTGATATGGTCGACGTGGATACCATGTTTATATGATTGTAAACAACATTTGCTTTACACTTGCTCAACACAAACAAATTAATCTTTTAATATGTATTTTTTTAAATCAAAATCATTGCTGTATTTCAATGTTGTAGTCTGCATGTTGAAAAAAATAACGCCGTTTAAAAATAATTCGCGTCATATACGTATAGATCTATGATTTGGTCTTTAAAATCATGGGCTGTACAGAGATAGTTATAATAAGAAAAATCTTGCTTTTGGACATGATCAAACCCAGAACTTCGTCAAAAACTGTGTTGATTTTTGCAAAACAGATTTACGAAGACGGTCTAATACCACACGGCTTTCCTCAAAGTGAACCGCAGGGCAAGCTTCACTTTGATTGACAATATTAACTTAATTAGTTTACCATTTTCCGTAAACATATTGTCTCGATAAATAGAAGATTCCACAAGAATTCCCCCCGAAGGAACGGCGCTTTTGCAATGATTGTCAAAGTTTTATGAATTCTTTGCCAAGAGTATATTTTCACATGCCATTTTGTCGTTCGAGTAATTTATCATCATGTCGCAAAAAAAAAACGAACTTGGGAGAGAGGTCAAGGTTAGAACGCAAAAGTCAATCATTCTTTGACTATTTCAAACAAAAACTGTGGGATTCATTGAGAGTGAGCATTTCGTGTGATGTTTGTTTCACTGTAATTTAGCATTTGCAAATCGTACAATTAAAATGCACACATTTTGTAAAAAGACCAAAGCAGTCTCAGCAATATTAATTTCATTTTTAATCGATTGTTAAGTAAACTGATATTAATTCATATTAGTTTTACAACTCTGTTCATCAAGTCTCGAGAAGGATAAGTTGTTTTTCGATTTGTATTTTTGTATCAGATTTCTTTTCCTCTTTCATAAATCAATGGAAATGAAACAAAAATTCTTCATCAGATCTCTACACAAATCACGTTACAAGACAAGTCTTGCAAGAACTAAGACTATACTCATCATTTAGTAGTTTTCTCCACGTGAAAAAAAAATAGGAAGTTTTCATGATTTCAACGCAGTAACAATATTATCTTACAAGTCTGGATCGTTTATTTCAGTAAAATTTTGAAACTCCTTTCCAACGGTGACCACTCAAAATCACAAAACTTTTTCAGGGCAACACAGTAACTATTTATTCCAAAGCCATCATCAGAGAATACATATAATCAAATCTCGTCCAAAGTAAATAAAATAATAGTAATAATATAATCAAATCTCGCCAAATCTCGTTCAAATCTCGCCCAAGTCACATGTTTTTCATGTGCATATTAAAACAGTAACTATTTATTCATATTTTTATTTGTTATAATTGTTTTCATTGTCTTAATAAATTCAGTTTGAGAAAAAAATCAAAATGACAAAACGGAAGAATATTCCTGACGTGACCACATTCCCTTAGATCAACAAAATTGAGAGTATTAAATTTTTGTTGATGGGTAATCTCAACGGGTAATGTAAGCTAGACAATTTCCTGTGTAGTTTCAAGTTTCCACAAAATTATCATGGTTTTATAGGAAGGTTTAAACATTGAACTCTGGGTTTAACACAACACAAAGAATAAAGACTGCTTCGGGATTATTCAAAAACAACAACTACATTCTAATTAGGTTTTGTTGTAGATTATATTTTGATTCCAAATGCAAAAGAAATAGTTAGCAATAAAATTATATTCATTTGAGTCCTGTAACAATGTTTTTCTTTTCTTGAACTTGAATTGCACAAAAACATCAAATCTTTACAATGAATTTGATTCAGTGCTCATGTTGACCAGGATTATAATACTCTAAAAATATATAGTGAGCACCATCAGTAGAAGTCCTTTACCATACTAGTTAGATTTTAACTTTTTAAAAACATACTTGAATTGGCCTTTGTCTCCTCTAAAGAAGGAAAATATTCAAGGTTAGAATGTTATGTAGTAAAGCGATGGCTGTCAGCAATCTTATGATGAAATTATCAATTAGGATTATAATGCCGACGATTCAACATTGTTTTAGTAATGAAAACACGACCATGGAGATGTTTCTTACCTGTTATTGGAAGCTTCCAAACAAGGTATCCTGTCATGGAAAAAGAAATGCCATAAGGCCACATTGGTCGCAAAAACGGAATCATTGCTTTAGAATATTGGGTTATTTGTTGCATTAAAGCCATTGCTTCTTATTCTAAAATATAAGAGGTAAAAAATTCATGTCAATAAAGTTCGTATAGTTTATGGTGAAACTGCAATATATCATGCAAGAATGTATGATGAATCAAGTTTTAAACCGAAAGTCATATCTTGACGATAATAAACGACATATAAATGTACCAATAACAGCATATCTTTTGTAAAACCGTAAAGAATCTTTAATACCATACCAAAATTTGTATTTTCTTTCCTTCGTAAACCACTTTCCTACCAATATTGGTAATAAAATTTATAATGGTGCTTCCACATAAAAAAATTTTGAAAGGAATTTGTCGAAACGGTTGACAAACTTCACATGAAACGAGTAAAATGACACGAAATTTTCTGATTAAAATTGACTTTTTTCATTTTTCAATAAAAAATTGATTATAATCGCATAACAAAATACACAAAAATTAAAAAATTAAACTGAAAAGAATAAAATTGTTATTGCTTATAATGTGAAAAAAGTTTACTGAATACTTATGGAAACACAACATTTCCATTTTCCTGCCAAGATGGAGAACACACATGTGTTTTCTCAACAAGGAGCAGAAGCTAAAGTCTTCTCTTCTACACTGGTTTCAAAGCCAGTAATAGTGAAGGAAAGGTTTAAGAAAGCATATAGACACCCGATATTGGATGAAAAGCTTACACGTCGTCGTACTTCTCAAGAGGTCCGTTCAATAGCTCGATGCAGAAAAGCTGGCATTTTAACACCCATCGTTTATTTCGTTGATTATATTTCGCACAAAATTTACATGGAAAATATTGAAAATGGCATTTTGGTTAAGGATGTTATCAATGACATGTTAGCTAACAGCCAAGAATCACAGTTAAGCGTGTTGGCAGAGAAACTAGGAACGTTATTAGGGCAAATGCATTCAATTGATGTCATTCATGGTGATTTAACAACATCGAACCTTCTTTTGAAGGATGGAACTGATCTTGTTTTGATTGATTTTGGTCTTAGTTATATTTCATCATTAGTGGAAGATAAAGGTGTTGATCTTTATGTTCTCGAAAGAGCTTTACTTAGTAGCCATCCAAATACGGAGTATTTCTTTCAGAATGTTTTAAAAAGCTACTCAAAGGCTGCTGACAGCAATGAAAAAGCACAAGAAATCATAACAAAACTGGATGAAGTTCGGTTGCGAGGAAGAAAGAGAGTAATGGTTGGATGATTTAAGTGATATAAAAAATTGTAAACTTGCTGTTGAGTTTTCAAAAGAAACGGTCATTTAAAGTCGGCAAAAAACCCCACCACTTATAGTTATGGATTCTCCTGTGATATATGATGCATCACTTGATGAAAGAAATGAAACCAAACCAGCACATTCCTCTGGAGTGCCAAATCTAGAAGTGCGGATACATATTTGTGATAAATGCAATAATATAAATTGTAAACTTTTATAAAACTCACCTTTTTAAAGGAATGTGTTTCTTCATTTCTTTTGAAAGATCGTCATTATCCCAAAACTGCGAAATTATAAAATATCTGAGTGTAATAGATAAATGAAAGATTATTTACTCCGGTTGAATTTATTCTCTTACTTTTTGACTAAATTTTGTTTTAATTACTCCTGGTGCAATACAGTTCACACGAATGCCATCAGGCCCAAGTTCTTTTGCTAAAACATTGGTGAGTGCTATGAGTGCAGTTTTGCTTACGGAATATGCTCCCAAATCCTAAAAGTGAAGTAAAAATTAATTGCAAAGATTTCATATAAAAAGCAGTATGCAGCAAATTACACAAAGATGTAAACCAATTTACATATCAAGGTGTAAAACCATCAACTTACATTGAAAGGTGTAAAAATGACTTACATATCAATGTGGAAAACCATCAACTTACATTGAAAGGTGTAAAAATAACTTACATATCAAGGTGTAAAACCATCAACTTACATTTAAAGGTGTAAAAATAACTTACATATCAATGTGTAAAACCATCAACTTACATTTAAAGGTGTAAAAATGACTTACATATCAATGTGTAAAACCATCAACTTACATTTAAAAGTGTAAAAATAACTTACATATCAAGGTGTAAAACCATCAACTTACATTTAAAGGTGTAAAAATGACTTACATATCAATGTGTAAAACCATCAACTTACATTGAAAGGTGTAAAAATAACTTGCATATAAAGGTGTAAAACCATCAACTTACATTTAAAAGTGTAAAAATAACTTACATATCAATGTGTAAAACCATCAACTTACATTGATGGGTGTAAAAATAACTTACATATCAAGGTGTAAAACCATCAACTTACATTTAAAAGTGTAAAAATAACTTACATATAAAGGTGTAAAACCATCAACTTACATTTAAAAGTGTAAAAATAACTTACATATCAATGTGTAAAACCATCAACTTACATTGATGGGTGTAAAAATAACTTACATATCAAGGTGTAAAACCATCAACTTACATTTAAAAGTGTAAAAATAACTTACATATAAAGGTGTAAAACCATCAACTTACATTGATGGGTGTAAAAATAACTTACATATCAAGGTGTAAAACCATCAACTTACATTTAAAGGTGTAAAAATAACTTGCGTATAAAGGTGTAAAACCATCAACTTACTTTTAAAGGTGTAAAAATAACTTGCATATAAAGGTGTAAAACCATCAACTTACTTTTAAAGGTGTAAAAATAACTTGCATATAAAGGTGTAAAATCATCAACTTACATTGATGGGTGTAAAACCAGCAATTGATGATACAAAAACAATTGATCCCTTGCTTCTAAGAACATTATTGTAATTTTTACATGAAATGATTAATGATGTGTATTGTAACAATGAAGTAAACATACTTTTGTGACTGCATGTATGGTACAATTTCTTTCACAAGTAGAAATGATGATTTCACATTTGTCTCAAAAATCTTCACAAACAAAACAGCACAAGTTAAAATATTTAAAATCAGTCATAGTATAAGTGAAAAAGATTTCATGTTACTTTGTCAAATGCTTCCTCTGAAATCTGTAAAAGAAATTATTCAAACTTCACTTATTGAATAACACGAAAGCATTAAATGATTAATGAAAACTTACGTCCAACGTACGGCCAATAAATGGATTGACAGCTGCATTGGATACAAAAACATCTATGCGTCCAAACCTCTCCATGGTCTGGAAAAAAGTCATATTGTTAATGCAGAATATAACCATTGCATTGGTTAATTTATAAAATTACGAAATACTTTTTTAACAAGGTTTTTGCGATCTTCTGGTTTGCTGACATGACAGACAGTACCAAATACGTCAATTCCTTCATCTCGAAGTTTTTTACAAGCCGAGTCAACGTTGTTTTGCTGACGGCTACTAATGACCACTTGCGCACCGTCTTCACCAAGGCGACGGGCGATAGCTAAACCAATCCTACACATTGAAAAATTTATTGTGGGTTAGTGGAACTTGTTTACAAAGAGAAATGAAATTAAACGGAAGAAGAAAGCAAAATACGCAGGTCGTGTCGCAAACTTTCGTAATAAATACCCGTCCGTTGAAGCTGTGACAATTGCAACCTTTCCTGTATGCACTAGAGATCTTTTAGAAAACATTTCGCCAGTTTTTAAAGTCGGATAAACCATTGACCAATCATCAATCGTAAAATTCCCCAATCAAATCAGAACCATCTCTTCTTCAAATTTATTCTTATTCTGCTCCCGCGATATTATGCTTTGCCCAGCCAGCGGGTGTCAGTAATAATTTCTAAAGCAAAGAAGAAAGAAATAAACAAAAGAAAGAATAAAATTTTCAAAATGTGCACGAGTACAAATATCTGAAATGAAATACGTGAATTTTACAACTGTCATATTGGCAATATTTGCAGCATACATACTGCATTCGGTGTATTTAATTTGGTTGATTTTTAAGCCACCAAAATGTATTGGAAAAAAAGCGAAGTGCATTGTGCCATTTTACAAAGATTTATTGAATGAAAAACTAACGGTATGGACTGAAATCTTCTTTCTACATACTCTTGTTTTTATGTTGCGTTCCCAATCAACTGAACTAATTTTCTGATGTATTTATTCATTTTACATTTGATTTCACCAACTTTAAGGTTAAGACTATATATTTTCCTACAGGTTTCTATATTCACTTCAACAAATGAAAGATCATCAAATTCAGGCTTGAAGCCGCTTTGGAAAGCAGATAAATTTAAAATTCAAGAATATCTCTCATTGTAAGAAGCATTTTTTTGTTTTGTAAAGAATCATATTATAAATCTCACATTTCATGCTAAATAATCCATATTTTGTTGTAGAACCTTAAATGTGAACATCCCTGTTGTAACCAGTAATAATGGCAGCATGTTTGTGCATATTATTTTACATCATCGTCATTTGGAACCTTGGAGTGATATCTTATCGTATTCTGTAGCTCCTCTTACAAAGTTCATGGTTGAACAAAGTAAAACATTTAATCTAATGTCAAAACACAACAACAAGGTGATGTTAAATTTTTCCTTTGCTTACAGGTTTATCTAGTGTATCCAACAGTTTTTAAACATTCTTTCTCATCAGGAAAACACAGAAAACTTTTCAGAAAGACCTACTACCCATTGGCGTCCTCGATTGACTTTCCATATCCTAACCGATCCTATCTCCTTTCATCGATCAGCTATTCCTGGTGAAATACATCCTCTGCTTAAGTACCAATGATATATTTCTGGATTATTTATTCACCATATTATTTTTATATATTAACAATATTTTGTATTTAGAGTTTCACAAGAAGGTCAGTATTCCCCAATTCTCTATATTGATGAATTGGAAATGTTGGAAAGAAATTTGAAAGTGTGTAAGCTTTGCTCTGTTAAAATATAAATGAAATACTTTGGTTATTAATTGTCATTTTTTTTCCTTTCTTAGTCCATGAATACAACATCTTTAAAAATGGAATTAGAAATAAAATATTCGCCTATAGGAATAGGGAGATTACGAGTATGGAAGCTTGTAGCAGCATCAATGGATTCAATGAAAAATTTAGGCAAGTTCTTTGGTTTCTTATTTCATGTATGATTCTCGAGGTTTTCCTTTTTGTTTTAAAAAAAAAAATCAAGTGAATCTCTCAAAATATTTTTCAATTTTTTTAGGATTTTCTGATAAAGATTTAGATGAAGTAAAAGGGATATTTACTGATACAAATCTTTATTTACTTGCTCTCACTTTTGCCATTTCAGTTTTTCATGTAAGTGTGTGCTATGGATTTTTTATAAATTGTGCAAAACATTGACTAGTTTTTATTCCTTTTTGCAGCTTTTGTTTGATTTTCTTGCATTTAAAAATGATATCTTATACTGGCAAAAACGAACTACAATGGTCGGCCTTTCAACTAGAGCTGGTAGTTTTTGTCATTGTTTTAAGAATAATGGACTTAAGTAGCTTTATGTAGAAGAACTCTCGTTTTTTAGTACTTTGGAGATGCGTCAGCAGTGCAGTTGTGTTTTTGTATCTTATGGACGAAAAAACAAGTTTATTGATTCTAATACCATCTGGTATTGCCGTACTAATCGAGGTATAAAGTTTCATGGCTATTTATCATCATTCAAAATGTCACCGCTTGTATGTTTAAATGTTATGTTCTTGTTGTAAGATATGGAAAGTGACGAAAGCTTTAAAAATAACGTTTGTATGGAATGGTGGACGAATACCAAGGATAAAGGTTTATTTTATTTTGTATTTTTATTGTAATGGTTTACGTACAAACATGTTGAATGAACGTTTAAAACACAGCGACTCGATGAATGAAATGTTATTTCATTTATTTATTTATGTAAAGTTTGGTGAAAAGTCATTGCAAGAAAAGGAAACCGAGGAGTTTGATTCTGAGGTAAGTACGTCATTCCGTCCGCCATCTTTATTCATTCCTGTAACGAGAAATACTCTTATTCTTATGCTTAATGTTTATCTATCTTCAAGGCAATGAAGTATTTATCTTATGCTCTATATCCTTTGGTTGTGATTGGTGCCCTTTATTCGTTGATATATCAACCTCACAAGAGTTGGTATTCCTGGTTCATAAGATCACTGGTGAACGGTACGTTGTACGTTCAGATATAATATAAGTCAGTGCTTCATACCACTCCTTCTGTTGCTTTTCTGTTAAAAGACGTCCATTTGCAAACGCATTTTAAAATGCACGTTATTTCTTACGCTGAACTAAACTTATGCGCAAATTTCGTGTTTTGCGTGTGATTTATGATTGCACTTCGACTTGCAAATGAAAGTGTTGATGTTTACAATACGATCAATACATTCAAACGTAATCTTTGCAATATTTTTTTATGACGTATGTGTCACGTGATGCGGTTTTCATTTTTCAGGTGTTTATGTATTTGGTTTCTTATTTATGCTTCCTCAGCTGTTTGTCAATTACAAGGTATTGCGTATAAATACAAAATTTTTATCTGGGACCCTGTGTATACAATGAATAATTTTTATTTAAATATTTGATGTACGGGGAATAAGTACGAGTCAAATATCACATGCAAAGTTAATTATAATTGGCTGAAAAAGTCCAATCTCCCGTATGTTTCATCAGTTTGTTAAAAATTAAAAATATTTCTTGTTGTCCGTATGCCAGCAGTAATTATGACGACGTTTAACATAGTAGCCACTTATAATTTGATTTTATTATAAAATCATGGATTATACCTCTCTTAAATGTTTTTTTCAGCTTAAATCAGTCGCGCATCTACCATGGCGAGCTCTCATGTACAAAGCTTTTAATACTTTTATTGATGACGTGTTTGTCTTCATCATCACTATGCCAACAGCTCATCGATTGGCTTGTTTTAGAGATGACGTTGTCTTTATCATATATTTATATCAAAGATGGTAATTTTGGTGATATATACTTCGAATAAAGATTATTTCCAACATTTCTAAGTATCTTTTATTTTAAAAAGGTTATATCCTGTTGACGTCAAACGAGTCAACGAATATGGTGTGTCATACGAAGAGACTGGGGAGAAGTCACATAAAGATTAATGAAATACCTTTAAGGTATGAAACAGCTTTACGATGTTTTTTAAATTTACAGGTGAACTATTGTTATGTAGCCCGGCTACGAGTTTAACCCATTTAGCTGAATTAGTTTATTTTTGATGAACAAAACTTAATGTTGATCTGTGATCAAAAAAATTAGGAGATGATGGTCTGGTGAATATTGCATTGTAACCAATAGCGTTTCATTAAAATATTGTTTAATTTATGCAGCAAACATGTTTGATATGCATGCACAAATCTGTGTGTCCCGGTTTTTTTTTTTTGAGACAAAGATATATATACTACATTAAAAGGATGAGAACAAGTAAAGATTCGTATGTATTTCATTCGTATAGGCTGCAATGTGTTAAATTAATAAGAATTTAAATTTTACACTACATTTTCTGCTTAATGCATAACTTTTTGGTTTGTTTTCTTAATGTTTTTTGTCTTTGGTGTGGGTTTTCTTTGCATTGATAATTTTCTGTGGGCTGTGACTGTCGTGTTTCCTTCTGTGGTATACGCCATTATTCTGATGAAAACGCGTGGGAGTCTTCCACGCGGATGACCACTTATCATCCTCTGAGTTTCCTGAGTTATCCCCAGAAGTACCAGGAGAAGACCACTTCCATAACAAACCAGAATTTCCTTCGTTTTCACTTTCTTTACTTACATAACCAGTAGGACTTGTTCCTCCAGTTGAACCAGTTACTCCAGTTGAACCAGTTCCTCCAGTTGAACCAGTTCCTCCAGTTGAACCAGTCCCTCCAGTTGAACCAGTTCCTCCAGTTGAACCAGTTCCTCCAGTTGAACCAGTTCCTCCAGTTGAACCAGTCCCTCCAGTTGAACCAGTTCCTCCAGTTGAACCAGTTCCTCCAGTTGAACCAGTCCCTCCAGTTGAACCAGTTCCTCCAGTTGAACCAGTTCCTCCAGTTGAACCAGTCCCTCCAGTTGAACCAGTTCCTCCAGTTGAACCAGTTCCTCCAGTTGAACCAGTTCCTCCAGTTGAACCAGTTCCTCCAGTTGAACCAGTTCCTCCAGTTGAACCAGTCCCTCCAGTTGAACCAGTTCCTCCAGTTGAACCAGTTCCTCCAGTTGGACCAGTTCCTCCAGTTGAACCAGTTCCTCCAGTTGAACCAGTCCATCCAGTTGAACCAGTTCCTCCAGTTGAACCAGTTCCTCCAGTTGAACCAGTTCCTCCAGTTGAACCAGTTCCTCCAGTTGAACCATTTCTTCCAGTTGAACCAGTTCCTCCAGTTGAACCATTTCTTCCAGTTGAACCAGTATTATTTGCTTCACCAGTTGCACCAGTGGAACTTATTCCTCCAGCTAAACCAGTAAAACTTGTTTCTTCAGCTGAGTCCCAGTTCTGGGAATCGTCATTCTGGTGAAGACTTGTGGGATCTTTCCATGAGTTTGACCACTTACCACCTTCCGAGTTTCCTAAATTATCCCCAAATGCTCCTGTAGGAGACCATGACGAGCCTGAACTTCCACCGTTGTTTTTTCTTCTACTTTTCCATCCCCATGACATTTCTCCTGATTTTCCATGATCAGTGGGACCAGTGTCTTCATCTATTTCGTCACTCGAGTCATCGACGACTATGTCTAGAAAGATAGATTAATTAGTGTATGACTATGTACCTTGCGATTTGGAATAATAGCCGAAGTTGCTTTTTATGCTCTTTCAGAATTAAATATTAGTTTCACATTCCTGTGAATGTTATTTATTGACTTATTCTTTTTTTGATCAAAACGTTAGACAAATTTATTTTTAAAACGTAGACTGAAATAAACTATGCTATTGTTTGTGTGCAATCAAGCAAAATTACGAAGTGTTTTTATTGCTTTGTTGATATCTCACTTCTTATCACTTAAAGTATAGCGTGAAAACGACAGTTTTTTTTAATGATCTATAACTAAAACGTAAGCTTTAAACGTCAAGTACTTGTATATGATGTAGTTATTCTATAACTAAAACTTAAGCTTTAAACGTCAAGAACTTGTATATGATTTAGTTATTTAATCCTTACTTGTAATGTCAAACATGTTTTCTGGCTCATCACAAGTATCACTAAACACCAGTTTTTCCATTGATAATGGATGAATGCTTCCACTTATTGGACGTATACATTTCCCACTATTGGTCAATTGAAGTGATCTGCCAGATGTTATGGTCATTGCCCATTTTTTATCGCATTTTTCTCCAAGAATAATTGGTGTTTCATCATTCAATGCACCTCCTTCTGGTTGGACGCAGTATCCACTTTTCACATGTTTTAAATTGCCTTCTTTTGAAAGTGTAAATTTAGATTTTTTCATGCCACAAGCTTCTGATTGAAGAACGAGTTTGGTGCCTGGAGATATTTCGCCCTGTTCTGGATAAAGACATCGAGACCAACCTATTTCAAATTTTAGAGAATACTTTTTGCCACTGAGAAGTCCACTTTCACGGCTTTCTGATAACTTCCCGATGCCACTGAACCCACCAGATACTCGTCCATTACCACTTATCCCTTCGCTACCACTTAACTCACTAGAAAGTCCACCATTGTCACTCATTCTTTCGCTATCACTGAACCCACCAGAAAGTCTGCGATTACCACTCATTCTTTCGCTATCACTGAACCCACCAGAAGGTCCCCCATTACCCCTCATTCTTTCGCTATCACTGAACCCACCAGAAAGTCCCCATTACCACTCATTCTTTCGCTACCACTGAACCCACCAGAAAGTCCACCATCACCACTCAATCTTTCGCTACCACTGAACCCACCAGATACTCGTCCATGACCACTTATCCCTTCTTTACCACTCAAGCCACCAGAAAGCTCCTCTGTGTGCAACGACCATTTGTTTTTGGAGGGAACACTCCACGTGTGCGACCATTTCTTCGTATTTTCCGATTCGTTGTGTTTTTCCACGAATGTTGGGATTTCGTTGATTTCCTTCAGAAGTCCTTCTGTTAAAAAAGAAAACATGGCATTACAAAAGTTTCTGGATATTTGCTGGTAAAATTCGCTTCTATAAACAACGATTTTTGTCACACTTACTTTTTGGTAATTGTGTGAGAAAGAAGAAAACTATGAATATTTTGCTTTCCATCTTTTCTAGTCGATTGAAGCTGAGGAAATGAAAGATATCAAATAGATTACTAAGATTACGTTCAAATTTAATTCTATTTTGCCAGCGACTAGTTGAAACAAGATAACATTTGCCGGTTCTTTTCCATGCAGATAGATTGTCTTGTTTCACTGTATCTTCTAAATTTTTTTTGTATTTTAGTTTTCTTATTCCTACTTAATTTCAATGATTTCAAGACGTCCACATTACCTTTCACTCCTAACTTGATTTTGACGAGGATAAATTATGTCACCTAATACTTACTTGTCTAGATTACAATGAAAAAAGTCAATTTAGGTTATTTCGTGTTACTTGTGGTGTATTAGTGCTTGTATACGCATGATAAAGTCAATAGGAAAAAGCACCTGGCATTGAGAATAAAATCAGGCTAACAGCCAAAAACTTATCGTGTTCGATTTTCTTAACTATGTGTGAAATCTTTCATGTGTCGGTGTTAGGTGATTGTAGTAATCAAAAAATGTGTTTAAATAATTAGTTTAATCGCGTTGAAAAAGTTACATCATGCCTAAAAGAGTGAATGTGTGAAAAAAATTGTTTAATTTATGCAGCAAACATGTTTGATATGCATGCACAAATCTGTGTGTCCCGGTTTTTTTTTTTTGAGACAAAGATACATATACTACATTAAAAGGATGAGAACAAGTAAAGATTCGTATGTATTTCATTCGTATAGGCTGCAATGTGTTAAATTAATAAGAATTTAAATTTTACACTACATTTTCTGCTTAATGCATAACTTTTTGGTTTGTTTTCTTAATGTTTTTTGTCTTTGGTGTGGGTTTTCTTTGCATTGATAATTTTCTGTGGGCTGTGACTGTCGTGTTTCCTTCTGTGGTATGAACCAGTTCCTCCAGTTGAACCAGTTCCTCCAGTTGAACCATTTCTTCCAGTTGAACCAGTTCCTCCAGTTGAACCATTTCTTCCAGTTGAACCAGTATTATTTGCTTCACCAGTTGCACCGGTGGAACTTATTCCTCCAGCTAAACCAGTAAAACTTGTTTCTTCAGCTGAGTCCCAGTTCTGGGAATCGTCATTCTGGTGAAGACTTGTGGGATCTTTCCATGAGTTTGACCACTTACCACCTTCCGAGTTTCCTAAATTATCCCCAAATGCTCCTGTAGGAGACCATGACGAGCCTGAACTTCCACCGTTGTTTTTTCTTCTACTTTTCCATCCCCATGACATTTCTCCTGATTTTCCATGATCAGTGGGACCAGTGTCTTCATCTATTTCGTCACTCGAGTCATCGACGACTATGTCTAGAAAGATAGATTAATTAGTGTATGACTATGTACCTTGCGATTTGGAATAATAGCCGAAGTTGCTTTTTATGCTCTTTCAGAATTAAATATTAGTTTCACATTCCTGTGAATGTTATTTATTGACTTATTCTTTTTTTGATCAAAACGTTAGACAAATTTATTTTTAAAACGTAGACTGAAATAAACTATGCTATTGTTTGTGTGCAATCAAGCAAAATTACGAAGTGTTTTTATTGCTTTGTTGATATCTCACTTCTTATCACTTAAAGTATAGCGTGAAAACGACAGTTTTTTTTAATGATCTATAACTAAAACGTAAGCTTTAAACGTCAAGTACTTGTATATGATGTAGTTATTCTATAACTAAAACTTAAGCTTTAAACGTCAAGAACTTGTATATGATTTAGTTATTTAATCCTTACTTGTAATGGCAAACATGTTTTCTGGCTCATCACAAGTATCACTAAACACCAGTTTTTCCATTGATAATGGATGAATGCTTCCACTTATTGGACGTATACATTTCCCACTGTTGGTCAATTGAAGTGATCTGCCAGATGTTATGGTCATTGCCCATTTTTTATCACATTTTTCTCCAAGAATAATTGGTGTTTCATCATTCAATGCACCTCCTTCTGGTTGGACGCAGTATCCACTTTTCACATGTTTTAAATTGCCTTCTTTTGAAAGTGTAAATTTAGATTTTTTCATGCCACAAGCTTCTGATTGAAGAACGAGTTTGGTGCCTGGAGATATTTCGCCCTGTTCTGGATAAAGACATCGAGACCAACCTATTTCAAATTTTAGAGAATACTTTTTGCCACTGAGAAGTCCACTTTCACGGCTTTCTGATAACTTCCCGATGCCACTGAACTCACCAGATACTCGTCCATTACCACTTATCCCTTCGCTACCACTTAACTCACCAGAGAGCCCACCATTGTCACTCATTCTTTCGCTATCACTGAACCCACCAGAAAGTCTCCGATTACCACTCATTCTTTCGCCACCACTGAACCCACTAGATACTCGTCCATTACCACTTATCCCTTTGCTACCACTTAACTCACCAGAAAGTCCACCATTACCACTCATTCTTTCGCTATCACTGAACCCACCAGAAAGTCTCCGATTACCACTCATTCTTTCGCCACCACTGAACCCACTAGATACTCGTCCATTACCACTTATCCCTTTGCTACCACTTAACTCACCAGAAAGTCCACCATTACCACTCATTCTTTCGCTATCACTGAACCCACCAGAAAGTCTCCGATTACCACTCATTCTTTCGCCACCACTGAACCCACTAGATACTCGTCCATTACCACTTATCCCTTTGCTACCACTTAACTCACCAGAAAGTCCACCATTACCACTCATTCTTTCGCTATCACTGAACCCACCAGAAAGTCTCCGATTACCACTCATTCTTTCGCCACCACTGAACCCACTAGATACTCGTCCATTACCACTTATCCCTTTGCTACCACTTAACTCACCAGAAAGTCCACCATTACCATTCATTCTTTCGCTATCACTGAACCCACCAGAAGGTCCCCCATTACCACTCATTCTTTCGCTACCACTGAACCCACCAGATACTCGTCCATGACCACTTATCCCTTCTTTACCACTCAAACCACCAGAAAGCTCCTCTGTGTTCAACGACCATTTGTTTTTGGAGGGAAGACTCCATGAGTGAGACCATTTCTTCGTATCTTCCGATTCGTTGTGTTTTTCCACGCGTGTTGGGATCTCGTCGATTTCCTTCAGAAGTCCTTCTGTTAAAAAAGAAAACATGGCATTACAAAAGTTTCTGGATATTTGCTGGTAAATTTCACTTCTATAAACAACGATTTTTGTCACACTTACTTTTTGGTAATTGTGTGAGAAAGAAGAAAACTATGAATATTTTGCTTTCCATCTTTTCTAGTCGATTGAAGCTGAGGAAATGAAAGATATCAAATAGATTACTAAGATTACGTTCAAATTTAATTCTATTTTGCCAGCGACTAGTTGAAACAAGATAAAATTTGCCGGTTCTTTTCCATGCAGATAGATTGTCTTGTTTCACTGTATCTTCTAAATTTTTTTTTTATTTTAGTTTTCTTATTCCTACTTAATTTCAATGATTTCAAGACGTCCACATTACCTTTCACTCCTAACTTGATTTTGACGAGGATAAATTATGTCACCTAATACTTACTTGTCTAGATTACAATGAAAAAAGTCAATTTAGGTTATTTCGTGTTACTTGTGGTGTATTAGTGCTTGTATACGCATGATAAAGTCAATAGGAAAAAGCACCTGGCATTGAGAATAAAATCAGGCTAACAGCCAAAAACTTATCGTGTTCGATTTTCTTAACTATGTGTGAAATCTTTCATGTGTCGGTGTTAGGTGATTGTAGTAATCAAAAAATGTGTTTAAATAATTAGTTTAATCGCGTTGAAAAAGTTACATGCCTAAAAGAGTGAATGTGTGAAAAAAAAATGAAAAATTTTAAAACAACAGGTGACAAAGGCGATGATCTACGCATGTCGTGTCGTGATGGTCGTGATGTAATCATATAAATAAACAATAATGGCCGGTAGATCAATTATAGTCGGTTAGTTTGTATTATTTTGTTCACTTGTAGTCTTTTGTCATCTTTCTCGTTTTGATAAGTTTGTTCTAATGCTTAGTCGTTTGCATTAGCCACCATTTAAATTTTCACAAAGGTTAGGACGTTTGACGTTTATATGTAATTAAGGTGACCATACTAATTTTGAAGGAGACTTTAATTGTTCTAAATTACAAATCCTTGAACGTAAATATTATCATAGAAAGATGCATGCGATGTCTTTGTTTGAAACCATTAATTTTTTTATAAGAAATACGTGTGTTCGATCAAGTTTGTAGATTTTGTAAATATTTATATTCTTGCTATCTGTCTCCAAATCATCCCCAGGAGGTGGAAGTGGATTTATTGGTCGCGCTTTATGTAAGAGGCTTAAGCAACAAGGCTATGAGGTCATACTTTTGTCAAGAACTCCTGGATATTCAAAAATTACCTGGGTAAGATTTGGTTGTCAGTTGAAGTAGAGAAGTTTTTTGTTTACTTCAATTTCTTGTAAGGTCCTGCTAACATTCAATATGTATATTTATGTATATTCATCTGTAAGTGTATGGATTTGTTGCAATGGATAAGTTTGAAAAAAAGAATTGTTGTTTAGAGTGATTTGAAAAGGAGTGGTAAACTTCCAGAATGCTTTGCTGTCATTAATCTTGCTGGAGAAAATATTGCTAATCCATTACGAAGGTATTAAAAAATCTGTCATTGATATTTCTTGCAATGAAAATGTAACTTAATTTAAATCTGAAATGGTTTCTGATAAAGGTGGAATGAAAGTTTTAAGACTGATTTGTTTGAAAGTCGAATTGGTACAAATAAGATATTAACTGATTTGATAAAGAAAGCAGCAAAACCTCCAGAAGTATGGATTTCTTCCTCGGCAATTGGTGAGATGATGAAATTGATATCATTGAATCATTTATTATGATTCACAGATTATTTGAACGTAAATTTGTAACAATTTTTCCAAGGTTACTATCCTCCAAGTGAAACACTCGAATATACAGAAAATGAGCCATCTAAACCAGAGCACAGTTATATTACAAAACTTTGTTGTGATTGGGAAGAGTCGGCCATTTTACCTTCTGATCATCCATCACGTCATGTCATGTTAAGAATAGGATTAGTTCTTGGACGTGATGGCGGCACAATAAAATCTATGATGTGGCCATTTTGGCTTGGAGTGGGAGGTATATCTGTTATATATATTCATGATATGATAATCATTCTGATGTTCAATTTACTTTTTATGACAATGTTGTTTTGTATTTCAGGTATTGTTGGAAATGGAAAACAGTTCATGTCATGGATTCATATCTCAGATATGACAGGTATTATCCTTCATGCGTTGGAGAATCACAATGTTCACGGAGTCTTAAATGCAACAGCTCCAAATCCTGTCACTAATTCTGAATTCACATCTGCATTTGCACGTTCAATCTGGCGGCCGGCATTCTTTCCTTTGCCTGCCTTTGTCGTCAACACAGTCTTTGGTGAGGAGAGGGGCAAAATGTTACTAGAAGGACAGAAAGTTCTTCCAAGCAGAACTATTGAATCTGGTTATAATTTTCTCTATTCAGATATCAAATCTTGCTTACAAAATATTGTCAAATAAGTTAAGATGGATTCTTTTAAAGAATGAAGCATAAATGTGTCCAGACCAAAATTTGTCAATTTTTGAAATTTTTATTTGGTCGTTGCCAAGTTGGTAACAAATCACCTTCAGGAAAGCCATGAATAACAAGCAACAATGTTACCATGACCAGAAATGGTAGAAGCCAATACATAATTAGCATTTTCTTTGCATTGCTGTGAAAATTTAGGAATGCTATATCTTTAGTGCATTGCATAAATCTATTGCATAATTCAACTGTTACGTATGTACGTATTGGGATCTTAGGTGATGGCAATGTTACAGAATATAAACCAACACTTTTATACTTTACAGTATGAATCCTTTTTCCTATTTCACAAGCATAACTAATCAATACCATGTACGTATCATTGTTTTCACTTGAAGGAAAAATTTCAAACTCTACAACAAAGTTTGAAGTTTGTATTGCTTGCTGTTGTCTAGTGACTTCAGTAAAAGCTATTTGTCTATCTTCACCAAGTTTTTTATTTGTTGCATTAAATTGAACAAAGGATAAAATAACCCCATCAGCAGTAGACAAGAAATATGCCAAATTTTCTCTGTCATAAATAACTTGAGTGTAAGAAACTTCATCAATAGGAACAACATTCATGCAGTTGATATCTGTGCCAAGGATATGAAGATTCTCTCCACCAGTTAACATTAAGTATGCTTTGTTATTTTCTGATGTGAAAAGAATATTTGAATAGAACTTATCACACAACTTGATAGGCCATTTTGGTAAAACTTTACCTGTTTGACCATTTAATACCCATAGGTAACCATCGCTTGATGCAATTACAACCTCAAGTTGACCATTGTAATCAATATCATAAAGTTGAGGACCAACAGTTCCAGTGCCGGACACTGTTGCATCCCATAATAATTTATCATAACTGTAACACATCACATTTGCACTACCATCAATCACAATGATCTCCATGAAACCATCATTATCCATGTCACCGATAGCAACATCAGATGTTATAGAGTCAGCGAGATCCGAAAATCTTGGATAGTTTCCGTATTTATTCCATATGTGCAACTTTCCAGTCATACTACCCACAATGACTTCACAATTGCTTTGGTTTCCATCTAAGTCCATTGCAACCGGTGATGACAGAATGTAGGCAGGAAAAGCACTTGACTTTCTTGTTAATTCAAAGATCTTTTTGAAAATTACATTTCTTGTTCTTAGGTCAACAACAATCACGCCATTTGCGAGACAGCAATCTATCTCAGATTGAGTTAGATTCAAAATTTTCAAATACTTCTTGTTATACTTTACTTCATCATCAATATAATAATTGACAGGTATAATGAGGTCATTATTAAAGCCATTTCCATTAAAGTCGCTAATGATTGGTGTCGATAATATATGTAAATCTAGACCAATAAATGATTTTTCATCAATATCATCTGATGTGAAATTATCATTAGAACTGTGGAAAAACGAATTTTTCTCCGGACTGAAATATGCGTTTGTGGTAACTGCATCGCCTGCACCAATACTGAACCATTTTTTCCTCACCAAAAGTCTTGGCAAATGTATGTTATATTCTTGTAAACTTGTTCCATTTTGAGATATAAACAGAATCTTACCATACTCTGCTGCAAGCAAAATATCCAACGAACCATCTTCATCTATGTCATATAGCAATGGACCAGAGTAAAAAGATTCCTCGGGGAAAAACATCGGCCATTCTTGACGTTCTTTTCCGCTTGTTGAGTCAACAACATTTACAGTACCATCCAATGTTGTGGCAATTAAGTCTTTATGTGAAATTTTGTGAGTTTTTGCAAGCAAGGGAGAAGAAACGATTGGAGAGTCACTGACACTTGCACTCCACATTAATTTAAGATCCTTTAGGCAGGAGTCTGTGCAAAATACAGAAAAGATTTGCGAAATTATACAGAGTAACTTCGCAAACTTCCAAGACATGTTACTCTGGTCAGGATACTCTGCACTTCGCCGAATATTCGTCAATTTTGTCAAGGATTTATAATTTTGCTTATAAAAGTCCACGCTTCGAAGCTTATTTGAGTCAGCGGTCTTTACCAGTTCGCAGATGCGTCATATCAAGCGGGAGAAAAACAAAAACAGAATACATAACCATTTATACATTATTTTGTTTGTCTAATTCATTTTTTCTCGTAAGCTATAAATATATCTACTTAAATAAAATACAGAGAAAACCCGATATACTCATGGATAATGTCTGCAAGTGGAATATTGCGATGAATTGTGTTCTTCATTTGGTTTTTGTCGAAGAAGAAAGAAGTACAATTTGTCATGTTGAAATTTGACGATAGACATTGTAGTAGTTGTGAGTTGAATAAGGATTTGGCGATGTTATTAACGAGAAGTTTTACGTTATTATGGCTGTATTAAAAACTATAAACTCAACAAAGCTTTGAAAAAATGGAGGAAGGTATGAATATGACGTTCTTTGACTTTGTTAAATGTTTTGAAATTGTTTAGAAAGAATACTTGGGTGTTATGAAGAAAAGATAAGATTTGACGAGTTGCAGATTTTGCGATAGCTAACCAACTTTTTCGTTTTGTTTTAATCGTGCCCCTTTAAAATACATTTATAGACCGTCCTCCAAGCCATCTTCATGAAAGACAGGCACTGACAAAACTAGACCATTCTGAATTGGAGGACAAGTTTATCAAATTAAGAGAGCAGAATATTGTAAGATCTGTTTTATATATTGAGTTTCTTCAATTATTTAGTCTTGAAACATTATTGTTTATTTCAAGGAACTTAAGAAATATGCAAGAAACCAGGAAGAAAAAATTAAACGGTATTTACATATTTTTCTATAAAAGGAGCAATCAAATCTAATATTGATTTTTGTGGCATTATAAAATGTATTTATTTATTTCGGTCTTCCAGTATGGCCACCAAACTTTTGCGTCTTGCTGCAGACAAAAAGAAGGCAGAAGGAGGTACATATAACTTATGAGTTTATTTAGATAAATGGAAAATTTGGAAAATGACTTAAGATATATTTTAATGTATTAAAATAAAGATGTATTATGTGTAACAAGCTTCACAACAAAACAGAACTACAGAAACTGTTACAAAATTATTCAAAAGTTGGTCATTGAAAGCAATGTTATATCATATGAAGCTACTGATCTACAGGTAATCAGAATTTTCAAACGGAGGAGAAGATGGCAGAAATGGAAGAGGAAATGAGAGCGCTCCAAAAGCAAAATTCCCAGCTAAAATATAAGGTTTACATCAAGATTAGCTGGTTAACTTTAATGTCTAATTTTTAATTTTCTCATTATAGATAAATATTTTGTACTTTAGTTAACATTAGCAAAACAACAATCATTGGGAGATCACAAACAGTCATCCCCCTATGGACATGTAAAAGCTAAAGTAAATTCAGTGAGTTAATGGTAAATTTTTCTTCTGTGGTAACATGAGTACCTTGTGTAGTTTTTATATATGATTTTTAGGGAATTCACAGCAGATCAAAGTCTAGTCAACAACAAAGGATCAAACAAAATTTACGTGTACAAGGTGACTTCACTAGGTATGTTGATAATGTTCATTTTTACAGAGATAATTTAATCTTCAACTTATTGATGTGCTTTACATGATTTTTAAAAAATCAGATCACCTAGACACATCCCTTCACCAATCCTTGCACAACCAAGGTACGTACGTAGGATTGTTGATATCTAACTTCTTCGTTGCAACGTTTTTAATGCCAGAAAGAGTGTATGAGATTACTATTTTTATAATGTGTTATTGATGCACAAGTTTAGATATGGACATAGTCTTCTGGAAGAAAAGAGAATTGAAAAGGAAGAACTGTAAATAAACAATATTGTTATCATTAGAACATTTGTTAAAATTTGAAATAGGTTTTGAAATGAATCTTTGTGGAAATTTAGAATTGTTATTCATGGTTGTTCACATGAAGAATTGAAATTTTGATTTTAGTGAGCAAGTTCTTCATTCGTTACAAGATAATATTAGAATGTTGGAGAAAGAAAGAAAGGAACTAAAAGATGAGGTTAAAATAAATATCAAGTTGCTGATTAACGCATAAATAATAACTTGTCTGTATATTTTATTGAAATATGTCCGTTTTTGTAGTAGATTATTCATGTGGGTTTTTTTATGTACTTCTTAGCTGCGACAAAAAGACGTCGACCACGAGTTGGTGATGACGAAGATACGGGAACAATTATCCGGTGCTCAAAGGTAAATTGAGAGTTTATATGATTCCATGAAATGATATGTTATAATTTGTATTTATGCTATACGTTATGTTTAGAACTTGTTCTGACACTTATTCTCACTTGATTATCTCTTAACATGTTTTTAGATGTAGATCGTCCTGGTTTCTCAAGGCCTGTGATGGACTGTTGGTATTGATATTGACTGACGTTTTGACAACCTTAGGATTGTTGTCATCATTTGCTTTGACTCTCGCTGAATATCGCGAAAGATGTCAAAATGTCAGTCAAAAACACCAACAGTTCTTTTTAGAACTGCACTAAACTGGACGGTCTACAGTCTACAAACATGTAATCCATACACTTGGGTTCAAACCATACACTTTATTTAATGTTTCTTGTCAGAGAAAGTATTCAGGAGAATGTCGATATGATTAAACTTCAAAGGGAAGTAAAAGATAAAGGGAGCAAGCTTCTCTCTATGGAGACAAAATTTAAAAATCTTAGCGAGGTGGAAAAACGTTACATCTTGGGGGAACAATTGGGAAAAGGAAACTTAGTATCCACATTTATATTTTTGTAGAATTTGAATAAGATGAAAGAGAGCCATGCAAAAGTCTTGGAAAATATGGAATCCATGAATGAAAAATTAAAGGAGGTTTGTTGTGATGAACATTGATTAAATCGTCAGTATTAAATACTTTAACATACGTAGCTATGTGTTGTACATAACAGCTATTGATTAACTTGTCAGTGTTAAATACTTTTAAATACGTAGTTGTGTATTTTGTATTCATCAATTCATCAGCTTTCAATACTGTCGCATGGCTGTATTTCGTGTCTTTTCAGGAGCAAGGCAAAAGTTTGATGTATCAAAACGAATTAAAGAACCACGATGTGACATCGAAAACTTTAGTTGAGGTAGAGTGAGGGATAGGAGAGTATATCATGTGTATGGTTTGGATGTATTGGTGGTCGTTAGAGTGAGGGATAGAAGAGTATATCATGTGTATGGTTTGGGATATATTGGTGGTCGTTAAAGTGAGGGATAGAAGAGTATATCATGTGTATGTTTTGGGATATATTGGTGGTCGTTAGAAAGAGGGATAGAAGAGTATATCATGTGTATGGTTTGCGATATATTGGTGGTCGTTAGAGTGAGGGATAGAAGAGTATATCATGTGTATGGTTTGGGATATATTGGTGGTCGTTAAAGTGATGGATTTAATTTTTTTAGCAACAGCAACTTATTGATGATCTCAATGCGGAACGGGAAATTTTAAAACAGGCGAATGAAAATCTCATGAAGAGGTGAAATTGAAGAGATTTTTTAAAATTATGTTTCAAATCAACTATCAACTTGTTCATCTTGTAGCGCCTTTGATTCTGAAAGAGAAAGACAACACGTAGCGCTTGAAAGACAACTAAAAGTAAACTTGAATTTTTCGAAAACTTCGTTGTTTTCCTTAACCCTCATGACTCATAATAAATTATAAATTTTTGTCTTTTGTCGGTAAAAGTGTTGAAAATTTCTTCATTTTTATACAGGTGGAAATTGCGACCCTAGAAGCTTCTGTAAAATCTGAACTGGAGGAAAAGAACGATATTTTAGATCAACTGATGAAGGAGAGAGGTACTGTAGAATGGATTATGTTTTATTTTTAGTTATTACGGCTGTGCGGTACGTTTCAGAGATTTTACCTCAATTTTGGTTTTGGTTCATTTTGTTTTAAAAAAGAGGAGCAAAAATGAACTAACTCAATCATGAATATGACAAAGCGAGTTGTAAACTTGCACAGTTCTGTTAGTGTGTTGATTGCTTTGTTGTACAAACTGCACACATTGTTTCTTGTTTCTTTTTTGAAATACTTCCAATTCGGTCCTTAAAGTTTTCGTTACATAAATAAAATGGAAAATAGGGATTTTTTCGTTTAACCGCACAGTTGTATGAGTTGTATAAATGAAGATGTAGCTACATGCTTTAGGTGTAAATATTTGTTCTGCAAAATATGTTCGTTTGACAGTCTTCTCTATCTTTACGTAATTATTTGATCAAAACGTTATATACTGTTTGTGTGCAGTTTTCTCTTTGAATGCGAGTCATATGCGATGAAAATGATTCCCTGAATATGTCTTTTTTAGACTCAAAAGAGGATCTTCACCAGGAAATGCGTGATATTAAAGTGAACTATTTTTCGTTAAAAGAAAAATATGACGACGTGTCAGAAAAATTGAAATTTTTCACGAAGGTGGTTGGATGTTAAATGTCTTCTAACTATTTTGTGCATGTAGATAGTATGGCAAATCAATATTCACCTACACACAGGCAATTTGAATTGTTGTGAAGGAGTTTTTTACCCACAGTAACTGAATTGTAATGATAATTCTTGATAATTACATCCAGGAAAGCGCCGTTGATGTACAAGAACTGGAGGAAGCGCTTACTTTAATAAAGGTTACAAACCAGCTTGTCTTTGCGGTCTTTTAGGAATGAAATAGTACACCCCAAGCATGTCTTTTTTAGACTAATAAAAATCCTTAGCAGCCTGTACTTTGGGGGTCTTTCAAGGATAGAATAGTACATTCCAAACCTTCGTTTATAGTGTATGTTAAATTTTGTTTGTTTCCAGAGAAGAAAGGAGAGTGGAAGTCAAGATTTAGATTTCTTGGAAAAAGTTGACAGTGAAGTGGATAAAAGTAAGTCATTTTTCTGAATGCTTTATTTATTGGTTTATATATGACGACGTAGCAGCAGAACATTTGATTGGTTGACGTTGTGTTTGTATATGACGACGTAGCAGCAGAACATTTGATTGGTTGACGTTGTGTTTGTATATGACGACGTAGCAGCAGAACATTTGATTGGTTGACGTTGTGTTTGTATATGACGACGTAGCAGCAGAACATTTGATTGGTTGACGTTGTGTTTGTATATGACGACGTAGCAGCAGAACATTTGATTGGTTGACGTTGTGTTTATATATGACGACGTAGCAGCAGAACATTTGATTGGTTGACGTTGTCTTTCAGACGCCCAGAAACGGATACAAGAACTTCAAATATCGCATGCTGACACAATCAATGAGTTAGAAAAAACAAGAAATATGCTAGTTTTGCAGCATAAAATTAATAAAGACTATAAAACTGAGGTATTTTGAAATATTTTGAATTGCAAAAACGTACTTTTGATGTAATGATAATGATGTTAAATTGTACCTACCGTTTGTTCATTTTTATACAAGTGACGTCAGTTGTTTTTTTGTTTTTATTGTGTTGACTTTTGCAAAATCTTATAGTTATGTTATGTTTTGTTGTGTTAACTTTTTCAAAATCTTATAGTTATGTTATGTTTTGTTGTGTTAACTTTTGCAAAATCGTATAGTTATGTTATGTTTTGTTGTGTTGACTTTTTCAAAATCTTATAGTTATGTTATGTTTTGTTGTGTTAACTTTTTCAAAATCTTATAGTTATGTTATGTTTTGTTGCGTTAACTTTTGCAAAATCTTATAGTTATGTTATGTTTTGTTGTGTTAACTTTTTCAAAATCTTATAGTTATGTTATGTTTTGTTGTGTTAACTTTTTCAAAATCTTATAGTTATGTTATGTTTTGTTGCGTTAACTTTTTCAAAATCTTATAGTTATGTTATGTTTTGTTGTGTTTCATGTAGGTTGATAAAGTTACAAATAAAATGGTGGAAGACAAGAAAGAGTACGACCAACGCCTTCAAGAATACGCACAATTACTAGATATAAGAGCTGATCGAATCAAGGTGTTTTTTGGAATTTTCAATTTCTATAAAAAACATATTGTTTAACACAAATGTGTTATATTTTATCATTTTTATTTGGGAGCGAAGAGTGTCTTCTCAAAGGTCTTTCTATTATAGAAACTTGAATGTCAAATACATGATATTGCCTATGGCACGAAACAATACAATGTTGTGAGCACTGGAGAGGTCTGTGATGTGATCTCGATAAAAATAATCTCGTTATTTATTCATGGTATTATAACCTTGCGTTTTTATTTAGGTACCCGAGTTTGACAATGAAACAAATGTTGAGAATTTAGAAAGAGGAGAAAATCTTTTCGAGATTCACATTGGAACAGTGAGAGCTTCTTGCTGTTGTTGTTGTTGTTTAGCTTTTTATGGAAGGTTATTTAACGTTATTAAACATGTTTAAAGGTATGTCTGTCAGACGAAGTTTCGTCATTGCTTGAGGGATTGGAACCTAGCTGTTTTATCACTTATGAATTCTTTGAACATGAAATTCAAGCGACCCCAGTTATGAAAGGAAAAAGGTATTTTATAGCTCGTGATAAACTGTTTTTTATGACAACTGTGGACTCATGAGACTTCTTACACATGTGACTTTTTACCCACGTGAGACTTCTTACCCATGTGACTTTTTACCCACGTGAGACTTCTTATCCATGTGACTTTTTACCCACGTGAGACTTCTTATCCATGTGACTTTTTACCCACGTGAGACGTCTTACCCATGTGACTTTTTACCCACGTGAGACTTCTTATCCATGTGACTTTTACCCACGTGAGACTTCTTACCCATGGGACTTTTACCCACGTGAGACTTCTTACCCATGTGACTTTTTACCCACGTGACACTTCTTACCCATGTGACTTTTACCCACGTGAGACTTCTTATCCATGTGACTTTTACCCATGTGACTTCTTACCCATGTGACTTTTACCCACGTGAGACTTCTTACCCATGTAATTTTTTACCCACGTGAGACTTCTTACCCATGTGACTTTTACCCACGTGAGACTTCTTATCCATGGGACTTTTACCCACGTGAGACTTCTTACCCATGTGACTTTTACCCACGTGACACTTCTTATCCATGTGACTTTTACCCACGTGACACTTCTTACCCATGTGACTTTTACCCACGTGAGACTTCTTACCCATGTGACTTTTTACCCACGTGACACTTCTTACCCATGTGACTTTTACCCACGTGAGACTTCTTATCCATGTGACTTTTACCCATGTGAGACTTCTTACCCATGTGACTTTTTACCCACGTGAGACTTCTTACCCATGTGATTTTTTACCCACGTGAGACTTCTTACCCATGTGACTTTTACCCACGTGAGACTTCTTATCCATGGGACTTTTTACCCACGTGAGACTTCTTACCCATGGGACTTTTTACCCACGTGACACTTCTTACCCATGTGACTTTTTACCCACGTGACACTTCTTACCCATGTGACTTTTTACCCACGTGAGACTTCTTATCCACGTGACTTTTTACCCACGTGAGACTTCTTACCCACGTGAGGGAATTCTTATGTGACCATGAGAATAGTTGATCGAGTGGTCATATATTTCATCGTTTTAGAATGGATTTCAATTTTACATCTTTGTATGTCGTAAAAATCGACGATTTCTTTCTTCATTACCTGCAAAAGGTAAATTTTCATTAAAACCCAAGTCTTAATGGCATATGGTTTGTTCTGAGGAAGATGACTTATGTTGTAATTTCGTTGTTTTTTTTATGACACTTTTCAGGAATCTACGATTGTAGAACTTCATCGTGCTGTTGGTTCTTCATACGAAACAATAGCTGTGTGCAACCTAAAGCTAAGAGAGCTTCTTGAAAGATCTCATGGACGTCTTCACGGGACTGCTAAATTGCTGGGTTAGTCAACGTGAAAATTTTATGTCAATGAAGTGTTTAGATTGCCTTTATTTTGATGTGTGTTGTAGGTACAAAATCATCCAATGGAGGAGTTGAATGTGCTACTATGGAGTACTGGGTCCGACTTCGCGTCCCCATGGAACAAGCCATACGTTTGTTTAAAGTACGACGAGATTTCTTTTTCTCAGTCAAGCGGAGATGAAACGTTTCAAATACCGTAAATAGACTCATGAGAAAATTTTATTGATAAGATAATATATTTTGTGAACGTATTCGATCATTAAATATATATTAATACAAATAGGAGCGGAGTAAAGCGCTTGGTTATTTGAATGCGCAAGGCTACAAAGCATTAGAAAAGACTGGGGACGAACTACCGTCTGACATCAACGAACTTATCATAACGATTAACAGTTGCTCCAATCTCAAACCACGACGTGATGGTATGGCAGATGTATATTGATATTTATTTTTAAATTTATTGCATTTTAAACCATTTTTATCTTTGACAGATGTTCAACCATCTCCTTATGTCGTGTACAGATTATATGATTTTGCTGATCATGATACCGCGATTATTTCGAATTCCAACTCACCACAATGGAACGATAGACGTACATGGCCTGTTCCTATGACTGAGGATTTACATACATATCTTACATCGCAGGTGACACTGACTTTACTCTCTTGTTTTGTCCAAAGCCATCATCAGAGTATATACATAATATATTAATCCTAACACGGTTTTTAATATGCACATGAAAAACATGTGTCTTGGACGAGATTTGATCTCGTACCTTCGGGTACTAGTCCGCCGCTCTACCTGTTGAGCTACCAAGCCTCTTGTTTTGATCCCATTGTTATGATTGATGAATATAAATATTGCTGTTTTATTCGTTTTATCCGTTTTATTCGCTATCTAGTCTTTGGAAGTTTATGTATTCGACGATGTAGACCCTGAAGCGACCGCTTACCTCGGTTTGGCAAAGATACCACTCATATCGCTGGCTCATGATCAAACTATCAAAGGATCGTTTGATCTTGTGAAGGTAGGCGTGTGTTATAGCTTACGACGGTAAAGAATTTTACTTTTCAACTTTTAAAATCTTTCATTCTCATCTTTATATATTTTGCCATGCCTATTGTCAGGAAAATGGCGAAAAGAATGGAATTGTCGATGTCTCTATAGAATGGAGAAATACTTATCTTCCTGCAAGTTGTAAATTGAAGAATAACGCACTAAATGTATTTTATTTTGTTGAAATCTATAGAAGCAAACTTTTGATTGCGATTGATTTTATTTCTCTGTATTTCTCATTTCAGTACATGTCTAATAATGACGATGAAATAGAAAGTCAGGGGGAGGTGATTGATCAGACCGAAAGTCAGGGGGAGGTGATTGATCAGACCGAAAGTCAGGGGGAGGTGATTGATCAGACCGAGAACAAGCCCATCGTTCCTTTAGTTGCATCAACGCCGAAGCAATCTCGCGAAAATGTTGTCATGAAACCACCAAAGGCGCGGCCGAGGTCTGAGAAGAAAGAACAGTCAACGTCAAAGTTAGCAAAATCTTTCAATAAAGATACCACGGGGTGTGTAAGGATTACTGTCTCTATATCCCTGTATGCTACCTACCTTTCACACAGTTTGTTCTCTGATCTTTAATGTCTTGTTCATATGTGTAAGGATTACTGTCTTTATACTTCTCTCGACAGTTTTAAAGAATGATCTTTCATTTTATTCCTTTGCAGTGAGAGTAAACTTCTTGATAAAAAAGAGATTGAAATTCACAAGGATATGACCGTTGATGAGTTGATCTTGGCTTCTGAAGGAATTCACAAATTACCAATAGTGGATGATGTTCAAGAGAAGGAAGACGTATGATTTTACATGTTCTTCATTAAGATGATGTAAATTGTGTTGGTAAATCACATGTGTTTTGTACTTGTTAAGCTGGCAACGACGAGTGCTGCAGTCACTGAAAAGCCTGTATTAAGTGAAGACACAAATTTTGACGACGAAAGTACAGGTGTGAACTGATAGTTGCATTGCAAACATCCTTGGTTTACTTCTATTCTAGGTCCCTTCTATCCTATGTTGTTGCCCCTTTTTTATATCTCTCCTATCCTATGCTGTTTGCCCTATCCTATATGTTCTCCGTCGTTTTGCCCAGATTTCCATCATCGTTTTCAAAATTTTTCTTTTTCGTTTTCGGTAAATGATAAAGACAGCGAAGATGCGATTGAAGTTGTAACCCGAGACTTTCCTGAACATTTATTATCGGGTAGTGAAGACCATACCAGTGACAGTGATGGTCTTGTAATGTCATCAATATCTGCTCGTAGTGGTAAAATAATGCAGGTGTATTTATTTACGAATTAATGATTGCTCTCCTGGGATATACTTACGATTCAAATACTGATATTTTTATTCAATTATTTCCACAGCGTCCCGAACAAATCACGATAATGGTGAACAGTCTGACGCTGTATCCTGATACGTCAATTATTAATGATGCTTCCATTACTCAACTCTTTGTTGCCTATAAATTTCTCAACTATGATCTCGGTGAACTGGAAACACCTGTATCTCTCCCAAGCCCCCTCCATATCAACCCATACACTATAACTTCAAGAAAGGTAAGATGTGTGTATTTGTGTGCTTGACAGGGTGAGAATTGTTGAACAATCCATCTTTCCGACGGTAAACACATGTCTCAAAAATACGAGATCAAATTACAAATTTCGGACAATCAAATGGTCGGACATAGTATTGTATTTGTAGAATAGTGACAATAAAATAGAAAGAAGATGCTCTTGGGGCATTTGTAAATCTTATTTTCGAAATCTCCTACCAAAACGTTAACATGCGGCGTTATAGTGCCTTGCGCTTAAGAAAGTATCGGGAAGCATGGACCGAAAACGGGGTTTTTTGCTTTCGAATTTAATCTTTTTTTTCTTTACAAGAGTTCTTCTCTTAAAATAAATCAAGCAATGTTTCAATTAACTTCATCTGACTCTGTGCCTTTTTCTGACACTTATAATTCAAGACAACCTTAAACATCACGTTTTATACAATTTTTATTAGTTTATATCTTCTGATTTAACTCTCTCATTTACTGTTTCTCATGTATCACGAGCAAACCATCCATGGGCTTCATGGCGAACAAGGATTATCTGGTTCCATTATTTAACATGCGACGCTCTAGTGCCCAACTGTCTCGGGATATCGGGAGACATGGACCGAAAACGGGATTTTTTGTTTTCAAAATTTGTCTCGATAGAACATCCAACGATACTGCAAAGGCTCAAACAACTTCTGTCTTTTTAAATTCAACCCAACTCTAATTTAAACTATGATAAAAATAATTTAAACCAACTCTAACATGTTTATACTTAGTTGTTATCTTTTTTACATAACTCTCTCGTGATGAACGACAGCACCCATGAGCTTCATGGAAAAAAGGGATTATCTTCTTTTTCAATAATAGTTTTTACAAAGATAACATTTAATAAGCCAAGCCATGTGTATCGTCTAAATTGAACCTTTATGTCATAAAATTTTAATTCAGTTTGGATAGTAAATTTCTTTTGACCTTAAATATTTTCATAATTCAATCTAGAAAGTAACTTGTCTTCTCCAGTAATTTTGCGATTAAATAGCACACTTTTCGAATTCAAAGGAATTCCTTTGATCGCATAGAGACAGCTGTCCAATTTATTTGTTCTCGTATTTTTGACATGTGTGTCTACCGTCGAAAAGGTGGATTGATGGTCTTGATGTTTGGTCTTTGATAGTTCGCTGATGTAGAGTAATATCTTAAATAATAAATGGACAGTTTTGTTTAGAAAGATTCATATGGTAGCAGCTATATTAGCTTTACTTGTATGTGTTTTTACATAACTACATTATTATTTCAGCGTCTTCGTACTTTAAACAGGACTAAGGCTTGTTTAAGTGAATCAAAGTCGTTGTTTTTACCTCCTAGTAACACATTGTATCTCTTCAATGGATGATATTGTATCTATGAAAAACTTTACAAATCTGCAATTTTCTATGGAAAAAAATCTTCAGTTTGTCTGTTGCTGTCTTTTTGTAGTTTTTCCAGTCGACCGTGAAACGAATAATCAGAAACGACAATTGCTAATTCATACCTTATCCACTGAAAATCCTGGGCAAGGAAGGTGTGCTGTTCGTCTCGTTTCTTCTTGTTCTTGATAACTTTGAGTCCCCAGGCCTCTGATTTATCTCATTAAGCCAGTTTTATTTTATATTATTATAGAGTATTATTTTGTAAGAAACAACTTTATACTGTACATGCTTCTACATAGAAAACACTTTTTCCGCTTACATAAAGTTTATTACCATCCAGTAACCAAGGACTGCTACGTACACCTTGTAGTAACAAGTGTTACAATTGTACATGTGTGTATTGCTCCATATTTTAGATTGATATTTAGTGTTGTTAGTGATCCTGGACTTAATGATGATGGTGATTGTATTGATGTTGCGTTTGCTGTCGTCGATCTACTAAAGGTAGGAGTGTACTACTTCCATTTTGAAAGGTTATAGTCTTGTAAGGATTTTTTCCTGAGTATATATTGTATGTACATTTCAGATTTTCGAAGATAATGCTGATATTATTGAACAGAACATTGAACGTAAGCTTTCTTTAAGCGCCAATGAATGAGCTCTAGTCTGCTGTACGATGACTCATGTTTACGTGGTATTTTCTAGTTTATAGTTTTGCTGACGGAGCAGATCTTGTTGGTTGTTTGACAGTGACCGTTGAAGCGCTAGAAGCTTTGAAAAGTTTGTATGATGACGTAAAGTAAACCACTGTATAAATGAAACGCCTTTGGCTTAAGGTTTTTAAGTGGATGGATCATGTCGGCTTGTTTGGAGGAGAACCATTGATTCTTTTAAAAAATAAAATTGCGAGAAAAAAGTTTATCAGAGTATAGGAAAGTGTTAAAACACAATTTATTTCATAGTGTCCTAAAACATGTTTGTAATGTTTTAATGTTGTAACGTACGCCTTGATCTACAAAAATCCTACAAACAGATAAAGAAAGATCCACGAACAATAGAATCTCTGAGACTTAAATATATATTTAATAAAATAGTTATTACTAATGTCTATATGTGCATAATGTCATATATATGTATTCATCACACATGATAAGTACATGGAAATGAAGAAGCACACACTGACTTTCCTGCATGAAGTAACGACCTGAATTCTGCATAATATTTGAATATCGAGGAGACATGTTCATTGAACCTCAACCGATGTTTACAAGGAATGATCGGTTTTGGTTCCGATATCTTATATTCTATCAAACCGTTCAATAAATTTGGTAAAGATTTTTGGAAGTTTGTTCGATAAAGATTTTTATTGAAACCTTCTTTTCCAACCCGTGTAATTGTCTTTGTTGAATTTTTATTTGAATTCAAGTTATCATCTTTGTATTCCTTGTATCTTTAAGCAAAAAGTTTCATACAAGACAAGACAGGGTAAGAATGAAAAACTGCTTGGTGATATAAAATCGTACAGGTACTTATCCTAGTGACTTCAACAAAATATTATTGTAACTTACCAGCAATGTTGAGAGCTAGGTTAACTTACTTTGTAATAATTCAATTAGTCTTTGTTCAATCCTGCTGTGTTGGCTTGCTGTTATATGCGCGCGTGTTCGAACTGCCTTGAATTGTTGTATTTCAATATATGTATAAATAATGTTGATGATATCTGACTGGTATAGTGTAATTTTAGAATTGTTTTTGTTGAGATTTTTCATTGTAAATGATTGTCTGTTTTTATCGAGACATGATTATCAAATTTTGTACATAACCGTTTGCATAAACTGTGAAGTTCCTGTCATTAACCTTTAGCTGCCGGCTGTGAAATTTCCCACCACAAGGTCTTTGTCTCTGTAAATACGTAGTAATGGTAAGCGAAAAACACCGTTATTGCAACGTGTTCAACGTGACGATGACAATGAGGATGAAGTTATATATAAACCGAAGTAAGTTGATTTTAACATTTGTAGAATATTGCTAGATTTAGATAAAAATTACGAAAAATATTTAGCAAGATGATAGTTGTTAAAAATTCATCTCTCTCAACAGAGAGCGACAAGCCAGGCAAATGGCCTCCTTCAAACAATTGGTATGTCATTTTCTTTTGTTGTTGATCATTTTTTTTATTCGAAATAATTATAAATATTCATGTTATCACAATAGGAAAAGACGTTATCTGTTGGTTCTCTCTGAAAAGACGCTTGTTTATATAAATAGTATTTAGTTATACTATTATGTCTCCTCGTTACACTTTTCAAAAATTTTCTATCCATGATATCCATAGTTATCATACACAACGTGAATCGTTCTATCCTTGATATCCATGGCTGTCACAGCGTGAATCTTTCAATCCATGATTGTCACAACGTGAATCTTTCAATCCTTGATATCCATGGTTGTCACAGCGTGAATCTTTCAATCCATGATGTCCATGGTTGTCACAACGTGGATCGTTTTCTATCCATGATATCCATGGTTATCGTACGCAACATGAATATTTTTTATCCATGATATCCCTGTTTATCAATAAGTCAATTCTTTTCTATCCATGGTATCCATGGCTATCATTCACAACATGAATATTTTTTACCCATGATATCCATAGTTATTACAACGTGAATCTTTTCTATCCATAATTAATCCATGATATACATGATCGTCACAACGTTATTCATTTCTATCCATGACATACCCATGGTTATCATACACCACATGTTGTATAGTATCCTGTATGTTATAGTTTCGTTTTGCTGACAAACTTGATGTTTGGTTGCTTGTCATTGGAACTCTTGGATGTTTGAGTTACGGTGCTCTTGGACCTTTGCAATTTCTTGTCATGAAAAGTGTCACGGATGATTTTGTCCAATTCATTCACTGTTTTCGCTCCAACTGCAGCAGTCCCGTGGATCTAGAAAAAAGCATGACGGAAGCTGCTCTATGGTACATTGGATTTGCGGTCATGAACCTTACATTTGCTTGGGGTGGTCTTGGTTTATGGGGCGTTTCAGCTGAGAGGCAGGTCCACAAAATGAGATTGGCTATGTTTCGAAATATCATACATCAGGAAATGGCATATTTTGATGTTAAATCGAGTGGAGAACTAGGAATTCATCTTTCGCAGTACGTTGCTTTCCTTATACTTTGATTTTATTTGTGCATTACTGACGTGTTTTATAAACGTTGAAGTGGTGTACTTCCACTTGAGAAAACATTTGTTTTTTCCTTTCAGAGATATGAATAAAGTTGTTGACGGTCTGGGTTCGAGATTTGGTCGACTTATCTACAGTATAACAGCTTTTGTTTCCGGTTATTTTTTGGGATTTTTTTTCTTATGGAAAATGACGCTTGTTATGTTGGCTGCTTTGCCTTTGCTTGCCTTGAGCGTTGGTTTATTCGCGAAGGTAAACTATTTGAAATACTTAAAAAGAGCCGAGATTTCCTCATTCCAATATAATTTATACTCTTTTAGGCCGTTGGAGGATTTGCAGCAAAGAACTTGCGGCTTACGGTAGAGCTGGAAATGTTGCCGAAGAAAGTTTATCTTCTATAAGAACTGTCGCATCATTCGGGGGAGAAACGGAACAAACAAGAAAGTAATTCACCGTGTTTAACATGTGGAATAAACTGCAATAAAACTTATAAAAAGTATTTGAAAACTGACTTTTGTTTTTTTAAGATATGATGTTCATTTGAGTGAGTCGAGGAAGTTTGGTATCAATAAAGGACTCGGTATAGGCATTGGTATGGGATTTTTTCAAGTTGTCTCCTTGGCAATGTATGCTATCGCATTGTGGTAAGATTTTCGTTATTGTAGTGTCTTATATGAACTTGTTTATGTTATCGTACATTGTGAATATCTGTGATAATTTTCTCTCTCGCGGATAGCTGTATTCAAATGGTCAAACTGGCTTTGACAAATAATAGATGATCAATCGCTCTATTTCTTAAGATTTCTTGGCAAGATCTTTTTAATATAAAAGAGCAAATGATGTTGACAATATTTGGCTTGTTGCTACATGTTTGTGGATGTCGATCGCCCAGGTTAGTGCAGTCCTATGAAGAATTTTGGTGTTGGTATTGACTATGCTTATGGCTAAGAATGTCGAAACGTCCGTCGATACTAACAACAGTCCTTCTCAGAACTCCACTAACATGGACGAGCTATATCAACAAACATGTAACGATACTCCCGGGCTCATACCATTCAAACTTAATGACCATGTTACGTCATGTAGGTACGGTATAAAACTAGTTCAAGATAAAGAAGCTGAACCTGGAGAGGTGTCCAGTGTATGTAACGATCGTACTTTTACTTTTGCTACTATAAAACATTCAATGAACTGGATTTTGTATACTTCATGTAGCAACCATTCAAAGTAAGATTTATTTATTACGTTATCTAAGAGGTTATTTACGTTTTCTTGCAGACATTTTTTATGGTTATGATTGGTTCAGGAACATTGGGACAAGCAGCTCCATGTATCGAGGCTTTGGCGAGTGCACGTGTTGCCGCTTTCAAATTGTTTAATATTATTGATAAGGTAGGTCTTGCCTGAGAACAGGCTTAAAAATTAGAAGAACGGTTATCTTGCTCTTTGCAACTGGGACTGTTCGCAGGCTCGTTGGGAGAACAGTTGGGTATTGAAATAATAAACGAAATTTCATGTCGATGTCATTTATGCGCACTTATTTGTGGTCGAAATATTTTTGAAAATTTTGATTGTTTAATAATACAATTTATTGTGTTGTGCAGAGATCAAAAATCGATGCCTTCTCCGAAAAAGGATTGAGGCCAAATGTGAAAGGAGATATAGAGTTTCGTAACATCAACTTTGTCTACTCAAATCGACCTACTGTGCAGGTATGTTGCTTGATGTATTATTACTGCTGAGTGCAATATTTATAATCACGACTTTCTCGCAGGTTTTAAAAGATTTCAATCTCAAAGTGTCACGTGGTAAACGCGTTGCTCTAGTTGGTGAAAGTGGTTGTGGTAAAAGTACTGTGGTTAAACTTATTTCGCGGTTCTATGATCCTCAAGATGGTGCTGTAAGAGTTAACTTAAAGAATGTTATTGTTGTCAGTAGGATACGTTCATGCTAAAGTTGGTCGCTTTAAATTTTTTTGTTGTAGATATTATTGGATGGCGAAGAATTGAGAGACTACAATGTCAGTCATCTTCGTCGACATATTGGTGTCGTAAATCAAGAGCCTGTTTTATTCTCAACAACAATTGCAGAAAACATTGCTCTTGGTGGCCATGATGGAATCTCGCCAGAGGAAATTGAGAAAGCTGCAAGAGCAGCTAATGCTCATAGTTTCATTTCACAATTTCCTGATGTAAATTGGCATTTTATTATCATTCTTTTAACAGAACTCGATCTTTCATTCATTACAATTGTCATTTCTCCCAAGGGTTATCAAACACAATGTGGTGAACGTGGAGCAAAAATGAGTGGTGGTCAAAAGCAACGTATAGCCATAGCAAGAGCTTTAGTGAGAAATCCTAAAATATTATTGTTGGATGAAGCCACATCTGCCTTGGACTCGGAGAGTGAAGCTGTCGTACAGGAAGCACTGGACAGGGTAAATATGGAGTACTGGTGGATATTGGTTGTTGGGTGGAGATGCGAAAATATGGAGTACTAGTGGATATTGGTTGTTGGGTGGACAGGGTAAATATGGAATACTAGTGGATATTGGTTGTTGGGTGGTTATGGGAAAATGGATTACTAGTGGATATTATTTGTTGGGTAGACATAGGAAAATAAAGAGTAGTAATGGAGATTGGTTGTTGGGTGGACATGGTAAATACGGAGTAGTTGTGGATATTGGTTGTTTATGGGTAATTGACTATTTACCATTATTTTACTGAAGGCTGGCGATGGTCGCACTACTATCATCATAGCTCATCGCTTGTCAACCATCAAGAATGCTGACGTCATAGTTACTATGAAAGATGGTCACGTGGCTGAGATTGGAACACATGACGAACTGATCGCCATTAATAATGGGATATATAAAACATTAGTTATGTTGCAGGTGAGATTCCACGATCTAACATTGCGGGAAAATATACAATTTTAGTGTAGTGATTCATAGCAAATATTGAACATCATTTATTATTCCCATAAATTAACTGTGTTTATAATTTTCTGCACAACAGAACGCGGAAGACAACGATGTTTTTGGTTGTGATGGGAGCGAAGATGAAAACGAAGACGAACTTCGATCGTTTCAACTTGAGGAAGGTTGCAAACAGTTTTTGTCGAATTTTTGTGTTGAAAATATCATAATGAACATCATGTTGAGCAGGTCCACATTGTCTTCGCTGGCCAAACACAAAAATTTGCCAGACTGTTAACTTTCCATGGCTTTATCATGACATGTATTGACAAACGTTCTCATTCAACTCTGTTTATTTCATTTTTAGCGGATGGCGCTTTTAAACTTGGATCATTCACTTCAAGTGGTAGTGTTTTAGGTCTGACAAAATCACTTGTGGTAAGAAAGTTAACTACATTGCATTATTATGCTTTAATTTTAATCTCGAGAAAAATTTCAGGTTTTAGTTCCGCTTTCTTTTGTCTTATAGACAGAAGAAGCGGATGAATCAAATGATAAACCTTTATCATTTTTTCAAATCTTTGCATACAACATGCCCGAGTTATGTTTCATCATTTTTGGTTGCCTTGGCAGCGCCTTGTATGGAACTAGTCCCACTTTATATGGTATCTGTATGGGAGGAATATTTGAGGTTGTAATTATTTATAATTATTTATAATGTATTCAAGTCTCTTAGAAATCTAGGGAGGTGTTATCCCTAGCATGGAGAAAACTGCAAAATCCGTCGTCCCCTCCGTACTAAATTCATATATGCGAAAATGATCGTTTGTTCCTGTATATGATGGTGACTTCTTTGATAATATTTAGACATTGACGTATGATCCAAATATTCCATCACAACATGATGACATGACTGAAGATTCACGTAAATGGGCTTTGGTATTCAGTACGTTAGGTTGTGTTTCTGGTTTCGGTGTATTTTTGCAAGTAAGACATACTCTTATAGATAAAAGATGTTTTATTCATTTATTGCAGTTTGATTTTTCACATAAAAAACCATTGCATCATGGAATTTTCTTTCAGTATTGGATGTTTGCTAAATCTGGAGAGACAATGACGCAACGTCTCAGAAAATCGTATTTTCTTGCCATTCTCAGGCAGGTATCCTTTCCTATCCTCTCGTGTACACATTATACCCACTGTTTGCAGTATTTGCTCTCGACTTTCTTGTTTAGGAAATATCGTTCTTCGATAAAATTGAGAATAGTACTGGTGCTCTTTGTCGCAAACTATCTGATGAAGTATCTGCTGTACAAGGGGTACGTGGTAAAAAAATTAGTCGATCTGTGATTGGAGAAGTGATTTATTTGCAGTTTGACTTTCGCTCAATAAGTTATTCTATTTACTGTGCAATTGTTCATGAGTAATCCTCAATACTACGTTGAGAAAGAAAATAAGCGTCACGTGAAATGGCTGCATTTACCTTTAAGTTATTAATATATATGGCCAAATTGCAGATGTTTTTTGTTATTTCACAACTGTTAACATCGTTATTAAGTGAGATTGAAAGCACAGCGTTTCTCAGGCATTTATTTTTAAGGTTTAGTCTTCAAATTTCAGGCAACTGGCACGCAGCTAGGTTTTGTTGTTTCAACGATGGTGTCCGTCATAAGTGGTGTTTTGGTTGCATTCATTAACAGTTGGAGATTGAGTTTAGTGATGACAGTTATGGCTCCACTTATATTCTTGTGTGGCGTCTCGTATAATGCTGCTATCGGCTCGGTTGGTCGACGAAATCTTGAGGAAGACGCTGGACAGGTAATGGTTAAACTTTTGCTTGTAACTTATGGATTGTGGAAAATTTTAGTATTCGTGTTTTGATTTTAGAATTCAAGTTTTCATTTGTATAGGTTGTAGAGGAGACTTTCTCAAACGTGCAAACTGTAGCTTTATTAGGAAAAGAAGAGGTTTTCTTTGAGCGTTATCGAGAAGCAATGATCGAGCCTTTCCGGTTAGAAAATATCTCAAACTCATTATATTTAGTTGAGTTACCATCGTCCTGTACAATGTTCGAGTTTATTTGGATGAATTTATTGTTAATATAGAAAAGGAAGAAAGAGCGCTCATTTTGCCGGTTTGGCTACAGGTTCTTCTCTATGTATTGTTTCTCTGACATTTGCTGCCACTTTTCGTTATGGCGCTTTTCTTATCGTTCATCATAAGGTCACTTTGAAAGAAATGATGACGTAAGATTCGTATTTTGCATTTTGCTGCATTATTTCTTATCTATCTGCTGTACTTCATTTAATTCTTGTGTTGCAGAACGGTGTTTACATATCTGGGTGTGGGTGTGATAGTTGGTCAGAACAGCTCCATGACACCTGATTATGTGAAAGCAAAACGTGCTGCTCGAAATATATTTAATTTCTTAAAGTTGAGCCCCTTCATCGATAACCAATCGGAGGAAGGCTTGAAACCAGTAAGAACCAATGAGATTTAAGCTATATTATAAATTGTTTATAAATCATCTGTATGAACACATCTATAAGGAATATCTTTCGTAATCTCTAGGATATTTACTGATATTGCATCTCTACTAAAGAGATAACAAATTTTAAACGGTTTCATTGATAAGACTCTTGTATGTCTGTTAATGGAGAACTATGTTTTCTTTGGAAAGAACTTTGCTTTAAAGGATAAATCCCTTACAGAAAATACGTATCTTCTTCAAAAGAAATGCATGTCACACGAGAAATATACCTTACAGGAGAATTTATCACTTTACAGGAGAAATGTTCCTCACAGGAGGAATATCCCTTACAGGAGAATTTATCTCTTTACAGGAGAAATGTTCCTCACAGAGGAATATCCCTTACAGGAGAATTTATATCTTTACAGGAGAAATGCAAGGGCGACATCAAGCTTGAATATGTCCAGTTCAGGTATCCAACGAGAAGAAAAGTAAAGGTTTTACGTAATTTCAACCTTCATGTCAAACGAGGTCAAACTGTTGCATTGGTTGGTAGCAGTGGATGTGGAAAGAGTACCGCTGTATCATTGGTCCAGCGGTTTTACGACATACAAGATGGTAGTGTGGTAAGAAATGACTGACGGTAACAATACAGCATGAAATCACCACGTACTTTTTTTTATGAAGTATTTTCTTCAGACACTCGATGGTCACGACGTTAAAGATTTAAACATAAAATGGTTACGACGGCAAATTGGTTTTGTATCCCAGGAACCTGTCTTATTTGACGTCACGATTAGGGAAAATATTGCTTATGGTGATCTCACTCGCGACGTCAGTGATTTTGAAATCGAGGCAGCGGCAAAATCCTCAAATATTCATGACTTTATACGCAGTCTACCACAGGTATTCAAATGCTATATGGAAATTTAACAAATAGATTAAAGTGTATTTTACTGATCTAAAACTTTCTTTACAAAACTAACTTTTATTAATAATATGTACAAAAAGCTTGTATCTTTCGTATAATATTTGTGTTCGCTTTCACAGTACATATTGTCTTAGTCGTACAGGAGCTATGATTTTTGAGGGGGGGAGGGGGCAGTAAATATTTTCCCCAACTCACATTGAAGGTTCCGCCATATTTTCGCCCGAATAAATTTAAAATTTGCCCAACTTTTCAATCTTCAAAATTTCTTGGGGAGGGAGGGCAGCTGCCGCCCAAGGATATTTTTTTATTTCAGGGTGACATTCATCAAATGAATAATCTGTGGATAATAAAAAAGAAGATGATTTTTTAGGGCTACGACACAATGGTTGGTGAAAAAGGAACGCAGATTTCAGGAGGTCAAAAGCAGAGAATTGCTATCGCAAGAGCGTTAATTCGCGATCCAAAAATACTTTTACTAGATGAGGCAACTTCTGCATTGGACAGCGAAAGTGAAAAGGTGAAATATTGAATTTAAATATTTATGCTATTTCGTTATTACAAGGAAATGTGTTCTAAGTTGCCACCTGCTAACGATATAGTTACAACATTCCTTCAAATATCGTTTTTTAATCTGTTCATCATGCATAAGAAAGTCAACAATTAAAGAATGAATTTTATTAAACATGATAAATTTTCACGAAGTGATCCATTTCCCTGTTTCTTATAGTGATAGTGTTCTCATTTTTTTTAGATTGTGCAAGAAGCTTTGGATAACGCTAGAGTAGGTCGTACTACCCTCATTATTGCTCATCGTCTTTCTACTATTCAAAGTGCAGATTATATCGTTGTTATACGGCGTGGTAGGATACTGGAAAGAGGAAAGCACGAACAACTGATGGCTATGAAAGGCACATATTATACGTTGTATACAGTACAAAGAATGTCAAAGGTTTGAATAGATAAAAAAGCTTTTAGCGCTGTAGTGTTTTCTTGAATGAATCAACGTATGTGTTAAAATCGTAAATATCTTTGATGTAGCAGAAGTTTCTATGGACACCCAATGTTATTGAAGTAGGATTTATTATTTAATTTAAACTTAAAGTTTAGATAGATTTAATGATTTCATTCATTTTTCCAACTAAAACGTTTTTCGTTTGACGTTTGTATATTTGAATTATTAATATCACTATGACTTCTTTATGGACGGTATGACGTTAGTTAGGTTAAAACTTTTTCATAATAACTCGCATGTGACAACGGCTTTCTTTTGCTTCATCAGTTGCATCGCAAATAGCCACGCGTCGTTTTGTTGCGAATTGTGAACTTTTTCCTTCCCAGTTTTGTTTTGTTTCTGCTTCTTTTTCAATAGATGGCTTTAACGAACAAAAAATTCCACTAAAGAGTTCTATAATTTTCATACGAAGTCTTAGGAAAATTCAAGTAATGTATGTCGTGGACAAGGAAGAAGACTGAAAAATCTGTTTTTAAAATTTAATGTCTTTTCAGTGGATTTTTGACCACTTTTTTTATATCGTATGAAAAGTTTATGTGATACAAATATCACGATAATTTCTTCCATATGATACATTTTGTGATAATGTTTATTCTTCAAATAAAATAATTGATTTTAAGAAAGTAAGTAGCACCGTTTAATCTGTTTTGAAATTTCTCACGCGACATCAAGATCTTGTTCACAATACATTTCACGTACTTTAGCATGAAAAGGACCACAGTTGTCTATCAACGGTTTCAACGTAATTTATTTTTATTGCTAAATGGGTTTACCTTGGTTTTTTCAGTGCGGATTTTTTCATTTTGAATGTTTGTATCTCCTGATCCATTGCAATCCATTTTCGTAGTCTTTTGTATGAAGTCCCAATGATATATTTGGCAATTGGTGCTTAACTCTGCTTGCTGTCTTTTCTTCTCTGTCTTCTCTCAATATAGCAAACGTTCTTTGCGACACGTGTTGCTTTTCTTGGCTTTTCATTGGTAAGTGTATCTTATCGCAAACGGACATGTAGTTGAGTTAGATAGTTTCTTTAAAATGCATTTAAGTCTAGTAATTGTTTGTTCTTTAAGATGTTTATATTTTAAAACAGCTGCTTCATTTGCTCTAGTAATAATAGATGTTGATTTCATTGTTTTTATTATTAGATACATCAGTGAATTTTCTACTAATGGCATGTTAGTTTCGTTAAAAAGAGTTTGCTTTAGTGACTGCAAATTGCAGATTTCTCATTCATGTTGTTGTGAAAGTTTTTGATATAAAGTTCAAATTGTAGATGCTCTTAACCTGTCGGAAATAGCCGTTTTAGATTGTTATCTTTTAGGTTGTCATCAAAGTTGATGAAATTTAGTGATATGTTATTTATGAGAAAATGTAGCGATGACCCCCTGCCTGCCCCCCATAGTTTACCATTAGAATGACGACAGATGGCTGTTATATGACACGTCTTTATTTCAAGTATCTCTAAAAATGTATTTCATAGTCTTGAGACTCTTGTTTTGAAACAATTATTAATAAGCAATTTTCATGGTCTTTGTATTTTTTTGCTGTCAAAGTCAGGTGTTTAGTTTGAAAATGAGAAATATTTTAGTAAGAAATGTGTTTGTAAACAGCACACTGGTGAGGTGATTGGCGGAATGCAGTCGAAACGGAAAATTTCCGACATATTTGACGATCATTTTGCGGTAATTTGGCGAACGATTAAAAATTTTGATAATCAGTATCCTAGGTAAACAAGCTGTAAAATATTTTCATTTTATTTCTTATTAATTTGTTTGTACGTATTATGGAATCATGACTACTGAAAAACCATGCTGAAGGACATGAAATATCAAATAAAGCGAAAGGTAAGATTATGTAAAGGAATTAAAAACAGTTCTTTTCTCCCTGCCCTGCAACTGCAATTAAACTATTTCCTTAAATCTTATGCCACAAGTGTTTTTCAAAAATGAACAAAAGTATTACTCTGGTTTATATTACTAAGAGTCTAGTCTACGACAATCTTATGATATTTTGTCTGACAATACTTTAAAACTTAAGATTTCAAATGGTTTTGATAATATATGAAGCATTGATGCTTGCTTTTCATATAGCTATTTCTGTCAGATAATAACCAGCCACAACCAGGAAAGCCAACAAATACCCAAGATGGTGAAAAGGAAGAAGTGGAACGAAAAAGGTTGCCAAGTATTCCCACTCCAGATCTTGATGAGTACATGAATAGATCTGTGGCAAAACAGAAAGCCAATGTGACATCGTCAGAAGTGTTGAAATCATATGGACCTTATTTCATGGAATACACTCTCCTTGCTGAATAGTCAGTACTGTTTAACATATTACATTTCATTTACATGTTAGTTTGATAATCACCATAATATCAATTTACAGTAACCTTTTACAAAATCAGCTGATTCCTGGTTTGTATGTACTTCCTGCGGCGAAGACACCATTAAGTATGTTGTGAGAACTCTTTTTATACATTTGCCATGGTCAAGTACAGTGCTCATTATCCATTTAAATTTTAATTGTTAGTTTGGTATGGTGTACTATTTATCCACCATGGCATTTACGAAGATGGTGTTTTTAAATTTATAATGACTATACCTGAAACATTTCCTGATGGTGAATGTCCTGTAAGTTGAATTATACTGTACTGTGGATGATCCTCCTTATTATAATCATCATTATCATTCCCTCTGTGCCAATGCCCTTATCAATCCCTCATTGTTACCATCATCCTTATCAATCCCTCTGTACCACCATCCTTATCAATCCCTCTATACCACCATCATCCTTATCAATAATCAACCACTCTGTACCACCATCCTTATCAATCCCTCTGTACCAACATCATTCTTATCAATCCCTCTGTACCAACATCATTCTTATCAATCCCTCTGTACCAACATCATTCTTATCAATCCCTCTGTACCATTATCATTCTTATCAATCCCTCTGTACCAAAATCATCTTTATCAATTCCTCTGTACCACCATCATTTTTACCTGTCCTCCTTACCTTAATTCTCATCTTTTTTTTGTAACTTTCACAGTTGGTGAAGTTTGTTCCTCCTGTTTATCATCCTTTGATCAACATTGAAAGTGGCGAGGTGGATGTAAAGCAAGCCTTTCCTTCTTGGAGGTTAGCTGATAACATATTTATTGAACTATCCTTATTCTTTTCAAACAGTTATCAAAATTCATTCAATACTGTTTAGAAGAACTGTAAATCATTTGTGGCAAGTTTTGTTATTTGTCAGAAGGTTATTTTATCGAATTGAAATCTCTGATGCAGTGAATGAAGAGGCAGCTGAACTGTGAGTATTTTCTTTCGATTATTTTATAATATAATATGAATATTGTTTTTTAAACGTTAACTAAATTCTTGTGTTTTCCAGATACAACAATGATAATGAATCATATAGAAAAAAAGTTTCCGAAAATATACGCTTATGTTCTGAACAACTCAGTGAAAATATTGACGATGATCCTCATTCAATAAGGTAACAAATTTTATCCATTGTGGTTTCGATGGCTTTAAAACCTACCAATCAATTTATTTTATTTAGATTTACTGAATGGGATTTCAGTAAACACGGAAACGTAAAAAATTCAATGATTAATTTTGTGGTATGGTAATACTTTACTTGTGAAAACTGCTATGAATCTGTCAAATATATTACCTTGATTAATTCTTAGGAAAAAAAATCGTCTACAATGTCAAGAAATGCTCAACTATCAGGATTGTCATGGGTTGAAAAAGGATCAGTTAAAATTTTTAGTAAACATGATGAAACTTAAATTTAACATTAGATATTTCGAGATACCATTCTACATTGGTTTTTTTTTAATCATTCCATATCTTTGTAATATATTATGTTTAAAAGCATTGTAAAAAGGATTCTAGGTCTTGTTATTAAGAGTGTGATACTTTAATCCATTTTTTATAGCATTAATACTATACATACTTATATACATAAATAAATGATATATAGAATAAAGCAAAACATATTTGTGTTTATAATGGTACCATGAAAAAACTGTTTTTAACAATTCATAATCCAAGAGTAATCAAGAGAATGTAGTTTACCATTCCAGTTGAAATGTGTCGGTGGATTATCTTCATTATTTGCAAATTCAAAATATTGACTGAGTTGGATTGCAAGACTCGATTTAATTAGTCCCACTCCACCATATTTTTCATCAGCTGGATGGTATATTCTGCCCGTCTTAGGGAACATGCATATCTTTGTAGGATCAAAGAAAGCAGTGATATTTTGAGTATTATTTATAGTTAGTAGTTCACCAGAATTGCCATTATCTTCAACTATGGAAGTAAAAACAACTGGTCTATCATCGCACTGGATGTAGTTCATCTCCTTTCCACAAGGTGATATGTAAGGAAAATCTGTGTATCTTTCTGTCTCATTTGCTTTCATACGTTTGAAGAAAAATGTCAAAAACCTATTTTCTGGTAAAAATCATGCATAATATTAGTTCAAGCAGAAGACTTCAATTTCTGATCTTCTTTCTGCACATTTAATGTACCTTTAAAGCAGGATGTAAAGTTCTTTATTCTAGCATCATGTAGAAATAACTAAAAAACGATGGTAAAAAAAATTTGTAGTAAAAAATTATGACAGAAAAAATAATCGTCTCCTCAGGATGGTATAGGATGTAAGCAGATGTACCATAATATTTCATAAGTTGACATGATTACCATTTTTAAGAAGATGCGATACATAAAGAAGAAGATCTTTCTTCATGCCAAGTCAACCGAAGTTTAACAATGTTTACACAACAGCTGCAGTGTGTCAATGTGCAAAATGCCAATATAATATTAATGTAGTAAATTGTGTTTGCTCATTTTTAGTTAATGCGCTACGTTTAATTGCAAATAGTGATTATCTTACTTTAATGTTAGTACATACCTGTCCTTGGTGGTCGATAAAATAAAAGTATTCTCGTACATTTTTGAAGGACTTTGCCCTTGCACATAGGTTGAAACACTCCGAATCCGAAAGCATAAATGCATCGAAGATACTTTGAACGCAATGTGTTTCAAATGTTTACTGCACGGTGAAAACATCATAAAACATTTCAGTTTTGGTCGCAAAAATTAATAGCTTGCTTGTTTCATTGATTATTTGAATTCATTTAACTTTTGTTGACATTTTGACGTACACTTGTACTTGGAAATAATGAAATGAAGAACACGAATACGAATAACCGCAATGAATGAGTACCACGGGCTCAGATTTTTGTTAATTAATTTAAATATGGTGTCGTTTTGCGTTGCGAAGAAGTGGTCAAAAGTGGTATATAAACCATTAAATTGACAAGAAAACAAAGTGAAGACCTTTCAAAATTGATGCATTAGCCAGTCGAACTATACTTATTGTTTTCAAAAATGTATCTCCAACGAAAAGCAAGGAAATCCTAAGTCTAAACGTGTTAAAAAATGACGTCCGTTACCACGCGTGCCTTTGGCAAGAAGTGTTGGAAGCAACGTAAGTGTATTGACAACTTCCGTGATTTTCTGTCCCTAAGATGGGGACATAAAGTGTTTTTGTACTTCATTGTTTTATCTGCCAGATCTATGTTTAATTTGAAAACGTCAGCGGGGTTTCATCAACGACTGTTAAGCTTAGTGACATAATTTTGCGTCTACAATATAATTATTTTGTTGACATATTTAAGCATCAGGCAGCCTTGGTGGTGCATTGTTTGATTTAGCAATCTGTTGTGTGGTAAAGTCCTGCTTTATACTGCTTACGTTTCGTATTTCAATTTAAGTCTGAAGCATGAAAATTGCTGAGCTGTAAACTTTACTTATTTAATGTATTTGTTGATATACACATAAATAAATCAATATCTGGTTATCAGTTTAATGTAACTCAAATGCAGGTGGCTTAATGTGATCAGTCTTTAGTTATTGCTATGTTTTATAATGTAGATGAATTTGTTGCACATGGTCACAATGTCAACTGTCTTGCCCTTGGTAGAGGTACTGGTACACTTATGGTTACAGGAGGTGAAGATAAGAAAGTTAATATGTGGATGGTTGGAAAGCCCAATGTTATTCTGGTATATATTGTCTACCAATGGAAAATCATTTTGGTTTTTCCTTTGCATAATTACTTTTCATATCTTTGAAATGCAGAGTCTCACTGGTCACACAAGCCCAGTTGAATGTGTACAATTCAATGATGGTGAAGATAGTGTTGTTGCTGGCTCACAGTCGGGAACTATGAAAATATGGGATGTTGAAGCTGCTAAAAGTATACCTCTCTTTGCTTTTTTTTCATGTTGTATTTACTTGTTTGACATGGAACTATTATCTTTAGTTACAAGGACACTCACAGGGCACAAGTCTAGCATCAAGTGTACAGATTTTCACCCTTATGGCGAGTATATTTCTTCAGGGTCAATGGATACGAATGTCAAGGTGTTTATATTATGGAGGATGATATTGTTTATGTATCATTGTTTTGTTAAATATTGAGAATTTTGATTTGGGTTCTTTTGAAGCTGTGGGATATCCGACGTAAAGGTTGTATAATGACATTTAAGGTAAATGATGTATATATTTATGGTGATTTATGGATGTTGAAGGATTACCTTCTGATCATGCGACATTTATTTTAGGGACACACAGATGTTGTCAATCAAGTGAGATTCAGTCCTGATGGGCGATGGATTGTCTCTGCTAGCAATGACAGTCGATGCAAGGTAGTTACATAAAAATTGTTTAAATATTTTGTTGTTTCAACATAACAGACTGTGTGTACTGTTGTGTAGTTATGGGACCTGGCATCAGGTAAACTGCTGTCTGAAGTGAGTCATGCTGGACCTGTTAATACTGTCGAGTTTCATCCAAAGGAATTTTTAATGGCAACTGGCAGTAATGATAGGTTAATATGAAACATTTATTTGTTTAGAGATAAATTATGGTGTCGTATGTTTAAATAACATTTCATAGAGTTTCTTAGAAAGTTATCCAATTTTTTCCTTCATTTCCACTCGTGTTCATCGTTGATTTTGTATTTGTCTCACATTTCTTTCTGCACATATTATTTTTGTACAAGTCAATGCCCTATGGAATTTTTTTAACTCCAGATTATTTGATGTTTCAGAACAGTAAAATTTTGGGACTTGGAAAAAATTTGTTTGGTTTCCACTACAGAACTTGAGTCAAACCCAGTGAGGTAAAACACATTTTGTTTTCAACATTAAAACAACTTTAATATTCACACTACTATTTCAATGTTATATGTATTAACTTTTATGAATATATTTGTTTCTACACCAGATCCGTTTTGTTTCATTGTGATGGACATTGTCTCTTTAGTGGTTCAATTGATTCTTTAAAGGTAAGTTGTTTGAAAAATTCTCAAATTATTTGCAAGGATACATTAGTATTTTTTTTTTCTTTTGATGAAATCTCTTATAGCTATATGGCTGGGAACCTGTGAGATGTTTTGATAGTTGTACAGTTGGTTGGGGAAAGATTTCTGACATGGTTTTTGCTTCTGGAAAACTTGTATGTTTTTACATCATTTTGTCTATGTTGTAAATAAAAAATTATGCGTTTGGAAGGCGTTTATTTTATGTTGTTTTTTATATGATTTTGTTCTCTAGGTTGCAGCATCATTTTGTCAGACTATAGCTTCAATATGGGAGGTTGACTTTCAGGTAAAGTGTAAAGTTTATAATAAAAATCAACTGAATGAAATTTAAATTGAAATACTTCATTTATCAAGCGTGTTGTTTGTTTAAGAACATCGAAGAAATGATTGAGAATTTTGAACAACTTTCAACAAAGAATCATGAACCACATGAAGCTAAGGTAGGAAACTAAAGAAATATTATAAAATTATAATCACTTCTGCAGACTGCAGTGTATGAATGTGCGAATTGTTAGATTTTGAACCCTCCTAATCAAATCAAAGCAAACGAAGAAAAGAAAGTTAGTCCTCAGAGAAAGGTGTTTGATTCAAAACGACCTGCAACAAGCTCAAGCAAAGCACGGTATTAATATTTACGTCACATATACGTATGTTGTACGCATGTCTGTCTCGTGCTAAAATGATGTCATTGTTTTATGTAGCAAAAGTAAACTGGAACAACCTGTTGATAAAAATCAAGTACGCCAGCAAGGAGTACACCACCCTCTGATTACGGAGATGTTTTTACGCCAAAATCTGTTCTTGGTAAGGTTGTCTAATTGATGCATTGTCTGGTGTATTGCATGGTGTAGCTCTCTCTGAAACATTTTATGACGTAGATCTCTGGAACATTGTATGACGTAGATCTCTGGAACATTGTATGACGTAGCTCTCTGAAACATTTTATGACGTAGATCTCTCTGAAACATTTTATGACGTAGATCTCTGGAACATTTTATGACGTAGATCTCTGGAACATTTTATGACGTAGATCTCTGGAACATTTTATGACGTAGATCTCTGGAACATTTTATGACGTAGATCTCTGGAACATTTTATGATGGAACATTTTATGACGTAGATCTCTTTTATGACGTATATCTGGAACATTTTATGACGTAGATCTCAACATTTTATGACATAGATCGAAACATTTTATGACGTAGATCTCTGGAACATTTTATGACGTAGATCTCTGTAACATTGTACGATTAAAGTTCTTTCTTTTCTTTTTAGAGCGATCACCGATTCGATCAAGACATCTTTCGCTGGCAAATGACAATGAAAATGGTCAGTTTTCACTTTATGGAATGTATTGATTATTTATTTTGTCTTTGTGAATTGTTAAACATCTGTGTATAGAAACGTCGTTTTCCTTAAAAATCCTGATGTCATGAAACTGTGTGTTAGTTTGGTGACGTTCATCTTTATTTTAAGATTCCAAGTCGACCTTCAAGGAACCTCTTCAACCTACTGCTTCTAATAAACCAGAAAATAATGATAAAATGGAAAGTTTGCAGAAAGTTACCCCGGAAAAGTTGCCAGAAAAGCCATCAGAAAAATCTGTGATACATAAAAGTCAGGAGACAGAGGTGACCCCTGTCGTCAAGGGAAATGAAAATGAAAAAGAGGTGCAATGTTCACTTCTAGTGTTAATTTTGAATCACCACAGATGAAGTTTTTTTTTATACTCTACGTTATTTCAGGTTTATGTGAAAGAAAAACCCGATCACATTCCGTCTTCTAGCAAACCAAAGACGTTGATACCATCTGACCGCGATAAACCAGCTGGACTGGACATGCACGAGTTTTTACCAGTAATTTGCATTTCAATAAAAAATGATATAATCCAGTGAAATGCATCCTTACTTATGTGGAAATTGACAAAACACGATAAGAAACGATGCTACGTTAGAAATGACGCTCTTATATTCGCCTGCATTCATGTTTTTAAGAAGATTTTAATGATTTTTTGTACCATTTTAGGGCAACGATTCACCTACGCAAACGAATTATCAAGATTCGCATTTTGCACCATCCATAAAGATTAGCGAGGAGGAGAGATTAGATAGCATAAGGAAGGGTTTGTAACAACTAAATTTTTCATTCCATTGATTGATAATTTATCAATTAAACAACTGACAAACAGTGATAAACAATTATTTAAACATCTTATATTTATTATCAACGAAATCTTTCAATTTGGTTTTAAGGACATATTTCTTTTACCGCCGTGTTAACGAATCGTCATCGAAATGTGAACATGGTGTGGCGACTATGGAATGATGGGGATATAAAGGTACAAGTAATACGAAACTATATCAACTGAAATCCAAATCAATCAATTATTGTACTTTATAAATGCTCCATAAATCATGTTTTATTTCTATGCAGGGAGCTGTGCAAATTGCTATAAATATGAACGATCAATCAACTTTGGTGGACTTTCTCGGTGTACTCTGTCTTAAGCAGTAAGTGGGAGATATTTTAATGTTGTATTTCTACATTTTCACATCATATCGTAATTTATGACGTTTCAGAACTCTTTGGACGCTCGATATCTGTTCTGTTGTCCTTCCAAGTGTGAATGAATTGCTTTTGAGCAGATATGAAACGTCAGTATATCATATTACAAAGATCAACTACCTTACGTATATCAAAAAAAAACACACTTGGTCATATCAAGTTAATATTTAACATTTTAGCTACGTTCAGACCGGTGCGTCAATCATCAAACTTGTTCTGAGAAATTTTTCCCCCGTTATAAAGAGTAACATGGCTGCTCCCCCCGTCTCTGTTGGTGTTGATGTTGTCCGAGAGGAAAGGCGAGTTAAAGTTTTTTAAATCGTTGTTATGTTTTGAGTATAAATGCATTAGACTGTGTAGCTTGTCATGGGTTTATTAAATATGTTTTTTATATACCATGAAGTCAATCGATGTTTACCTAATGATACATATCTTGTTACAATGGATGTTTACTCAAAAGGCAGTGTTTTTTTTTCAAACTTTTCTCTTTTCTTGGAATCTTAGCTGTTTACGATGTTCATGGCATTTAGCAATCAATATGTTTACTGGCTTTTTGTCACTTTAACGGAATGCCCATAACCTTTTCTGTTTTCGTCAGGTTTCAGAAATGTCAGCTGTGTCACGCACATTTGCTGGCATTACGTAGTGTTATCAAAACGAAAGTGAACGTGTCTGGAAGAAATGGTAGCTTGTTTCGTGAGTTATCTCTGCTTCTGTCTTCCTTGGATTGAATCATTCTCACGTAAATAAAGTTCAACAGGTGACATTTAAGTCTTGTCATATCCACTGGCGATGGCTGCTCGCGAAAGACTTGTGGAGAATGTTATCGTTCTTGCCTCCAAGTTCTCAGGTATTTGGTAACCTGATTCTTGTGATGCCTGATTCTTACATCCGGTTATAAAGTTTCACTGTGACGTAATGGTCGTTACATATTTTTCTTGTTATATTTTGAGACGTCTGAGTATTTGTATAAAAAAAACAATGAAGAGGTTTATAACCCATTGCTTGTTTTTGCTCGTGTAATTTAAGAATTTTGGAGTCGTGCAGTTTATAAGATATTCAAAAGATGTAAAGGTCTTAACTTAAATGTGATTGAGCGATAGTTCCCTGGGAAACACAATGTCAAACTTGTAAATATCTTGCTAAAAGGATCGATTAAATAAATTTCGTCATATTTTTATTCGACACTGCCGCAATCGATTATCAGGGGAAAAAACTTTTGTCGAGAGCTGTTTCAGGGGCTGTTTACATGAGCCCTACAGGGAGGGCTGGCACTACTAAGCGAGATCTCGCATATTATTAAAATTCTATCTAAAATCGCTCTTCGTTTACATAAGAGGAGGGCCAGCCCTACCTAAAAAATCAAAAGGCGACAACTATATTGGTGTGTTTTCAGCTATTTTGTATTTTAGTGCCGAAATTCGCAGTTCAAACCGAGCTATTCGTATAGGGCTAGAATTTGCATGTAAAATAGAGGCAAAATACAGCCCTACAGGGAGGGCTGGCCCTTTCTGTATGGCTCATGTAAACAGCCCCTCGGTATCGTTTATCATATCGCGGATGTTATCTCATCACTCCTGGTAATCGCAAAGATTTCTTTTGCGACAAACATGGCGGTCCCTTAAAAAATCAACAATATTTTCGTGTTTTCATGGTTACTAATGTCGTTCAGTAATCATCGCCGGTTCATATCTACGTAACATGACCTGTGTAGAAAAAAATGACGTTTTTCCTGTAGTAATAGAACGCTCCTGCTTTTTTTCGAGTAAACTTTTTTTTTCGTTTTTGATTAATTGAATTAGTAGTTTGTTGTTTTTTCGTCGTAAGCGACACATGTTTGCACGTGTTTTCCTGTCCTGTGTCATGACACGTGTGGTAAAAACCAAAATTTGCTTACGTAATGCTGGGTACTATCGCGTGCGTTATCGCCACCTTTGACCTCATTGTAAAACGATAAAACATTCGTTAGTGTGAATGTCTTCGGTGGGAAGCAACCGCAAAGCAGCTTTTTGAGGTGTGTTACAAACGCGATATTTACTATGCCTCGAGTTGTGGAGAATCAGCTTGCCAAGTTCAGAACAAATCCTGTTTTTCAACAACTTCAAAGACAGTCTGAGGTACGTTGCTTATAGTGATTGAACATCACGAAGTTAGTGAGAATTTTTACATAAATCATCGTCAATATTATATAATACTTAATTGTATTGTTTTCCACAACCACTTACGTTTGTTGTTTGTTCATTTAAATTGTAGTGCATTGTAAAATTTTCTGTTGCTTATTTAATATGTAAATCATCATATTGAAACAGTGAGTGCACATTTAGCACAAGCATAAGTTGTTAAACATTGATTTTTTGGTGCAATTGACAGTTTTTGGGATAGCTTTAAAAAAGGGTCAATTTCGTCAACAAAAGACTTTACTATATAAACATTTGGAAAAAAGCGATAGAGAACTTATAGTCAAATGAAAAAGTGCTTTATTTTTTTTCCAGATAAAATATGCATCTTATTTGAATTGTTCCATTGAAGAAAGAAGAATAAGATTTTTCACAGAATGTTATCAGGGTACTTGTAAGATAGTACGTATTCATGCAATCTTTACTTATTTTTGTTTGGAGTTTGGATAAAACGATAAATTACTTCAAAGTATCGTGCTTGTGGGGTCTTAACTAGCGAAGTCGTGTGACCCAGCATGTTGTTGTTGTGTTGTTTACATTAATATCAGCCGACGTAGTTGTAAATATAGCTGACTAGTCTCGTGTGAACTCTCTGCATGCTGTATGTCATCAGTTTTCACCGTGTGTTCCGGTTCCTTCCGTACATGAAATGTTGATGACATGGGTTGGGTGGTGAAATAAATTATAATAGATCTTTGAATGTTGAACATAATTTAATGCTTTATATAACCCTTTTAGGGATTTACCGAGAATGGTATTAATCTCACACTTTCTTTTCCAAAAGTTTCGGATTCTTCGTGCTCTCAGTCAAATTTCGTAGATTTTTTACGAGAACCTGGAAAGGTTTGCTCTTTATTTTTATTTTAAATACATCCAAACCAGGGCCTTTTTCTGATTATTTTACCATGCAAAACTATGACTGTGTGTATACCTCTAAGATGGCAAAGGGATCTTTTCAAAAGATTGTCCTTCTATCTTCACTTGTTTCAACCAGCGGTCTTACGTATCCTCAGATGTTCCTAATGTCCCCTTTATCTTTAACGGTATGTGTGATAATCTATGACTGGTTGTTCTTGTGTATCCTTAGGTGTTCCTTATGTCCCCCTTTATATTTAATGGTGTATGTGTTAAATTCTACGGCTGGCTTGAGGTGGACAAACTACGAGGTTTTGGTCGTTTGCTATTTGACGAAGCTTCCGCGCAGGTATGACTTACCTGTTAAAAAAAACAATTGCCCAGCATAAAATTCTAAGTATAGCCATTTAGTAAGAAATTATAGTATTAAATGACCTTTCGTCTTTACACAAGACATCTTCAGACTATTTGATCATTTTGATTATTGGTCTGACGATGTCTTGTGTAAAGACGAAACCTTACTTTAAATAAATTATAATTTCTTACTTAATGGCTATACTTTCAATTTTATGTTGGTCAATTTTTTTCTTTAACATGAATCCATTTCCTGCCTTCCAAGTCACTCGCTATTATTATGATCAACCTGATTAATTTCCTCAACATTATTTCACTACTGCATAAACATTGTAATTTTTCATTCATGCTCTGTCGTGTTTTTTTCTCTTCTTATGACGTAGATCGAAGACGATTTTCTCCGGAAGATTTTGAGACAACAACAGCGGAATTTGGAAGTTGTGTCGACGGTGTCGGAAGGTGTTGCAAAATCAAGCAGTAGCTGTCTACATGAAATTTGCAAGCCTAACACAGCGTATATCAAAAATGAAACTTTTTGATAGTCAAAGAAGCTCATTTTTTAAATCCTAAGGTATTAAATTATAAAGTGGTTGTCTAGTTTTTGTCTTTATAGTTCGACAATTGACTTCACTGTCTTTATTTGTCTTGTATTTAAAGTTTATCAATACATTAGCCACGTTTGCTTTAAGCTTGCTCACTTTATGTCGTATTGAATCTGTCAGCAATTACAAAACTTTTCTTAAGTTTCTCAAATTTGGCAGTGGCACTCGTGTGCATATGGATAATGTCTGTATTTTTTTTTAAAAAGTGTTTTGATGACAAACATTTGAAAACATTATTAAAGTAATCCTTCGACCTTAGCTTCATGAAATGCCCGGACTATCTAGTTTGACTACAGTATTTAGACATCCAGCAAAGATGAGACAGACTCCATTATAAAAGGACAACGTAAAAATACCTGACAAATATTATCTACATAAGAATTCTTAATTTATGATACGGTCATCCTGGTGTTCGTCTCTTTTGGTTGAAGATAAATTAATACCTTGTCTCCTGCACGATAAAAGTCTAAAGTCCCAGACAAAATTTTGTTTGAGTTTTGTCTCTTAGGAAACAGTCGTTCTTTATTGACTATATATTTGGCGTACATAAAATGTCTGTTTTCCATTGATTAATTTCCATAGTAATTCACAGGTTTAACAATGTACAATTATTGTGTGACCCTCTCTTCATTCTCTATTGACTTGCAATTGACGTTCTTATAAAGGTTTGTTCTGTAACATATGTATTTTATTTATAAAATGGACGTAGAGAATGAGATGAACGAAGACTTACATATTCTATAAAGAAAATTCTTTTAATGTATGTTTGAATAAATAATTGTTATTTGTATGATAGTTTTTACTTTGTTGCATCATTCATACTTAAAATCGGCTTAAAGTTTCAACTGTTCAGTTTATTGAAGTTGACCTCAACTTCTATAGCAATTTCTGAATGAGATATGATTCTGAATCCTCTTTCTTTGATTTGGTCATTTTTATATTATTTTATCAAAGCTTTGCATGAAATTCTGCATGCATCCTAAACAAAACAGTTATTATTAATTTGGGACGCCATATCACATGTGAAAAGACGCTTTACCGTACAGCAGGTATCTGTATTGACAAAATGAACCTGCTGCATAATCCGCGTTTTTACATGACACAAGGAAACTGCACACATCAATGAAGTTTTTCCCGTCAATTCTTTCCTATAAATTCAAACTCAGAGCCTTTAAAATTGTGCTCCTATTGGTCGCTCTGTCTATTACGTCATCGCTTTCCCGATATCACAAACATTGTCGAACTATAAATTTCTTCTGTACGTTAACATTCACCATTTGGCTACGAAGTACATATAAATATTCGAAGCTCACGTATTTCATTTATTTTTGAGTATGTCAGTTCACTATCACAATATTTTAATAAAATTTCAGATCCTTTACATTAATTCTCATTCCACCTGTTGCGAAGTAAAACACAGGTTGTCTACACGCTGAAATGATCGAAATCCTTTCATTAAAGCTGCCATCACTGATGAAGTACTTTTTGGTTTAAGACCACGCAACAAGAATGCAATGGTGTGGGTTTCTTTAAATAACCACCGTTTCCGTCACAGCGAGAAAGATGACTTGTGGTTGACCACAAGGTTGTTGTTGCGTGCGGTTGAATTCAACAATACACTCATTTATTTCTTCTAGACGTATATGATGAGTAATCTCATTCATCCGTAATTCTTCAAAACCGCACATCATACAAAAGATTTATTTGAGGAAAAATTGGGGTGCGTTAGTGTGCAGAAGAAACTGCTGTGTCATGATTGTACATGAAGTATTCTGAATGCCAGTTTATCGTGAGTTTAAAGTGTTTGAGAGATGCTCCAGACTGTCAGAACAAACCACTTGAATGAAATAAACTAAGATTTACGAATTGTGCAATGTTATATGTGTAGACGGAATGCCCCGTGTTGTTGACGATCAGAGAAATAAATTTCAAACGGATTCTGTAATAAGACAGTTGCACGAAGACTGTGAGGTGAGACGAAATTCTTTTATGAATGCGTTTATTCAGCAGTGAGAAGAACAACCACATGTTATAATTTGTTCCGGGCTTTCGTAAATTATGCAAGTTAATTCTTCGTAATCATCATTGCGATTCCCCGCGTTTTATACCGTTTTTGGTGCATATGTTTTTACTATAGATAAATCTCCTGTTGATAAATGAACATTGAAGTGTTGTGAGACTGTGTACAATTGTGCACATATATATATATATGTTGACATAAAACAACAACAGATTATGTAACTAATTTGTAGATGAACTCCATGCCTTCTTTAATATCTGTTGTTGTTCCATGTTCATATACATTTTGTTGTAAAGTGGGATTTTGTTAATTTCAAACGACTATATCAAAATCACCATAACAAGTTTGCTCTCTATGATCAACGATTACTCAAGTCTTGCTTTGTTAGTTAATGAAGTCCCGAGACGATCCTCAATCCTTTTATATTGTCCACTCAAGGTTTTTAACAAATCTTTTCCTATAATATTTTCAATTACTTAACTGTGCCTTCTGTCTTGCTAGGTGAGATACATTGATAATAAGGAATGCAATGTGAATGAAAGATGCGCTCGTTTTCGCACTGAATGTATGGAAGGAAAAATTCAATTGGTGAGCATTATTTTTACGAGCAAGTTTCTTTTAATGATAACTAACTGTTGTATGCAATATGCATGAATAAGTGATAAAAAATATTTGTATTAAATTGTAATTAACACACGACCTGAAATATAAACTTTTCCGGATGAAAAGAACTGATTTCTGTAGATAATTGTGGTGGACTGGTATAGTATCATGATTTTCTTATATATTTCTTCTTTTAAGCGTGGAGTATTTGAGTGCGTTTTTTAAAGAATTTATGTCGATTCCAGGAGAAAGACAATATTGTAAAAATGTCCCATCTTTTGTTTAAGTACTTATCTTGCATTTGTACTTTATCACAAAATAAAAATGATAAATTTTAATAAGATATTATTTTATTATTCGTTTTTAAATAATTATTTAGGCTGTCGTTCCCAATGGCGTACATCTTCTTTTAAGCTTTCCACCTTCCTATCTCAGCGATGGCAGCACATCGTCAGAATTTGTAGATTTTCAGAATGACACTGGAAAAGTATGTCGCTTTAAATTGAATGAAATGTGTTGTTGTTTACAGGCAAGACCTTTACTTCATGTAACATAACATTATAAACAATGGCGAAATAAGTCAATGTTGCTTGTTCTTCGTTGAAAATAATGTGTTGCCATTTTTATACAAAATATCGTAAAAAAATCATAGGTAAACATCTCCCACTGGCTTTCACAACGCGACGAAAACCAATTGGTTCCGCCCTCGTGTGTCTCAAGTGGGAATCATATTGCCGCTTCCGTCATGGTTAACCACCATGACGTATTTCCGGCAATTGTTTCCTCTCCTTTAAAGTGGCAATATACTATGTAAACTCCTCACATTGCTAAAATTAAAAATAGACAAAACTTTTTAATAGAGATAGTTTAATTCATAGATCTTATATTCACTTGCTTTGTATTCATTGCGTCCCGTATTTTGCCAGGTGCGAATAAAATGTCCATTAATTTTCAATGGTGTTTGCGTAAAATTTGTCGGCTGGTTAGACAACCATTCGTTAGTAGGTGCTGGTCATCTAGAATTTGACGAGGCGTCAGCTGAGGTATATAAAGTAAATTTATAAGTTTTCATATTTCATTTTAATCTGGTGATATAATGTATGTATTTTCAGATCGAGCATCAAGTAATGACGGAAACAGTGCGAAAAATAAATATGTTTTCAAAATAACACATTCCCTTGGATTATAGTCATGTAATTGTTAAAGTCAAAAGATTACGCGTGCAATATCTACAGTTATTGCCTTCTGAGGCTTTATTTAATGAACTAATGGAAAATATCCGCGGAAATATAGATTAATTTTGTAAATAGTTTATATAATTTATGTATTTATATGTTATCAGGCAATAGAAAATATTAAAAATAGAAGTAAGCGAGAAACAGACTAATGTCTATTCCTTACTGTTTGATAACAATCCCAATTTACTGCATAAGATCTTTGAGGGCGAAGTGTGAACTTTTGATTGGTTCTTTTTGCTTAATCTGATTGGCTCACATCCACTCACATGTCGCACGTTTTGAGATATAAATAACGGGAATTTAGTATATTTCTTTTGCGCATGTCGACACATTGTGCGAATCGGATCTTATCAAGATGGCTGCTCAGTTTCGTACAAATTTGTGGGATCCAGTTTTGATTATCAGTCAAATTATTGCCTCACAGTGTACTTATTATGTTGGTCTTGGAGTATGGATATTGATTTTTGATTTCTGGATGGGATCCGTTCATTCTTTGTATCAGATATTTTCTGACAAGGTATTTCACGGACACCCCATGTCAATATACGGTTATGTAATGTCACAAAGGCGATTTCTTACGTTTATGTTCTAAATTTTCAGGCTGTCGATTATTCTTCTACTTCAGGAAGACTTGGTTCTATTGCATTTATCCTCAATTCTCTGTGGAGGTAAGCAAGGATTTCATATTTTATCACCTGTGTTAAAATAATATAATCCACTATTCTTTGTAAGATATCTCGTTTAAAACATGATTTAGTTTATCAATTCAATACATCGATTAGCGAAGAGTTGAATTATACTTTCAAACAACTGCTGGCAACTTTTATGGCTATTGAAACAGTACTGAATGATGTATATAAAGTATATTAGTAAAATTTTATTTTTGACAGTGCTTTTGGTCTTTGGTACATTGTTGGTCGTGCAAAGCAGGTTTGTTAAAAATTTACTCATATTGATATGCACCATATAAGATGACTAATATCGGTTTTCATTCAGTGTTTAGACTTTGCTGGCACAACACTATTGATTCATTTCATATTTTGTACCTTATATCTTCATCATATTCCTGGTAAATGGACTTGGTGGATAGTCAACATTGTCTGTCTAGCAATTACATCTGTCTTAGCAGAGTTTTTATGTATGAGGACAGAAATGAAAGCCATTCCAATAACCACTACGTCAGGTGGAAAGTCCAATATTTGATTGTCTTTCAATTATATGTGAATTGTGAAGTTGGAAAGTCAATGTAATTTGTAAATAATGAATTTAAGCATTTCTATCTATTGGTAAATGGAAAAATAAATTTATTTGGTAAAATTTTTACTTCATGCTGGCTAAAATAGATTTTGATAATGTACAGTTTTATTGGTAAAATGTATTTATAGAGAGATTGTAAATATAGTTCTATGCAATGTTGATGTACATAAACAGTATACTGGATGAAAATGGTAAAGAAAAAAGCTACACCTTTATTAAAAAATAAAAAGTTTATTTTGAATAAATGACCTTGGAGTCAACATGACTAATAACTAATTGTTACCATCATTGTTACACAGCAAAATGTTTATTGTTACCATTCCATACGCGGGGCTTTTTGCCCGGTGGGTTAATTGTGTCAATTAGCCATGTTGCAAAACGTAAACAATGCTGATGCGCTTTTTTGGTTGCGGAGTGAAATTTGAAAAAAATGGGATGTTCAGCTTCTAAAAGCTTGCAAAAATCTGAAAGAAATGGAATTAGCGATGGAAACGACGTAAAAAATACGACGACAAGGGCTGACCGGAAAAGGAGACGACAGGAAGCGCGAAGATGTCAAAACCCGGGACTTAAAACAGCAAGTGATTACATATGGATATCGCTTCCTTTCCCGGAAGATCAGCCAACATTGCAGCAAAATACAGTAGAGAATGTGATTGCTGTTGATGATACCACTGAAATGGTTGAAAATAAGCTGAATGTATCCAAAAATAAAACAAATACCGATGTTAATGTGAAAACTGTGCACAAAAACGCTGACCCGTCAAATGCAAATAAATTACTTATTTTGCACTTCAATGATGTTTACAATATTGAGCCTAGAGAGAAGGAGCCGGTTGGTGGTGCTGCCAGATTTGCTTCAAAAATAGCCACGTTCAAATCTCAAAATCCTATTATACTTTTTAGTGGCGATGCTTTGAATCCTTCAATGAGTTAGTCCATTTTTATTCATAACTTAGGCCCAGTTAAACGTCGAACTTTACATGAACCGAACGCATTTAAATGAGGAAATTTATCTCATTTTCATTGTCTTTAATGCGTTCGGTGCATGTAAAGTTTGACGTTTGAAACAGGCCTTAGAATTGTATAACTTATTAGAAATTGCAGCTCTTTTTGTTTATCTCGCACTACGTACATAAACCTTGACTATTTTCCTTTCCAACACTATACTGTATCAGCCATACATAGTCCATTCCACCCCATATCAGCTTATATCATTTATACTAGTTCATAATTATTTTAAGTGAGCAGTATAACAAAAGGTGAACAAATGTTGCCGGTCTTAAATTGCTTGGGTATTACCGCTGCAGTCTATGGTAACCATGACTTTGGTATGTAAAGTTGTTTTTGTCATTTGTAATTCTACCACATTGAACTGCTGTTGAGACCATGGATTTCGAATTATATATTTATCAGATTTTGGAGTGGATGAGCTTGTGGACTTTGCTAATGAAAGCAATTATCCATGGCTACTTAGTAATGTATTTGACAAACACACCAAGCAACCTCTGGCAGATGGAAAAAAATGCTTAATACATGAACATAATGGAAGAAAGGTTTGACTGCCACAATGCTTGTTTTAATCATACTGACTATAACCATTTAGATATTATTCTTTAGATTGGTATAATAGGTCTTGTGGAGAGCGAGTGGCTGGCGACCTTGGCAACTTTATCATTAGATGATATTGAGTATCATAACTTTATTGATGTTGGAAACCAATTATGTTCTGAACTCAGGCAAAAGGTACACACTTTATAGCAATGGGTGAATGTGTAGCATTTCTGATATTAATCAGACATGTTTATTTTCAAACAGGGATGTGATTTTATCATTGCGCTGACACACATGAGGCAACCAAATGATATAAAGTTGGCTGAAAATGTCTCAGAAATTGATTTGATTTTGGGTGGCCATGATCATTTTTATGGTGTGAAAGAGGTAAGATAACTATACTGCAAAGTACTACAAAGTACTGCTATGTACCTAGCAAAAATTCAAAGTGTATATTATTAGCTCTGCGGCAGTAGTAATGGAATAGGAGCCCTCTACAGCACATAACAGTACACCAAAGTACAGGACCGTAGTTAAAACGTTATCTACGGTGGGATGTGTTTATTCAAATATTCAGATATGCCGGAATGGTTTCTTTGAAAAATGATTAGCTCTCTGAAGAAAACAGTCAGGCACAACTTAATTTATGAATAACACTCCCCCCCCTCTTCCCCAACCCCTCTCGTTCTAACGTTCTTGCTATGGCCCTGCCAAAGTACAAAGTACATACTTGCCCTCTAAATTACAAATCAGCACATTCACTTACTGTACTTCTCTTATTTTATAGATTAATGGAACAAAAATATTTAAAAGTGGCACTGACTTTAGAAATTTCAGTGAGATAGAAGTGTCATTTTCCTCTACCGACGGCTCATACGATATTCAATATAAAAGACATGATATAACTCAAGATGTTCCAGAAAATCCAGAAATTAAAGCTATTGTCAATAAATATTTAGGTTTATTGTAAAAAATTTGTGATATTCCTGTATCTTCGGTGCATACGATAGCTTTTTTACTGAAATAATCTGATAATGTGTAGATGTTTTGGCTGAGAAAATGGAAAGCGTTTTGGGTAGTATTGAAGTGGAACTTGATGGTCGATTTCAAAGTATACGTACTCGTGAAACAAATTTAGGTATCGATGGGACATAGTCATAGTTTCGTCGTATATATATATATGTGTGTGTGTGTTAAATTTTTATTTTTGTTTTTGTGAAGGAAACTTAGTGGCTGACATCACACGTAACGTCACTCAAGCTGACGTCAGTATTGTTAACTCCGGTACTCTTCGTTCAGATACAATTCACCCACCTGGAGAATTTAAAATGAAAGTATGTATGATTATGAAAGTATGTATGATTATGAAAGTCTTTCGACAACAGTAATTTTTATCAAAAACAACGGACGCCTTCGAAAGAAATAAATTCAAATGCAACAGTTAGTATTTTAGCAAAAACACAAGACAGTAGATACTTCGTATAATTTCGAAAAGCATTACATGTCATCATAATGTTGACTTTATACGGAGTGTCTAATGTCTTGTGTTTTGCTAAAATACTCTTTAACAGTCGTAATTAATAGTTAATATGCTGTGAGAATAATTTCCATGCAAAAAGGGTAACCGATGTTTGCTACGTTATTGGCTACTCTCATTTGATGGTTGTTTTTTTCTCACTTAGCACTTGGCAAGTATTCTTCCCATGCCAGATGCTATTGTTACCCTTGAAATTACAGGTACTAAAACAAAATCTCCATTATATCCTGTATGCTTGTGTTTGTATCGATTGTGTGTGTGTGAGTTGCTCGTTTAATGTTGAATCATTAATGTAGGAAAACAACTTTTAAAAGCTCTCAACAACGGAGTCAGCCAATGGCCAAAACTTGAAGGACGTTTTCCACAGGTGATTTTAAATTTAGTGTAACGTTCGTATGCCATAATACTTCACGTAGATACGTTCAAACGTTAACTCTTCTGTAGGTGTCTGGTATGACATTTGCCTTTGATCCTGATATGGAGTCTGGTGAAAGGATAATTGAAAGCAGCGTAAAAATTGGCGGACAAAACTTAGAACATGAGAGAGTAAGTGATTTTACGCCCAAAACGTCGTTTATTCTTACTGTTACGATAAATAGTAAGATACTCATTTCTTTTTTTATTCACAATGGTACAGAAATACAAACTGTGTACGAAGGCATATTTGAGTCATGGAAGAGATGGATATGAAGTCTTTAAAGATTGCCCTTTACTTGTCAAAGAGGAAGAAGGACCTATATTGCCCACAATCGTTCGAAATCATTTCGTATCTTGTAATATTGTTAAAGGATTACAAATGTGCCGTTCTGGTCACAGACAGTCTATTACATGGTATTATAAATTGAATGAAATCATTTATCATTATCCAATGATGACTTTTCGCTCAACATCTTGTCATTCGTGTATTTTTTAAAGTCTCGATGCGCGGGAGTTACATGATTTTCAAAAGGAACGTTTTGCAATTGAGAAACGCCACTCGACTATTTCACCTAAGGTAAGTGTTTACGCGAAATGGAGCTTTTCTATTTCTCCTTTTTACTTTTTCCTTTTTCTTTTTGCAGGTGGAAGGTCGAATTCAGATTATTAATCGTACATTGTAAGAAATCATAGTTGTACCCAATCATTTTTCAACTCCTGCGCCACATTCAAGTCGTAAAATGTTCCTTTGAAAATGCTATGTAGATTATGAAAGATTGTGTATTTTTTTGTAAAATATATCTATATTATACAGGGTTTATATAAATTGACAGGTTATATCAAATTAAATACAAGTGTTACAGATGATTGTTTCCCATCATTCCGTGCGCACTCAACTAACCTTTGACTTTATATTTTGATGAGATGAAGTATACGCATTTTTAACATGAACTTTAGACTTCTTATGCATTTCAATTTTTTTCCCAAATTACCGTGTATAAATCGTGTACTTTGCAATCTAGCTATGCAAACGGCTGACCTTTGCGACGCGTATGGTGATTTGCTGCAATATGTGGAGCCCATATTCCAAGATTTTGGTAAAAAGTCGGTGTTTGGAGGAAAAATTTCTACAGTAAAATGCCACGAAGATAATTCCTTCGTCAAGTTAGCGTTGAGCGAGTCAGGTGAGGGTAGGGTAAGTATTTTAGGTGTAAAGATCCTGAGTTTAGTAATTTATCAGCTTTCTAGGTTTGTTTTAGTTTTTTAAAACTAGGAATTTTTCCATTAAGGTTTTGGTTGTTGATGGAGGTGGCTCCAAAAGAAGAGCATTACTGGGAGATAATGTTGCAGCAACTGCTTTCAAAAATAACTGGAGTGGTATTATCATCTATGGTTGTGTTCGAGATGTTGTTGAATTGGAAAGGATTGATGTTGGAATCAAAGCTCTTGGCTCAATCCCACGTAAAACTGAGAAGAAAAATGTCGGCACAAGGGATGTTCCAGTCAGCTTTGGAGGTGTTACATTTAGACCAAATGATTATGTGTATGCAGATAGGGATGGTATAGTTGTATCCAATAGAAAGCTTACTTTAGAAGGTAAATTGTAGGAAAAAATTTGTATAATTAATAAAATTCATTCTTTCTTTAAAAGTGTGTTTTTACTTGCTCACTTTAATTATTGCATGTACGTATAACATTGGATGATTGGATCAAAAATATTGAAACAAATAACATTATGGCCATGATTGTGACTTTATCATTCACGACGCTTTCCGATTGTTTAATTATTCGCGAAGTACCGGAATTATGTTTAACCAACATTAATTAATCATTCTGGGCTGATTGATGAAGCAAATGTCTGTTTTATGCAAGAAATACTATTGCATAAGTCTTAAGTGACAATTGACTCAACTGAGAAGGGATGCACAGTTAAATACAGTTAGAAATAAGAACATGGTGTTTTCATTATCAAACAATGCATTCCTCCTGTTTATAGAAATGTTGAAAAGGCCAGTACTTTAGTCTTGCTCTTGAGGAATTTTAACTACACCATAACAAGAATTGATCATAAGCAAAGCGATGTAAGCATTTTCAATATCTCACAAATACTCATACGTTCTTTGAGTGTGCATCTCAAAGTATCTTATCTCCATATTTTCTTAACAGCATGCTGTGTTCGTTCCATATATGGCCTCCAAATATCTACACTTCCTGCGAGAGAGTTAAAGAAAGCCCGTTTGACGGCGGAAGTTGAAGTGTTATCACAAGCAAAAGGTACTGCCATTATGAAATTGTTGTAACGCTCGTTTTTCTGTTTTCTTTCTACTCTTTAATTAAGATAATAATGGCTTGCACAAAGAAAGAGACGCCGAAAATTGATAAAGGTTTGCAGGACCCCAATGAAAGATGTGTTTTGCCATTGCTCTTTTGTCGCAAGTTTCTACAATTATCAAATTGTTGACATTCACAATAGACGTACATCTCGAGCAAAATAATCTATCGGATTTTTGTTGTTGAAGGTTTAATCCAGTCTGCAATCGGGAAAACAAACGAAATACAATTGGTACAAGAAATTAAACTCGAGTTGAGATCTGACAAAATCGATTTGAGACTCCTGGTAAGTAAATGTCATACATATTCTCGTTTGTCCATTTGCTTGAGAATACAAATCGCCGTTTTAGTTCATACTCCATTATAATGTTAGAGTCGTGTAAATATATACACTCTTAAGTCATCATTGAACTATTTCATTAAACAAAATATGCAACACAGCAATGGCAACGGACTATATTTACATTCACCATTTTAGTATGTTACGGAATGTACGAAAACACTCATCCGATTAAACTGTAACACCTTACAATCATTACTAAAATAAATATTTTGTATAAATATGTTGGCAAGCTTATAATAGTCAAAACATCGCTACGTAAATCTCATATACAACAATTTTTTGCAAAAATATTTTATACATAAATTATTGACGCTTCGATTGATTGACTCAATCAAATTGTGAATATTTGTGCGCAATTAACCTAGCGATAACTGACTTGCAAATTAAACTAATATTTATTCTTGAAGCTTTGATAATTTGCACTTTGTATTTGCTGAATGAAGAATGTCATAAAAAACAGTCTAAGTGTTTTGTATATTATAGAATTCAAGTATTATGTAGATACTTACATTTAAATTTTCTGCAGGTTCTGTCAAGTTTTAGATTTTATATTCTACATGCGAATAAATCTCCATACAAGGTACAGTTTGCATATGCAGTGAGGTTTATGTGGTCAGTTGATTAAATGTCATTAAGTATTTATTGAAGTGATACATCACCATTAATATTGATCGAGAGGTATTTATTTTCAAGTTGATCAATATTTTTATCAATCCTTTTTTTATTTAAGGTCGATCACAGTGTGCATATTCTTGATATTAATGGAATTGAAAGCAAAAAACCTGACCAGGCAAGTCAAACCTTTCAATAATACTGATTTTATAAATTCATATATGCTTATGTTGATAATGCAATATGTAATTTACAACTTCTCTTTTATGGAAGATTGTGATCAAATATGGAGAAAAATCAATCAAGTTTTGCCTTGTTAAACCACAATCTACACATATCACCATTGGTCACATAGTTGCCAACTTGAAGTTAAATTTTCCCGGAGCAAACCTCGGGTATTACTGTCTTTCTTTAAATGTATATTTTGTTGTTAGTAACTGTTCAGACAAGCATGACTTATGAAGCATGTTCTCCTGTTTCTTAAGGGATACAATCAAGAAAGAAATTGAGCCAAGTGATAAACTAGAAAGTGTCAATAATATGGTTGAGAAAATAACAAGTTCAGAAAGCTTAGCAGAAACAGGACCCTGTGGTAAACAGAAGGATTTCTCTTCTTTGCTGTCTTGCTTTTTCCCATGTCACAAAACAAACCATCCCATTTAATTTTAGGTGGTTTTTCACGTTCATATGCATGTATTTGTGATCACTTGGCCGTGCCTTTTATTGAAGAGGTTGCTTGGGTAAGTTTTCCTACAGTGTTTGGTGACAGGGCTGTGTACACGTTGTGTACCTATTTTTATGATTCTAATTTTCCTTTTTGGTGATAAACATGTTTTGTGCTTCAAGGATGTTGACACGATTTATCTATCCAATGACACAAAAGAATTTAATGTTCAAGATTTTGATCATTGGGAGCAGAGGTAACTGCCTTTTTGTTTCTAGATAATTATGCATGAACTGGATATTTTTTGTTATAATTTTGTATTTCTCTTTAGAGATTTGATACCAATCATTGCTACTTTGGAATACAATGCATGGTTTACAAAATTTGTTTGTGTCTCATGCAAACTGGTGTGTATTCACTCATTGTATTTGTTCAACAATTTTACAAACCAGTCTAATAAAGAATGCCTCTATTTAAGTCAACAGAAATATTGGAGGCTATAGCGAAGGTGGTTAAGCGCTCAACAACACTTGTGGAACTGAGATTGGATAGCATTGGTCTCGGACGGTATGCATGTGTTACAAAAGTGACAGCATTGATTTATAATTTCTTCACTGATTTTACTTAATGTTGTTGAAAGGAATTATTTTTTCAACTCTGATTTAGTGAATTTTGTCAAAAACTTACAACTGCTTTAACATCCAATCCAAAATCTGCTCTTGAAAGAATTGATCTTTCTTCCAATCCTTCAGTAGAAGATCGAGGTATAAATGCAAAGTCTGTTTATTCTTATCGTAAATGTCATTATAAAAGATAACGATAATTTACAATTAAAAAATAAAAATGTTTACTGTGTTTGCACAGGCTTATGCAAACCGAGCAGACCTTTGGGAAAACTTGAGAGCTGATCAGTGCAACCTTGATTGATTGATTGATTTGATTGGTTGAGCTGAGATTGGTTTACACAGGCTAATGCAAACACAGCTATAGAGCAGCACACGTGTTTCATTGTGTTTATTTTATAAATAGGCATCACACACTTGGTTGGTGGTATTTCAAAGTTGTCCCACGGGTTAGACAGTCTGAATCTCCATGATACTGGCCTCACAAACAAAGGTAGGGAATGTTTTGTGTTCTTCTGTGTTCTTTTGCATTTTTTATCACCTTTTAACTTCATCCAGGTATAATATCAGTTGGACAAATGCTTAAAAGCAATAAATTCATGTCGACTTCGTTAACAAGGTTGGCTTTTACATGTAATATTTTCTCAGAAATGTATTTGCATAAAATATTTAATCCAATTCTCGTCTGTGTAGCCTTAATCTATCAAATAATCAAATCAAGGCGGAAGGTGTTACGGTAAAGGATTTTTTTTAGTATATTTGTCATTTTGTTGCAAGAAAAGCGAAGACTTTCACGTCGTATTTTTTTAATGAATATTCTTGCAGGTTTTATGCGAGTTTCTTGCTCAGTGCAACGATCTAACGCATCTTGATCTGAGTTCAACGGAATGTTATATTGAAAGTGTAAGAAAGTCTGTACTTAATTATCACATTACCACATAATATATCCATGACCGGAAATACACTTTACGTGTCTGTTTTAGATCTTCGGCGCTCTCATTAGAGGTTGCTGTCAAAATCTGACTCATCTTAACTTTTCTGGAAATCATTTTACTAATCGACGGAGCAAAGATGGCAACTTATCTTCCAGTTTTCAGCAAGTAGTTATATTTCTTTCGTTTGACGCAAACTATTTGAATTCGTCATAAATCATTTTTACTCTTTGTTTCTACAATGAAGTTTTTTAGTGCAACAGCTGCGTTGAAAGAAGTCAAGTTATCTAAATGCAGTTTACCTGCTGAGGCCGTGAAGTTCGTCAATATTTTGAAGTATTACCGTTACTGTAGAATGAAATAAACGAAGCTATTTCTTCAACCTTTAGGGCGATGTTTCTCGGCTTGATGGAAAATAGCGTTGTCACAGACGTTACAGTTGATATTAGTAAAAACGAGGTACAAAGCTATGAAATCGTGGTGTCTTGCTGTTATGACTTTATTTTTGTTCTCGTTCACTGCAAAAATAACGAATGAAATTAATTTTGTAAAGAATTTAGTAATAGCTGAAAACTTTGCATTGCAAAATTTTCAATCTATCAACATTTGGTTACAATCTTTTTTTTTTCTACAAGTTCACTGAAACTCCTGAAACCAGGAATTTTTTACGTTAATTTAATCTTGTTTTTGTTACAGTTGAAGACAGCGGGTTTACGAGAAATGAAAGGTCCATTAAGGGAAATTAAAAATTTGTATTCCTTGGATCTCACTGATAATGGTATGATTTGTTTTCTCTTCACGATTTGCAATGTGTACTCTTGTCTTCTTTATTCAATGGCGTTAATGTGTCGTAGGTTTTGATGCAGATCTCTTACCACTTTGTGAGAGTTTAAGTGAAAACAAGCGTTTGAAAAGGCTTTATCTAGGAATGAATTGCCATAAATCGAGGTGTGTGTACGTAAATGTACGTGTAATATCCACAACCGTCTCTTACTATCCCCCAAAGCAATTTTTGACGGTTCTGATGGTTTGACGTGCTCTACAATAAGTGAAATTTACGTATTTTTTCGGTCTTGGTTTCACAGGAGTCAAGTCATGGAAGCTTTGACATATCTTGTAGAAAATTCTGTGAGTTGCTTATACATCACCGAAGATTACTTTTATTTCTTGCTCGTGTTTATTCCAATGTTCTTTCAACATGAATGTTTGTAGGCCATCGAGTTTCTAAGCCTGAGCGAGTCTAAGTTGAAGCATGATATTGCGTACCTATTTAATAGCCTGGGAACTAATGAATATTTGATTGAACTTGACATTACGTAAGTTTTGTAGAAAGTTTAGTTTGTATGATTTTTACAAATCGTTTTGAATATATATTACTTTATGTTAGTGGCAATATGATGGGTGATGAAGGCGCCAGAGTTCTGGCAAAGGCTTTACAAATTAACAGCAAATTAAGGTAAAGCTACATATTATACGATTTCAACGATGTTGCCCTGTAACATTTCTGGCCAGCTTTACGAGTCACTGTTTTTATGCTTGTGGTCATGAATTTAAATTGCATGTTATATTATTACTGTCATTTATTAATTTATATCACCGTGAATGTAGAACTATTCACCTGGATCGAAATGGCATCACACAAAATGGTTTTCGTGACATCGCTATGGCATTAGAGAAGTAAATAGCCTACAGACGTTTTCCTTTGTAATATTTTATCAGACATTTATTTTACGTAAATAGCCTACAGATTTTTCCCTTTGTAGTATTTTATCAAACATTTATTTTACGTAAATAGCGTACAGACTTTCCCTTTTAGTATTTTATCAAACATTTATTTTACGTAAATAGCGTACAGACTTTCCCTTTTAGTATTTTATCAAACATTTATTTTACGTAAATAGCGTACAGACTTTCCCTTTTAGTATTTTATCAAACATTTATTTTACGTAAATAGCGTACAGACTTTCCCTTTTAGTATTTTATCAAACATTTATTTTACGTAAATAGCCTACAGACTTTCCCTTTTAGTATTTTATCAAACATTTATTTTACGTAAATAGCGTACAGACTTTCCCTTTTAGTATTTTGTTAAACATTTTATTATAAATAGCGTACAGACTTTCCCTTTTAGTATTTTGTTAAACATTTTATTATAAATAGCGTACAGACTTTCCTTTTAGTATTTTGTTAAACATTTTATTATAAATAGCGTACAGACTTTCCTTTTAGTATTTTGTTAAACATTTTATTATAAATAGCGTACAGACTTTCCCTTTTAGTATTTTGTTAAACATTTTATTATAAATAGCGTACAGACTTTCCCTTTTAGTATTTTGTTAAACATTTTATTATAAATAGCGTACAGACTTTCCCTTTTAGTATTTTGTTAAACATTTTCTTATAAATAGCGTACAAACTTTCCCTTTTAGTATTTTATCTAACATTTTATTATATTTTTCTCTACTGCAGTAACCTCACGTTACAATTCATGCCAACACCGGTGAATGATGTATCACTTTGTCTCAAACCAGCCACGGAAAAAGCTCTAAAACAAGTAAGACCTTGTAATTTCACAATTGTTGTAAAACTTATAGTATTACGTATATCCAGCGATAGTTATTTTCAATATCTCTTTGTTCAGATTGAGAAATGTCTCTCTCGAAACTATTCCCCAAGTCACGCTGTTACAGAGCAAGCTTACAGATTGCAACAAGGATTGATGATGACGTCAACCCAGCAACAGGTTGAATGACGTCATATTGTGCATTTCATATGTTGGTTTATGTGTTAGGGTTGTTGCTTTATTAATCGATATTATCAATACTATTACCAGATGATCGATAAATTGATTGTTCAACTGCAAGATACACTGAAAGCGTTAGGTGCTTCTGCTGCTAATGAAACAGTTAAATTAGAAACCCGTAATGCTCGCAGGCTCATCAATGATGCCGATAAACTCAAGCAGGTATAATATACTCTGTGCTTTGACTTGCCTTGCTTTGCTGTGGTGTTTTTTTTACTCTGTTTTAAATAATCTACATATGTCTATCCAATGTTGTTCCCAATTGCTCCTTTAAATAACCTAAAGATTGTTATCCAACCTTGTTCCCAGTTGGTCGTTTAAGTATCCTAAAGATTGTTATCCAATGTTGTTCCTAGTTGCTCCTTTAAATATCCTAAAGATTGTTATCCAACGTTGTTCCCAACTGCTCCTTTAAATAACCTAAAGATTGTTATCCAACGTTGTTCCCAATTGCTCCTTTAAGTATCCTAAAGATTGTTATCCAACGTTGTTCCCAATTGCTCCTTTAAGTATCCTAAAGATTGTTATCCAATGTTGTTCCCAATTGCTCCTTTAAATATCCTAAAGATTGTTATCCAATGTTGTTCCTAGTTGCTCCTGAAACTTCACATGTCAGGAAGCTCTAGTGACTTAAAGGAACGAGTTGCATCTTTGTCGTCGGACATTCATAATGCGATACAGAAACAATTGAAAGAAAATGTTGAGAAAATATTGAATTGTGCCGAGGAGAGTTGTCCTCTTGTAACCAAACAGACGGTGAGGATTTCATGTCGTTTGCCATTTGTCCACTGTAAACTAGTGAATAATGTGTTTTCTGTAATGTGAGACGAAATATTTTGACCTTTACAGTTCATAGTGCTTGTTTCCTGCAGGGATTTAGAAACGTCGATAACTGGGGGGGGGGGAGACTTTGTTGATATGTATGCACGTTATATATGCGCGTGGAAAACATGAGCATGTGGATATCTTTCATCTTGAATTATCAATTTTGCTTCCTTCCTGGTTTGTTTTATATCTTCTACACAAAACTTTACGCTACTCTTGCAACAATATAATCAAAATGGGGAATAAATATATCGACATCATCATCTTTATAGAATTGGAAGTACATTGATTCATATTGTATTGTCAATGTTCTCTATAACTTCTCGGTTCAACCTGGACTATATACACATACATACATAGACATTTTTCTTCATTGTAAATAATATTGTTTAGGATGTTAAAGAAAACCTAAAATCATCAATCGAAGGAAAGGCAAATATCAACAAAGCATTTGTTGACTCTGTGTTTTTGCAGCAACTTGCACCGATTATACTAAATGAAGTGAGGTGAGCCTGTTTTGCAAGTCTTTTTCACATCAAAGACATTGTTTGTTTTACCATAAACTGGCACTCTTACACATCATTTTTTAGCGAAAAAAGCCTTAGTATGTCTATAGTAATGGTAGATACACTTATGGATCACGCTATCCAACAACTTGAGGAACAGCAAGTTAAATTGGTAAGATATCACTTAAAAGAAATTGGCTACTAGATGTTTAAACCACATTTACCTATTGTTTTTGTTTTGCGAAGAATTTGTTGCTTGAGCAACAGGATCAAGTATCGAAGGAAAAATTGACTGTGAACGAAGATGATCATGTCAGTGAGGTAGAATTTTTTGTATGTATTATTGGAGGTATAGATGTATGAAGGGGGAACTTGAAATATTCTTTATTTCTAGGCTGCACAGAAAGCCAAGAACAGATTAAGTACAGTTAACAATCGAATAGGTTTACGCGTTCCTGAAGATAACAATGACATGTCGGCTGGTTCCGTTCATTCTCGACGTCGGCCGACCATTAATCGTAGACATGTGACCTCGGATGAATTGTCCCACATTGCAAAGGATCATACTGATGACGCAAGTCAAAAAGAGGATGACGTGTTTCCTGTTGGTGATATTGGTTAGTGGTTTGAATTGTTCATTATTATAGCCTATTAAAAATTCATAGCTATTCATCCTTAATCTATAATCCTTAATCTATAATTCTTAATGTATAATTCTTAACCTATAATCCTTAATCTATATTTCTTATATATTAATCTACTGATATACTTTATAGATATATTGATTCCTGCCAATGAAAATACCCAAGAACTCGTTCACGTGACAAAGAACCGAGCACGACCGGCAAGAGGTCGAAGGCCTCCGACAAGAGCGTCTGCTGCTCAAAATAACTCGGTTGTAGGTCCTGAAATTGTATCTGCTAACGTTGACGAAGGGGTAGACACGTTCTTTAAAGAGCCCGCGATCAGACCAGTCTCAGCTGTGTCAGTATCACTTCATTTAGCTTATTTTTTACTGAAAGAAAGAGTTTAATTTGTCAAACAAGTTTAAACATATAATTTACTTTGTTCATTAAAAGTTTGCCGAGCAAGAAAACAGTACCTGAACCCATGCCGCCAAAAAGTTCAACTTTAAAATCACCGAAAGAAAAGAAGAAGATGGAGACTACAAAGGTTTGTATTTGTTTAAGGTTGACTTATATTAAAAGTAAAAAGACAAAAACTGTTTGAAACTTTGCATTATCCTTGGGAATTTTATTTCATGAATTAATTATATGATTGGTTTGCCGGTGATAACCCTGGCTGTCTTACCAACAGCGATATTGATTTGCGAGTTATATAAATTTACAGGAGGAGATTGAAGATGTAAACAAAGACCAAGATAAAAAGGTAGGACACATATTATATTCTTTTCGCATAGATACCTCAAAATCCACGCTTTAACTCTTAACCGTCTAAGCATAAATCATTTTGTTTTTAGAAATCTACATTTTCGTTGAGGTAACCGTGTGTCACAACATGTTATGATATTTTTCAATTTTTAAAAAGTAAACTGTTCCATTTGTTGAATAATATGGTAATCATATTGTTATATTTGTTAAATGTTGTTGAAAAGCTCTATATTCAAGAAAAAGAAAGATGAAAACAAACCCAAAACTTCACGTAAAGAGTCGAAGAAAGAGATTCGAAAAAGTGTGGAGGATTTGACCGAACCAAGTCGTGAGAAACTTTTTCAATTTATTTATGCTCGAATGGCGTTGCAGCAAATCGTCTTAGACCTTACCGTTTGTATACGTAGGTTCTCCTCCCGAGAAGAAACCAGTCAAAAAACCACCACAAAGACCACAGAAGCCATCAAAACCTGCTGGGACTGAGAAGCACACGAAAGTGGACGAACAATCAGAATCTGAAAAGCATGGTGAAGGTAAAAAAGAGGCCGAAATCGAAGCAAAAACTGAAGTATCCACTGCTCACGACAAAAATGACGGCGATGAATCTAAACTCGATGAAAAAGAAGATAAATCAACCGAGGATATGGTTGAGAAAGCAAATGTTCAACCAAAGGGACCACCAAGGTATGGAGTTGGATTACCAATGGGAGGAGTTGATCTTATAGCTGAAATGAAGGAAAAACGTGCCAATAGTATTGGCAAAGGAAAGGTAAAATTATCATGGATTAATTGCCAATTTTTTACTATATTTACTTTCATAAATTAATCATATACATTATTGTATTTTTTATTATATTCGTCAAACAGACGTCACCGGAAGAGGGGCAAAGAAGAGCAACGGTCGGTGCTGGTCAGCGGCCTAATGTACCGGCGCGACCTTCAACAAAACCAAAACATTTAGTTACGGTCAAGTCGGATTCGTCTGCTGGAGCAAAGGTGAATGGAAAACCACTACCTCAACCAAAGACTAAAGAAGGTATTAAACAAACAGTATTTATTTAGTGTACGAGATAAACGTAATATGGTATTGACAGATAAGTTTTTTGTATTGTTCAGATAGCTCGGATACGACAGGTCGAATGAAACCTCCCATAAAAGGAAAGCCATCAGTTACGAAAAAACCAGCTTTACCAAGGCGGCCACCGAGTATTTCCAGGAACCGTCCTAATTCGCAAAAAGACGGTGCTAAAAAACAAGAAAGTTTGGAGATAGAAAAACACGAAGAGAAGATTGTGGAGTAAGCTAAAACAATTCTCTTTTTTATTTCTCTTGTTTCCTTCTTTGTTTTAAGTGCTCGACTCAATGAGAAATGTACTTTTTCAGAGAAACATCTAAGATATCTGATTCTAAGAAAGAAGTTGAAAAGAAAGAAGAATCAACTGAAATACCGAAGATTGACGCGGAGGAAGAGAAAGAGTCGAAAGAAACAAGAAAAGAGGAGAAAATACAGTCCGATGTACCTGAAGAAACATCACATAAAGGTGAAGATGAAAAACCTATGGTAGAGGATGATGGCCAGTCTGATCAAATTTCTGTTGAATCACAAAACAAATCGTCAGAGGAGACAAGTATAAAATCTTGTTTAGAAGAACTGGACCAGAAACTCTCTGAGGATGCACAAGAAAACTCCAATGATTCCGGAAAAGAAGTCGCTGAAGAGTCGAAGAATATAGCAGATGTTGCTGGGAAAGATACAACTGACGGTACTGGAAATGAAACAATGCCTGAAGGTGGCAAAGATCTGGAATCGTCTGTTACGAATATTTCAAAGTCCGACTTGCAAAATGAGCTGTGTGAGAGCGCTGGTGAAAATGAAGATAGTGAAATCGAGGGAGATAAATTGAAGGACCGTAACGATAATGTATCTGCTGGTAAAGATAATGCGACCGAAACTGATACGACAGCCGTTGATGATGACGTAATAAAAAGTCCCGTAGATGAAGAATTGTTGGAAGATGCAGCTAGAGATACCTCATTGTAAACAAATGTAGGAAATGACTGTTTTATGTACGTATAGATAGAATTTGCCAGAAATTTGGTGATGTTATGGTAAAAGGGTAGATTTTACTACCTACTTACATTGTTTTGTTTATGTTTCTTCTAGACAAAAATGTAGGAAATTGTGTACTTATTTATAAAATTGTTTTTTGTGTATTTTAACTATTTTTGTGCAATTTAGATTATCAATTTATGAATATATTTTTCGAGAGCTGAATAACGTGTTCTTTTTGTCATTTTAAAAGTTGTCGTTTGGCATTTGACTCTTTTGAATTCAATGATGAAATAATGTAAGCTGTGCAATTTGGAATCCAAAAGTTTTTAAAAGAGTACCACACAATCTATTATTCCAAAGGGATGGTGGTGGCTCTGATGATGGCTTTGGAATAATGTCGAAACATGGTGCCATCCAGTAAACTGCTATAGTGGCGAGAATCTCTCGTCCATACTCAGTTTAAAAGAGATTTGACTCGTCTCCAATCCCTGTGGGCTTGGTAGCTCAACAGGTAGAGCGCCGGAGTAGTATCCCGAAGGCGCGAGCTCAAACTCGTCCAAGTCACATGTTTGCCATGTGCATAGTAAAAACCGTGCTAGGATTAATATACAATCTATTATGGTGATGTCTTATTGTACACCGGAAATCACGTGTTCCTGTGTTCACATCACTGCCGGTCGTAAAAACCAAACTACCAAGATGGCGGGTGAGTGCTCAATATTATATTAAACATTCCTATATTGAGATGGTGCATGGCTCTCTCTTTTTTTCTTTAGATATTAAATTTTTGGTCGACGACGACGACAACGCTGAGGAAGAGCAAGAAGACGGTAAGCTACATTCGGCATTGTTTTAATTTCATCAAACATACGATTTTCATTAGTAAGCCTAAAATCACACCGCGAGGTTGAAATAATCCAGTCAGAGTGCGATGTAATTATTATGAAGAAGTAATATTTACGCATTCTTTAGCTCATCTTGATAAAAAGTAACGAGTTCATCTTAAGCTTGTCATAGTAACTGTTCTTGAAATAAAATTTTTTGAGTCAAAAAGATGTGTTTGCGTTTATTCCGATGGCATTTTAATATACTTTTCCAGCGACTAGCTATATCATCACTCACAACGAACCTTCGTTTTCATAGACGGATTGGAGGACGAAACTGACGATAATTCAATGCTGGACAAAGAAATCCCAGAAGAGCTCATCTCTCCATTGACAAAAATGGATCGCTACATGAATAGCGAAATTATTTTCAACAGGTCAATGAGAATTAGTTCAGACGTGTACCTCGATTCTGTCATCTACTTTATTATACATATAAAAAACGTCTAAGAATGTGTTGAATTTTCACATGATCGCACGGAATTAATAATTTCTCAAGCACGTAGTAAGAAAGGAGTTATTTTTATCATCGTGAAGGTGTTCCTAACTGTTTTCTTTAATTTTGTTATTTTTATATAGACGCATGGCTTCTAGATGCGTCCTAGAGTGTTTGCGATCTGTTAAGTCCGATGAAGAATGCTATACTGTCTTACAGGCTATGGTTCGTCTCTCTGATGACATAGGTCTGTGATTGAGTTGTTTTACTTTCAAACTGTCAGATAAATCAATAAATGTTGACAAAATTTACTATAAAATACGCTATGTAGTTTTTTATGTGCAGTATTTCATGTGTTTATCTTTTAATTCACTTTGAAAAGTTTCATTTTATAGCAATTATAAGCAGCCTTGTTATAATAATTATTTTAAGTGCTACTGAAGTGTTTGTTGTTCAACATGGAAGCAGACTGAATTAGTGATGATAAGTGCTATTCAAAAGATGAATCAGTGTTAATATAAATGTGCTTAAATTTTTTAGAGGCTGCAGTTCGTATTGAAGTAATGGAACAAATACCTCATGTTGCAGTTTTATGCGTGGAACATAGAGGCTTACATTTTGCCATTTCACAATATATTTTACCTGTTGTTGTGAGATATCTTACAGATCCTAATAACCAGGTTTTGTAAAGTTACAGATCCTTGCCTTTATGCATATCTTCACAGTTGTCAAAGTTTGATTTTTATTTTTTAGGTACGCAAAACAAGTCAAGCTGCTCTGTTGTTGCTTTTGGAACAGGATGTTATTGAACGAGGTACTTCATAATTAAATGGTTTGTAATTGATTTATTGGAGTTATAAATAGTTTTCTTATTCTTGGTTTTTCTAGTTGAAATTGAGCAGCAGATATGTCCTGTACTAATCCAGTTATGCAGCATAGATAGCACAGATGACTTCAGAACTGAAGCTGTTACTGTAAGTATCCTCTTATCCCACCATTATCCCATGTTACCCAATATGACCTAAGACTGAAGTTGTTGCTATAAGTACATTCTTATCCAACCATTATCCCACCATTATCCCATGTTACCCAATATGACCTAAGACTGAAGTTGTTGCTATAAGTACCTTCTTATCCAACCATTATCCAACCATTATTCCATGTAACCCAATATGACTCAAAAACTACACCTGTTAGGTACTGTAGGTATCATCACGCTCCACAAACGTCTCATGTATCCCAATACTTTAACAAGATATTTGAATTTTTTAGTTAATGAGCAAAATGGCCCCTATGGTTGGCAGAGAAATCACAGAGAGATATTTTCTTGGTCAATTTGATAATCTCTGTTCTGATCCACTGTTTCATGTTCGAAAAGTATGTCTGCCTTAGGTGATATACATATGTAAACAAAACAATCTTTTCTCTTGAAAAACTGGAGGAAGTTTAACTTACATTTATCCCAAGGTTGCACTCCTTTATTTTTTCACTTGCAGGTTTGTGCAGGTAATTTTGGTGAAATATGTGAGGTCGTTGGAAATGAACTTACTGAAAAACGTTTGGTATGTTGATTATGTTTAAATTATAATATAATGATATTATATTTAGTACTATCATGTCATGTAACTTTCTTTTCCTTTTTAGCTTCCAGTTTTCATAAAACTATGTCAAGATGGAGTGTGGGGTGTGAGGAAGGTTGTTGATTTGTTTTTTTTGGGGGGTCTTTGAAAGCTTTCTAAGTTGTAAAATAGAATAGAGAAATGTTAATTGAATGTAGGGAAGGCAGTTAGATTGGAGAATCAACCCAACTTTTCATATCACAATGACACATTTGATCGCTTTGTTTTGATATTTAGGCATGTGCTGAATGCTTTATGAATGTATCTACGGTTGCTTCAAGGGAAGTCAGAAAAAATAGACTTGCGCCATTGTTTATCAATTTGCTGGGAGACAAGTCACGTTGGGTATTGTGTTTGAATTTTTATGTATAAATATACAATATGTATATAAAATTATTTGTAAAAACTATGGAGAAACATTTTGTAACAATAAACATACCTGGGGAACAAATCTTCAAACATTATACTGTATAAATTTATATGTTTGTATATATACATATATATAGAGAGAGATTTCGACAGTTATTTTTTATTCAGGTTCAAATGGCTGCTTACCAAAGCCTTGGTCCTTTTATATCAACATTTGCAGATCCTCGCAACTCTGGTTTTTATGTTGATCAGCATGGAAAACTTTGCAAGTTTGTTATTCCAGATAAGTCTGAGGGAGAGAGCTCATCAGAAGAAACGATTGGTGATGAGAAAAAGTATGTTAAACTCACTTATAAGACAAGATCTTTCTATTTTGATCGGCTGGTGAGGATACATTTTTGTTACCTATAGTGATCCTGTATCTTTATGCAATAACTACAATATTATTTTCCTTTTTTTGTTTCAAACAAAATTTCTGTTAAAAATGTTTCCAGTGTATTGTAAACGTAGTACAACAATGTCTGATTTAAAAATAGTTGATCATTGTTTTCAATCAACAGATTTCTTTTCCAACAGGAATGCAAATGATCTTAGTTTACTGACAGAAAGTAATGGTATTGAAGTAAAAACAACAGACTCTGGATATATGTCACCTCCCGAAGCACATCTCGATGGAGATCTTAATGAAAATCAAACATTTGATTCGCCAGTTGACACAGAAACTTGTATTGACATGAAACCAACCGATGCAATACTAGACACTTACAACTCATTCAACTACTGGCGAACGCCAATACCTTCAATTTTTGATAGTGATGAAGATGAAGATGATGATGATGATAATATATTTGAGGATAGAAATGGTGATATGACAAGTGGTGACTTGAAATCAGAGAGCGATGATATGAGTAGTGATGATTTGAAGATGGAGGTTGATGTTAATAATGACTTCTCTTTGGATAAACCAAATCAGACATCAGATGATCTTCCTGCGGTAAACAATCTTGGTTTATTAGATGTGGATACTGACGATAATGCAAAGGATCTCGTGTGTATTGAAAATGTTGAAGATTCACCAGAACAAATGCAGCCATTACCTGCTGTTTCAAGTTTGAGATTAAATGATGACTACCTACAACCTTACTCATCAAACATTTGTTTTGATGAAGATAGAAGTCAATTATCTAGTCCACCACAATCTCCTTATCATGAACAGGTTTGTATTCATGCAATGATATAATTGTTGTCGTATTTTATTGTTTACATTATGATGAATTAAATGCATCTGCTTTATTATGGTTGTTTTTACAGAAAGTGATTCCTCAACCATTACTTGACCATTTTATATCAATGACTGAACCATCTAAAGCTCAAGCCATTGATACAGATCTTGCTAAGCATTGTGCATTCAGTTTTCCTGCGGTTACACTAACTTTGGGTGCAAGAAATTGGAAATGTTTAAAAGACACATACGAACATCTTTCCTCAGATATGCAGGTGTGATACGCCACTTTTTTATGACTACTGTGTGTTGCGATCCTTTTATTTCTTTGTATTGTTACATATTATTAAAACGAACTGGGAAAATTTGAGAATTTTTTTATGAAATTGACATCAGTCATTTTATTCATAACTCCAGACAATTAAGGATATTAAATAAGAAGTTCGCATGTTGTCACATTTGTGGGTTTTCTATAAGGTATACCATGCGTTTTAAATTGTTTCTTTTAGTGGAAAGTTCGTCGCACTTTGGCATTCTCCATTCACGAACTTTCAGAAATCTTGGGTGCACACATCACTCGGATGGATCTCGTTCCCATTTTCGACAATTTCCTTAAGGATTTGGATGAGGTTTTCTTCTTCATTTCTTGAGTTTTATTTATGATATAATAATTTGCTTTTATGCGTGCGTGGTGTGTTTCCTTTAGGTGCGGATTGGCGTTTTGAAGAATCTTGCAAGATTTGTAAAGGTTAAAGTTGTTGTGAGATATTAGTGTTGTATACATGGCATTAGTGAACGGATGATTTGTCGTGATGGCAAATTTAAATGCTGCCTTCTAAAGCACAATTGCCATGGTAAATGTCAAAGAAATAATCCATAAGTTCGGAAAAGAATTGTTTGGAACTTTTTCTGGCCTTTCACTATGGCAATTCTGCTTTTCGAGACAAAGATTGTTTGGAAATCAATTTTTTTATCTATTGGAAATGTTCCTTATTCTCCACTTTCTCAACAATGTTATCTGAAAAGATACCACATGTAGGAAATGCTTTGATTTTAATGGCTTTTTTCGTTGCAGCTTCTTGCTCCCGACTTAAGAGCTAATTATTTAAAAAACTACACGGATTTTCTTAGCACTGATAACGCACGTAACTGGAGATTTCGCTACGAATTAGCAGAGTATGTATATGGAAATACTTGCCATGCTGCCTCTCTATTGAGGGTGTCGTCTCGAATATTCACTTTAAATTTCTTCATATATTTAGACAGTTAATCATGTTGGTTGATGTCTATCAAGGAGCTGAAGTGAGCGAATTTATTTGTCCTATCGCCTTGTCACTTGGTGCTGATCGCGTAGCTGAAGTGAGATTGATCTCTTATAAATTAGTAAGTATTGTTATTATTCGATGTTCTCAATCAAAGTTTATTCAAGGGACTGGATTGTTGCTCTTATAGCTTGCAAGATACATAGGCAAAAGCTCGTTGGTTTTTTCCACCCAAACTTTACACATCTTTCTCTCCACTTTAGGTCGGTATATTATTACTCAAATTAAACCCGGAGAATAGTTCTGAATTTAGAAAGAAATTTATAGATGAAATTGTTGAACATTATGCATCAAGTGAGCATTGGTTTAGAAGATTATCGTAAGTTATTTTCCACAGAGGAAAGATGTTGTTTTACATAACTTTCAGAAGTCAATTCATGTTTAGCAAGATAACCATGGACACATATTCGTTTAATGTTTCTTAGATACTGTCAATTATGCGAGGTGCTGCTCGAAGAAGATTTCATCACAGCTGAGAAATTTGCCATCGACTTTCTACCGTATCTTCTTTCGTACCAAACGGACGAGATCGTCAACGTTAAACTTGCGTTATCGCGGACCTTAACGCGTGCTGTTATGGTTACAGGTAGGAAAGATGCCTTCGCGTATTTTCTATTTAGGAATGACAATCTTCATTGCATTCTTTAAATTGTCAGTTTTTTCTAAATAAGAAACCAGTCGTCATCCCTTGCGTTAACATTTTTAAACGTATTAAGGGGATTTAGTCTAATTCTACGATATAAAACACACACTAGTTTCAATTAACGATGTATTTTGACGTCACTGTAACATACCAGCAAATGATAAGTTAAATGATTATTACTGTGAAGAGGAAAGCCGTTTTACAATACGGCATTTTACGATAGTCAATATTGTAACTATCGTGACATTAAAATATCGCTAATATGTTCTATTTTACTTGACAAGATTACTTTTGTCGCCCGGAATGTAAAGATAGTGAAAAAGTTTTGGAGGCTATTGAACGTCTTCAATCGGACAACGATCGTGATGTACGGTACTTCGCAGGCCGTGATGAAGAGGTTCCCTATGAAGGCCGACGATATAGCGATGATGAGAGATACATAAAACATGCGACAAGCCATGAATCTCTTGAACAAATTGGTCAGTCACCTTTGGAAGATAAGTCGGCTGAAGAGCAGCTTAGAGCAAAGTTGTCGTCCGTAGAGACAAGCGAGACAAGGTTCCAGGAAGATATAGATGCTGAACAAGTGGTAGAAGAAGATGCTGGATTGAAAACTGAAAATGTTGAGGAAATTGATGGTCTTGATGAACAATTTGATGATCAAGAAGTAAAGAGTGAACCAGGTTGTGTCCTAAATGAGGTTGTTAAGGATGTAGTGGGAAAATGTAATGAAGAAAAACCTCAGGATATACAACATTTGGTGGTGACAGAAGAAGGCCAGGAGAAAAATATGGTTGTTGGGCTGGAACTGTAAAGTAGAACATCCTGATGGCAGCATCAATATTGTAGTTCAACCATTGTGGTATTCTATCCCACATTCATGTTGTACCATTCTCTGCTGAAGTATATTCATCTAAATGCTTACAAATCTCTTACCTAGTGCTGTAATTGGTGAAATTTTCATTCTTAATCTATCGTTCAAAAACAGACAAAATTGATGAACAGAAAGCAATTGATATTTTAAACATGGCATTTTGTGAGAAATGTTCCAACACTTAATGATGTACTATTAGCACAGGCCAGCACTATTAGCCAATAATACCACACATAAATTCATTATTGATACACACTTTATTAAGTAAATGAAAAATCTTTCACACTGAGGACAAATGATTAATTTATTCTACATTTTCTTGCTGAAAGTACATGATTGTAAAATATGGAAATTTAAGTAAAATTACATTACATGTCTTATGAGTTTTAAGTATGGTGTACTAGCCAAAACAATGAAAAACTATCAACATGGTTTAACTTTCTCTCTTTAAAATTTTATGTCGCTACGATTGGATACATTAGTGTTGTTCAATTTTATTTAACTACTAACTTCCCTAGTTATCATTTCATGTACACCATGGTCTTGTTAGCTATCTGAAGAACTGTCACAATACTTAGCTGCAACTGTGATTGCTTCATCATACATTTGATATCGATTTGGCTCTTGTTCTGCAGTAGTCTGGATCACTTGCTGTAAGTAATTTTCATCATCAAAAGAACCAACTTTGAAATCATGTTTTAACTTTCTCTTCAGCTGAGTGTAAGACAGATACATTAATTAGTAGTGTGCAGTTGAGCATCCTTGGTTGTCTAAATTTCAAGATCAAAATTACAATCATACAACACTTACTGCAATCAGTTCACTTGACTTTCCAAACTCATTTAACTGTCTTTTGAAACCTGGATTGGGTTCAACAATTGCCCTTTTACACTTTATTCCTTTCAGTATTTCTGTCCAGTTCATATTTGTGACTGCCATTATATAAGCTATAGTTAGTGTTGTAGAGCGTGATATTCCTGCCCAACTGAATGGAAAACATAATCAAGATTAGGAATTTATCAACAGGATTTATAGCTTTTATGATGAAAAGTTTATCCTACCAGTGTACTAGTACATTTCCTCCTTCACATCTAAAAGGAAATGCAATGTTTTAATTCGAAAAAATGCTCTAAACCAAAGTGAACACACTATGTAGAAATCAGCACCTTGCTTTATGGATGAACAATGTGCTTGCTTCAAAATATGGTGTTCTGAAAAAGAAACAATGCTCATGGTGTGAAAATTTCAATCATCGTACAACATCATTGATCATTAGAACTGCCATCACTCACAAATCCTGACCAGGGAAATCTGCAACTGAAATACAATGATATTCATAACCCTAAAAAAGATCTTTGTTATAATGAATTTCTACAGTCAAAACCTATAGCTTATATAAAATAGTGTGAACCTTTAAAGTCTCTTTAGCACTTTCATGGGCAGACACTATATGGGTGATATTGTTTTGTTCTAGTTGAGTTTTGTCTTGTGAGTCTAGTGAAAAGAAGTACAAAGTACATTAAAATATCATTTTGGTACTTGGTTATACGATGACAAAGAATGCAGGATAACAAAGCTAGCTAAAAAGTGATAGTACACTATCAAATTCAAATGTATAAATATATACCTTTGAAATGTTAGTACCTTTATAATTTCCAATGTATAAACCAGGTAAGACCTTAATATGGTCAGAAACATAAGACAATCGCTTGAATTCAATATATATGGTGGTTTATACATTCGAGAGAGTCTTTATTACCTTATCCATGCCATTTCCCATTCTTAGTCTTTTCTTTTGACACTACTAACAACAATTACGCAAAACTTTAATTTTGAAATTCAACACTTTATGTAAGTATATTTTTATGCATACGAGTTTTTTCTCACGTGATTGTTCGTCGACTTTTTTTAATTCGTCGTATGTGAAAAGAATTGTTTGAGAAAAATACTCAAGGAAGCTGGTAATTTATCGTTTACATAATAGCAGGCTACGAGCAACTATAAATATTTATGCTTTATAGCAAATTACACAAGTTCACTTTGTCGACATTTTCTTTACATGAATCTCGCAATGCATTGTGGTATATTGTTATGGCTGATATGGCAACAAGAACATCGATATGTCAAATAGAAATATAATTTTATTTTACTTATATTAAAACCCGTTAAAAGAAATGCTTTCGTCTGTCCATCTTGTCGGAGACGATGAAGGGGATATATATGATTTCAATGATGAAAATCCTGCTTTTGACTTTAAGGTATAGCAAAATACTGATTTAATATTGACGTCATGTATTCAATGTCCATTCACTCAATGAAAAGAATTTCTTTGCATTGATAAAAGAATCTCGAAGAAGATGAAGAATTTCAGCAGGCGGTCAAAACAAGCCACGGACAAAGACCTGGAGTTGTAAGTATTTATTCCCTAAGACAAAATTGTTCATCGAACATTATTCTATTCAGTTGGCATTGAGAGTCGTCCTTTTATAGAAAACTGGTGTCGCAGGATTTCGTATGGGAACTTCATCTGGAGTAAGCTCTTTAATGATTGCATATTGCATAATACACAGAAAATAGCTTGGATAATTTTTATTTATCAGAAGCGAGGATTTCTTGGTTCATCAAGTGGTCGTCCGGCAACAGGATTTGCCATAGTATGTCAGTCAATACGTACATTTTAATTTTTTTCTCTACTTTTATATATATATATTTCAAATAAAGTTTCAATGTCTATGAAATGTTTTGATGGTAGAAAAGTGTTTGATGGCATAAAAACATTGAAACCATTTGATTTAGGATGCAAATCAAGCTCGACCAATGACTGCTGTCCGTGGAGCTGGTTATTCATCCGCAGGAAATCGATGTAAGCTGACTGACTTCACTATGTTCTTGGTTTATAATGTTACATGGCATGTCTCAAAACATTGTAAAAACACAGATTTATGTAAGCATATCAAAGTTGTTTAATGCAATGATAGACCTTATCCAATTGAATCCAGTCATATTGTAGATAGTGGCTTGTCAATATCTGAAGCTAACTTGGATTACATCAAAGACTGTTTAATTTATGCAGCATAGTTATTTGATATGCATGCATAAATCTGTGCAGTCCATTTTTTTGAGACACACTTTAGTGTAACATGATCAAATGCTATATGAAATTTTCATTATTTTTTCTATGTTCAATACAGCTTCATGTATTTTTATAATTTTTTTATTCTAGCTGCTGCTGGAAATGCATTTGATCCATTCAATCAAGGCGTTAAGGGTCCTGCACCTCCTCTAGAAAAGAAGGCCGAAGACAGGTAGAGATACGTATGTCATAGCCATGCATAGGGAATAAATTGTTTTGAATTGTTATATGGAATTATCTCCTATAAATGATCACAAACTACAATAATTTGTTAAATAAACAGTCCAGAAGAAAAGGTCAAGCAAATGGAAAGGAAAGTAAATGAATTGATTGAAGAAAGTTGTATTTCGTGTGGCTGTGGGGAACTGGAACTAGTAAGGGTTTCATGACGTCATCTATCTTTAAGATTATCATTGATACGTGTTCTCATATTTCAATGTTAGGCTTTAGAGAAAGCGAAAGATGCAGGACGTAAAGAGCGTGCATTGTGTCGTCAACGTGAACAAACATCTGTAAATGATCAAATAAATCTTGATCTTACATATTCAGTAAGTAATGTTTAGTTAATGGTTTGAACACGGGAGTATTGTTACATGTTTGTAGATGGAGATAGTTCAGATTTTTGGAGTCTTGATATTTTGCAAATACCTGGGCAAGTTAGCCCTAAATCAAAACTAGTTGGTTAGTGCAAGAACTATGAAGTTGAACGGTTGGTCAAGTGGAGATTGCGCAGATTTTTAGTCTTATTGTCATGTTGTTTGTCTTCTTCAGTTAGTTTTAACAAATGCATTGTTAAATTCTTTACCTTAATGATCGTTACAGGCTTGGCCTGCTCCTTACAATACTTAAAAGTAAAATATCCTATACACAACCATAGACATTACACCTTGGACTTAAAAGTAAAGTAGCCTATACACAACCATAGACATTACACCTTGGACTTAAAAGTAAAGTAGCCTATACACAACCATAGACATTACATCTTGGACAAAATAAAATTGCTTGATGTAAATCGTAGAAAACAAAACAAAAAGTGGTTATTTCGACTAAAACTCTTGCTAGGTTTTGTTAAAAATGTTTTTATTTACATCGAAATCAATGGACGTTCACCTCATGATACATGAATTAAAATGAAATGGGAGTTCTTTGAGGAAATGAAATATACGTATGAAACATTTTATGATTGATTCAAATTACGAGTCGAAAGGCAGTGTTTATCTTGAACTTTGCATTATCCTTGGATCCCTAGATGTATAGCTGCCATCCTTGGATCCTTAGTTGTATAGCTGCTATCCTTGGATCCCTAGATGTATAGCTGCCATCCTTGGATCCTTAATTGTATAGTTGCTGTCCTTGGATCCCTAGATGTATAGCTGCTATCCTTGGATCCCTAGTTGTATAGTTGCTGTCCTTGGATCCCTAGTTGTATAGCTGCTATCCTTGGATCCCTAGTTGTATAGTTGCTGTCCTTGGATCCCTAGTTGTATAGCTGCTATCCTTGGATCCCTAGTTGTATAGTTGCTGTCCTTGGATCCCTAGATGTATAGCTGCTATCCTTAGATCCCTAGTTGTATAGCTGCTATCCTTGGATCTCTAGTTGTATTACTGCGGTTGCAGATTAGCTGCTGAAAGGCTTTCGGATCTCCAGTATTTTTTGCTGTGCCTACAGGAAGCCATTGTGTAACTTTTTTTAAAAAAATGTATATTGTTCATCGCAGGTTCTTTTCAATTTGGCCGACATGTACCATAAAAATCAAATGTACTCCGAAGCTCTCAATACGTATCAAGTAATTGTGAAGAATAAAATGTTCAGTAATGCTGGCCGTCTTCGCGTCAATATGGGAAATATACATTATGAACAGGGGAAACTACCTCAGGCTATTAAACATTATAGAATGGCGTTGGATCAAGTTCCCATCACTCATAAGGAGATGAGGTTATGTTTATTTAATCAATCGTAGTTGAAAATTTTCCTCTTGTTTTACATAAATTGTCGTTCGTTTTAGGATTAAGATTATGCAAAATATTGGTGTGGCGTTTGTTGAACTAAGTCAGTACAATGACGCTGTGACGTCATTTGAGCAAGTTATGAGTGAAAGTCCATCTTTAAGTTCAGGTATCATGGGAATGATTTTGTCGAATGGAGGATATCCACAGCATTTCCTTGAAGCCACGAACTTAGTGTTATGTTGTTATTAACTGGCTTAGATATATGTTACAATTTCTGATGAGTTTTGTTTTTTTCTTAGCCATGAACTTAGTATTATGTTACCATGCTCTGGGTGATCGAGAGAAAATGAAAAAGACATTTCAAAAGATGCTTCACATAGAGCTTAACATTGACGACGAGGAGAAATACTCCACTAATGGGGTGAGGATTTGTATTAACCATTTCTCTTCTGACTTTGTGTAAAAGTTTGTAGTTTTTAATGAAAGTTTTTTTGTGTACTGTTTGCAAGGACGACCCTCAACATGCTCTTGTGTTGGAGATTATTAGAAATGATAAACTAAGACAATGGGAAAGAGAAAGGTATGAACAGTTTGTGTAGAAAAAACAATTTGTGTATGTGAAAATGTATCAATGATCACGGTACCATTTTATTTCCAGGAAATCAAATGCTGAAAAGTTTATTGCGTCTTGTGCTAAGCTTATTGCGCCTGCAATTGAATCGACATTTGCTGCAGGTTTTGATTGGTAAGTTTTATAAGTAGTCATGTAACGTTTGCTGCAGGTTTTGATTGGTAAGTTGTATAAGTAGTCATGTGACGTTTGCTGCAGGTTTTAATTGGTTAGTTGTATAAGTAGTCATGTGACGTTTGCTGCAGGTTTTAATTGGTAAGTTGTATAAGTAGTCATGTGACGTTTGCTGCAGGTTTTAATTGGTTAGTTGTATAAGTAGTCATGTGACGTTTGCTGCAGGTTTTAATTGGTTAGTTGTATAAGTAGTCATGTGACGTTTGCTGCAGGTTTTGATTGGTTAGTTGTATAAGTAGTCATGTGACCTTTTGTGCAGGTTTTGATTGGTTAGTTGTATAAGTGGCCACGTGTTAGAGTTTTCTGTTCAAAGATTTTGTGATGAACTAGTAGATATGTATATTTTTTCTAAGGTGTATAGATTGTGTGAAAGCCTCACCGTATCTAGAGCTGGCGAATGAACTGGAGATTACTAAAGCTATTACCTTTTTGAAGGAAAAAGATTTCAATAAAGTAACAAAAAAAGCTGCTTTTGCTTGTCTTTTAGTGTAATGCTATGATTCATTTATGAAAGTTCAATTTTCAAGGCTGTTGAAACGTTGAAAGGATTTGAGAAAAAAGATTCCAAAATGCAATCAACTGCCGCAACAAATTTGTCGTTCATGTATTTCCTGGTAAGACTCGTTATCATTACGTATAGTACATTAAACATTACAGTTTCTAATTTTATGTCTTTAGCAAGGAGAACTTTCACAAGCTGAAAAATACGCTGACATGGCCATCACCGTCGACAGATACAACCCATTAGGTCAATAAGACTGCGTTTAATTCATTATCTCCTCGTTATCACGGGGAACTGTACGCGAATCATGGATTCTGATTCTAGGTTTGGTGAACAGAGGGAACTGTTACTATCGTCAAGGAAATTTGATGAAAGCGAAGGAATATTACCAGGAAGCGTTGAATGTGGAAGCATCGTGTACTGATGCTCTTTATAATATTGGTTGGTTGTTCATTTTGAACTGAATGAGTTTCTTCTTAAATCCTGTTTAATGTTCACTGGTTTAGTTTGAGTTGTTGATTTGCTCTCTACAGGCTTAGTTTATAAAAAAATGGAGAACTATGAAGACGCCTTGGATTGTTTTTTAAAGTTGCATGCAATTTTACGAAATAATGCTCAAGTTATTTGGCAAATAGCAAACTTGTATCCTTCGCAAAATTTGTAGCACCTTTTGTTTTTGATTTTCAACTTGTTTTTTTCAAATGATCGTTCGTTAACATATGGAAATAATGTAGATATGAAATACTTGAATATGTTGACCAAGCAACTGAATGGTAACGGTATTTTATTAATTATTTTTCTTCATCAACACCAACATGATCAACGTGAAAACATTGACATCATATTAAAATGACGTATATTTCAGGTATATCCAGTTGGTATCTTTGGTACCAACTGATCCGTCTGCGTTGGCTAAACTTGGCGAGATATACGATGAACAAGGGGATAAATCACAGGCATTTCAATATCATTACGAGGCCTTTCGTTACTTTCCTTCCAGTATTGATATCATCTCTTGGCTTGGTGCTTACTATATCGACTCGCAATTTTGTGAAAAAGCCATTCAGTATTTTGAGCGAGCGTCAATCATTGAGTAAGCATGTTGTATTTGTTCATCACATATTGTATCCTGTTGTATACGTTCATCATATATTGTATCCTGTTGTATACGTTCATCATATATTGTATCCTGTTGTATACGTTCATCACATATTGTATCCTGTTGTATACGTTCATCATATATTATATCCTTTTGTATACGTTCATCATATATTACATCCTGTTGTATACATTCATTATGGATGGTCATAGATTTTTACTTTTTTCCGTGAAACAAAAAGGAAATTTCTTTTTGTCGTCTTTCTTTCAGACCAACGAAGGTAAAATGGCAGCTAATGATTGCTAGTTGTCATCGAAGAAGCGGTGAGATTGTCGTCATCATTATTTATTTCAATGAACATTATTATTAACATAAATTATATTTACAATAATCAACGATAGGTAATTATCAGCAAGCTTTAGAGACGTATAAATCAATACACCGAAAATTCCCCGAAAATATCGAATGTAAGTTGCTGTCACAAGTATTTCAAGGAGTTTTATTATGTCTGTTTGTGTACAAATATTCACCAACTATGTGTTTCCACAAAGGCTTAAAGTTCTTAGTAAGAATCTGTACCGATCTGGACCTTAACGATGTTCAGGAGTACGCTCAGAAATTGGCGAGAGCTGAAAAGGCTAAAGAATTAAAAGAAAAGGTTTAACGTGACTTGGAAACATCCTGTCCATATAGAATATACGTCTCCATCATCATCATCACATAATTTATAAATCAATATTTTTAGCGTGTTCTTAGTGGTGGTAAAGTGAACAAAAGACATAGTATCTCATCTCGTCAAAATAGTGCTGGCAGCGGTAAAGTATCAATTATTTGTTGGCTGTTTCTGCCTTCGATGTGTAAAAGTTTCTCGTTGTTGTTTTTGTAGACACAAATCGTGTGAATAGTGGTCAGGAAAAAAATAGAAAGAATCTTTCTGCTGCTAACAATCAAAGAATGAAAGCTCCATCGACATTTTCTGACACATCTGAACCCGAACCTTTTGCTGTTGCATCCCCCAAAAATATCGGTTTGTTTTTATATAACAAGATATAATATTCTATATTATGTTTTGTTGATAGCAGATTTTTGTCTCCTCTATACTTCATGTAGACGCATCATACGTCGATCCTCTCGGTGATGCGCCTCCACGACCGAAGACGGCGGCAAGACGTAATCAAGTAGCCACAGAAGACGAATTTGGAGATGAGGAGCTTGGAGATGATCTTTTGCCTGATTAGACCATAGAAATAGAATACAATCTTTAACACAAGATGATAAGTATCGTGAAACATAACGGTGGTCGAATTTGTTCATGTTCAATTCATTCACAAATGAATTGAGAAAGTCTAGCTTGTGATCTTAACAAGCGATATCATTGAATTGAATGATTTTTCTTCAGCAATCCAACTTTCATGCTCATAGTAACTGAAAATATTTAATTGCGTTGGAAATGCCTTGGGGCGCATTTCTTATGTTTTGTAAAAAGGGACAGCTTATTTGCTTCTATTAAATATCGCATTTTTAGTCGTGAATCAATTCATGAATAATTGTGTTGGTAATAAATAGATATTCACTTTGAGTAAAAAGGAATGCAATGACGAAACCATGGAAGAATCCCTATTCAACGAAAGCAATGAAAATGTGCATTATAACCCTGTTGTCTTTTTCACTTTAACTACTTATAGAGAAAAACAGCGAATCTTGTGGATGTTCTTTAGGGTCCACGTTCTCACTAGTAAAGTTGTATTCTTGTTTTATGTCCGTGCTACATAACTAAAACAGAAAAATCTAGTTCTGCGACGAGAGGTTTCTCAACAAGTATGGCAACTCATGGATGAATAACGTTTAAAGTTTACCAAGATAAACAAAAAGAATGATAGCACAGCGCTATAACCAACAACTACAAACAATAACGACCTTATCTAACAACATTTGAGAAATTAACCTTCCACTCCTCAAATGTTGTTAGATAAGGTCGTTATTGTTTGTAGTTGTTGGTTTTAGCGTTGTGCTATCATTCTTTTTGTTTAATAACATTCCAACTATTTTACCAAGATAGTCATATTTCCTGACCATTCTTGCCTTTATATTGCCGTATAGGGTCACCAGCAATGAACAACCAAAGAAAAACCTTTTTGAATCTCGTCATCAACCTCTGCAATCTTGCCTTTCTTTGTAGATGAAGATGAAGATGAAAGATTCGCCAGATGTGAGTATACTTATTACACGTGTAATATTTCTTTAAATTTCATTCAATAAATTGACACGGTTTTCAATTTTTCGATACCTTAAGTTTGTTTTAATTTATCTTTTTCTCATAAATATGAATCCTGCAATATTTTCTCTCAAGCTCTTATAAATAATATTTACATGTAATAATATTAACCATTATAACCTTAGAAATAAAACAAGTCTTTCCTCTCTACTGTTACTAATTTTTAATGAACACATCTACTACAACACCAAAATCATGTTGGTAAATGTAGATCGTCCAGGTTGGTATAACAACACCAAAATCATCAACAATAACGAATAGTAGTGCATGTGATGCAGTTGCTTCGTTCTGATTGGATAATATTTCTTGATGCATCACATGACTATATAACTGTACTACCTACGTCTACTTTTAATATAACTGTATTTTCTCTTATTTTACACATCGTGTTCTCTACTTTTTAGCGCGCAGTTATTCGCGCGTAAGTCTTCCTGATTGAAATAAAAAGCTCTTATCTAAAATGCACTAGAATAGAAAACTTTGCATGATATCAAAGTTATCTCGTGTGTTATTTTACAAATATATGAACAATAAATAGAATCATGTATTTTGAACGGAAATCATAAAACTTCTGAGTCGTTGAAATCTTTCATTTAGATTTTTTCGATCTGTGTCCAGCATCTGTTTTGACGACATCAGCTCCTGAAAAAATTGAATGAAACCAAATCAATTCAGCAATGAAACAATCGTTTTCTTTTCAACAGACGCAGGAAATGCACGATTGCCTTTTGGTGTTGGCGAGAATTTTTGGTAGGAGACTTTATTTTAGACAACGACTATGGCCAATACACCCCTCATCCCTATCTTAAAATGGGTATGAAGCAGGAAAGAGAAATATTGAAACGTTTTGAATGAACGCTCACCAAATGTGCAGTGTTTAACCTTTCGTATTCTTGGATTAAACTGCAATGTTCGTTTCGTAATTTCTCCTCCCTTTCCTTAACACTGTTCAGTTCATATTCTCGTTCTGTAACAACAAAAGCTCAATGAAAGGCACAACATTACACAGCGCTCCACTCAATTACGCACACGGTTATTTTTTTCAAATTGACGAACCTTGATTATAAGCCAAGTAGGATTTAACGATAGTCCTAGTTCCAGGCCACTTAAACATTTCTTGCGTCAGCAACTTGAAGCAAAATGCAAAATGTAAGATAAGTGTTATTGAAAACGTCGATTTACCATTAGTACGTAAATAGTTAACCTACCCAACTTGGTCGACTTTCCGTATTTGTTGCATGGTATTCAGAGACAGCTCCTGTATAGCCTCTGTCTTTACAAGATGGTGATCCTCTTCCATTTTCAGATATCTTTCCAGAAGAATCTTGTTGCGTCGATAACAGTCCTGACTGATAAAACTGAGGAGGGTGGAATGCCGATGATGAAGATTGATGGTATGGATTGTCAGTATTTGTAAGAGACTGTAGAGTCAGTTGTGGACTCGATAAACGAGCAGTTGACTGTAGGGATTTTGGTGGAGGTGTACTGACTTCGTATGTATTGTGATATACTTCATCCTTGTGAAGAACCTCGACTTTCTTAAATTTTTTCCCGCCTCCCGGACTATCCTTTCCTTTCACACTTTCTCTTTCATTGGTTGTTGCACTATCAGAAGACGACGAGGATTCTTTTTCCATGGCGTCTTTTAGCGGTAACAACAAACCATATTCTTGCAACATTTGTTGTTTCTGACGAGTCATAGGTCCACTAACATCAAGATCTAGCGGAGTTCTACTTCGCGTTTTCTCCTCTTTCTTCTATAATTTAAAAATTTTCCTTTAAGACGACCGAAAGCCAGTTGGCAATGAGATCTTGTGGTGCTTTGTCTGATTGATGTTCAGTCAGTTTATCCACAAATGGGGGTTGGTTAACAAATTTCAAGTTGAATGTTTGCAACAAATTAAGATGAGTATTTTCAAAATACTGTCTAAAAATACCAAATCCAACCTCCTTCTTGGATTTCTTGGATTTCTTTGTTTTTCTACGTAACCGTTGATGTCGTCTCTCCCATCTGTTCTTCTCAAAATCATCTTCTAGGTCTACACCATAATTGAATAAAATCAATATTTACAGTGGGCGCAAATATTGCTTTTTTACTTGTTACATACCATGCGAGAATACATGATTTATTCAGACTGGCTGTTTACAACGACTGTAAGTGATAAAAGTTAAAATGTTTACCTTGCCGTTTACGATGTGTCACTAAACCCAAGTTGAACAGAAAGTCGACTTTCTACAAACAAACAGATTGACCTTTAACCTTCCATAACGACTTAGACTGTACCATTAGTTATACGTACCTCACAGTACGTCCTCTTGTCGTCTTTATCGTCGCCATCCTCAGCAACTACTTCGCCATTTTCGACGCGATTCTCTTTATTGCTTTCGTCTTCTTCGATATTCTCCGGACTCTTTCGTTTACCACCGAAATGCATTGTGGGAAAGCGTTCTTCCTCTTCGTTGATGTTCATCAGTCCGATCTCTTTCATGAACTTTAACTTCTATGAGATAATCAAAAGTTAATGATCAAAAGTAAGGATTTCGATGAAGTATCAAAGAAAAAAGCCATACCTTTGGTTCGTGACATTCGCCGTTTATCGACTGACCCTTTCCTTCACCATAAAATTACCTGAAAAGTGGAATGGAAATTAAGAAAAATCAGTGATGTTAACACAAATCTAAATGTGCACCTAAATAAATAAAGGTGAAAGACAGTTATTTGCTATCAACTTACCGTAGTATTTCTGTTTTTCTAACCACTCATTAACAGCATTTTCATCATTAATTGCGCGAGTTGATTGTTGCAAATAATCCTTGTACATCCGGGGGTCCATGCGTGGAGTAAGTTGGCTGTGCGGCATAAATCCCGGGGGGTAAAACATCTCATGATGTGGTAGTCGTGAAGGACTGAACATTGTTGACATATATGGAACTTGAGGAGCTTCACTGTACATCGATGGATAACTAAATGGAGGCAATGTCATTCTACTTTTGGAGACATTCGTAATGTTTCACTTTGTTCGTTCTTTTGATTTTCTTTTGTGTCTTTTTCTTTATGCTTGAGGGGAAAAAAATGAAAGATTTCAGCTGAGAAAACTTTGAACGAGGCATCATCACAAATGTATTAAAATAAAACACAATGTTTACCTTAGAAAGTGCATCGTCCTTTTCTAATTCTTTCTGTTGAAGAAGTTTCTGACGAAACTGAAAAAGTTCCTGTTGAACTTCACGTTTTTGCTGTTTCACCTGTTGCTGTCTGTGTTGCCATTCGATTTCTTCTTTTCGCAAACGTCGTTTTTGTTCAAACATGCGTCTTGTCCACAATACCTGATGATCCTAGCGATGGACAATTATAATGAATAAATTTTCCTTTTCTCCCAATTCTTAAGATCCACATTTTAAATACAAACCCTTTGTTTTCCATCTTTGTTACTATCCCCACGATCATTGGGAAGTACACTATCTATAGATGGTGATCTTATAGACGAAGGATGGGAAACTGGACTATGAGTGGTGCTCATGATAACTGACGTCCACTGCTTCCAGGCAAATGTAAGAAAGATGAAGACACTGGATGTTGCTCAGAATGAGATGGACTTTTTGAAGGTAAAATTTCTGTTGGTGTTTTTGCCATTTCCTTTGAAAAAACTTTGGGTTAGACACCGTTACTCTTACTAAATTAAATATTGCTTTTCAAAGTAAATTGCAAGACAACTGACGGTTTGAAAAAATAATTTTCTTCGCCGTTTCTCGGGTAATAAATCTAACCTTTCCGAGAGTTTTCTCTCCCCTCAAATGTAAATCTCCGGGAAACGTTCGTTGATTCATGGTGGCCTGAACAGAGAGTGACTTGAGATGATCTTGATCCATTATGTACAGCGGTCTTTCATGAGGCGAAAACAACTGTGTATGTCTCTCATGCTGCTGACGCATATGCTCAAGGGCTCGTCGTTTGCGCCAGGCCTCATGGTCAAAACCCGGAGGGAAAAATCCCGGTGATTCCATCATCTAAGAAAACAGAATTGTTTAAGAAAGCTGTGCGATAAGCAATTTGTAATGGTGGTGAGGCGATGAAAATAGACATAAATCTATGTTGTGGAAAGCGTAACATCTCACCGTCGGGTGGGGATAATATGAAAATGGCGGAAGATACTCAGGAATAGTTGGTCGTTGTAAAAATGGCATGTAAAACTGATGGGAAGAAGTTGCATGTGGGGGGTGAACACCTCTCATCCGGGGGGGGACTTCACGTCCAACAGCATTTAAATCGTCCATTTGGCAAGCTTTACCTTCATAACCTACACATCGTAACATAAACAGAGAACATTAAAAAGTTTCCAAACAAGAAAATATCAAAAATAACTTCGAATTACCTCGAAGTCCTAAGGAAAATACCCCAGGCACGACTTGATGACCTGGTAGAGTTGGCAACTCAGGAGGAGGATGAGCTCGTGTTTCTAGGCGACACACTGTGGATTAAACTAACACCCTCGTGAATCTCCTGTTATCCTATACGATCCACCACTCACCTTTATTGCTTTGATAATTAGTATCCATTAATTCTTTTTACAAACTGTGGTCATTCCATTCAATTTCGGACTTTCATGCCCTATAAATAATAAAATGACTAACAATCAAGGTGAGGATGCTTTCCACAGTAACACTGACCTAATAACTCACCATTGCTCTTCATAGGCGAAATAGTATGGTTGCTTGGAGGAGGTAATACACTAACAGGAGACTGGGAACCAGGTGACATAGCTTGCTCAGCAAGTTTTCGTAGTGCAGCAGCAAAACTGGAATTCTCACTTGTAGAAAGAGGTGAACTCATAGAAGTACTTAAACCTTGCGTGACATTTACGTGTAAACCTGTGATGGAAAAAAAACGTGACATTCACACATTTATTCTCTGATATAAGCCATGACGCATTGTACAAGACGGTCGTTTTGACTAAACAGGATATAATTACTGTGAAGTAAAATTTCATCATATCGCCAAAAAGCCTCTTAATGTAGATTTAAGTTTGATTTGAACGCGCGCGGGCGTTCACCTGCCATTTAAAACCTGTCCAAACATCAATCAAACTGAATGTTCGCTTGCATCGGACATTTTTACCTTCTGAAGATGACGTCACAGTTATTTCTTTTCTTTTCCAGGCCTCCACGTCGTCGTCGTTTTGCTTACTGTCAACAATTACTACAGCAGCATTTTTATTCTCTCCTCGAACCTCTGGCGATTTTCTTTTCAAAAGCTGCAATGAAAAGCATATGTGAGTTACCGGTCGTGCAGAATGTGTCACACAAATATACTATGGGTTCCAATCCTCCAGCGCATAGTATTGCGCACTGTGATCGTTTGTTTGAAAAGAAGCAAAGTAATTATTGCACTCTCAAAAACCTGCTGTTTGTTTTGTCGTATAAATATTTAATACAACGAAAATGAACGCGAATCACGTTTACTCATTCTTTCTATAACATGGGCAAAAAATATTTATGTATATAGGAAAAATAACTTTAATGAGTCATTCGGCTTCTTTCACTCAATCCGAAAAAAACATAATTTCATTAAAAAAACTTTCGCAAATCCTGAAGATGAAATGAATAAAGAGTTCGTTGTACACAAGGAGCTACATCAACATATAATGAAAACAATGTAAAATGGTGATTTTGTTGTTGTGCTTTGATTAGACACACGTGTATGCAGAGCAATGGTGTGTGTTATTATGCCACGGTAAATTGCAATATAAATGATATGCCATGTGCTTTAAGAAAACAATCAGTTTAATAGACAAAATTATCATAATGTTAATAGTCAGAAGGAACAGACAAAAGAAACCGAACTTTCGTCTTTTAAAAACGCTAGAATTGTAACTTTTTTGTGAAGCGATAGTCTTCGTACACGGAATTTTTATATCAAAAAACTAAAGAAGAAAGATTTTGTCAAAAAGAAAATTTCATCGGTCTTATTGTATTATGAACAATTTATTGCAGGTAGAATATGTGAACAAACGAACAACCGCCGAGACTTCGAACGACGAAATAGCACATATTTTAATGTTAAAATCAAGCAAGAATAACGTTTCTCCTATAAATAACAAAATACTTTGAAATGAAGTCTATAAAACTGAACTCAAAATATCAATAACGCTCTTTAAAACAAATTTTGCATCTGTCACTTAGCGACTTCTACGCATGAACGCAGAGAAATTGAAATAATGTCATTTTATTGTATTTGAAAAAGAAACCAATTGACGTTTTCGAAAAGTTTGCCTTAAAGGATTACCTTGATATATGTGATGAAGCTTAGCCAGGACAGTAAAACACGATGCTCTATAGCATAGCAAACTAATTATACTCTAAAGTGAATACATATAAACTGTATCTACGGAATATATGCATAAAATATTACATATATTTAAAATGTTATCAATGTCATACCTTTAGCTATCTATTGAGGGAGCAACAAATCGCTACTTACTTTCATTATATCAACTGATGAGTTTGTTAATTCAACAAAGAATAGTCGGATTATGTGTACACGAACAACTACATTATAAAGACCATAACGTCTTTAAATTCGAAACTTTTAAACAAACGCGTATAATAAGTGCTTTATACAGTACCTGCTATAATGTAGATGAATTGGCTTATCGTGAATAGAGGGCATAGCTAAGAATCTCCAAAGTCGTGTTATTAACCCTGTGATACATGCAATACACATGCCCGATCGCGTTATATATGTATGTCCATGGAAATTATGAGCTTTGTTAAAATACGTAAGAACAACACCGTTGAATTTATTAACATATCATTAATATAGCCATCTGGAGGTGGCATGCGTCGAGTACTGCTGCTACACCCTCTGGGCTATTGTCTAACTTCTATGATTGCCATTAATAACCATTTGTCAATACATTCAAAGCGAAACCACCAGTTAATTTATTCGTGACAGTAAATCTCTGAGTAATGAATAATGTTAAACTAACATTACATGTACATACCAAAATGTCAAGGCGCCATATTATCTCACGTCAGTTTTAGCCTTTCTCTTATACGTACTAAAACTGTTGCCATGAATTTTTAAAAGAACAAAAGAATCAAAAAACTCAGATAAATGATAAATACTACCGAAAGATGTCAACAAACAATTAATAATTTATCAGTTTCCTAGCTCTTCGACAAATAACAAGACTGATCATGGACTCACGGGTAAAAAATTCTGAAATCCTACACTCGACTAATGTACGTACAAGAAATTACAATAGTTTTTGTTTTCTTAAACATCGGCAAATCGCGAACAATAGTCTGCTTTGTGTTGTTAGAGAACGAACCGCATGGTTCATCTTCTACTTGAGGGATAAGTAAATGTTAACTTTATTCTGCAAACACCTGCGTCAAAGAATTCCCATAAAGATAAAGTCACTCGTCCATGATATATTGTCATCTTAATAAGCTTAGGATTGTCAAATGCTGCTTGGAGAGTAATGAACTTGCCATTTTAGATCACATTCTCAACTTAAAACAGTGTTTATTGAATCATGAAAAAAATGGTTTATCAAATATGTATGCATGAACGTCCCGTCGTAAAATTGAGTGAAATTTTAAAAGAATGTTTTAATTAAAAAACTAGACAAATTTAACATATTGAAAGATACTGATTTCTTAACGCCGTTTACTTCTTTATAAAATAAGAATTTAGAAATGTACAGCATTAAAATAAACGACAAGACCAAAACGGGCAATCCAGATAATTCTTTACAGTATGTAACATATGTACACAGAAAAATATCAAAAAATTTCTCGACAAATTTGCGAAAGAAACTTGTGTGTGCTTGGAAGGTAGCAGGTTTTTGTAGCGCAAAACGATGACAAAACCATGGTTTTAACAGGTTGATCCTATGTGTTTAATTACATATTTTTATGTAACACAAACATGATTATAGTCGCTAGGCTACGGTCGTAAATCAAAATATGCATATTTGGAAATTATCGCTTACTTTCTGAACTATCGTCATCTTTAAGTTTAAATTTTTTTACACGCAAATCAAATGACTCATTGTTAACAGTAAATTTTTAAATGCTAAATCACCATGTTTCTTAAGTCATACTATGTAAAAATTATGCGTTTATTACTGACAGGGAAACAATACATTTGTAAAAAACTGAATAATGATAGTATGTTATGAAATTTTCGTAGAAAGCCTGAAACTTGCGGGTTTCGCCTATTTTATAAGTTCTAAACATGTTAAGGGTACTTTTATGATCATCCTTATGTTCATGTTGAAAGTTTTGAAGATACAATAAATTAATTTTGTACCTTGAATGCGTTGCACATTTTTAAATATTTTTTTAGTTTGGTGTGTACCACGTGATACAAAAAGGCCTGGAACCCAATGTCAGTGATGAAAAAATGATTGCCCAACTTTTGGGTGTTAAATTTTTAAATCTTTACTTAAATTATAGCATTAAACAAACGCATGTCGTTTTACTTTAGACATTTTAGTGCATGCATGCACTACTTTTTTCCCCCCAATAAAACATGCTGAGAAGGATGGAACTCAAATTCAATGTCCACAAAAAGGTAGGTAAACATTCCTTTCATGTCAAAGAAAAGGGCAAAAACTTTTCATAACTTTTCCAACAACACCCAGTTTATTTTAAATAATTAAAAATCATACCTTTTTTGAAAAGTCTTGAATCATTGGAAGCTCATATTCTTGGTCATGTTCCTTCACATTACACTTGTCAAAGTTTTCTTTTTGGATGCAAACAATTTCTTTGCAATGTTTGCAAACAACATAATTCTTGTTTTTGTTGATACGAAAGCCTCTTTGTGGTCGCTTGACTTTGCCAAGAAACGGGAAATCTTCCAAGGATATATCAGAGATTCTCTGACGGGGAAATGTCTTCTTGCACAGGTAACATGTGAATTGATTATAAATATATTGTCTAATCCAAGGATTTGAAATACCATTTTGCTCAAGTCTCTCTGCATCATACCATTGACAGATCATGTTGCCATGGCAATACTGGCATGTAATCACAGTGCCCAATGTTGATGGTAGTTTTGCATGGTGCGCTGCAACACGATAGGCTAAGGAAGGAAAGAATGGTTTGATGCCATGGGCGTATCGTCGTGGAAACAGATACAGGTACTCCAAGTTTATATTATCAACTTTCTCGCCGCATATAAAACATATTTCAAAATTATCTTTATGCCTGTGATTCATTTTATCATTAGTTTCATTGTGTTCTTCTGTTACCTCTTCTGAGAACTTGCTTTCCATCTGTTTATTATGGACAGATAGGCTTCTGTTTATCATCGAAAATGTCAATTTTTTATCATGACAAGTTTGATCATGGACATATTTCTTGGAAAGATCATCCCCATCTTTTAAAGAGTTTGAATTCATCTGCTCAACAGACAAAGAATCCTTGCAAATCCATCGATTCTCCTTGTGTAGCTTGTAATCTTGCTTATCCAATGTCTCTTTATCATCTTCAAAATGATTCCATTGAATCATCAATGCTTCATGACATAATTTGCAAACATTACTTCTACCTTCTTTGGATATGACAGCAGGGAATGCAAGAGATTTGGATTTCTGTAAAGAGGGGAAATGTGGTTGGCCTTGTCTTCCATTTGTGATTTGTATATCGATACCCGTATGACATGGGTAAACTTTACCGCATACGAAACAAATCCTAGTTTTACCTTCATCATTTACATGACTATAAGTTAATGGAAGTGTGTAATGACGCTTGCCCAGGGAAATGCCCTGTTCCTGAAATATAAACCATTGTTTATGCAGGTGAACCTCACAACTTTGACAAATTTCCACTTTTCCCATAAAATCCACGTTTGAACATTGTTGAGCAAGGATAGGATAAAATGGTGTCTCAGTTTTAAGTTGAGGTTTTGTGTTGACTATTTTGAAAGAATTACTTCGTCCTGTTTTTCGACATGCTGCACAAAATAATTCATCAAAAGAATACGTTGTAATTTTCTGCACGGTCTCCTTCTCAGAAGACAAGGTGTCTGCACTATTTATTGCATATTTCGTCTCATTTAAACCACTCAAATACGACCAACTATTCTCGACGTTTGTAATATCATTGTCACTTTCTTCATTTTTTTCTATCGAAATCGGTGGGATTTCTTCGACCGTAAATTTTCCTACATTAAAAAAAGACGTCTTATTGTTGACAATTCCCGCTCTCTTGAGCCAGTACGTTCGTTTGGATATTGGTGTATTACTTTTCTCGTAAGAATGCCATTGTTGGATCAAAAACGAAAAACAAAGAGTACAGGCGTCTATGCGACCATTTGACCTTATCGGATGGGCCGCTTCCGCCTTCTCGATCGTCTTTAAAAATGGAAAATATGGCTTTTTCTCTTGGTAATTTTCTTTGCAATACAATGACCAGTTCGCGCCAATTCCTCCGCAAACAAAACAAATAGCACGCGCATTTTTGAGTCTGCTGCTTCGCCTGAATTTTTTGATAATGCATCGTTTGTTTCGTCCATTATATAGTCTTCGTTTCTTCCAAATGTCATTCACGCAAAGTTGTTTTGAACGCGACGCGCGCTACTGTCGTCTCTTTGCGCAAAGTACGTCTGCGAAGGACTAGAACTAGTCGTTAATTTCTACTGAAATATTTAAAATATACGTTTCTAAAGCATTTGCTGATCTTCCATCATCAACTTTCATCAACTTTCGTCTATTATACTTTCTATAACGATTCTTGAAAGGTTGAACCGTACAGAAATCTGTTTGCGAGAGTAACTCTAAGTTTTCAAATGGCCCTTTACATCATAACAGAAACACCTGGCGTTTGTGTTAGTTTGTGACGACATTTGCATAACAATATAGTTGAACATGCTGTCGCGTATAAATCGTAGCGTTTTAAAGATTTTTACAACAGAAAACTGAAAATGTGCTAGGCTTAACAAATATCCACACAGCACAGACCTGAGCACAGCACCGAACATTTTATTCTACTATGTGTAAAATAGTATTCACATAAACATACTCAGGTTGCACAAGAAAGGAGTGTTGATGTGTTTGAGTTTCGTACGGTGTTGTGTATGGAGAATTTAAATATGTGTGTGTTGTACTTCTTGTGCAGTAATTATCGCAAAACTACTTCTAATCTAGAAAAGTCATTGTCATTTAATATTTTCATTTTAAGGAACTGCACTTCATAGATTGAATAATTTATAATATTGGCTCCGACTACCTAGGAATAATTACTTGTCAATATTACGCATTTAAAGTTTGTGGAGACCTGCAAGTAAATTTTGCTTTCAAAGACGTTTGAAAAAAGGAGTAGATCTCCAGTTGCATTGAAGGAAATGGAGTTAGAATATTGATAATTTTCAGTGCAACTTAGAGTGATTTGGTCGTGTTTTAATTTTTTTGTACATTCAATTATTTGAACAGGTGTATAAGCAATCTTGCCAATATTTTGTTTGGACGTCATTTCAATAATTCCATTTAATTGCCATCTGCACAAATTTTGATTAGAACTTTCAAAACTTACATTGAAAATGTAGTTAATCTTTCTTTGATCGCGTATTTCTACATTCAATGTTCCAAACTTGTTGAAGATGTCATGTGTCACATCTTCCTCATGTTTTCCACGGTCTATTTAATATTACAAAACATTGCATGCATTTACAGGATCATGCGTTGTCATCGATTGATACATCTGTGTTTTTATGTACACATAGACAGGTGATCGACCGACTGTTGTGTTTAAAAGTGGTTTGGTGTATTTTTAAAAAGTTAAGTTTAAGTCGACGAAAGCATTAAGTTATCGTGAATTCAAAAAACATGTACGCTAGTAGTTAACACTCAATTGATCAACTACATACTTAATGTGTTTGTGTTTTTTTTGTCATTATTCATCATTTAAAACAACGTGTAGACAATACAAGACATCCCACATCGAACATTTCCAAGCTTACCAATAAATTCCCAAGAATTTTTGGTAAAGTCAAAACGTTCCATGGTATTTTCACCGCGTCCACCAATACACCATAGTTGATCGTTGATAAACACAGCTCCAAACTCATTTCTTGTCTTCATCATATCATGCTCGAACATCATCCATTCTTCTTTATCGTTGTCGAGATCAAACGTTTCGATGTTTTTAAACGAGCTCGAGTGATTGCGCCCTCCGATTGCAAAAATTTTGTTTCCAATAACCAACGTAGAAAGACCAAATCTTGTTTTGTTCATTTTGACAATGAATTTCCACTTTTTTGAACGTGCAGAAAAACGAAGACATGTTGCAAGTGGTTGGTTGCCAATAAAACCGCCGACAACGTAAAGACGATCGCCTATAGCTACAGCACCTTCAGTGAGATATGAATTATGAACTAATCATATATATTTGGTGAATAACAACTTCCTGAATAAGTGGTACAAGATCTTGTTTAAGCAAGAGCTTGGGTAAGCGATGTTTTCTGGATGTCCTTCCTATAAGGGATACCCACTTACCCACACTCCAAAATTAGTAGAGGTCATTTATTGGAAAGACATCCTCAAATTTATCGTCTTGCTTGCACGTTTACAATGTCTTGAATGCCAGGTTTTAGGTGTGGTAAATTTTTAAATTGATAAACAGATCTTCACATGGACATGATGACGTTTTAAAAGAAAGCCTCATAAAAATAACTAAAAGCAAGCAGCTTCATCATTATTTTAACTTTTCTTATGGAGCATCAACAATTTTGAAGAGGTTCCAGAGCGCCTGCATTTAATGAACAGACATATTATGCCTTGTGGATGTTAATACCCACACCAACCTGCCAATCTTCTACCCTCAGGCATGTCGGGTAGTTGAGTCCATGTCAATGATAGTGTATTGAAAGATTTTACTGACGTTGCCTGCTCTCTGCCACCGACGATGAAAATTGAATCCTGATCAGCACAAATCGCGGACTCTTTTATATCAACGCCTTAAAAAAAAAACTTCATTGCAGGTACACTTATAACTAAACTTTGATTGTCCAAAAGAATATTGGTGGTATAAACTCAACTGGTAAAGTTACTGAGAAATAACAGTTTTGAACAAAATACCTTTGCCAACATTCTCCCATGACAAATCAAAAATGTTGAATTTTTCCATTTTTAATGAAGACACAAGATAAAGTTCGTTGTTCACAACGATTGCTACTTTTTTATCTTCATTTGTCGACACTTCTCGTTCATTTATGAACCGCATTTCTTCTACCCATTCCTCTGCAATTGGATCATACTTTTCTGCTTTACCTGCTGTGTTGTTGAACATGTAAATGATCTGGTTTAAAACATGAAAAGAGATGAAAATAATTTAGTTCGCGTATGATATGCATCGTCATCACATATCATGGTGACACCTTCGTCTTTGACACTTTGTTTTGTTTGGCCCCGGCAGTAATTTAATTCGCAGTGGAGTCCATAAAAATTCATAGAAAAAATCGAACACAGTTTCTTACCTTGCTTGGGTATCTATGATTCAACATTGTGTCAAGCAATTGTCGTGTTTTCTTATTTGAACTTTGATAAATAATTGCTTGCTTTATTTCATCTTTGCAAACTTCGATACCTTTGGAAAGTTCTGGAACAGCGCGATTTTTGATAAATATTGGTTGAAGATTAAAGAATCGCACATTTCTAAATAATTTCTCACAATCGGGTTGACGTCTGTAAAAAAATTTTACATTTGTTGTTACGTCCAGGCTAAAGCAAATATTTTAAGGGTAAAAGATGAACCATTAGGGAAACATTTTGCTTGGGTAATTTCTATGCAGTTTTGTGGTCTGTCTACATTTCTTAAAGGTCATTCATAACTTCATTTTCATACGTTCTAGTGAAGCTGTATTTACATACGATGATCTTATTCTTACTTCAGCTTATCATGGTTATACCATGCCCAAATGGCTTCGTAAAGATCTTCTTCCTTTCGATGTTCAACACATTGCTTGATATTATAGTGTTGACTGTTGAACTTGATAACTCCAGCCATTCTTTCTGTGATGCAACATCAATAAAATGCCAGTTAATGTAGCGAACTATTTTCGTTCGTAAGTCATTCATTCCATATTCAACTGTTTTGGAAAAATACTCCAGACAATTTTCAACTGTCAGTTGTCGAACGACATGATGCTGAAGTCTTTCTAGAATTTCTTGCGTCTGTATAAAAACATTAAATGCTTTAGTGTAGTATTGTTGCATAAGCTCTCGTTTCTCAGGCAGATGTGCTCATTTGCAAACTTAATGAATTACATTTCGTAAACTAGCCATTATACTAATGTGCCACAAAGTGCCTAAAATAAAATTATAAGGATTGGATTTTCTGGACAAGGTCAATAAAACGGTTGTAATAGCAGTTTTCAAGCAAATGACATCTTACCTGAAAGAAATGGGCACACGCAAGCATATCTGGTAGTAAATTGGAATCAAATTCGAGACGTCCGACATAAAAATAGTTGACGATCGCCTCCACGATCTGTGAATTGTATTCGTCTGGAACGACGCAGTTTTCTTCCTCGGTATCAATATGTTGAAGCACGTCTCTGAAATATGGACTGCAAGCGGAGAGAACGATTTTATGCGCTGAAATCTCATCAATACTCGTCTCGATTTTAACATCACAAAACTCGTCTAGATCTCTCATTTCCGAAAACATCGAGAATACTTGTAGACAGTGGTTGGGATTACTGAAGGTTATCATGGATGCCATTGTTTGTAGTTTACTCAAATAAAGTCGAACGCAAATGCTTTATACTGGATAAATAACGTAGATGTGCGTGTGTTTATGTAGGAGGTGACTTCAATTAATTTCTCAATACTCATCACTATAGGCATTATAATGTATAAATTATTGATGACTGTCTTATGAACTTTTAAACATATAATTATTAGACATTAATATCTGTTCATGATCCGTGTCTATACATACCTGTATCCAGTTGATATTCTTATTTTTCATGAGTCTTGTAAACAAACAAAAAATTTTAGCCACAACCACTAACTAGGCACGCCAGTGATGCGGATGAATATTTCGTGCACAACAGCATTTATTTGGAGTGACACATTGAAACAAATAAAATATTAATCACGTGAACTAATATTAGCACACCGTACTTAACGTACAAAACTCGTAACTTCACATGTGAGTGCAACTGAAGTGAAAGTACTTTTTAGGAAGCAATGTTTATCAATGATCAACTTTAGTACGACAATACACTACTGGAGAAAGCAATGCTAAAATTAGGCTAAAGGCATTAAATAGTCTGAGGTAAGTTATTGAAGTATCCTATTATCCTATATTGTACATTCTTCTTTTATTAACCTCTCAATTCGTGCAGTTTGATTGCAAGAAAGTACATAAAACGCAAACTTATTTTTCTATAGATATCCTGAAAAATTCTCATTATGCTTGCTCGAAAGTTAATCCTTTTATCTTTGGACTGGATACGATCAAAGGATCCTCCTCTATCGCCGGGCCATGCGTCTATCCTAGCAAATCTAATTAAATGGGGCATTAACGTAAAATCATTAGAGTATACTGAAGAAACTCGTGTTATAAAGAATATCGAAACTACTTTGCGATCATTTGGACGAGGATGGTCTCTAACTGACATTGGAAATGGAGCATTTATTTGGAACGAAACTTCAGTGCAAAATATCCCAAGATCCCTGAAAGGCATGGGCTTTCCTGGTCGTATCATCCTTGGTGATCCACATATATCCTATTCATTACCGGGTATTGAGAACGAGTATCCATTTGCCGATGTGTTTCTACGAGGTTATGCTGAAGAGGCAATGTTGAAGTTAATAACGTCACGATGTGATGAGCCAATCAAAGGCGTGCACTACAGAGAAGGGCCAGCGTGGAAGAGTAATTGTGGATTTAAGGAAACTAGTGTCTCCATATCTCATTGGTTTGATAAAGCCTCAGGCATTTATGCGCTGGGAGACGCAACGAGGTTGTTGTCCACTTTCTTATTCATTTTGCCAACATCGTGAGAGTGGAGATCATTTGAAAAGGTAAAACTTATTGCCCGAACGAGTTGCAAAAGAAATTGATTATTTTTGCGAAAGAAATGTGATGGAAATCGCTATTCTTGATCCGACTTTAAATTCTGGGCCATTTTACTTTGATGTTTTGAAGCGTTTTGTGCGCAATAAATATCCTGGAAAACTTTCTTTACAGTCCCGGTTTGAAATGGCGAAAGAACCTTATTTGGACTTGTGTGAACAGAGTAATGAAACAGGTTTTGTTCAGTTGCAATTTGGATTACAGACAGTTCACAATGAAGAGGCAAAAGCTGTGCAAAGGGTTAATCCATTATAACGAATAAAACGAGTCATCGATTAAATAAATTCTCATAATTTATTTTACGAAGTATCCGTAATGTTTGGCCTACCGAATCAAACGCTGAACTCGTTCAAAGAGACGATTTAGTTTTGTCTGGATCACAAAGTTCCCGTTGTCAAAGCATTTCCATTGATACCGTTGAAAGGAACTGAGCTCGAGGAAGAAAAAATAAATGAGGTTTAGTTGAAAACAAAATCAGTGCTGGTCATTTGATCGATAGAGTAGAAGATAATATTCCTCGTGTCATTGCTAGCAATTCTTTCTCGTTTGAAGACTGGCGTACGATGGCTTTTATTGCTAATAATCTTGTAACAGAAGGGAACCATCCAAAAAATGTGGAAGATTTCCAAGACTGAGAGGAAAAAATGAAAGAAAGTCATCGTCCTAACATGGATACGATGAAAAACACAAATTAAATAAAAAAAAGCAATTGTTCAATAGAGATGCATCCATATATGTACATTAAATTGACTGTATTTACAAATACTTATTTACATGTTGTTCATAAAAATATCGAAAATAATAAATACAAAAATACACAATCATTTGAAATGGCTAAAACTATCAGCTCTTAATAATCATGGAGTCATTGAAACCATGCAAAGATACACAGTAGCTATAACACAGGTATACCACATACACAGTAGCTATAACACAGGTACACAGGTATACCACATACACAGTAGCTATAACACAGGTATACCACATACACAGTAGCTATAACACAGATATACCACATACACAGTACCTATAACACAGGTATACCACATACACAGTAGCTATAACACAGGTATAGCACATACACAGTAGCTATAACACAGGTATAGCACATACACAGTAGCTATAACACAGGTATACCACATACACAGTAGCTATAACACAGGTATACCACATACACAGTACCTATAACACAGGTATACCACATACACAGTAGCTATAACACAGGTATACCATATACACAGTAGCTATAACACAGGTATACCACATACACAGTAGCTATAACACAGGTATACCACATACACAGTAGCTATAACACAGGTATACCATATACACAGTACGTTAATCTGGCGTCGATGTAAACAGCTTGAAGTATTTGTAAACCTGAAAAAAGAAGAAGCAAAAATTACTCTAGCGATAACAGCAATGTTTCAACTTGTTTCTATATAATCTGGGCATGTATGAATGGTAGAATAATTGTTTTCAACCTTTATGTCCTTATCTTCAGAACCAGTAAAAACCAGATTACCACTGACCGCAAGACAATTGACACCAGCTTCATGACGAGTCAACACCTGTATAGGAAGCATGTTTTCAAGATCCCAGATCTAGTAACGAAAACAAAAAATTAGACTTAGAGCATTTGATTGTTTCGCTACTCACCAACCTACCATTGCAGTGGAGTCACTAGAGGCAGTGAAGAGGTAGCGTCCACCAGGTGATGCCGTTACCGCGGTAACAGCTCCAATATGACCTGTCAACGACTTCACGTGATCATATGATGGTATATCAAAAATATGTGTATTACGATTGTAGGTTCCTGAAAAATACGAATAAAATAAAGTTTGCATTAAAGCGTAAAAACGGATTAAGATAAGATAAAGTGAAATACAAACCAACGATGAGATACTTTTTTGTAACAGCGAGAGAATAAACTGAACCGTAGGTGTGAGAAATTTCTCTGTCGAGATGAAAAGATCCTGTTGCATCCCATACATGTATTGCATTATGAGAACCACTGAAAATTTTATCCTGAAAAAAACACAACAAAGATATAGACATTGATAAAGAACGCCGCCAATTTCTCGCTCCAATAAGAAATATCACAAAGACCATACACTACCTTGGAATGATTGACAGCTAATGCTCTGACCCAGAGATTTAAACCAGCGTCCATCGTATGAATGAAATCTAATGTTTTCGACTCCCAAACCTTGTAATGGCGAAAGGTCATATTTTACAACATTACGTACGCGTACTTTGTAAAGCAATTTCCATAAGCCTGCTTCTCATTAAGTTGCTTGAGTCATCCGAGTCGTTCCGAATTGTTCCGAGTTGTTTTGTTGTTTTTCAAAAGGACTGGAACGACTCAAGCTATTGTATTTCTCATATATTCGTACAAGCGCTGCCGAGAGACTGTTTAATTCATTTTTACGCGAAACATTTAAAAATGGCGGCTGTTGCTTATCAAAGACAAAGTCTTTTGGCTAGTTATTTGCGTCTTAAAATCGTATTTCGCCATAAAAAGGTCGCTTGCATTTCTCAACGGTCATTTCGGTCGTCCGTATAGAGCAAAGTTCTATCAAGCGACCCTGGTCATTTTAGTCGTGTGAGTCATTTGAGGTCATCCTGGTCGCCTCTGAAATGTTCTCATACAGTCGCACGGGTCGTCTGTGAAATTTTGACACGACTGAAATGACTCGGACGACTATATATGAGAACCTGACTTTAGATACCTTGATGCAGGACTGTGATGACGTGAACAAATATTTCCCAGTGCACACCAGGGCACGTATGATGTCATCATGAGCATCCTACAAATCATATTTATTGAAAGAAATCAACAACGTGTGCCCAAAGATGTATATATATTGTGTGTCAATGAGACTCACTAAAACACGTTTTTGTTCAGATAATGAGTTCATGTTCCAGGAACAAAGAGATTTGTCTGCACCAGTTGTAAACAATGTTGCACGAGTTGAACTAATGGCATAAATCTGATAAATGAATATGAAGAATTGAGAAAATCACTTTCAATTGCTGATAATAAATATAAAGAGCTCACTTCGTCAGTATGACCCCTCAATGTAGCTAAGCATCCCCTTGTCAAATCTTCGTTATCCCACACTTTAATTAACATGTCCTTTCCTGCACTGTACAGCTTGCCACTACGAGATGTCATTGCAAATATTGGTTCCTGATGACCTCTAATTATTCAGATAAAATGATGAGATTATGTGAATGACGAACCTTATGGGTAAATAAGTGAAAAACACAGACAACGAACCGTAGTGTTCCTAAACATTTAAACATAAATGGCATTCTCCAGTTTTCATTACTAGTCAAAGCTGCCTGTAAAGGTTGAAGATTGAAAAGTTGTGACGTGGTTCGGATTCTTGGCGAGACAGGAGAGCGATTTTTTTCTGGTATGTCCACATGCAATGATGCTGACTCAGCAATGGATGACGTAGACGCCGCGTGACGAACATGATTTGTCTTTTGATAACCAATAGCACGTTCCAATTGATGCGATAGTTTATCAACGGTTGTCTCCAGAGAGGATATGGCACTATAAAGAGACTCTTGAGATTATAAATAAGTGGGTCGTGCATTGCATGAGTTCAAACTAAATTTTCTTCCTTCTTACTCTGTACAGCGTTGAAGTTGCTCGGCCATTGACACTTGATTTTCCTCTAACCACGAGACACGCTGTACCAACTGTACAACTACATTTTCAATGCCTGTTGAGAATCTGTTTTTGTTTGATTGAGATCCTTCCTAAAGTGTTTCAATTTTATTACACATGGTGCTTTTTCAGTACCATCAACAATATATTACAAACCTGGAGTTTAAAACAGGATGTCCTTAAATGCTCCTCTACTTCCATTTTTGTACCACTAAATTCACAACCTTAACACGATTCATTGAAGACAACTATCATGATATATAAGAAGCATCCAGCGAGGGAAAAGAGCAAGAAGGAAACTGAAGAGAGAGAGGGAAAGCAGGGGTCACATTTGTTGGGGGGTAGGGTGGGGGTGGGGAGTGCCCAGATTTCCCAATCATAGTTTTTTTGGGAAAAATTGTTCCCCTATCAACAATTTTTAACATTATTTCAATACATTGTAACTAACTACACCAAAAATGCAACCATGCCTCGTCCAATAAGCAAATTTTATGCCCAAACTCCCTCAAAAACATAGACTTTGTTACCCCCCTGAGAACAGGTGGAAGAGGGGAAAGAAAGGAGAGGAGGCGGGCAAAGCAGGGCGCATGCAAAGGAATGAAGGGCTAAAGTTGAGAAAAGCTCTCACCTTCACTTCTGTACTTGCAAGGATAACGAGGACAGTTTTCCAAATGTTCTGCAAGATCACGTCTTCTAAACTTTCCACAGTGATTTGCACTATTTGGACATGGTACGAGGGCATATGGACATATTTCTTCGTGTGCATCTCTCTCACCAAGTTTGATGGTCTCAGGGCAGCCTTCCTCATCGATCAAGAAGTCATCCTCTGAATCAATTCTGGTCAGACCATGTTGACAATATATCTCTAAATCGTCAATTTGTCCTTTTAAAGCAATATTTCCAACAAGATCCGAGTGATGAAATGGTATGTTATCAATTGGACAAGCAGAATTTCCTCTGTTCCCTGTGATACATGCTCGACAAAAGGTATGCCCACAACGCGTCGATATAACAGGATCATTAAATACGTTTTGACACAAGGCACAGTATAAAGCCGAAGAAATTGTAGATTTAAACTTTGTAGGAAGCATTCCAGCCTTCAAATACCTCCAAATTTCGTTTGTTTTTCTTCAATGGTCATCACATCTTCTGAGACCGGAAATCTTAAGTGTTATTTTCGTTAGACTCAAAAACAAGCATTCATTTGAGAAATTATTGAACATGACTAAATGTCTACCTTTGAGTTTAACATATTTTCCTTTAAAAAAAGAATGGGAAGGTAAACGTTCTCCCCAAAACATCCGAAAGTCCGCAGGACCACATTCTTGTCATCTTCGAATGTCTCTTCGATATGAAAATTATGTTTGAAAAACTCGCAGTCGAAAAGGAAGCACAAAGAGAAGAAATAAGGTAATGGCGCTGATTTTGAAAATGTCTTGTAAATATTGAAGAATTTACGACGTTTGTTTCTAAATTACTACATGGCAAACCTTCCATCGGAGAAAATAAATGAACTGAAACAGTTAATTCATAATCATCTGAATCAAAGCGACATTCACTCAAGGATAAAGGCATGTTTAGATGACTCTTTAAGTCGAGAGTATGAAGCAAGAAAGGATAATTTGAATATAGACGAAAATAACATAATGAATCTATTACGTGAACGCGGTGTTATAAATGACGTTATGAAGACGTTGAAATTTGATGGAGTTGGCAGGAAAGTTGGAAATGAAGAAAAACAAACGACAATGCAACCAAGTACATCAAATATTGAAAATTCTTCAAAACAAAAAGGTTTCGTTTCGTCGTTTCTTAACATTCGTTAGTTTTTTTTTATCAATAATTAATTATTCAAACAAGAAAGCAATTCACTCTTTAGAAACAAACAAAAAATTTTTCAGTTGGTTTAGATCCTACCAAAAGATACCTTTATCTACAAGTATTAGGTGGTAAGGCGTTCTTGGAGCACCTTCAGGAACCTGAAGCTCTACCTGGTCAAAATATGTCCACTTTTACATTACATGTATATTTCAAAGGACAACGTTTTCGCTCACAACCAGTAAATTGCTCATGTGAACCAGATATACAAGAAGGTATTCATTATCAATAAATTCCATTGGATTTCAACATTTTATTAAAATGTTTAACCACAATGACAATTATAATATAATTTCCAAACTAGGTTTTCTACTTGAACTTCAAAAAGACCAAAATAAAATTGCTGATGCCGTAACCTTGCTTACTATACCTGATCAAATTCACATTGTGCTTATTAAAACAAGCATTGGTGGGGAACAATCTTTGCTGGGCTTGCATGCATTGAAATGGAGGACTATTCTAGCTGCTGAGACTGGCTCATTAAGAAATTCCATTGAAATAAATGGAGTAGGGAGTGAATGTAAAGTACCCATTGGTGTATTGGAAATGAAGTTAGAAATTGTTCCAAGATTAAGTCAGGTTTGTTGTTGTACATGATCATCTTCGTAATTGATTACCATTTTTCTTCTATCACTTCTTCAGTCACGGATCATGGATAGATCAAAATAAATGATAGAAACGAATGTACAACTTGTTGGTTAGAAATTTCCAAAGAATTTTTAAGACTAACATACTTCCAATCATGTATTTTTTAAAATAGAAATATATTTTGAGTAGTGTATTTTACCTGCCCTGCATCTACCTCTGCACTTCTTGGTTTTTATTGAAACTTTCTCTACCTAAAGAACGTGTCTGTCCATCTATTTAAGGTGCATATGTGGATAATGTGGTATGATTTTGTTTCAAATGAACTTTTTGAGACATTCAAGACGCATTTAATTACACATTTTAGATTTTACAAAAGGATGTTGTACGAACACAAGAAGATTTAGAACACAGTAAAATATGTGAACGCGAGAGGTTATTCTTAATATACGCGAAACAATGGTGGAGAGAATATTTACAAATTCGTTCATCACATTCTGAACGGTTGGTAAAAATTTTCGCGCAAGATGAGACTGGTACTAGTCGACCTACGTGTTCATTCGTACGGCCAATCAGAGCAGGACGTTTGATCGACACGGCTCGTGAAGCGGCGCGATTCGTTAGTTTGATTGCGTACGAGAAAACTGTTAATGTTGGTGGAGGCCGAACGGAAATATGGTCGAGTTTATATTCATTTTTGTGCAGAAACAAAGGGGTGAAAATTGTTGTTTTTAGTAATCTCTTGTACTTGTTGCACTGTATTCTCTGAACATTACGTTTCCTTTAGGATTGTGAAGACCACGCTATCTTGTTGTGTAATCTTCTTCTTGGATTTGGCCTTGATGCTTATGTTACCATAGGAACAAAAACGGAGGGTTGCGCATAGTTGGGTTACAACAATCAGTCCAAATGGAGAGGTTGTCTTCTGGGAAAGTCTAACTGCACATAGGTTTGTCAACGTTACTGTAAATTTCATTAACTTTGTGAGCTTGCGTAATATGATATTTTCTCTTTTTTTTCATTATTTTGTCAGATTTGTTCACTATTTTGTTGATCCTGATGATCCCCCTATGGACAAACAACATCCTAAAGCTAAACATTCTTACCAAACTGTCGGTTGTATTTTTAATCATTGTAAATTTTATGCAAATTCTCAGGTAAACTTTCTTCTCCCTTTTCATGTGACGATGAGAACATAGAAATGTTTTTAGAATGGTGCTTATATTCATTTTTTTGTTCATAAAGCCTTCGGATCGTGTCGACGTTTGTCAATTTAATTTACAAAATAAATCTCTGTGGAAGGCGATGAGCGAGGAAGCAATAAAATCTGTTTGTGGAGATCTCGGTTTGGTAAAACTTTTAGAATTGATCTCTTTTTCACTTTAAATGGTGGTATTTTTGATGCCGAAATAATCGAAACGTTTTCGTTTGAAACTAGCCAACATCTGCGATCTTCCCTCCTCTGTGTGCATCTAATATCGACGCTGTAACTGCCAGTAACGTAATGGAATATAGTTTAAGGAAGCTTGTGGAAGATTTAAGACAGGTACGAGATTTGTGTCTGTGTACTAAAATTCACATAAATTTCATTATATGTTTGTAAATGATGAAGACTCTGAAGATGACTACCGCTAAGGTTGTCGAAACGTCAGTCAACAACAACAAAAACAGTCCTTCTCAGGACTTTATTAACCTGGACGATCGTCATTTACAAACATATAACGATACTCCCGGGTTCAAACCATTTACTTTATAAATTTCATTGCCGTTCACGTTTCCTTAGAACAGTAATGATGAGTGCATTTTTTATATGTAATTAATAAATGCTCTTTCTCTCATTAGGATGTAGGACTTACAACGATTTGGGATGATGAATTAAGTTATTTACTAACTCCGGCTTTGTCATATTATGAAATGGAACATAAAACTGGTTTATCCGTCGGCAATGAGGAATTCCAACATGCAATTCGAAAAAACGTTCCCGATGGTCACACTTTCAAAGGTTTTCCCATTCAATTTGTTCATATGAACGCTAGGAGAGCACTTGGAACGTCTCTCAGGTAAAAGGACTGTTGTAAAATTATTTCTTTCTGACAAATTGTTCCTCCCAAAGAAAATATATCCACTGTCGTTTATCAAGATTTGAGGTGTTCTTTAACCTTATTCCCTCCTCCAACAGGTCCCCTGAATGTGAAGAAATTATTCGTTGTAAGGGTGACCATGTGAGGCATGCCTTACGGGTAAGGGTTTTTCCCTACGTTGAGTCGACATGCGCAGTATGGATAATGTTTGCATGCAAATATCGCTCGGTGCTATGATATACGTGTAAGTTACAATTCTATCAGTGAAATTTGCCTTAAATATTGTGTTAAATATCAATGTTGCAAGAACTTCATCCCAGGAAAATGTTTTAACTTTGAATTACAAATCAATTATTATCTGTAAGGGCTTCGTATCGCGATAAGTTGCCTTTCAGTCCCGTTTCCGGTCTCCCGCTGAACGTGGCGAAAGTATTTTCATGTAAAATAAAGTAATGGTGAAGAAGTGGTAGTTACTTTATCTGAGCTTTGTTGTTATAAAGGAACACACGAAATACCTTCACACTCAATCACCATATAGCATACGTCATACATAAGGTATGGTTAAGAGGATCGCGGGCTCAACTTATAATATTTCTGCGACTTGCTTTCCTGATAGCGGTAAACAAGGGGATAAAGAATGTTTTCATATCGACTTAAAAAACGACTGTTTTGTTATACCTTCACGTCTGCTGTCTGACCAGCCCAATAGCTAAACACTTTACCAATGGCAATAATTGAGCAGACAAAATATTGATATTTCAAGTTTCTTTACCGTAAATGGCCAGTGATATTGAGGAATTAGCTTCGACAGTGCGCGAGTATTTTGTCAAGAACGATGGTCGAGTAAAGCTAAACGACCTTTTCGACCACTTCCGTGATCAGTTGGACAAATTAAACGAGCAAGGTACACTAATATCTGCGATACTCTACGAGTTCCGCTTTCATAACGGAAAGTCCAACTGTTTTTATTTCAACCAGGGACTTCAAAGAATCGATTTACAGACATAGTGGATTCATTGGCTACCTTGCATACGCTGGAGGTTTGACTTCTGTTTTTCATGTACTACCTATAACATACATCAAAATTTAAATTTCATGTGTTCATCTATCTTTCACTTTCAGTAATGCACTTTTTTTGATGAATGATGAAGCAATAAACATTTCAATGATAGTATGAACATTTTTTGATGTAGAGTCTACAGATGTGGTTTGTTCTATACATTGGCACTGGGAATGTGGGTTTTTTACGGTTTTGATCGAAGAAATCTAAACATACAAAACAATTATTGTGTACAATTCGCCTTAACTTTAATGACACACGAGAATGAAATAGATGTAATGAATTTGCTCTGCAATAACATTGCTCAATTATTTATGGTACAACTCTTCCTAATTTGTGTTATTTTTTTGTTGTTAATTATTCATACTTCCACAATGGCATCTTAAAATGCGTGTCCCACGTTTGTGCTGTTTACAATTGTACAAACTGAGAAAAATATTGATGTATGGTAATTTCAACAGTTGTATTTATATTGTAAAAAGTTTGAAATGTAATATGGTTTTATTTTTAAGGGTGAAAAGTACTTTGTTTTGAAGAAGAATAAAAATGGTCACACTCCAGTTGTAATGCGACGAAATGCTCGTCAGTCTTTTCATCACAGGAGAGACAAAGGAGTTTCATTGCCAGCATCTATGAGAAATTTTAGATTCTCCACTGCAGGTTAATTTAAAATAGTTGTTATGCCACAATGAGATATTTTGCACAAATATACTACATACAGCTCAATATAATATCAATTTTTCAGAGGATTCACTTAGAAATTATTCTGGTGAAAATAAAGGTCGACCTGCACGAACTAGAACAATGGTCAGGTCTGAGGCAAATGATTTTTCAACTAAAAGAAATCACAGTGATAACCTAAATGATGAAAATGTTGGTGCAACTGACAATGGATCGGATTCAACAGTAAGTTAAATAAGCATCAGATGTTATTGGCAATCAAGATCTCTTTTTATTATTCATCATATTCATCATTATTATTACCTCTGAAGTAGGTGCAACATATTAGGAGGGACAATTGTAAACCAAGTTATCCTAGTTTGATCAGACTTTTTTGTCTGTTTCTTTGTAGTCTGAATCATTTCAAGATTCAAGGCAAAGTTCTCTTTCGAAGATATCTGATTTTGATGAAAAAAGCGATGCTAGTGGAAACATTGTAATATTTTTGTGTTGTTTATGTTTAATGTTTGATGATTCCGTCGATAATGTGTCTTATTTATTTAATGTTTATGTTTAGGTGTTTTATAATAATGATGAATACAATGGTAAGTTTGAAATTTAATGCTTTTCTTCTCGGATATAATTTACTTAATATAGAATGTCAACTGCCCTTCAATGTCCATTTTTAAATGCAATTTTCTTGCCCAATCCTAATTAAGGTTTAGCCAAAATTTCTCACATTCATAAAGGCAATTGTTTTTATTTTACCATCATTACTTTGCAAGTTTTATATACTGCTTTCCCGTCTTTCAAATTTTTCCAAACTTATTCTATTTTTTCATCACATTTTTATGTAGAACATGATACATATAGTACATCTAATATGGTAAGCAGTTGAAGGCATTTTATCATCATGAACAAAAGGATAGTATTGAATTACTGATTGTGTTTTTGTAGTTGACACCACGTGAAAAAACATGGATGATGTCCGCAATTAGAGGAAACAATTCCAAGATAAAATGTCTACATTTTGAAGAGCCAGATATAGTGAAGTTTAAAGTAAGAGCAATGGAAATATTTTTTTTAAGAATGCTCATAATGATTTCGATGATAAAATTTGACTTATGTTTGATTTTTTATAGGATTTTGTAATGGGCGTAAGTACATAAAACTTCTTATTCTATAATATGAGCTTCTATTTTTGTTGTAGAATGGCAAATCAATTAGTTGAATACTGCTCTTTCTTTAAATTTTAAAACAGTAAAATTTTTTACACTTAAAGATTTGTTTTCTGTTGATAAGTAATTGATATTATTCATTGAATTGTTTTCTCTTTTTTTATGTCCTCATTTGGTCGAATCAGTATGTAAGTTTTTCAATATTACATCCTTATGACACCAACAGATTATATATTTATTGTAGTGTGACTTATGATATTTCAACATTTTCTTCATCAGACTGCATTGCATTGGGCTGCAAAAAATGGCAATGAAGATCTAGTAAGGATTTTGGTTGACAAAGGGGCTGATGTGAACTCTCAATCGGTAAGTCTTTATAAAAATGAAATGTACATAATCAACAGAGTATTTTAATTTACTCTTAATATTTGTATTTTTATTTTTCACACTGCCTTGCTTGGATTATGATTTAGAATGTAAGTAGATTCAGAGCTGTCATTTTTATCAATTTTTGAAATGTTTCGATTTCAGCTGATGTGTGCTTATTTTTATTTTATGTTTTCTACATTTGAATGTTTTTATTGGAAATTGAAAAGGGTGTAAGTATCAAGTGCCATATTCATATTTTTCTTTAATTTTATCTTTTTATTGTTTTTTCTGTTGAATGTAGCAAGAATTCGCTTTTTATTCTTATATGATCTTTAGGGTTATACTCCACTTCATTTGGCTAAAATGCATCAGAAAAACAATGTTGTCGACATATTGCTTAAAGAATTCCGTAAGTTATAGAGAGTAAACTCTTTATTTTTAATGTGAAATGATTGATGGATGCGTAATTGTTGATTGATCTTTACATGTGTGGACTTTGAATACTGCTCAAAAATGAATCACAAAATATTTCCTCATTAAAAATAGATTTGTCTGTTTGACTACTTTGTTGTGTGTCATAAAAAATTACCACAATATCTTTAAGATTTTTGAATTTTTGTTGCAGATGCTAATGAACACATTAGGGATCATAGTGGTAGCAAAGCAAAGGATGTCCTTGGAAAGAATACATCTGAACAGATAAAATGTATGTTATGAATTGTTTCTGTATCATTTTAAAAATCTCTTCAGTTTCATAATGTTTTCAAATATTTACTTTTGTTTTGTTTATTCAGTGGAACTTGCAGACTCCACAGAACAAGTGCATGGTATGTATAAATTGATTTCATTTTGGATTGAAATTAAAATCTTGTGTTGTCTTTGTTTTATATATTGCTATAAAATTTTTGATTTGGTGTTTTGCAAAGTTTGGAAAATTCAACAAACATTGTATAATTTATTTGTAGCTCTTTCTTGACTTGGTCATTTTTGATGTTGTGGTTGTTGTTGCTCTTGTTGTTGTTGCTGGTGTGGTCGTAATTGTAGTTGTTGTTGCTCTTGTTGTTGCAGTTGTTGTTGCTGTTGTTGTTGCTATTGTTGCTGCAGTGATCATCGTAATTGTAGTTGTTGTTGTTGCTCTTGTTGTTGTAGTTGTTGTTGCTGTTGTTGCTCTTGTTGCTATTTTTGCTGCAGTGATCATCGTAATTGTAATTGTTGTTGTTGCTCTTGTTGTTGTAGTTGTTGTTGCTATTGTTGCTATTGTTGCTGCAGTGAACATCGTAATTGTAATTGTTGTTGTTGTTTTTGTTGGTGTTCTTGTGATTGTTGTTGTTGTTGTTCTTGCTGCTGTTGTTGTTCTTGTTGTTTTTATTGTTGGTAACTTTGATGATTGTAGCAGTTACTGCTAGTTGGTAAAAATATGTACGAAATTTTTAAGAGAAATGATGACAGTAAAGATATGTAGCAAATTAGTCATAACTAAAAAATTATTCAATGATTACGACTTTAAATGAAGACATGCATTCGCTTTGATTCAACGATAAGAAAACGCGATGATGAAAGACGTACGTTTATCTGACTAAATCATCTGCATTCTAACAAATCGTACACATTCCGCGTTGGTCGCTTTCGAAGAGAAGACGAACAGATTACCTGTGATATTAGTTGAATCTAGAGGTAAGAAAAGACGACACAGATTACGTCATATGCTGGCAAGGAGACATCGTGACCATTCACCTTTCGGTGGCGAGGTTACCACTAAGCTTCCACGGAGTTTCAGTGATGATTCAGCCGATGACTCTTGCAATATGGTGGATGGAATTGATGAGGATAGCAGTGACGATGATAGTTTGAATGAAGATGATCAGCACCTGGAGATGCATGTTCATTAAAGAAAGATTTTCATTGAAGATTTTCAATCACACAAACACCTTAATACACATAAAGTGTTTTGACGATATAATTAGAACTTTGTACATAAAATATTTTTTGTTGTGGATTATTAAAAGTAGAATATTTTAAGTAAAAGAAAGAAAGTTGATAAATTTTGGCTTTCATTATAAGAAAAGGGCTTAAAGTTATTTTGTTGTATTTTTAATTGACATTTTTCTATATTATAGATTCATCATTCAGCAACAATGGTTCTCCGAAAGAGAGGTCCAGATCGAAATCAAAATCGGTATGTACTCTAGAACCCAATCCTTCGCTTTATATTGAAAGCTAAGAATGTAGTGAAGGGAGGGGATGGATGGGGCTCTTAAAATTTACGTCATCAATCATGTATTCACGTGATCTGTAAAAGTCGTCCCATATCTGAGAGATGGACATATTGTTTGTGTTGCTTCAATATGCATTATTACATAATGGATGAAACCATTAATGTTTACGAAGAATATAATGCATGTGCTCGAGATTATATGATTGCTTTTTAAATTCTCTATGAATGAGAAGTATTGATAAAACATCAGATGGCTGTCACAAATTTTTAATTTGAGTTTTGAGTGTCATTGAAGACACGATAGTAGCTGCTAGGAAGTGGTGATCAGTTTGATAATTAACGAATCATTAAACCTTCGATAAACACGAAATAATTTTCATTAAAAAACTATCGTCACGTGTGTAGACTTCAATACTGTTTTCCAAGAAACCAAAGAAGACAAAAACAAATCGTCCTCTTATTGAACATTGGGACAGTAGGAAAGAACAAAGGTCAGTAAATATGCTCTTTTATCTATCTTTACAATACAACATATACAACACATGACTTAATCATTCAATTCATTAGATGTAACATGGAGTATCGTCGCCTTATGCATCTGTTGTGTAAATTATTATAACAGTTTGTATTGCATATTGTAGACTGGAATCAAGTGTGGATGGGGTGGAAAAAGACTTTGATAAAATTGAACCACGGAATCATGGAAGTTTATTCCCCAAGAACTTTTATCCTGAAATAAAACCAAATGATTATGACATGCTCGAGTCAGAGGATGGCAGTCTTGTGAATGATGTAAATGAGCGACAAAAATCGTTCCCTGGCAGCTTTTACATTGGGAACGAGATTCTCGAAAATGATTTATCTGAAAATGATTCTGTTAATGATGAGATTGATATGACGTCAACGTCTCCATCAAATGTGGGCGCGCGTAACTTGTCTGAAGGTGAAGCGACCTTGATGTCTCCGCACAATGATACTTCTTATGAAGAAGATGAACTTGATGGAAGAACGAAGTTAGTGAGTACTGACAATGATCCTACTAGACCACCAAGGAAGAAAGATGTCAAGAAAGTCGCTCCTCGAGATAAAAGTGGGTTAATCCTACCTCAGGATGAAGGGGAAAACACTTCTGAAATAAATACGTATGAAAAGGTGGAAGGGATGGTTTCAAATGGTAGCCAAACCTCCAGACTTTCAATCAGCCGAGAATCGGAGGGTTTTTCAATACCTCGAGCTTATAGTGAAGGCAGTATATTGAAGTTCAAGCGTAAATCAGAAGGTTCTGCGTTGACTTCGCTTTCAAATACCTATGGTTATAAAGAATCAAGGTATGAACAACCCGAACGTGTTATAGACTCTCGTGGAACTTCTAGCAATCAGGCAGATCATCTACCAAGGAGCTTTTCCGCACATAATCTCAAGTCTAATGGCGAAGAGCGGAGCTTTGATAAACAAAGCCCCACTCATGCAAGCTATAACATGCAAAAAGAATTTGTCTACGGACAATCTTCTAATATTGTCAATCAAACTCATAATGTTTTGTCGAATAGCAATGATCACAAGACTAGTTATGACAAAAATAATGAGAAACCTGTCTCTAAAGTGCACAATGAGAAAAACAAGAGGGAACTTCCACCTTACCGTCCACCTCAATCGTTGTCACATCTCACTTCGCCACCACCTTACAAGCCTCAAGGTCAACGAAAGAACCCACCTCCCTACCGCGGTAAGTCTTTTGAACTGAATGAGCTATCCTCAACTGAAGAGGCGTCTGCATCCAATAACTCCATTTCAAATCCAAACGATATAAATCCTATTGCTCCCCCTCGAAAAAACAGGAAATCTTTATCATCTGATGGAACATCAATATCTCACATTAAATCTCCAGTTAGTCAAACTAATGAACTGCATGACCCCGTTCCCCCACCTCGTAAACACAGATCTTCCGTTGATGGAGTCCCCTCTTCATCATCTCGTCAAACAAACAAAACCACTGCATCTGTTGTACATATATCCTCTCAATATGATAAACCTTCGCCACTTTCCCAATCATTGCCTTCCTACCCTCAAAATGGTAGCAAAACGTATGATTCTATGAGCGCTAGAAATGTCGACGATGATTCCCAAGTCATTGTTGCTCGAACTTATGAACCACCAGTAAATTCTCGATCGAATTACCACTCGAATAAAAGACCAAGTGATTCTTATCGAGGAGAGTATGATGTGGAAAAGAAGGACAGATACTATTCGAGATCTAATGCTTCAGTTTTCCCGTTTACCGATCGTTCAATTTCTCTTTCGCATTCCAGAAATCTAGGAAGATCAGATTCTTCGCTCTACAATCCTGGATATTATGATTACAACACTTTCCATCGAAATTCAGATTTTGCTATCGGTTACCGTAGCCAGTCAACTGAAGATGAGCAAGATTATTCTAAATATAGATCATATGAACGTGTTAGTCATGAACGAGGTGTTAGCTATCCTAACTCTTTACGTTCTAAATCAGCTGCTGATATACCATCTTCTCACCCATCACCAGAAAATATTTTTACAAGAAAAACTACGGTGACAGAGTCAGACCACGTGGCACGCCGCACCAAGAACGTCACTGACACAGGGAACATACACTCTTTAAACGATTCTCGTGGAATAAATGGAGGACGACTGCTTGATAGTAGAACAAGATCACAAGGAGATCAAAACAACTTATCAAGGGAGTCTGAACGTATTTTTGAGAAACGAAGGACTTATAATGACCAAACTTTCCGTAGCAGCAAGGACAATTTGGATAAAATACATCCTGGCAGGAAAGTTGATTCGACTTCAAATTCCCCAGAAGCATCGAACGAAAATAGTGATACTAAATATCGGTTAACGTCTGTCATATAGACGAGAATGGGACGGAGGAATCTGCAGTGTTTTTGGAAAGTGGTTTTACATGTAAATGATGTGAAGCCAGTGTTGGAAGTATATTTGTTTTGAAAAGGGGTTTTGGTTGAACTATTTTTCACTTGTAACAAAGTTTAAGTAGTACAAGCAATTTTGAGTTGCTGTGTAAGATATAAGCCTAAGTACATGTTAAATGATATTAGTAAAGTTCTGTAGCAGTAGGGAATTTATGAAAAAGTCATTTGTAAGAGTGTTTAATGTTTTGTAAATCGAGTCGTAACAAAATCAATAATATTTCATCAAAAACCTTTTCATGGTCTGAAATATTTTCTTCATAACATTCTTGATAACTTTTTTAAATCAATTATTAATATTAAATATAAAAAGTACAATAAAAATGCTTCATACTCTCTCTGCTCTAATCCCAACCCACCTTACCGAAGGTAGACACACGTGTCAAAATATGAGATCAAATTACAAAATTCGGACAATCATATGGTCGAAATGTTTTCAACAACAACAAAAACAGTCCTTCTCAGGACTATACCAACCTGGACGATCTACATCTACAAACATGGAACGATACTCCCGGTTCAAACCATTTACTTTATGGTATTGTTTATATAGAATAGTGGCAATAAAATGGTTAGGAGATGCTTTTGATTTTTGGGGCACTTGTTAATCTGATTCTAGTTATTCAGAACGATTATTTATAAAGGCAGAAGGCATAACAGTAAATATTAACCATTTTGTGTTAGAAAAAAGCGTAACGATCGAAGGAAAGCTTGAATATTTTTTCTAAGGATATTTACGGCCTTTACGGCGTGACTTAAGAATATCCAGAACGGATTCCAGCTGCATAAAGCTCTAAAAAGCAAGCCATACAAATTTTTGAACTGTTAATTTTACTACATGTTGGTTTCGCTGTCTTTTAATCACTAAGCACTATTATTATTATTGATGGATGAAATCTCCCTAAAACTGGCTTGTCACATCCTGGCTTTTTATATACGTAAAAATGGAATTTCACACTATAACTTTAATAAATATCATAAAAATAACAGTTAAAAAATTCTATGACTTGCAATTTTCTTCGCTCGATGCAACTAAAATCAGATCTGGATATTCTTTGGTAGGGTGGTTTCTTACAACGAAATGCATACTACATGCATTTACGTAATAAATTGGACGGATGTCTCGACGCGATCAAAAAAAGTCCTTTGAATGCGAAAAGTGTACTGTTTAATCATAAACTTACTCGAGAAGTGAAGTTACTTTTTAGATTGAATCATGAAAATATTGTAAGGTAAAAAGAAAGTTACTATCCAAAATGAATTAAAATTTTATGACATAAGTGTTCAATTTAGACGATACAAATGGCTTGGCTTATAAAATTTGTAAAAACTATTTATAAAAAGTAGATAATGCTTTTTCCATGAAACCCATGGATGCTTTTGTTCATGACGAGAGAGTTATATTGTATAAGGAGGCTGTCGTTCATCACGAGGGAGTTATAAGAAAGTTACATTGTAAAAGGTAACAAGTAAAAACTTGTAAACATGTTTAGAGTTGGTTTAAATTATAAGTCAAAAAGACAGAAGTTGTTTGAACCCATCCTTTTATGTTTTAGTTTGTTTTATGAGAAGAATTCTTGTAAAGAAAAGAAAATTTTGAAAACAAAAAATCTTGTTTTCGGTCCATGCCTCCCGATGCCCCGAGGTAGTTGAGCACTAGAGCGTCGCATGTTAACTAAGGGAACCAGATAATCCTGTCTGTCATGAAGCCCATGGATGGTTTACTCGTGATACATGAGAAACAGTAAATGAGAGAGTTAAATCAGAAAGATATAAACCAATAAAAATTGTATAGAACATGTTTAAGGTTGTCTTGAATTATAAGTGTCAGAAAAAGGCACAGAGTCAGATGAAGTTAATTGAAACATTGCTTGGTTTATTTTATGAGAAGAACTCTTGTAAACAAAAAAAAAGATTAAATTCGAAAGCTAAAAACCCCGTTTTCGGTGCAGGCTTCCCCATACCTTCTTAAGCGTAAAGCACTAGAACGCCGCATGTTAACGTTTCGGTAGGAGATTTCGGCCCCTCCACGCTATCCTACTTGAAATCCGCTCGAGCGCATGCGCAGGAGATTTCTCTTAAAATTGTTATTAAGCATGCTATTTACTTCAAAATCAGTGCTAATAGATGCAGTTAGTCGTTGCCATGACCATGAGCTTGGGCAGCTGGTAGTGTCGATTACGCATGCTCAAGCAGACTGCGCATGCGCAGATGATTTATCTGAAAATTAGTGACTGAGCGAGCTAATTACTCCATGCTAAATGACTTAGCGAGTTAATTGCCATGACCATGAGCTTGAAGAGTTGGTGGAGTTAACTACGCATGCTCAGATTAATTCTCAATTAATTTGTAACAGGAGCAGGCTCTAAAATTATTGCTTGTAAATGCGCTGAGGAAGTTTTCAATCAAATAGTTTGGAATGTTCTTTGTCTTCTCAAGCTTGTTTTGACAAATGCGTATCAAACTCAGCTACTATCAACACTCCGCAACAACGTTAGAAATGTTTTTATTTTTCTCTATAACTTTGCATCTGCATATATACTGCATGCCATATCTAAGCTTTCCTTTGATTTGACAGAAAATGTTTTTATTCACTCTTACATCTTCTGACTTTATAATTAGGCGTTCTGGATTTCTAAAATAAGATGCCCTAAGAGCATCTTCTTTGTATTTTATTTACACTATTCTACAAGTACAATACTATGTTCTACCATTTGATTGTCCGAATTTTGTACTTTGATTTCGAATTTTTGACACATGTGTTTACCGTCGGAAAGATGGATTCCTTAAAGTAAGATGGTACTTCTCAATTTGTCACAGTAAGATGATGTTTCTCATTTTGTTAAAGCTAAATGATATTTCTCAAAGTAAGATGGTATTTTTGAATATCTCAAAGTAAGATGGTATTTTTGAGTATTTCAAAGTAAGATGGTATTTTTGAATATTTCAAAGTAAGATGGTATTTTTGAATATTTCAAAGTAAGATGGTATTTTTGAATATTTCAAAGTAAGATGGTATTTTTGAATATTTCAAAGTAAGATGGTATTTTTGAATATTTCAAAGTAAGATGATATTTTTGAATATTTCAAAGTAAGATGGTATTTTTGAATATTTCAAAGTAAGATGGTATTTTGAATATTTCAAAGTAAGATGGTATTTTGAATATTTCAAAGTAAGATGGTATTTTTGAATATTTCAAAGTAAGATGGTATTTTTGAATATTTCAAAGTAAGATGATATTTTTGAATATCTCAAAGTAAGATGGTATTTTTGAATATTTCAAAGTAAGATGGTATTTTTGAATATTTCAAAGTAAGATGGTATTTTGAATATTTCAAAGTAAGATGGTATTTTGAGTATTTCAAAGTAAGATGGTATTTTGAATATTTCAAAGTAAGATGGTATTTTGAATATTTCAAAGTAAGATGATATTTTGAATATTTCAAAGTAAGATGGTATTTTGAATATTTCAAAGTAAGATGGTATTTTGAATATTTCAAAGTAAGATGGTATTTTGAATATTTCAAAGTAAGATGGTATTTTGAATATTTCAAAGTAAGATGGTATTTTGAGTATTTCAAAGTAAGATGGTATTTTGAATATTTCAAAGTAAGATGGTATTTTTGAATATTTCAAAGTAAGATGGTATTTTTGAGTATTTCAAAGTAAGATGATATTTTTGAATATTTCAAAGTAAGATGATATTTTTGAATATTTCAAAGTAAGATGGTATTTTTGAATATTTCAAAGTAAGATGGTATTTTGAATATTTCAAAGTAAGATGGTATTTTGAATATTTCAAAGTAAGATGGTATTTTGAGTATTTCAAAGTAAGATGGTATTTTGAATATTTCAAAGTAAGATGGTATTTTGAATATTTCAAAGTAAGATGATATTTTGAGTATTTCAAAGTAAGATGGTATTTTGAATATTTCAAAGTAAGATGGTATTTTGAATATTTCAAAGTAAGATGGTATTTTGAGTATTTCAAAGTAAGATGGTATTTTGAATATTTCAAAGTAAGATGGTATTTTGAATATTTCAAAGTAAGATGGTATTTTGAGTATTTCAAAGTAAGATGGTATTTTGAATATTTCAAAGTAAGATGGTATTTTGAATATTTCAAAGTAAGATGGTATTTTTGAGTATTTCAAAGTAAGATGATATTTTTGAATATTTCAAAGTAAGATGATATTTTTGAATATTTCAAAGTAAGATGGTATTTTTGAATATTTCAAAGTAAGATGGTATTTTTGAATATTTCAAAGTAAGATGGTATTTTTGAATATTTCAAAGTAAGATGGTATTTTTGAGTATTTCAAAGTAAGATGGTATTTTTGAATATTTCAAAGTAAGATGGTATTTTTGAATATTTCAAAGTAAGATGATATTTTTGAGTATTTCAAAGTAAGATGGTATTTTTGAATATTTCAAAGTAAGATGGTATTTTTGAATATTTCAAAGTAAGATGGTATTTTTGAGTATTTCAAAGTAAGATGGTATTTTTGAATATTTCAAAGTAAGATGGTATTTTTGAATATTTCAAAGTAAGATGGTATTTTTGAATATTTCAAAGTAAGATGGTATTTTTGAGTATTTCAAAGTAAGATGGTATTTTTGAATATTTCAAAGTAAGATGGTATTTTGAATATTTCAAAGTAAGATGATATTTTGAATATTTCAAAGTAAGATGATATTTTGAATATTTCAAAGTAAGATGGTATTTTGAATATTTCAAAGTAAGATGGTATTTTGAATATTTCAAAGTAAGATGATATTTTGAATATTTCAAAGTAAGATGGTATTTTGAATATTTCAAAGTAAGATGGTATTTTGAATATTTCAAAGTAAGATGGTATTTTGAATATTTCAAAGTAAGATGGTATTTTGAATATTTCAAAGTAAGATGGTATTTTGAGTATTTCAAAGTAAGATGGTATTTTGAATATTTCAAAGTAAGATGGTATTTTTGAATATTTCAAAGTAAGATGATATTTTTGAGTATTTCAAAGTAAGATGGTATTTTTGAATATTTCAAAGTAAGATGGTATTTTTGAATATTTCAAAGTAAGATGATATTTTTGAGTATTTCAAAGTAAGATGATATTTTTGAATATTTCAAAGTAAGATGATATTTTTGAATATTTCAAAGTAAGATGATATTTTTGAATATTTCAAAGTAAGATGATATTTTTGAATATTTCAAAGTAAGATGATATTTTTGAGTATTTCATAGTAAGATGATATTTTTGAATATTTCAAAGTAAGATGATATTTTTGAATATTTCAAAGTAAGATGATATTTTTGAATATTTCAAAGTAAGATGATATTTTTGAGTATTTCAAAGTAAGATGATATTTTGAATATTTCAAAGTAAGATGATATTTTTGAATATTTCAAAGTAAGATGATATTTTTGAATATTTCAAAGTAAGATGATATTTTTGAATATTTCAAAGTAAGATGATATTTTTGAATATTTCAAAGTAAGATGATATTTTTGAATATTTCAAAGTAAGATGATATTTTTGAATATTTCAAAGTAAGATGATATTTTTGAATATTTCAAAGTAAGATGATATTTTTGAATATTTCAAAGTAAGATGATATTTTTGAATATTTCAAAGTAAGATGATATTTTTGAATATTTCAAAGTAAGATGGTATTTTTGAATATTTCAAAGTAAGATGGTATTTTTGAATATTTCAAAGTAAGATGGTATTTTTGAATATTTCAAAGTAAGATGGTATTTTTGAATATTTCAAAGTAAGATGATATTTCCCAATAAATGAAACAGTTGATCTGCAACAACATAAGTAATGTTAAGTCAGGTAAAGTGAACCTCTTTTAAACATTGCATTTATTCCACTTGTTAACACATGTGTTTCTTACATGGGAAGAAATTTTAGCCTTTCCAACACCTACACACGTTGCATCTAATCTTTGGCTGTATTCTCCTTATTAAACTATATGATGTAATGAAATTAAAAAATTTTGAGGCAAGCTCACGATCGCTTTCACAAGACACGTAAATTCTTTCAATTTGTAGTTTAAATGAAGTCATGACCGTTTTTATCTTAACATAAACGATATAAACTTAAACGTATGCAGTAAAAATCTAATGAAAATATCTTATATCTTTCATTTTGTTGATCTTCCTGTAGCTATTTTTATCACATTTCTTGCCCACGTCGCGCGTGCTTGATACACGTAAAATTTTGTTTTTATATTTTCTTTGCATGTTATTCATTCCATTAATTTAATTTTCTTAGCGAAACTTCCTCGTCGTAAAGATATCTTCTTAATGTGCCAAATATTGTACAATTTGTGTATAACTTCAATTTGTGCGCCATCCCACGTTAAGTGTAAATCCAAAAATAGACCATCTTTATCGTTTTTCAATATCTTTCTTTATAAATTATTGATTAGTTACGTAAAATTCTCTTTCTGCCAAAATTCCTCTTTTTTTCCGTTGACGTTTTTATAAAAAATTATAGTCGATTGATTGCAAGATGTCATCTTCCGTCTTTGAAAGCAAGTTTACTTGCCTCCGCTGTTTTTTTAAAAAAATTTTTCAATAATATTCATATTCATAAACTATTCACCTGTTGTAAATTAGATGTAGTAGCCTTAAAACGTATTCACGATGCGTGGATTGTATCTCGCAGGAAAAATTTTCGAAAAGTATCCGTATTGTGGGATCGGAAGAGAAGACAATAGTTTCTGTTGAAACAGTTTCTGTTCAACTGAACTATATCATCGCCTATGAAGTGAAGAATGATAATGAATGATTATATTGTTCAGACGTCATAGATCTCGACGAGCAGATGTTGCAAGGCGGGAAAATGGGAAACGCAGTTTGTCATATGAATATGCGTGGGTAAATCGACTTCAACTACTGCACATGCATAAAATAGGGGAGATGTTTTGGAGTGTCTTCAGAGTACTGAACAACTTTACAGAACAATCTCTTATATGGCAACTACTTACGGCTTCGCGAAACCCTTAACAATTGCCGTATTCGGCGATAAAAATGTTGGCAAAACTTCGCTTATACGACGTTTCATCGGGCAAAGCTTCAGTAAACAACATAAACCGACAGTCGAGGATTATTATGAAGAGGAAGTAATCCGTGGAACACACAAATGCCGCCAATTGAAGATTCTCGACACGACCGGATCGTACGATTTTCCAGTTATGAGGCAGTTGGCAATATCCAAGGCTCAAGCGTTTATCTTGGTTTATTCATTTGACGATCCAAAATCATTTGAGAAAATTAAATGGCATCGTCAAGAAATACTAAAATACAAAAGTCATTCAAACGTTCCTATGTTGATCGTATGTAATAAAACAGACCTTACTGACATTAACAATTTAGAAGGAATCCTAAAAGATTCTTCTAACAATGTTGCTTTGCCATTCCTCAATGATCTACGTTCACAGGTGAAAATAGTCGACGATTGGAAATGTAAATTGATGTTTACATCTGCAAAGGTGCGCTGGAACATCAATAAAGTATTTTTTGAACTTGTGAACATTGAAGAAGAGGATCTTGACAATAAAAGCAAAGATAAAATGGTGAATCGAAGGAGACGTTCAAGTTTATGGTATCATATTGTATGTCCAAGTAATCGGTCACAACGAGCAGCCAAACATATGGTCCGCACAAGATCTTTATCTGCTTAGTTTAGATGAGAAAATACTGGCAGATGCAACTAAAAGACAATGTATCAAATACGCACATTTTTCATCTTCCTTTGATGTTGTGTGTATCTTGGCTTCTTCATGGTCACTGTTGCTGTTTTGGCATCAGTTTTACGACGCTTGGTGCGAGGAAAAATGTTCTTCTGACTTTACAAGAACGATGTGTTAAATTCATGTGTGAACATAAATCATTTGAGTTTTTAATAGTTCCTCTTTGTACTGTACATATATTTATTGATCAGTGAGTGCATTACAATTTTTTTCCTTTTTAAACGTATTATTTTGCACCTTTTCATGAATTTCCAAGTGGATTGCTTAGAAGATCGAAACATAAATAATTTTTCACTTAAGTTTTGTCGTGGTTGACTATTAAACGGTGTTTGACAAAATTGTTATTTTCTTTTGAAAGTTCATCTCAGTTGGAAAATTCCGAAATGTTAATTGCTTTAAAGTATTTTACCTAATGACCGAAGAATCTAGCTCTGTAGCTTTTGATGTCTAGGCATTTTCTAGTCTTTGTAATAAATTCTTTGGTCTTAGAAACAATTAAATTTCCTTAGTTATTATCGCCCACATTTCCTTGTGAAGTATATCCATGGAAGGAAATCAATATATGACTGAGAGGGGATTAGGTTGTGTTTTAATAAGAATGTGTTTTAATAAGAATGTATCTTAAGCTGCAGTATCAGTGAGAAGGAAAATCTCTGGCCATCGTAGCATTATAGTTTTATACTAATAAAATATCACACGACTGTCAGCGCACTATTTTTAGACGAATACGACATCATTTGGATTAATGTATTTCTTCAATGAATCTCAGTTCTCCTTCTCCTTCTATGAAAAACAATTTACATATGACCTTGACAATACGGCATATTTCACAGTTCGTCTTTGTAACTCTAAGCAATGAATATATATTTTTACTGTAACCGAGAGGTTATATTGCTTTATGGACGTGTCGCATTAAAAAGACGGTTTGGTTAGTTTATGAAATTATACATTTCAAAGAAATAACATCTTATTAATTGGTTAAAAGGAAAAAGTCTGATGGAGGTCCTCTAAAATGACATCATTTTAATCCCCTTTCTCGAGCCTAACTTGTGATGTAATAATGGATTGTATGAGACTACTGTAGCTTGAAGTGCTATTGTTGACTCACGTGTTGAGTTCCGCTAATTATTGCGTGCAAGTTGTTTAAACAAATGCTTATTTCATCAAAATTTCCACACTTTACTGGCGTGTGTTTGTCAAGTGGCTACTAAAGTTGTCATGGAAACAAATTATGGTTATATATATATATATAAATCTCGTGATTCAACATCCTTTAGCTCATGGCTAACACAACCAAGACGGTAGTCAGTTGACATATATATGGCTAGTGGATACCAGAGAAGTTTTGAGAAAATGAAAAATCCCAGACAAGAGGGAAAGGATACGTTAGTGAAAACTATTGCAGTTATTGGCGGTTCAAAAACTGGCAAGACATCGCTTATTTCTAGATTTTTAGGCAAACCTTTCGATGAAAATCATTCACCTACAGTAGAGGATCATCATGCTGGAAAATTTTACGTCGGTGATACTCTGTGTCATCTTGAAATCGTTGATACTTCGGGTAGTTTTGAATTTCCTGTTATGGAGCGTTTGACTATGAAGAAAGCAAATGGATACGTTTTTGTATATTCTTTACATGACGAACAAAGTTTTGAGCGCGTCGAAGCTGCTCTAAGACGACTAAAAGATTTGAAAGATATTAGCAAGCTTCCTGTTGTCATTGTATGCAATAAAGCAGACTTAGCAAATATTGTTGCTCTTAGAAACATTCAAATGCGTTTAGATGCTGGCGAATGTACTTTAAACTGTTCAAGATTACCCAGCGGAACGAATGAAACCTTGGACATTAACAGTCTCAGCGTTGTTCAGATTTTGCGCTCACAAATACAACGGGCTCACGAGAACGGTTGTAAGTTTTTACTAACGTCGGCGAAGTACCGTTGGAATGTGAATAGAATTTTTGAATTATTATTTCAAGATGAAAAGCTTGAGAGAAGGAGTAGTTTAATGAAATCAACGTTAAAAACGAAACGAGAGAAGGGATTATCTCGCGTGAGAAGTCTTTCTGCTTTAATGAAATGACGTTTGACTTTTTGACAAGTAAAGCAGAGAAAGATTTATGGATAAGTACTCAACATTCGTTTTGTATATAGTTGCGTAATCCACTATTGTCAAAAGTGTTCGGTGGAATAACTTTTAATGTGGGATGATAGCAAATACGTGATTGCTTGCGCGGTTCTCTAAGACCGTATGTGGGAGATGACCTAACCCTAAGAAGAGGATATTTATTTCTAATATATCTCAAAGACAAAGATATTTATACTAATTAAAAATCAATTACTACATGTAAAATACTCAATGTGAAATATATATACATATAATATATCAATGCAATAACACCGTGGAAATAATTTCAAGAAATCGTCTCTTTGTTTTGCGTTATGGTTGCTATAAAACTTTAAAGTGAAACTAAATGGATGGCTTCAAACGTAGTGAAGAAAAATTCCTTCGTGGCTAAAGGACGTTGTATTCCCAATAAGTGGGATGGTCTTTGTTGTTTAGCTCAGATCTACATCCATTCCGTCTTTCTTTTTCGTCAAAATTTCAAAACTTTGCTTCTTGAAAATAAACATTTAAAACACCACAAATGCAGGTCATAATATATGGTTTTTAACTTTTTAAATTTCTCTGTGGCTTATAACACCAAAACCTCAGTCACACCCATTCCGATCCTACTCGTCAAAGGAAGTTAAAACAAATTTATTAATTTGATGATTTCATACTCATTATCTTCAATTAATATATTTATAAATTTTAATTGTCAAAAATTATACTTGAAATTCCGTAATTTGTCACTGTCTAAACATTCTTATGAAACATTTGTATGATTAAATACGTATATCGTCTTCCTTTGGGGAAGAAATATTTATATTTTATGGATGAACTTCATTTAAAATGTGGTTCATTTTTTCTCAGCTAGAGTATTGTCCATGTTATCTGTATCATCATCCCAATCAAGAATATGTAGGAATTCAAATACTGCACCGTAGTTCTTAGGATTGTAATAAGGATTTTTCAAATCAATACTGACTTCTTTATCTTGTTTATGACCCATGAAAGTAAGACTTGTTATTGAAGAAGCTTGACTGATGGCCAATACGATGTTGTTGCCATCTTCGGACAAGGCGCAGTCCGACACAGCATGGTCAGCGGTAAATGATCCTATCTGTATTCCTCGTGAAGTATCCCACAATCTTATTGTGCGATCTCCGGAAGCAAACGTCATTGCTCGTCGTCCGTCGGCGCTCATCTGAATGCCGTTTATCTGATGTCGTATGCCACAAGGCAACGGGAAAAGAGGTGCTCCTGATCGCAAAAGATAGCTCATAACTGTATTGCGATATTCCTTTTTGAATGAACAAATAATGATACCACTGATCGAGGATGCAGTAACGGCATGAATTTTAGCTCCTTTGATGGGAATTTTACATTGTACTTCAGAAATATTGACGTCCCAAACAACTAAATGTGTACAATCATTTATCTTCACTTCATCCACAAGATATCGTCCATCTTGTGTAATAGTTGCTTGACACAGTTTAGGAAAACAATTCTCTACACGAAGCCAACCAATCAAACGTTTCGTGTCCAGGTCCCACACTGCTGCTGCGCTATTCTTGTAAGAACAGACGAGAGTTTTGCCATTCTTACTCACAATAACAGTCTCAATGCATTCCTTGTGGCCACTCTTCAGCTGAGCAACCAATCCTCCGTGGTCTAAAGAGATCAAATTTACGACATCTCGCTTACTGGAAAGCATCAAAACGTATTCTTGACCAACGATTGCAACATCACTGAACTGTCCACAGCGAGGTTTTATGTTCACGCCTGATCGTTGTAGGAGACGAAGAGAAAGATTTCTTCGTTTATAAAGAGAACTCGCTCGTCTTTCTAACCGATTTCGACTGTTCATGTTTGGAAATGAGACGCGAAGTTTTTTAATCAATCGTCCTTCTTCTAAATCAATCAATGCAAGTTTACCCATACTTCTGAGAACTGCTCTTGTTTCATCGACAACAAGAACGTCATCGGCTTGTGTTCCTTTCAATGTTCTCACCTGGGTACAATTAGAAACATTCCATACGACAATATCTCCTGAAACTTTCGATCGACTTACTGCCTGTCTTTGTTCACCGCGACTTTTAACAAACGTTATATTTCTTATACAGTTGTCTTTGTTCTCCTGAAGCAAACCTTGCTGAATTGTCTCTTCCTTTTCCAGATCCCATACTCGTAATATCTCGTTGTCCGACAATGTCACGAGGACGGTTAGATCGTTAGCAATTATATCGGTAATGATACTTGTCGGAGGATGCCGGAAGACATTCGTTAGCTTCACGCCTGTCTCAAGACTCCATACACTAATATCGTTGCGACTGTTTGTAGAAAGCACGAAATGACCGTCTGAGGATAATCGAGGATTTACAATGTCACCTCCAATGTTACGAAGCCATTCACCATTTGACAAACGGAAAACACGAAGGTCATGTGATTGATGTGATGTAGCTAGAACAAGACCATCGCCTAACGGAGCTAGAAAAACTTCAGCCACTTTATCAGGTGACGCTTTCTCATACATATCAATGTGATGAACCAACAAATCAGTAAATATTTCATAAACTTTCACAAACTTGTCATTTGTACTGGCATATGCAATGTATTTTTTCCAGCCAGCAATCCTATTAATGTAGACTTCATTTTCGATCTCATTGATCACGTGACCAGTACGTAGGTTCCACATTCTTATCACGTGGCCAAATACTGCAACAAGTATATCTTTGGTGTCACCAGCAATTGCAAAGGACGTTGCAGGTGAAGGACTTTCAAAATTCCACACGTTTTTGAACGTGCTCGTTTCATAGACATCAAGATTTTCACCGGTATCCAAAATGAACAAACGATTATTTCTACAGAAAAGAAGCCGTTTTACAGTGCGAGAAATTGACATTGTTCTGATGATCTCACCACTTCTGACGTCCCATAATGCAACGGTATTTCTCGATGTCGACAAACCCAATGTTGAATCCGTGGTTAGATCGGTTGGTCCGTACAACTCTGTGGAGGTATGCAGAAGTTTCGTTCCAGGAGGATTTAGACATCCTGTATTAGGTACCAGACCTTGTGAAAATTTTCGAGCGTCATTTAGGAGACGGGTAATATGGTCTGACGAAGCAAGATCTGTCAATCTTCCTATTAGTTGAGCTGAAAGTTGATGGGGATCAATTTGCAAAGCATCAGAAGACATTCTTAACGCATCTACGATCATCTTCAAATCTTGATCCATAGGACAATGTTTTCCAGTAAAACATTCAGTACATAATCAATACTAGTAGCAGTCAGCTGCGCTTGGATGAAAACAAAATTGCATAAAGCTTGGTTTTTAAGCTCTTCAATGTCGCCTAGTTTGCATAGATAATGAGGCAGATCGTGAAGTCGACGATTAACGATGAGTGGATCTTCGGAAGAACCCTTTGTACGCTTCCCAGCATAATGTTGGGCAAGACTTCGATGGGCGAACTTAAGACTGTGTTCATGACTGGAGAGATATCGATCAAAGAGTAAGTAACGAATTATAAGATGACGCCAGGTCAGAATCAACATTCCATCAAAATAAACTTTCGTCAATATTGGAGATAGATCATGAAGAATTCTTGCTAGCTGAAAGGGCCTCACATTAAATCCTGGCGCCTTCCCAGAGATGTGATCGCGTGTAAGTATTTCATCTAACTCGCGCTCGCTAAGTCCAAAGCGAGCGGCTGATAAATATCCCATAATCCTTTGAATGGTCGGCTTGCCATATTTCTTCTCCACGGTGTTAAAGTATAGTTCAATCACGTGTTTTAATGACGTTGGGAGGTGTGAGTCTACGTTGCTTCCAGGAAAATCGGTCAGCGTCCTCTTCAGGCGAATGTAATGCAACAAAAGGTGAACGTAGAGGGGGTTGGGATATTTTTCTGCAGCTTTCAGTAACCGAATTTCCAATTCTTTTGCAGGTTCTGTGCCAATGTTATGAAATCCTGATGAAAGCAATGATTTAGCTTCACTTTTTTCCATCTCTGACACGTCAACGAAGTGATCTGATGCTTCTTCAAATGTGGCCTGTATTTGAAGAACGATGCAAAGTTGGTTAGTGCTAAATGCATGTTATGTAATAAACCTATAGCAGATGTATATTCTCTATAATAACGTTACCTTTAGGCCGTTGTAATAACCACCGTTTGTCAATGCTGTTAGAATTATTTTTACATTGTCAGGTAATTCATGCGGTAGCCATTTTAGGTTTGATTTTGGTAACTCGTCAAGACCATCAAGAATAATGACGATTTGTTTTCCTCGCGTAGCGTTGTGAAGCTGACTGTTGAACATTTTACAATCGCTTGGAAACTCTACAAAAGTAAGAGAAACGTTTTTATAATTTAACCAAGTTTCAAGTTTGTACATCAATTTCGACGTTCTCATTTTACCTCAGGAATTTTGTCTTCATAACCGAATACTCTTGACAATTGAAAGCACAAACTTCTTAACAAAAGTCTCAGCTGGCTCGAAAAACGTGTAGAACCGAGGAACCTGGTAACGAGTATTGTGTCTTGTTCTGGGCTGTCACTCAAGAGCTTTGCCGTCATAGACACCATTGTACTTTTTCCACATCCGGGTGATCCATGCAGAATCAAAGGAGTTGTTGTGTTCCCTTTAATATATTTATTGATACGTGTTTGGATGTGAATGGTTCTGTGAGATCCTTCGTCAATATTTTTAATGTTCTCTTGACATTTTAATAAATGTTGTGCAACTTCTTTGTAATGAATATCGTTGGTGTTAGAACAGGGTGACAATTCGTTATTCTTATCAAGCATTGCCTTGATGGTGTCGAGAACAGTTTGGTGAAAGTGATTTCGTTTCAGTATGTCATGTTTAGCAAACTCGTCATAAGTTACAACACTGCCATTTTGATGGCGATACTTTTGGCGGACCAGTTGTAACTCTGCTTTATCGTCGTTGCTTTGCTCTTCAAAACTTTCATTTTGTTGGGAAACTTTCTTCTCTACCCACAATGCTCTTGAGCCTTGGTTAGACAGTTCGGCACCAAGAGACGCAGCTTGTAATAACGCTGTATGAAACGACAGAAACAAAGTTATAACAAATAAATTTCATTGCCATACATCCTTTGACTAACAAGAGTTATGGTAATAACACAAACTCACCATTGAAAATATAACGTTGCTCACACTTCAGTTTGAATTGTTTTTCTTCTATCATGTCCAACACAAATTGTGAAGCTTCAGAAATTCTTTCGTTTGGCTGCTCAAAGCATGTATTTCTGAGAACGTAACACGGTATTTGATTAGCATCTAACTCGTAGAGACTTCGTATTGCGTCGTGATTGTTCGGTATGATCTCCATGAGCAATTCATAGTCTTTGACATCGATCTTCTCAGGAAGAAATTTTTCGCCAAAGTTCTGACCAACTAGAACCTTATATCGAAAAAAGTTGAAGGAAATCTTTTTAAGAACTTTTCAAGAACGCAACATGTTGTCAAGAATGTTTTTACAGGAAATAACGAACGGACTACGTACAATAAAGCCAATTCCTGAAGATTCTTTGTGAGCTGTTTCAATTTCTTCTTTCCAATCCATATACGAAAACTGCTCAGCTTCAATGTCAATCTCCACTATATGAACGTCGTGGTTATATTCACGACAAAATCTTTTCAAGTCAGGAAATATTCTTTCCTCTAAGATAAACTTCTCTTCTGACATATCTGAAATATAACAAGTAATGAATTTGAATAAGAAAAAACATTCACGACGATTGAACACTGTTATATTGTGTTACTTTTTCCTTTCAAATCTGATCTGTATTACCTTCTTGGAGTGTGACAACTACAATCTTCACCATCTTTGCAAGTTTTGGTATTAACGTGTTCACGTCACCTCGAAGTATACCTTGTCGTAAATGTTCGTGTAAAGTAGATTCTTTGTATGAATTTCTTTTGTTATCTTCTTCTCCTGTTACGAAATGTGAACGATTTTCTTCTTTACAAATGTAATCAGTTAAGGTTTAATAAAAAGGTAATAAATATGTAAAATACCTGAAGGATACACTTCTTCATTTTGTTTGGCAGGATAGACGTCAACATCCGATTCATCATCATCTTCATCATCATCATAATCATCGTGATATGTCACGCCTGCTTCCACATCGTGTTTTGTAATTTCAGATTTCTTGGTTTTCTTGATAGCTGCAGCTTCCTCGCTGCCGTCTGGTTCTCCACGTTTATGGCTTGTACCTGCCTTACCTTGGTTATCTTTGTTACGTCGAAAGATCCGCAGCATTCTAGAGAAAAATCGAGAGAAATTATGCCAAGTAGCTACTACTTTTAGTCTACATATTTAATTAAGTTTTGCTGCCTGCACAAATTATCTGCTATATTGGCTTTCAAATACTTTGATGTTTCCTAATTTTTGTTTATTTTTTCTATTCTTTCCGTTCAATAGCAATGCCACTTCCGTTACTGCAGCAACAATTGTGCTTGCTATCACGAGATTCAAATAAAATAACCATTTTTGACCTTATATCACAGTTAATCAAGCGGTATTTTTTGTTGCCCTGCTGTGGTCTATTTGCTCGCCTATTGAAATATATGTTAGCTAAAGCATCGAGACTTTGTCGTCTCTTTATCAAGGACTCGGCTATAACCCTCAAAGTCGCGTCGTCATAAATGAGTTGCAAAAAAACTGTGATTAATTCTGTTCTTAGAGACTCATTGTCAATTTTGTGTTAAATAATGATATGAATGAATGATTTGAACAAAAAGAAAATGCAAATATCCTCATATGAAACCACTTTTGTTTGCTTTTATTTGACAAAACCACCCGAGAAACAACAATTCAATATATTCATCAAACGTTAAGAAATTTCTTATAAACAGTTGATAAACTGACGTCACGACTACCTGTTAAGAAATGTTAAAAACTCTCAACTTTTAGGATAATTTGTTCAGCATATCGTTCTCATATGGTGGGCTTGGCGGTCAAGTTTTAGTAAATAACGCAGTCTATGTTTAAATATAATTTCAATAAAATAAACTTTGAACTACTGGCAACAATTGTTACAATCCATTAGGTTTCATAATAACATACTATGAAGCAAACGACATTAGCAATCGTAACAACTGTCCTTTTGAGATATTATTGTACCTGTAGCGTCGTGTCGAGCAGCACTGTCCCATCTTTAATCCTTCACTAATACGCGGTGAGCACAACTCTTCGATTTGAAAGTCATCCTAGGAGCGGGGTTCTGCCGTTTGTACTGTCTATTTTTATACACCTCGTTTTGCGTATCTTATACACTTACGGGTACATATTAATATTCAATAGGTAATATTTCTTTGTCTTGATTCACCATGCAGGAAATGTTGGTTTTATGTAAATACTTCGCGTCTTTTGAACAAAAATGGACGCATTTTGTTTCGTCAGGATTGTGTGATCTTTCACATATAGAATATTTGTCTTGTCTATGAGTGGAATGTTTTATGTGTGTTATAAAAATCTTGCATGTTGAATCAATATCAGTTTCATTTATAAAATTTGCCAAAAATTCAAACTTCCCCTATGAAAATATATTTTTAAGATTGACAATTCAATATTTCGCCTGTTCCCATTTTCAGCGAAAACCGTTTGTAATTAGGCAGAGAAAGTATCCTGTCATAAGATATCAGTTTCCATTGTTAGATATGACAAATAAACAATAATTGTTGAAGAAACTTCTATTCACTCATGTAGAGCCGATGAATTTCGAAGTCGGTATATGTTTATCATTGGTTTGAAGTATAATAAAAACGGACATCACCCTATACAAATAAAAAATCTTAACAGAGAGTCGTTAGTCATTAAACTTAGTTGTTATTGTCTGGTTCACCCTATCGACAAACTCAATGGCCGTTTTTATGCTTAAGACGGATAACACGTCTGGACGATTTATACGTCTAAGCTTTAAACCGTCCAGCATAAAGACGGGTCGACTTAACTCAAAACTAAACGACAAAATCAATTGATCGAGAGGAGTTAACAACTTTAGTTCGTCTGTCAAGACGAATTAAACGCAAAAGTCGTCTAGACGGTTAATTTGTCTTATGGCCGTCTTTATCCTTTGACGATTTAAGAGACGAATTAAAAAGATTCGTCTTAAGTCGTCCAGACGTATAATCCGTCTTAGGCATAAATACGGCCATTATTATTATTATGTAGGTCTTTCATTGATATTTTGTAGAGAACTGTATCATTTCATATTAAACCTTCAACAAAGAGATGAGGACATATTGAAACTTTAGTCGATGACCGTTCTGAATGTTTGAAGTGTTTGTGCTATTGAAAATTAATTTTTCTTAACGAGTTCCGTAATTTAGCAGTCAACTTTGTCCCTATTTTGTTTTTTCTTCGAAGAAGGTGACAGATCAGTCTGAAAAAGACTGTGAAGTCAGGAGCACTGATCTCTTTAAATGTATGGGATTACCAGAGGTACTTGGTGGAATCGACGAATCACATTTTCTTTATCAAAACACACCCCACAAAAACTCATTTCCAATGGGTCATTATCAGTGCTCAGAATGTGTAATGAGAACAAATTGTGGAAACATTTCGTTCAAATTACACAACGTCGTGCAAATTGCAAAACATACGCTGTACATAGTATCAAAGGCTCATATTTTGGTCTTATGGTATTTTCGATTCTTGTGAAATATCTTCATACGTTGCAATTTATGATATTATTTTGGTCAAATTTCTCTTTTTGAAAGCGACATGAATCCTTGGGGCTATTCATTTCTTTCGCAAAGATGTATATGAATGGAAATTATGAAGACAGGAAATTTAATTGGAAAAGCGTTGAAAATATTATCATGTATTGTATTCATGTATATATTTTCAATGAGTTTAACGTTTTACAACAAATGGATTATGAAGGTTTGCAACCAACTTTTATGATGAATGAAAAGTTTAATTATATATATTTCATAATGGTGACTTTTTGTCTCTGTGCAAAAAGCTACATGGTTGATTTTTTTCAATTTCTTATTTGATATAGAAACTTCATTTTCCTCTGACGCTGTCTATGGTTCATTACAGTGTTGTGTTCGTGGTTGTCGCATTAATAAGAAAAATTTGGGAAATACGAACTAACAAGAAACGTATTATGTTAAAATGGTCTGTCTATCTTGTAAGAGTTACTCCTACAGGTGTGAAAGATGAAAATACTTCAATGTTGGTATTTTGAATGAAAAATAATGAAAGAAATTATTTTTAAGATATAAATTGGATACATACATAACTTAGCTTGTTTTTTTTAAGGAATGTGAAAATTGATGTGAAAAGTTGCCTTAATATGTACCTACATAACAATGTTAATTCATTTTTCCATTTCTTGCAGCAATAGCTACAGCATTAGACATTGGTTTTTCTAACTGGAGTTTGATGTTCATAACTGTTTCCTTGTATGTAGGTGTTGATAACATGAGATAATTTATTATATTCAAGTACATTGTTGCAACAAAATGTCATTAAATGATTACTTCCTCAGGTACACAATGTGCAAAACTACAGCAATTATATTCATATTAATTTTCTCCATTCTATTTGGGTTAGAAAAATTTGTAAGTATCTCTGGTGTTCATGTGAATACATTGTGTGGATTAAATTTAACTGTGTTTCTTGAATATTTTCAGCATTGTCAATTACTTGCTATTGTTTTTCTGATTTCTGGAGGCCTATTCATGTTTACATACGAATCAACACAATTCAATTTTAAAGGTTTTCTCTTGGTATGGAATTCTGTTTATTAAATTGATTGCAACATAAAAAAATTGACATTTAACAGTCATCATTAATGATTTCTCAGGTAATGACAGCAAGTTCAATGAGCGGGATTCGGTGGGCAACTACGCAACTGTTGCTACAAAAAGAAAGTCTTGGTATGTGGTAATTTTATGACTTGAAAGGATTTTCAAGCTTTGTCTTGTTGTTCATAACTAAGTTTGATTTCTAGGTCTATCTAATCCATTTGATACTGTTTATCATCTCCAACCTTTGATGACTTTATCAACTCTTCCCTTAGCCATTGGAATTGAAGGTAAAATCTTTATTTTTCATCTTAATAATAATCAAAGTTCATTTTTTATGGATTAAATGTATTAACTTCATAGGTCTACAACTGGCCGTGTCCTTACAAACATTTCGTGCTCCATCAACTCATGTAATGTTTGAGACGGCTTGTTTTGTACTGTTTGGTTCTTTTTTGGCCTTCATGCTTACAATGTCTGAATATTTATTATTGGCAAATACGTCTGGTATAACTTTGGCAATAGCTGGAATATTTAAGGTTGTTTAATACTGAGAAACTGTCTCATATTCATTTGATTTGATCTTGTATTTGTTGTTTTTTAGGAACTATGTACTATAGTACTAGCTACGGAGTTAGTTGGAGATGAAATGAATGGAGTGAAATTTGGAGGACTTGTCATTTGTCTTCTTGGTATTTCATTTCATGTCTACTTGAAAGCATCAAAATGTAAGTTTTGTCTTTGATTGCTTTACTGTAGTGAATTTCAGTGATGGATTTTATAATGTTTCAGTTGATGATAATGAAGATGAACACAATCAGTTGTATGATGAAGAAGAAAGAGAGCAGATGTTAAACAATTCATCTTTGGATTAGTATTATCATAAGAATGATTGCCCGTTATTAAAGAGATACTTAAACACCACCAAAGATTGGATTGAAATATCTTTGATGAATGTAAATTATACAGGTAACTAATATAAATTATTCTTTATTTGGAATGAAGCTATTTTTGATTGGTAAATAATTAAAAACAAAGTTTATATCAAACAAGAATCAAATTATAGTATATCAACTGTAAAGTTGAAATTACTGTTTCCTCTTGGGCGACAACTTTTTTCCTTTCATCTTGCATATATTCACTTCAACTTTTGTACAAAATGTGTCACCAATGTTTCAATATCCTTTGAGCGTTTTTTGCCAACTTCTAACACTTCATTGTGGCAGACAACATTGTCATCATCATAGGACATAATTGCAGCATTGGTTATCAAAGATATTCCTAAACATTTCATACCACAATGAATGGCAGCAATCACTTCATGTACTGTACTCATTCCCACTGCATCTGCTCCAATCTACAAACATGAAATATTTGATATTTATATGGTGTAGTTAGTGAAAATGTACTTTTGAATATGAAAAAAAGCTATAGGTTTCTAATCTTACTCTATGTAGATAGTTTAGTTCTGCAGTTGTTTCAAATGATGGTCCTCCAACACATGCATAAACACCTTCTTGGACAAAGCTTGAAAAGTTTAATTCATTTGAAGTATTCTTGGCAAGCTGACGTAGCTCTTTGTTGTAACAGTTATTCATTGACGGAAATCGTTCACCAAATCTTAAAAAAAATTTGAAATCATGGAACTTCAAGGAAATTTATGACTCAAACTGATTTTAAATGACTCATCTAAACAACCTTTCTTCATTTGATCCTCTGAGTGGATTTTCTCCAGCCAAAGACAAAAGGCTGATGTGATCTTTGAGAATCATAACATCACCAACTTTGAAGGATGAATTAATACCACCAGCAGCATTAGTTACAATCAAGGTTTTAACTCCAAGCAAATGCATAACACGAATTGGAGTAGTCACCTTACAGATATATGACAATGTTTGCATGAAATGTATCAAGGTTGTTGAAGTAGACAATTGTGGTGATTTATTTTATTACCATATTTAATGAATAACCTTCGTAGTAATGAAATCTTCCCTGCATACAAACAACCTGTTGTCCACTAAGCAGACCAAACACCAAATTTCCTGAATGACCTTTAACTAAAAACATCATAAAATAAAAAGATGTTTCATTGCGCTTGTTAAGAAATGAATGTATATTGGTAAGGAAATTGTGCTTCATGAAATAAACAACTAACCTGTGCTCACAGGGAACTTAGGTATTGTTTCATATGGAAATGTGTTTGGATCTTGTAGAGCATTTATCAAATCACCAAGACCCGTACCACATATTACACCAATGGCTGGTCGATACTTTGTATTCTTCTGCAAGTATTCAGCTATCATTTTCAACTCTTCATAAGTCAAGTTACTAGTGTTTAACAAACAAAACATTGTCTTCTCAACGTTTATTATCGCCACAAGGGGGCAAGACAATGAAAGTAAGGCAATTGTTGCTATTTTATAATATCGAGGCTGAATGGGGCTAAATCACAATAAACGTAAATATATTAAACACGACCTAATGCGTAAGAATTTAGACTGCACAAACCTCTGTTTATTTTCGTTGGGATTCATTGCAACTAACTAAAAAATAAAATATATTTTGTTTGATGATAAATTGAAGATGCAAATATAAAATCGGGCCAGGAAAACACGTACATTTCAAATGCAAACAAGAGATAAAAGGATTCATGAACGTAGATTATGAAAATCGAAAGTTGCTGGTCACGTGGTGAAATCATATTTAAAGGACAATATGGACAATATCATATTTTCTTTTACAATGGCGGAATTTCCACTTTTCTCTCAGCAAATGAAACATTACATGTCATAGGTATGCCTGCAGTTTCCAACTCGTGTCGTTGATGCTTTAGAGCTAAAATGAGCCAATTTGTTATAAGTAGGTTGAATTATACCTAGGATTGAAATGACAATGGTGCAGTGGTACAACCTGTCACGATTAGAAGTAAATAAATTAGGACAATTTATATGGATAAGATGGAAGTCATTACTTGTACGGCTCCTGTAAATTTAGCTGTCATTAAATACTGTAAGTAAGCGTACATGTATATGTGCAAGAATTCAAAACAATATGCTTGAGAAGATTAAATTATGTCTTATGTAATGACAGTTATTATAAGCGAGAATGTATGTGTGTTTGACAGGGGGAAAGCGAGATGAAGAACTTATTCTTCCTGTCAATTCATCCCTTAGTGCAACGTTATCTCAAGAAGAGGTGAATTACCCATTTTCAAAGTCACCGTACTTATCTACCATATTCATCACTAATATCTAACCTCAAATTCTTAAGGATAATTTTATCCTTTTTAGCTCTGTGTAACAACAAGTGTGGCAATAAGCTCAAAATTTTCCACAGATAGGATTTGGCTGAATGGAAGGTTCATTGAAAACTTTAATGAAACACATTGCAAAGTGTTAAATTGCTTAGTTTACTTTGATTTTCTTTTCTACTTTCAGAGAAAATTTCATCAAAGATTATCCGAGGCTGCAGAATGTATTGAAAATAGGCAAGGTTATATTCAGAAAATACCTTTATATTTATTACTTTTAATTAGTAAAATTCTTGTTCCAGTTCGTGAAGAATACAAGAAAACTGGAAAGACAGAATTGATGAACTCAAAAGTGCACATATGCTCGGTCAATAATTTTCCAACTGCTGCTGGACTTGCTTCATCAGCTGCTGGCTTTGCTTGTCTTGGTAAAGCACAAACACACAAAAATATATTTAAAAAGGGAACCGTGATTCATCATGATGATATTTTTCTAGCATTTGCGCTAACAAAGTTGTTCAAGATAGAGTGTGATGTTTCTGTCATTGCAAGGTACATCTATCCTTTATCATCCTATGTGGTACATATTTATCCTTTAGTATCCAATGTGGTACACATCTATCCTTTATTTGTGGTACATATATATCTTTTATTGTCCTATGTGGTACATATCTATCCTTTATTATCCTATGTGGTACATATCTATCCTTTATTACATCCTATGTGGTACATATCTATCCTTTATTACATCCTATGTGGTACATATCTATCCTTTATTATCCTATGTGGTACATATCTATCCTTCATTACATCCTATGTGGTACTTTTCTTTGATGACTTTAGAACTACTCTTATATCATACATGAAAAGAAAATGTTGATCTTACAGTTACAAATATTATAATTATATAGACAAGGTTCTGGAAGTGCATGCCGCAGTATCTATGGCGGATTTGTTGCTTGGGAGAAAGGTGAAAAGTCAGATGGAACAGATAGCATTGCTGTTCAGGTAATTAGTGGTTGTCAATAAGACACTTCAATGTTGCAGTAGCTGTATGTTGACTTATATCATCTATTTTAAGGTTGCTCCAGAAAATCATTGGACAGAAATGCACATTCTTGTTCTTGTTGTGAGTTTTATTTTACCTTATATTTAATGCAATTGCTTCAATGACATTGTTTCTACTATAATGTAAAACAAATTCCGAAGAAGCAAGACATCTTGAAATTGCAAAATATGAATCAAGACAAGACGAGAAGTAAACTGTAAATTTTCGACTTTATTTCAAAGTCATCCTCAGACAGAATGATATTTAAAGCCATACATACACATATATATTTACAACGCATGAAATAAGTAAACAGAAGTAAGCAATAGAAATTAAATAGTGTCATATTTACAAAGGAAGAGTTGGAAGAGGTGTAGTATTTCAAAAGTATGAATTGAAACTGCTGACCCGATCGGTAGAATGAGTGTGTTATAAGTTAAGAAAACTTTCTTCAAATTGTCAGCTGGTCATGGTTATTGTTTCTGCTGGTCTTTATCTACATCACAAACATTTTTATTTCATTGTGTTGTTTATATAGGTGAGTGAAGAGAAAAAGGAAACCAGTAGCACTTCAGGCATGCGAAGAAGTGTTGAGACAAGTGAACTTTTAAAGGTTTTAGTCTGTAGATGATAATTATCATGTTTAAGATGTAGTTTCAACTTAATTATGTGTTATTTGTAGCTAAGAGCAGAGCATGTTGTACCTCAAAGAATGTATGAAATGAAGCAAGCCATTTTGAATAAAGATTTTGAAAAGTTTGCTGATCTTACAATGAAGGTTGATTTTTGAAAAAGTTTTAAGCTATTCACTTATCCATAACTATCCTAACAAATATTATTCGTGATTCTTCCTTTAGGATAGCAATCAATTTCATGCTATTTGCTTGGATACATTTCCACCCATAATACCTCCTTATATGAACAGCATTTCTCACAGTATTATACAACTTATCTCCAAGTACAATGAACTATGTGGAACAAAGGTAGCTACAAGTTAAAGTATTAACTTTCTATTTTTTACCATCTTATGGTATATTCTGTTATCATGTAGGTTGCTTATAGTTTTGATGCTGGCCCAAGTGCCGTTCTTTTTCTTCGTGAAAAAGACGTTCCTGAATGCTTAAGCTTGATTAAAACTTTTTTTCCTCCAACGCAGGAACAAGGGGAAAGGTATTTTGTGTCAATTTAATTCATGACAAATGCAGCGAAATTTGATAATGTTTTTGATATTTTCATTTAGTTTTCTTCGAGGACTTTATGTTAATCTTAGCCCGGATAGTGACACGTTTCACGTAATATATCGTTTTTTATTATTAAATCATAGTTAAGTATTTTTCGTGTTAATATTTAATGTTTCTTTTTAGGGCATCAAAGAAAAAATTGCACTGCCTTTAACTCCTGGTGGAATCAAGTACATTATTCATACTCAGGTAATCTTTCGTGTCAGTTCTTACTGAAGCTAAGTGTTCTTACTGCTAGTTTTGCCTCATTTACAATATAGGTTGGAGATGGACCAAGAATAGTTAAAAATCAAGAATGTTGTCTTTTGAATGCAGAAGGATTGCCAAAAAAATCTTCAGATAACTGATACTTTGGAGTTTGGACTTTGGAGTTTGACGTGAGCTAGAGCCTGGTAACGAAATTATTTTTGGCGGGAAATAACATAGACTTTAAAATATTACGTTCAAAAGAAAGGAAAACACTTTTTCAAAGAACTAAAACAACGATATTTAACAGTTTTTGTGTTTTGTATTTCACACATTCGTGTTTTTTGTAAAATACTTGTGAAATGAGCTTGGAAACGGGGCTATTTTTTGCGAAATTTCCCAAGAATTTTGACCAGTTGCGAGCGGTTTTACTTGTCCAAGATGACTTCGGTAATGGCGATATTTGTCTTCGCCAAGTTTTTCGGTGAGTTGAATGTCCACATATTTTGAATAAGCATGTTGTTTGAAAATATTTTTATCACTTCTATGTAGTGAGATCATTTTTACAGAATCAGAATTGCTTATAGCTCCTGACTGCGACGAAGAATTTTCATCGCATAAAGCTATTGTCATTGCCGAGGTGAAAGGCAATATTTTCTTGGTTGTTTTTTTATCTTCTCTTATTATAAGTTTGAAATTTACTTGTTATTTTTAGAGCGGAATATTCAAGTCTGGAAAACTGCAGCATATCTTTGAAAAATTTTCCCTGCATGTATGTATTTGATGAATGTAATTATGCAAGTAGACAATACTGGTTCAAGATAGGCTTAGATAGCATATCTTCGCTGGGTTTTTTTTTAGCCAGAACTGGTGATGCCTATGACGAAAAGTCTTTTTTTATACTGCTTCCAGTTTGTTTTGACTCATCGTCTTGCTCCTCTTTGGAATAAAATTGATTCGCACTTTTTAAAAGGAAGAGATTTTCTCGTAGTTCAAGACAAAATGTTCGCCATTGGTAAGTAATTTAATAATTTTTTTTATTAAAAGCGTGGAGTCAAGTGGCTTATTTAATATATTAGATAAGAGATCACAGCAGGCTCTATAATGAAGTCAATACACGGAAACATATTGCACGTATGTCATTTACAGCGGAAATGCGCAAAAACAGAAGTAATCTTTATACGTCCAAGCTAAAATTAGATAGGCATGTTACGTATATGGCTGATTATTATCAAAAAATGAAGACTATGTTGTTGTTTTTTGCAATAAAAGATCAATCAGTCAAATTTTGTCTTGTTACTTCACATAAAAGGCTTCAAGCGAGTGTGCATTCTCAATTTTAACTGTAGAATGTAATCTACCAAGTCCTTGTTTTCTTTTCCACGCTTTATAAAATTTACGGAATTCCGAACTCCGCACATAATATATGAATGGATCTGAAATAACATTTACGATTGTCAAAGGCAAGAGAAATGCTGAAAACCTCTGAAAGTCTTTTTCTTCTTTCTTATCGCCATAAAGAAAAAATAGTATAATAAGAGGAAACCATCCCATGACAAAAGTAATTCCAACCATTCCCACAGTTTTGATGCATTTCAGATCGTCTCTTATACTCTGTTGCAGTCCTGTTTGAACGGCTCGTAACACGTTTGAAATGTGCTTCGACTGTTTTCTACTCAAGTAAAACATGTAGAAATTCGACCCGATGAAAACGACTATTAATAGCATAAGATAATAACGACCATAGTTGAAAAAGTTCGGATCTGAGTACACAGCATAACCCAGTAAATGTAACAGCGTAAATGTTAAAGCCACAGACCATACAAATGCAACCATTACATTAGCTCGATGGGCTGTTATTTTGCTCGGGTATCTCAATGGCCATACAACGGAGACAAGACGGTTGACGGTCATTAGGCATAAACTACCCAGCGATGAAAATAAGGTGAAAGTAAAAATTGTATAAACTACACCCCAAATCCAGTAAAACATATGAATTACATAACATATCGTTGATAGAACGTTGCCTAAATGTGCGAACGCTTGATTAAGAATGAACAAGTTGGACGGTATATCTTTGTGTCTTGAAAATGATGTTATAGCATACACGACGAATACATTGGTAATAACACCAAGAATTGTCAGAGTTAGGAGGATACTTGTCAACACAATCTTCTCGTCATTTTGAAGAAATTCCATGCCCATATTTTCTGTTGAATGTCTTCTTTCGTCTGCAACGTGTTCATCTGTGCAATATCTACACTAATATAGCTATGTCAACAACAATATAGGATTCTCTTTTTCTCTGTTTTTCATTTATTAACTTACGTAATAATTAATGATTATTGCTTTCATGCAGAAGATGCTATTTATTGAAAAATTGCTCATTATAACTGTAGAGTAGTTTTATAAAAAATTCTCCATTATAATTACCACTTTTGCAGTAAAAATTAATTATGAAGCATAATACGAAATATTTTGAAGAGATCATGTTGTGCATGCAGTGCTATTTATGTAATAATCTTCTATCCTTGTTCTTTGTGTGCATTTTATGTAGGTGTAGATCTTTTTTTGTTTTAACGTTCTTTTTATGGAAAAATTGATTTTATTAATTATTTTGGTGATTTTTGAAGTAGATGATCTTTCACGTTGCACTTCATTCAACGTTTTTAATTAACGCTTTGTTATTATGTGCGTATGTCTTGAAGAGGAGAACAATGCTCCCCAATATAGCTCTACGCACACCTTATACATATATATTGTTTACATTTTGTTAAAACATCTGTTTTTACTAGAATACATTTCAACTTTAAAGACTGACGCGAGATCTTTACATTGTTTTTTTGAAAATTCCCTTTAAAGTATAATGCACTGTAAGTGGAGCTGGAAAGGATGTAAATGTGACGATATAAAATCTTATCGTCTTTTCATTTTATAATAACATACATATCATTTGTACGTATTTCTTTTCATAGCAAGTCGTTGTCTAAAGGTTATTTATGTTGAAGACATTTTATAAGTTTCATTTGCGTTTCTTTTTAATTATATTGGATCGTAGCCTTATAGAAAGCTATTGCATGTCATTTATATAACTTTCATATGCATGTATTTTAATTATATTGATCGTAGCCTTCTAGAAAGCTATTGCATGTCATTTATATAACTTTCATATGCATGGATTGGATTTATGAAAGAAACTTTGCTGTTTAACTTCTGTAAGAAACAAATAAATTTTGATCTTTATTATTACTAAATACGAGACATGATTTTTCTTTCAGAAGCTGATATAAGTTTGACAGACAAGATAACGTTAGCACTAAAAGCACATCTTTTAAAACTTCCTGTGACGAAGGTACTTTTATCAATGAAAAATATATTTGTGCATGCTTATCTATTTCCTCATCAGAAAGTTCCCCTGTGCACGTACGTACATCTTATCCATGTGATGTCTCAATTCTTATAAAATTGCAGGTGAATGATTTTGGCGTTTCTCCCAATATGCTTCAATTATTTAATCAATGTAAGAACTACGTCATTCAAGGTTACTCTCTTGAAAATAATCGATGCTTCGTGTTACCAAGGTAAATAAAAGATGATGAATGCTTTCATGTTCTTACAACTTGTAAGCTATAGAGGAAAAGATTTCATCCCTTAAGTCATGCTCCTTTACGATGTATAACTACAGTCGTGTTATGATATATATTATCATGACGTTTAGTCATCATGACATTTAGTCATCATGACATTTAGTCATCATGACATTTAGTCATCATGACATTTAGTCATCATGACATTTAGTCATCATGACGTTTAGTCATCATGACGTTTAGTCATCATGACGTTTAGTCATCATGACATTTAGTCATCATGACATTTAGTCATCATGACGTTTAGTCATCATGACGTTTAGTCATCATGACGTTTAGTCATCATGACGTTTAGTCATCATGACGTTTAGTCATCATGACATTTAGTCATCATGACATTTAGTCATCATGACATTTAGTCATCATGACATTTAGTCATCATGACATTTAGTCATCATGACGTTTAGTCATCATGACGTTTAGTCATCATGACGTTTAGTCATCATGACGTTTAGTTATCATGACATTTAGTCATCATGACATTTAGTCATCATGACATTTAGTCATCATGACATTTAGTCATCATGACATTTAGTCATCATGACGTTTAGTTATCATGACGTTTAGTCATCATGACGTTTAGTCATCATGACGTTTAGTCATCATGACGTTTAGTCATCATGACGTTTAGTCATCATGACATTTAGTCATCATGACATTTAGTTATCATGACATTTAGTCATCATGACATTTAGTTATCATGACATTTAGTCATCATGACATTTAGTCATCATGACATTTAGTTATCATGACATTTAGTCATCATGACATTTAGTCATCATGACATTTAGTTATCATGACATTTAGTTATCATGACATTTAGTTATCATGACATTTAGTTATCATGACATTTAGTTATCATGACATTTAGTCATCATGACATTTAGTTATCATGACATTTAGTCATCATGACATTTAGTCATCATGACATTTAGTTATCATGACATTTAATCATCATGACATTTAGTCATCATGACATTTAGTTATCATGACATTTAGTTATCATGACATTTAGTCATCATGACATTTAGTCATCATGACGTTTAGTCATCATGACATTTAGTCATCATGACGTTTAGTTATCATGACATTTAGTCATCATTTATTTCAATGATAAGTGATGCATCTAGCTGATAAGTCCTAACGTTTAGGATATGACATTTTAATTCATATGGGGGGAAAAGCACACTTATAAACATTTCTTTTGGGTCTATTTTCGATGAATGATTTGATCATTATAATTGTCTTTTATCATAATATTCTTTAAATCACATTATATTAATCACAATCTTCTACAAATCAAAAATTTTCTCATTTGATCATTTCATTGATCATATTTTTTTACAAATAATATTTTCTATTAGTCACATTCCATTAGCTGAACATGATTTTCTACATGTTAATTTTCTTTCATTCATATTTTATTAATGTTTTGTTGAAAAGTCGTGTTTTATTAGTCAAACTTTTGATCAATCATTGTTCAATCTTAATATTCTCTTGTGAGTCTAAATTATCAAAAATTTTTGAGGGTTTTTTCTGATTTCCAGTTTGAAAACTGCTTACATTACCAGTATCTCACATCATCAATTCGGGGAGATTGATTTGAAACAATACTGGAAGGTTGTGGTGGGTAATATAAGTATATCTAAGTTTTACAATTTCTAATTCGTCGTTGCTTTATTATTTATTGTGACAAAAACGCTGTTTTCTACTTCTATAGTATGGAATAAGATTACCAGCAACAAACGAAAGTAATGCGATATTTTATAATATACGTTTTCCTACGAGTGAGAAAATATTCTCGTATCTATTTTTTGAGAAAATATTCTCGTATCTATTTTGATAAATGTAATGAAAACAGGCTTAACAAGTTAGATAGCTTTAGTAGCTACTTCACTGGATAAACTTAGACAAACAGGTACTTCAATGGATAGAAAACATTGCAAACAAATATTTCATTTGCTAAAGACCATTGAAAACGGTTATTCACAGGATAGAGCATGATCAGCAGGTACTTCAGTGGATAGAAAACATTACAAACAGGTTCTTCACAAGCTAATGACCATAGAAAACAGGTACTTCACAGGACAAAGACCACGTTAAAATTGTGTACGTGGACACATCATAAAATAATGTAAGAGTAGAGAATAAAGACAATCATATATTTTTAGCTGTGAGTTAACTTAGAAAAACATGTCTCTGTGTGTTTTTAAATAAAATATATAAGTTTGAATTATGATTTCTTTAATACAAAATAATACAAGATATCCACAATGGTGCGTAAGACATATGCTACCTCAGGCTTCATCGAGATGTGAACAAAAATGTATATATCAATCATTCCTTGAAGACATAATGACAAGAATGCCAAGTCTGTGTGGATCTCCTTTATCCTTCACATGCGCCTCTCTTTATCCCTCTATGATCCTACATAACGCTTCTGTATCACGACAAACCAATTTGACAAAGGTCCATAAAGTGGACATAGCTAACAAACCACTTGTCCATAGCAAAAAACGTACTTCAACATCAGGTACACATATGGATATTTTTAAAAAACGTACTTCATCATCAGGTATACACATGGATATTTTTAAGCATGGTAGGTCATATCCCCAATTTGATTATATTTTGTTCACTTATGAAGGTTGGACCAAAGCAGAAGTAATCGTTTCATCTCAACAGAAAGCTCGACTAATCACGACCGTCAAGAAAACAGAAGAAATTAATCAGACTGCATCTAGTGTGTGGACAAATTCACTTCACCCTGTAAACACAAACTACGTTCATAGCTCGAACAACACAGAGGTTAGAAAGCCATTTATACCTGTGTTTAACCGACAAAAATGCAAGTCAAGAATAATTTCAAGGAAGGAAGCCTGCAACAAAGGCAACAATTGTTTAACCAAGGCAAAACCGATCGTGCCTTGTTTTACCAATACTAGTTCACATAAAGGGAAAGATATTTTTGCTATCAATGCCATCAGACCTACTGCAAAGATGGTGAACGATGAATCAAGAGATGCCAAAGAATTTGATCCTCTATATTCCAATGACCTTGATAGTATGAGACTTAATCCTCTGGTATCGTCCAATACAGTACATGAAAAGTCTGAAGACGTCTCCCTAACCCCGTTACGTAAAGTTAAAACTGCTAAAGTAGGTGTATTATTGTCTAATTTTTACAAAGATGTGATTAATGTATAATGCTGTTTGCGTGCTTCACCTAGGTAAAGAAGAAAAATATGAATGAAGATTTGGATGTGCGTAAGATCGTGGCTGAGAATAAGGTAAGGAGAATTGAAATAACAGCTATTCATATGTAAATATATTGTAGAAATGGTTTTTGAACCGAATTAATTTTAGTAATGAATGTTAACTTTTTTGTGAATCATAAATTTATATTAATTTGTAATCGTCCTCAATGTATTGTGCAATCTGTAATAGCTTGATTTACAATCAACAATAAATAAATAAATATGTTTTAGCAAATAGCTACTCAAGTTATGGCTAAAATTTTGTTTCTTTTTTTATGTAGTTATCCAAAGTAAATGTTCCTACATTAGTAAGATGGCTTAAATTGCAAGGAGTAAAATGTAAATGTAAAGAAAAAAAACAAGATTTGATCGCGAAAGTTTATCAACACTTGGATCTTGTGAGACCATGATGTAAGGTTAGTGGAATTTCAATGAAATACTTCATCTAACAACACCGCTGTCTGTGTATTAGTCTTTTCCGCATGCGCGTAGAATTTAAGTATTTAATGCTGCACTAATTGCTTATTTACATTCAAAAAGTCGTCGCATTCGCATGTTTTTAACGCTATTTTTAACACGTTTAATAAAAAAATGTGTGGGCTGTTGTTGAATGTATGATCACCTGCCGTTATGGTTGCCAACCAATGTGCAACCGTTGACACAAAACTTCTTTATGTATACCGTAAGGGAGGTACCTTGTTTGTTTGTTTCGGTTGTTTTCCTGCAGAGACACGATATTGGTAACTTTCAAATCCATGGGTTGTATTTTTTTGTTCTTCATTCTTTTGATATTTACTTCATTGGGTGGTGTATCTCTTACGTTCTATTTTAGGCATGGCGATGATATATGACGTTCCCAATCTTCATAATTCTTCATTTTCAATCACTTTAGTGGATGGTTTATACCCAGAGTCATAAAATGTGATGTTTCCAATCTTCATATTCCTTTATTTTGTATCACTTTAGTGGATGGTTTATACCCAGAGTCATAAAATGTGATGTTTCCAGTCTTCATATTCCTTCATTTTCAATCACTTTGGTGGATGGTTTATACCCAACCCAGAGTCATAAAATGTGATGTTTCCAGTCTTCATATTCCTTTATTTTGTATCACTTTAGTGGATGGTTTTATACTTAGACCACATCGAGGAGTATATTGAATTGGAAATCTTTTTATTCTTCTTTGCCATGGCCAACTCTTATCGTGTTTATTCCTTTGTATTTCAGCAGAACATTTTCCTGACATGTTTTCTGCATTGTTTCATCATTAAGTAATGCATATTTACATTTTATTAGCTTGCGAACAGCATTTGAACTTACTATTAAAACAATGATTATGTAAACTCCTATGTAGACAACACTCTACACATAGTCTCTTCTGCATTACAATATTTTTTCTTTGTTTTCGCAATCACTTCTCAAACAAATGTTAAACGCTTTCACAATAGAGATTATTTGAGTAGGAATTGATTTTGAGAGTACGACGGAAACCCTGTTATATACAAATAATGGCTGTTTGCATGAAACTCATAAGCTTGTGCTTTTGTTACGCAAATCGGTTTACATGGCATAGAAACTTCCTATTTTCATAATGCCTATGATGAAGATATATGCATTATGAAAATAGGCTTTTGTCGAATACACTTTTAATTTAAAGTTGCGTAAAAAACATAATTTTAGCGTAATTGAATTTGCTAATGCTTTTTCCTAGCGGTTTAGGATGATTTTTGCCGCCAATTTGTGCTGACTGGCCTTGCTCATTTAGCGTATATAGGCCTGTGTATATTATACCGACGTCGTCAATATAGATAATCGACCAATATTAGATCCGGTTCTTACTGCTTACATTTGAAAAGCTCAGCACTTTTCTAAGTAATTTTTGTTCTTATGCCTGCCTTCTCATTTGAACTTGAACTTTGTAATATTTACTATTCAAGCATGTACATAGATTGAACCAAGAGGAAGTTGACTTTATCATGATAACATATTCATATTCATATTGCGTTATTTATACACATACGTGTTGAGATCATCGCTAAAAATTATTTCATCTCAAAGATTGTTCGACGTATTACTTTGTTACTTGCTGTGAGAGATATATTGTGTACGTGTTACCTAAAGATATTCATCATGTGAATAAATGATTACGTCTTCATTTTTCATTGCACACGATATAAACGTTTGCGTTTGAGAATTTATAGCGAACGTAAGGTGGTCAAGCTATGTATTCATTCTTCATGATAAGAAACAGTAGATAAGACGTCTGGAATTTTCGTCTAGCTCTTGTTTAGTTTTGAATATACACTATAATATATTTAGTTTTGTTCCTGATTTAAAGGGTTGTGTTTTTAACAAGAGTAGAGAAAATCGTTGCATAGTTGACCTTACAATCAAATTGCTTTTATTTTCTTTCAAGAATGTTGCCTCCTCCTTCAATGCTTTTAACTAAATTACGAACTTTACATAACAATGGACGTGAAATATGTTTTGAATATACCGTTGATAACCGAAATCTAGATGCTTTACTATTATTGAACTGTTGTTTGTCTTCATGCTTAGCCATTGAATTTTATCAACTTCCATTCCCGTAGTTTTGTTTTCGTGATCTTTGGTTAAGAAATCCTGTAAGGTCCCTATAGGATTAATCTCGACACTGCATGGCCACATGGTCAAACAAAGAGCGGCTAAATACGGAAATAAATACTTAAGCTTGTCGCTTAATTGAAAAATTATCTTAATCCTAAAATAAGCCGCTGAATGGAAAGGATTTGCTGGCGAACCTTAATTTTGTTTTTGACCCATTTATTTATTTGCTTTATATATATATATACGTATATATATATAGTAACGACGTTGAAATCCTTATTAGCTCAAGGGTTTCGCGTCTTGGATCGATTTTAGATCATCCAGAAAGTTTTGATTTACTGTTTTGCTCTTGGAGTTTAGCACATAAAATGATCTAATTTCAAATATAATGTACTGATTGAAAAGCCAAGTTGAGAGTAGTTTGACCACGTTGCGACGACGTGTCATAACGGATATATTTTTATAGAAAACTAACATAAATCAAAGGTAGAGAGCATCACTTCATTTGATGTTTTAAAGACATTTTAAAAACTCTATTTACAAATCTATAGTAGACCGAAAGTCATTCATCAAATTGCACTTTAAAGCATTTAATGTAGTCTGCCACTATAATTTAACAATAGTTGTTAAGAACTAGACCTGTACGTAGAGCAGATATATCTTTACTTTGATTATGTGGCTGCCATACACGTTGTCCTGGCATTGAATCAGTAATTGATTTTGGATGGGAAATGGCAGGACTTGCTCTATCTGAGTTGTGTGGTGACGAAGCTACTGGTGGCGAGTTAACCATACTAACTCGACCATCTTCTACCGGTGAAGACACTATACGATTTCCCATGTGGCTCACCATGTTAGATGCCATGTAGGGATTTCCATTTTGTACAGTTAACCCATTTCCTTGGTAATACTGTGTCATTCCCCCAGAGTACATAGCTCTAGCAGGATTTATACTGCCATTATTGTTGCTGTTTGGATTGGAAACGTTAGACTGTGTGGGATACATAAACGGGTATGCAGGTGTTTGGTAGTCATGGTGGTAAGGATTGCTAGATATTTTAGTGTACATGGCAAGTGTTTCTGCTGTAGGATAGCTTGGTTGTAACGATGCAATAGCACCTTGCGGCATATTGCTTGGTAATGCAGCATTTTGATACTTATCGGGAATGTTCATTAATGCTGGTGATGTGTACGGATTGTACATGCCAATACCTGGCGAGACATCTTTCTTTAACGTCCTCGGCTTACGACGTTTTGGTTTATATTTATAATCGGGATGTTGCTGTATATGCAACGCTTGCAGTCTCTTTGCCTCAGCTATGAACGGCTCTTTTTCTTCCGAGGTTAATGTCTTCCATTCTTCTCCTAGTTTCTTACTGATGTCCGAATTGTGCATCTTAGGGTTTACCTGAGCAATCTGTTTTCTCTTGCCTCTTGACCACACCATAAATGCGTTCATTGGTCGTTTTATATGGCCTTCTTCTTGTTTTCCCATCTTGAAATTTTCTACTACGTGGCTGTGATGATGTTACAGCAGTTGGATGTAGCTCGCGAAGCTTCCTTGTTCCTTCTTTCTTGATGTGTAAATTACAACCCCCTGGAATTATGGCGACACTATGTCAGTTCTGCTTCGATGGATCACAGCTTCTTACGGCTATACTATTAATTTGATCTCCTAGAACGTTGACAAAAAGAAAATGAACTTTTTTGTCGTTATTTATCATCTTGAATGTTTGTGGCGGACCTGTCTTCTCTTATTCAAGTGCATTACATCGTTTAATCGACAGTGTTTTCCACATTTATATTCGTCTGCGACAATTAAAAGTTGAAAGAAAGGCCTTTATTCAAATGCTTTCGTATGCTTTGTTAGCCACGCTTTGAAGACGCAGATGACTTAGGGAAATTTTATATGGTTGTTTTTTCAATTTTTTTTTATTGGGGCTGAGTTTGTTGAAAGTTTTCGTGCACATCCTTAAGGGAATGCCATTTTTATCTTTTGTGTGTTACGAAGCATACTGCTTCCATAATTATGTAAAACATTATCTTATTCTTAACCTTAAGCATACAGGCCAAGCGCCATCTCTGCAAATGATTGAATCAAATTGTTTTACTGACAACTTCGTAAATCACTTTAACTGTTTTTATGTTGAGTGTGCTCACGGGTAATAGACGCATTTGCTATAACTTCGTGTATTATTTAGTGCTTCGTAGATAGGACTCCTCAAGTAAACATTCTATTCAGACAATAAGATTCTAAAGATTACAGAGTTGAGTATTACTTCTCATGTTTAACAAAATAGTTAAAAACGTATGTGATGTGGCTATGAACAGCACTCCCTCCCAAACTCCTGTATTCCTATTTGCTTTTTAAAGAATTAATGTCAGCACACATGTATTGATTGTATAAAGACATCAACTTAAAGAACCAAATATGCTTTATAAATTCTGTCCATCGTCGATGTTCTTCATGAAGATTTAAGATGGTTAGTATAAACACGGCTTAAGATAGAAATAAAAAGTGGACAATCCTTTCAAAGGTATCATCATTGAAGAAGATTACATTGCTACATTCTACTATACACATATACTTACGTTTTCTTTGGTATTCAAATGAACGCCTCAAGTTAGGATAACAATGTTCACGTCAAGTAGTTGTCAATGCAAATTGTTTCTGTTTGTCTTTTGTCTTCTTATGTATACTTCAAAAAAATCGTGGCTTTGATTCCCTTAGTGTTTTCAAAATCAGTTTATTCTTGTGTGCTGTTCTGGCTTGTTCTTCTTTTAATTACTGTGCAGCCTTTCGTCAATGTTTATGATTAAAGATTCTCTCTTAACGTCCTGGTCCTATCTACTTGTTCAAGAATTTCCAAATACAATTTTCTATTTCCTTGACACGACAAAGAACATGTCATGTCAAGATTTCGATGGTCTGTGCAAGATGTAGCGTGCCTCTTGGAGGTTCCGCGTTGATGATTCCTTAATAATTTCTCTTTGTTTGTCAGCGTTTGATGTGCAAGGAATCTCGCTGTTTTGATGGGAGCAATAGGTTGATATTGAAGCTAGATATGCTTGTGACCTGGACGTTTTGAAAAAACCTGCTGTGAAATAGTGTGAACCTTCTTCAGCTTGCTGGTGTTAAAACCTGTGATTATTGGAATCACTCGTGTCCCGTTGACGTATGCCGTAGCTAATGCCAATATTACATTTCCATAACAATAAAGCATGTAAACAATAGGCGTTAATTATTTTAGATGAATAATTTATGTTGCTCTCGACCAACGATCATCAGCGAAGGCGATTGTCGGCATGCGATCTTTAAGTCGTTTGATGTGTGTCTGAGTACCGCTCGTGGTCATTACTTAGACCGCTTAACGCACACGTGTTCCTTCAAGTGCTGTTTTCATTCATCGGACGAATATCGTCCAAGCAAACTCTTCGCTTTTCATTCAGCTGTGCTTCCTACGACTTATCCTTTCGATGAAAATATTAGATTGTTGTGAGTGTTGTTGTGATAATCGTCGTCACCCGTGGTGTTATAGATATTTGATGTTTAAATTATTTTTCGTTCCTGCTAATCCTTTTGTCTGCAGCTGTGATTACTGCCTTGCCTCCTTGTCTTGCCTTACCTACCACGTGCTCATAAGATAAAAACCTAAGAAGCCGAAAAAGCCTAATGTTTTTTTCCTCTTCTCTTTTTTTGAACGATATGAAGCGTGCCCCTTTTGCGATGTTCTTGCACCATCATTTATTTATTTTGTTATTCCTCTTTAGGAAAAAACCCATCACGAGTTCTTTCCAGCTATAATCCTCGGTTTCCTTTTTGAAATCATTAAATCGTCTTAATACCCGCTTGGTGTATATGCATTGCCCGTCAATTGCTTATTTCATTTACATCTATCATCTTTACCGAAAATTCCACATTGATATAAGCTCATCTTGACTACTGGCCACATAAATGAAACCGTTTCTATATCTGTTGTCAAAAATTTAAGAAATGTCACCCATTATAGTATGTGTATACAGCAGCTTTTTTCTCAGACATAGACTCCTTTTGAGTGACATTCAGTTATAGATCGTGTTCATATACTAAACACTGACATGAAGAATTAAGTGGGAGGTGTTGAAATTCAGTGGTTTTCAATGCAATCTTTTATGTATATTGTTTGCTTAAATCAAATAACATGAAACTATTGTTTCATTTCGTGAAGAATCGTCTCTAACAAATGGAACTAGTGTCATGATTACGAAACCTCGTTTCGTTATCGTTTCTTAATCAACCTCAATTGGACAATCAAGAATAAACGATTTTTTGATGAGTTTAACATGTAGTAAAACATTACTGTATGTGATGCATAATATCTTTGAGATAATCTAAACAGCCAAATAAATATAAACTTCTTACTTTGTTGAATTTCTCAATCATTGTCATGTTTTATTGTTGCCGTTATTTAGTGGGGAGGGGGAGGCTTGGAGGGACATCTAGTGCTTATTAAATATGCGCGACAATTATTTTCTTCTTTAATTTTGCGGTATCGTATCTAAAGTGAAAATTACATGCTGACAACTTTGGAAGCCTCTTAAAAGGCATGCAAATTTGATTGAATACTCTTCTAATTACTGTTAATGACACACTGCATAAATCTCCGAGTGGGATGAATTACAGACTAACAGACAAAATTTGTCTGATGCGTTTAAATTATGTCTGATGCGTTTGATAATGTGAGTATGAAATTCGTGATTCTGAGAAATCGGTTTCTATTTCATTCAAATAACATCCAGTAAAATCTAAGGAAATATATAAAAATGACTGTCAATGTTGAATTTTACATATTCTTTGATAATTTAATAAAGAAAAACGATCTATATTCCTCAATACAAAAACACCATATGCACCTGCGTAATTTTGTCGTTATGATACATTTACTAATAAATTGCAACTTTTCAATCGCACTTCGCTATTTCAACATTTAGTGAAAAAAGCTATAATTTGTGAAAATACAAATTACTTTCATATATAAATGTATACATAGTGAATTGTTTAAACTTTATAATGCCTGGATTACCAATCTTTAAACTTATAGTGAATTGTCTATTGTTTATTTCGATATTTTCAGCATACTATATATGTATTTTCTATCTATACATGTACGCATATATATCAATAACAAATACCAAAATTTACACAAAGTTAAAAAATGCCCATTATAGAGCGTAGACTGCGTAGTATATTTAAATCACAAGTACAAATCTAAATTGCATACGCAAGCCTTAAAAATATTTGATTCCTTCTTCCCTCATTCCCTCGAATCATTAAAATGTTTAAACTTGTAATTTAAGAAGAATCGTTCATCCTTTCTCCAGTTAAGTTGTGACAATACAAAATTTTTAACATTAAACAGTAAGAATTGTAAGAGTATATCTCTGTAAAAGTAGACGTTACGATTCATGCATTCTGTTAACAATCCAGTCGAGCAGTTCTTTGATGTTTTGTTCGCGTCTGAGACATTGTTCATGTATCTTGTCGTCTGTTTGTCTTTGAGGACTTCCTGTGATCATCAAAACAATGTTCATTTTTTTAAGCTGCGTTGTTACATCAAAAAGAAACGAAAATAAACCGTGGTTGTTATCTTTCATTATCTTTATGATGCAGTTGTAAATATCTGTTAAAGTTCTATTTACATATTCCATGGCTCTCTCGTTGAATGATAGAAGTGCAATTCTCTTAACAACACCTGGAAACGTGCTATGATGACCACATGAAGGTACTTTTGGTTCTGGAGTTTCCCCATTTGTTCTGGGCAATGTTGTATCCGAAGATCCTCTTGGCTTTTTCTTCAAAATTATAAAACACACATTTCTAAAAATTTTCTTCCTTTGTATGTCTGTAAAAGTTCTATTGACTGCATGAATGGGGTTGTCAAACAGCGCTCTTAATATTGATTGCTCATCATGAATAATTCAGCATTGTTAAATTAACACGAAAATAGTCGTATAAATCAACAATAAAATATTATGTGAACAAATATAAGATATTCATACCGTGCCTGTCAATTTAGAAAGAACCAATTTGATCAGTTGCTCGATCTGTTTTTCGTGTACACAGCATATATTGTATAAACTGGCAAAGTTTCCGTGCGAAGGGTTTACCAACAACATCAAAATCGTGTTCATATTTTCCATTTCATCCGCTATTTTGCGTATGGCGACAAGCTGGTTGGTTCCTATATTGATATCTATGCAGCCTATACAAGCGTCATAGATGGCAGTATGCGCCTTTATCATCGCTTGTAAAAACCCTTCATGAGTTGGAGCTGATGTGCCTGGATGCATGTCTAGAGATTGCCATTGGAGAGAATAAAAAATTTACTTAGAAACCTTTATTTTGGGTATTTCCCTAGCTCATGACGTAACTCTTTTACGTCATAAAGTAACTCGTAAGTCGACACAGGGAGGATACTACGCACTTAAAGCAAGAACTTATTGCAGATTTTATTCCGTGTATGCTGACGTAAATATTACGGCCTTAGATCTGCAGAATATTTATTTACCCGCAAATCTGTTGCTATTTTCAATGTGCGTTATATGTCTCATGTCTTCGAACACATTATTTAATTAGAATACGTTCAATTACCGACTGTGTTAGCACATATGTTCTGCTACTAAATTTACAGCAATATTTGATAAGACCCTTTTCATACACATGCACTGTTTGTACATTGCTGTGTTTTGTTTGTTTTTTTTGTTATTTTCTTAAGATGATAGTAGCTTGTGTCAGAGTTTTAGAATACTTTTGAATAAGGTTACCTGTTGAGCTATAAATATATTCGCATAAAATTCTTATTTGCTAAATTTTTATATTATAGTTGCATGTATATAATTATATTTCTGATGTTAAATTTTACAAAGTTATCTTTATTATTTAATGTATGTAATCTATAAATTGATACTCGTTCCTATATTCATCATATATAAATTTAATTATACAAAATATCTATGACGAAAAGTTTACATACCATTACTGTAAGCAAGAAACACTTTTCCGCTAAGAAAGATGATTGTGGGATGTTTTAACGATTATTTGTACATTTAGCTAGACAATCCTTTCTCAAACAATTTTCATTTATGGACAAATACACACAGTAAAATCCAAAGCATTACAGCACATAAAATGATCATGTTAATCACCTTAAAACTCCCACCTTAATTATCTCATGAATAAAAAAAGAATTTTTCTGACCTAGGAAAACAAACTTACGTTCTATCTCATCTGCTATATCGTTTTTTCCAATATTCCGTAAAGCCTCGATAAGTTTTTCCATTCCACAGTAATAACCTTCTTTACTGTACCATTTTTGAAGCATTTGATATGCTTTCTCATACAGACTTCGCCATTCGTTATCAATGTTGTTTATAACAGTATTTTTAACTTTTAACTCTCTAGCGAGTTTCATCCAATCATCTGAAATGTCTATAGCAATCTTGTTTATAATTTTCTCCATACATTCACGCTGAATATTACTTTCTCCGCCCTCTGCCATTTACGAAAGAGGAACTGATGTGCCGCACTCCAACAGTTTAAACAAGATTTTTTAAATAATCTGAAATCTTTTTTAGTGGTAAAACTTTACGTCGACACAAATTTTACTTCCGCTATTCTCAGTATTTCGTGACATGAATTCGTTTGTCTCTCAATTTTGTGTATGTTTTGCGGTATGGTTATTTGATAACAATGGTCATAACCTTTCAATTACAATTAACATATAACCTTTAGTTTTTTCGCCACTGTAGTGTTATGTCCTTTACCTGACCGATAATCTGTGCACGTAGATAATTGAGATAAACTTTGCAATTTTATGAGACTGTTAGGGCCGTCTGAGATCAGCTTTTACACGTCGTCTGAGATCAGCCTTTATACATTGCAGTTGAAAAGTTGATTTTATGTCAATGTCGTGAACCTTTCAGAGTTGTGATTATTTCAGATGCTTTGTCATTAGCGCCATTCTTCTCGTTATCGCTCTAAGGTCTGTTTTGATTTAAACAATTGCTAAATAGTTTGCCGGAAGACTACTGTTCATGTGTGTCCAAAATTCCGCATATTTCATTGCCCATGTGAAAGTCGAGATTTAAGCGGAAAATATTGAATATCGCTATAATTATTTAGTATATATTCTTCAAATTAATTATTTTTAAGCGTCATATGGTTCCCGAGGAAAGCGTTCAGTGAATATTTAAGCCTAACAAAATAAAAAATCTTCACAAGGGAACCCCCTTACAACGTCATTTTTATATTTCACTTATTGAATATTGTTTAAGGAGTTTATAAACTTGTGTCATACTATGGTGACTTGCTATGGTTGATGCTCCAGAAAATACAATACAGTATATTACTTGATTATCAATAATCAAATGGAATGTTTAGCTTAAACATTTTTCCATAACAGTTTATAACATTGTTGCTAGGTTTTTCATTATAATTGCAGGATTGTATATAAAACATTTGGAAATTATCCAAATAAGGAGAAATCTAGAAAAGAATTTTTATGCATGCTATTTACAATATTAATGAGCCATAACGATTGGCTTGTAATTCATCGATTTTTGTCGCTCACTTCAAGTCTTCAACCAGCGCCTTTTTCCAATAAACAGCGCGAAAAATGGCAAAATATAAGGTAAACATTGTTTATCAACGAACAACGCACGTTTTATAATGAATAATGCAAAATTTTGGTGTTAAAAAAGGAATGAATACAAATCATACAGCGTTTTATAAAGAAAAATGAAAAATTTTGGTGTTGAATAGAAATGAACAGAAATCATAGAATGTTTTATAAATAAGAGTGCAAGATTTTGGTGTTAAAAAGGATCGAACACAAATAGAAGATATTGAATTATGTACGATTTATTCAGCTTCTTGTAAAATAATTATATAGAAGTTGAATTTGTATAAATACATTCTATGAATACAAGTCAGATTTAAATAGTTCATTGTTTACAATATGTTACATATGTTGCTATATTAAAGTAAATACAGTGTCTATATATTTGTGTATATACATTCATAGTTATATAGCTATTCATTCGTCCTACATTTTAACTGGTAGTAAAATTAATCATCTCTATCTTTTGATGACAATTTTACAACGTGGAGGAACTTGGAGCTTCTTCATTTCCAGGCTGTAAAATAAAGATATTAAATGTATCTTGTGGCGTGCTTAGCAATAATATAAAATGATTATTTTTATTGAAAGTCTATTTAAAAATTTTTTTATATAACGTTCATTTACTGCTGTCATGCAACCAGTTGTGTTTTGGGCTAAATATTGAGTTTACCAACAACCGACAAAAAAGAATAATATAGAGGTACCAAGTTATGAAATTCCATCTACAATGGCTTTTTTGTATTCATTCAATACTCTGTCAAGCAATGTTTTAAAGAATTAACCTACCGTAGTCAATACATACCGTAAAAGACAAGCTTTCAATAATCAAATTAATCATCTCTTCGATACTTTGCTCTCTCTTGCATCGTTCCTCATACAATTCGTTCTCTTGTCCACGGTGAGGGTTAGCAGTCGACATTAATATTTTATTCATATCTCTGAGATGTTTCGTTACTTTGAACAAGAAAATGAGTAAATCATTTCCTGTGTTCGCAGTAATATTGCGTTTGCTGTCTTCGAATATACTTGCAAGAGTTCGGCCCAATTTTTCCATGGCCTTTTCATAACTGATTATGACAGGTTTACATCTTAAAGGAATATCGCATCTCGATCGCATGTTCAGGCTTCTTTCCTACAAAAAATTTATTGTTTTCTTAATTATTTCTCCTTAATATTATCTGTAAAATTCATGCAAGTCTTTTTCTATAAGTAAAATTTGTAGATTGATAAGAAGGTATATTTTTCTTCGACGTGACCATACGTACCTTTCCAAACAATGAATTAATGATAAGGTTTATCAACTGATCAATGTTGACTTCCCTTGTGCGGCATTCTTCATATGAATAGACGTAATTTGCTTGTCTAGGATTTACTGTTGACATCAATGTCTTGTTCATATCTTGTATGTTATGCAAGACTTTGAGTACGTAGACCAGGTGATCATGTTGTGTATCTTTCTTAATGCTGCCCATACAGTCCTTGTACGTATCATTTAGTGCTCTGCTCATCTCTTGTAATGCTGTTTCATAACTATCACCACCACCAATTGGTGGAAATACAGTTGATGGTGTAGTTGGGTGTACTGTAAAAATAAAACATAACTTTACAATAGCGAGAATATGAATTAGTCAAATATCACCAATATTTAGTTAAATATTTCAATTGTTAAAGGAATCTTTGATTGCGGAATTCCTAAAGGAAAATTATATTTTTCAGGACAGTTTCTTTCCGTGACAGTGCGCTTAAAACGAGAAAAGATTACATCGCGTTTTTCCAGATGATGTGCGTGGGAAGAATTTAAATTCTATCGTTTTTTACAGTTCCTTCTGTTCTGATTGTATGGTTTGTCTTCCTCCCAGCACGATAATCCCTTCGTGATGACTACGTATTAAATTATTACAGTATCGCGATAACGATAACACTTTCCTAACAGTAACAATTTTGTTTATGGAATAATGGAAATGCATGAAAAGTTTAATCCTTTATAAAACAATGTTCTTGTATAACAGCAAAGTTGTTGAATTTTAAAACATTACTTTTGATGAAATGATCATGGTTATCTCCCTTAACCCCCACTGCAATTATAAACAGGAAGAAAAAAATTCCGCTGAAATAAGAAAAAAAAACTAACTTTCTATCTTGACTGCCAAATCGTTTCTCCCAATCTCCCGTAAAGCTTCAATGAGTTTTTCCTTTCCTCCAGAATAACCCTGTTTTTTATGCCATCTTTGAAGCACTTGATATGCTTTCTCGTACAATTGTGGGTATTCACTATCAATATTTACTATGGCAGTTTCTTCGACGCCCAACATTCTTGCTAATTTCTTCCAATCATTTCCGATATATTCAGCAGTGTTGTTGAGAACTTCCATGCATACCTGGTCGTTTTTAACAACTCCACCCTCCGCCATTTACGAAAGAAGAAATGATGTACCAACGCAATGTCTTTGAAAACGTTCGAACTCGATTCAAATTTGCCTCTCCTATTTTCATACACTCTGTAACTCCATTAATGGAACGCTCCTGCTGGCATTTGGATTCTTAAATGTTAAAATAAAACCAAATATTTCACCAAGGGGCTCTGCCTTTATTCCTATGTTATTATAAATATGTTATATTATCCAGTTAATGTTATTCGATTTCGCAAAATTACTCGGAATACGTCATTACAGTTTAACAAATGCCGATGAGTAAGACCATTTATGGAATTTTAAAAAGGAAATTAAATTTCTTATTTCCGTGTTGTATTGATACAGTTCAAAAATACAGTAAGACTTGCAAGACTTTCGCTCTCATGTTGACAAAACCATTACACAATAATTTTATTAAAATAAGTAATATTTACAAACTTCATTTTATAGAAACTTTTGAACAGACGACAAAAACAATTTATGCGTTTCTCAGTATTTCGCTACAATAATTGCTTGAATCTCAATATTCTCTTATCAAGCAGCAGTATCATGTTACTGACGTTGCTGTAGTCACTTTATAATATTGAATGGACACATCCTTTAAATAACATTTAACATATAACCTTTAATTCTGTTATTTTTACAACTGTAGTCATATGAATCTTACCTTGATACTGGATGATCTGTAAACAAATATGTATTTGAAATTCTCTTAGATTTGCAATTGTATACGACTGACAACGTCTTCAGAGATCAGCCTTTATACATTGCAGTTAAAATGTTGATTTTATGTCAATGTCGTGAACTGTTCAGAGTTGTGATTATTTCAGATGCTTTGTCATTAGGGCCATTCTTCTCGTTATCGCTCTAAGGTCTGTTTTGATTTAAACAATTGCTAAATAGTTTGCCGGAAGGCTACTGTTCATGTGTGTCCAAATTTCCGCATATTTCATTGCCCATGTGAAAGTCGAGTTTTAAGCGGAAAATATTGAATATCGCTATAATTATTTAGTATATATTCTTCAAATTAATTATTTTTAAGCGTCATATGGTTCCCGAGGAAAGCGTTCAGTGAATATTTAAGCCTAACAAAATAAAAAATCTTCACAAGGGAACCCCCTTACAACGTCATTTTTATATTTCACTTATTGAATATTGTTTAAGGAGTTTATAAACTTGTGCCATACTATGGTGACTTGCTATGGTTGATGCTCCAGAAAATACAATACAGTATATTACTTGATCATCAATAATCAAATGGAATGTTTAGCTTAAACATTTTTTCATAACAGTTTATAACATTGTTGCTAGGATGTTCATTATAATTGCAGGATTGTATGTAAAACATTTGGAAATTATGCAAACAAGGAGAAATCTAGAAAAGGATTTTTATGCATGCTATTTACAATATTAATGAGCCATAACGATTGGGTTGTAACTCATCGATTTTTGTCGCTCACTTCAAGTCTTCAACCAGCGCCTTTTTCCAATAAACAGCGCGAAAAATGGCAAAATATAAGACAAACATTGTTTATCAAGAAACAACGCACGTTTTATAATGAAGAATGCAAGATTTTGGTGTTAAAAAGGAATGAATAGAAATCATACAGCGTTTTATAATGAAGAATGCAAGATTTTGGTGTTAAGTAGAAATGAATAGAAATCATAGAATGTTTTATAAAGAAGAGTGCAAGATTTTGGTGTTAAAAAGGATTGAACACAAATAGAAGATATTGAATTATGTAAGATTTATTCAGCTTCTTGTAAAATAATTATATAGAAGTTGAATTTGTATAAATACATTCTATGAATATAAGTCAGATTTAAATAGTTCATTGTTTACAATATGTTACATATGTTGCTATATTAAAGTAAATACAGTGTCTATATATTTGTGTATATACATTCATAGTTATATAGCTATTCATTCGTCCTACATTTTAACTGGTAGTAAAATTAATCATCTCTATATATTGATGACAATTTTACATCGTGGAGGAACTTGGAGCTTCTTCCTTTCTAGGCTGTAAAATAAAGATATGAAATGTATCTTGTGGCGTGCTAAGCAATAATATAAAATGATTATTTTTATTGAAAGTTTATTTTAAATTTTTTTTCTATATCACGTTCATTTACTGCTGTCATGCAACCAGTAGTGTTTTGGGCTAAATACTGACTTTACCAACAACCGACAAAAAAGAATAATATAGACGCACCAAGTTATAAAATTCCATCTACAATGGCTTTTTTTATTCATTCAATACTCTGTCAAGCAATGTTTTAAAGAATTAACCTACCGTAGTCAATACATACCGTGGAAGACAAGCTTTCAATAATCAAATTAATCATCTCTTCGATACTTTGCTCTCTCTTGCATCGTTCTTTATACAATTCGTTCTCTTGTCCACGGTGAGGGTTAGCCGTCAACATTAATATTGTATTCATGTCCCTGAGATGTTTTGTTACTCTGAATAAGAAAATGAGTAAATCGTTTCCTGTGTTCGCAGTAATATTGCGTTTGCTGTCTTCGAATATACTTGTAAGAGTTCTGTTCAATTTTTCCATGGCCTTTTCATATCTAAGCAAGAATCTCTTGTCTAGTGGAATTGTAAAACTTCGATCGCGATCGATGATTATAAGAGATGTACATCTTGAAACAACTTCGGATCTCGATCGTATGTTCAGACTTCTTTCCTACAAAAAATTTATTGTTTTCTTAATTATTTCTCCTTATATTTATCTTTCAAATTCATGCAAGTCTTTTTCTATAAGTAAATTTTATGGATTGATGAGAAGGTATATTTTTCTTCGAAGTGACCATACGTACCTTTCCAGACAATGAATCAATGATCAGGTTTATCAACTGATCAATGTTGTCTTCCCTTGTGCGGCATTCTTCATATGAATAGACGTAATTTGCTTGTCTAGGATTTACTATTAACATCAATGTCTTGTTCATATCTTGTATGTTGTGCAAGACTTTGAGTACGTAGACCAGGTGATCATGTTGTGTATCTTTCTTAATGCTGCCCACACAGTCCTTGTACGTATCATTTAGTGCTCTGCTCATCTCTTGTAATGCTGTTTCATATATATCACCACCACCAATCGGTGGAAATACAATTGATGGTGTACTTGGGTGTACTGTAAAAATAAAACATAACTTTACAATAGTGAGAATATGAATTAGTCAAATATCACAAATATTTAGTGAAATATTTCAATTGTTGAAGGAATCTTTGATTGCGGAATTCCTAAAGGAAAATTATATTTCTCAGGACAGTTTCTTTCCGTGACAGCGCGCTTAAAGCGAGAAAAGATTACATCGCGTTTTTCCAGCCGACGTGCGTGGGAAGAATTTAAATTCTATCGTTTTTTTGCACTTCCTTCTGTTCTCATTGTATGATTTTGTCTTCCTCCCAGCACGATAATCCCTTCGTGATGACTACTTATTAAATTATTACAATATTGCGATAACGATAACACTTTCCTAACAGTAACAATTTTGTTTATGGAATTATGGAAATGCATTAAAAAAGATTAATCCTTTGTAAAACAATGTTCTTGTATAAAAGCAAAGTTGTTGAATTTCAAAACATTACTTTGGATGAAAGGATCATGGTTATCTCCCTTCAACCCCCACTGTAATTATAAACAGGAAGAAAAAAATTCCGCTGAAATAAGGAAAAAAAACTAACTTTCTATATTGACTGCCAAATCGTTTCTCCCACTCTTCCGTAAAGCTTCAATGAGTTTTTCCTTTCCTCCGGAATAACCCTGTTTTTTATGCCATCTTAGAAGCACTTGATATGCTTTCTCGTACAATTGTGAATATTGACTATCAATATTTTCTATGTGAGTTTCTTCGACTTCCAAATTCCTTGCTAATATCTTCCAATCAACTCCGATATCTTCAGCAATCTTGTTGAGAACTTTTTCCATGCATACCTGGTCGTTTTTCACAACTCCACCCTCCGCCATTTACGAAAGAAGAAATGATGTACCAATGCAATGTCTTTGAAAACGTTCGAACTCAATTCAAATTTGCCTCTCCTATTTTCATACACTCCGTAACTCCATTAATGGAACGCTCCTGCTGGCATTTGGATTCTTAAATGTTAAAATAAAACCAAATATTTCACCCAGGTGCTCTGCCTTTATTCCTATGTTAATATAAGCATGTTATATTATCCAGTTAATGTTATTTGATTTCGTAAAATTACTCGAAATGCGTCATTACAGTTGAACAAATGCCGATGAGTAAGAACAATTATGGAATTTTAAAAAGGAAATTCAATTTTTTATTTCCGTGTTGTATTGATATTGTTCAAAAATACAGTAAGATTTGCAAGACTTTCGCTCTCATGTTGACAAAACCATCACACAATAATTTTATTAAAATAAGTAATATGTACAAACTTAATTTTATAGAAACTTTTGAACAGACGACAAAAACAATTTATGCGTATCTCAGTATTTCGCTACATTGATTGCTTGAATCTGAATATTCTCTTATCAAGCAGCAGTATCATGTTACTGACGTTGCTGTAGTCACTTTATAATATTGAATGGACACATCCTTTAAATAACATTTAACATATAACCCTTAATTCTGTTATTTTTACCACTGTAGTCATATGAATCTTACCTTGATACCGGATGATCTGTAAACAAATATGTATTTGAAATTCTCTTAGATTTGCAATTGTATACGACTGACAACGTCTTCAGAGATCAGCCTTTATACATTGCAGTTGAAAAGACTTTTCATTATTGTGAGATTCTGACTTTATATTTATATGACAGGTCACCCACGAAAGCCAAACATGTTGTAATGAATAATGCCTCTTACCTGGAATATTTGTTTAAGAAGAACATTCCAGCTCAAAAGAATCCCCTCATGATGTCATTATTTAATTGCCCAAATTTTTTGTTTAGTGTTCCATGTCGTTCTTTTTATTGGCCACCAATGACCGCTGACATTCATTCAACAGATAAATATAATCGTAAACCATGTATCGTATTTGGTTTTGTGACATGGAATACCAAAACTAATTTTCTTAAGATAATTTCCGTTCTATGTTTTCCCTATTTATTTTTATGTTTGTTAACAGCTGACACCCTCCCCTCCCTCCCTTAGGATAAACATCACAGTAATCTGAACCCACCATTGAACATTACGTGTTATTGAGCACGCACTACTTTCAATGATGTAATGCACATATCTTGCATAATAATCTTTTATGTGACTTCCTAAAACGTGCGCTATTTTCTGTGCGCATCCATAAAAAACGAAGCATAAAACGAATAAAACATCCATCTTCAACTGAATATTTTATTTTCTGAACGTTTTGTATGTTTCTGTTGTGATTTTGTTTTAAAAGCTTTGTGCTGATTAAATAATTAAATGTTTTAAAAATACCTTAAAAATAATATTTCCCTGAAATTACAACAATTTAAAAACGCTACATCCATTGTGTTTCTTCCTTTGTACAAAGTTCAAGCCTCAAGGAGTACTTGTTACGCAAAGACAGGATTAAAAGGTCCATGTTTATCTTGTGCTATCCATACTTGATCTTCAACATCCCCTGTTAAACTGTATACTTGGGTCCACGAGAGGTGAGTGACATTTGCAATATTGAGTCGAGCATACGAGTACGTTCCGGGGAACCACGATCGAAAAGCTGACCACCGACCTGGATAGATGGGATGAAAAATGGTCAAACAAATGAGTAGAATATTTTCTTTGTTTACAACTACAGCCTTGGCGAATCCAGCATTAGTTAAAATATATATTATTACTGCTCAATTATAAATTCAAAACCACTCCAAAACAATATTATTGGTTGTAAATTTCCAAAGAATAAAATTTAACCAATCACGAGTATTTTGAAACGTAAATATTTCAGCGGGAATAATTTATTTTGACGTACGATTGCTGATGGCGTCAGTGAGTGAACTATAGCGGAGTATGGTGAAGCAAGTTTGCTGTAACTAATGCTTTCTTACCTCGTGGTCCCAGCATCGGGTTAACACATATGCCATAAAATTCGTTACAACCCGCCATTCCTGATACAATATGAACTGGAGCTTTTGGATTATTGTAGTTTTTTTGGTATACTACATTTTTATACACAGGCCATGATCTCTCGTATGAATGCTCGTGCGCTTCTATAATCAAATCCACTCCATATTCCATAAACACTGGTTCTAGACTATTGAGAAAAGACAGATGATGCCGTTGGATTGCTCAAACATTAGTATCATTTGTGGAGTCATACTAATTATCTCCTACAGTCACTGCGCTATGTAGGAGTTTATTTTATTCATGATAAGCGTTTAATTCTTCCGAAACAGTTAGATTACTCGTTGTCCATGTTAGTTTTCCTATTTGAAGTATTCGCTGATTTTCCTCCGTCAAATAATATTGCATCTAAATCTCACTTACATACATATGTTTAAACACAATACATTTGTGTCTGTCATGTTTACCTTCCTCTTAAAATTGGATGCTTTCTGGTGCAATCATCTGTATCAATATTGGAACAATACATCGGTCTGTGACCAAACACAATAATCCATGGTCGTTTTTTTCTGTTCTCAATCTTGTTCGCTTCTTGGAGATCATTTATGAGCCATTTCATTTGTGTACTTACGTAGGACTGATTGTTGGTGAAATATGCCTCAGTCGAGTAGCTGTTGATTAAAAGTTAAGTAAGCAGAGATTCAATGAGGCTTTGCAATTGAATCATGTAAAAAATCATAGAATTTCAAAGTCACTAAAGTACTCCCACACCTGACAAAATGCGCTTTGCCTAAGTTGAAACTATACCACATCTCATCCAGAGGTGTTGGCCAGTTTGTGTTAGGCATAGAGAAACGATATCTATAATGACTGAAGTTGTGTGCAATCTCTGAAAGAAAAGAAGTGAATAGTCAATGAAAGCAAATCATACAGGCGATTGCAAACACGTTAGTTCAGTCATGATTTTTTTCTTTTATATAATTAAGGATGAATGAAACAACAAGAAATGAAGTTTTAGATGATCATACCATGATACCTCTTAAACGTCATGTAACGTAAAGTTTGAGATGATCTTACCATGATACCTCAGAAACGTCATGTAACGTAAAGTTTGAGATGATCTTACCACATTGAACTAAAATACATGGAACGCTACCTGCAGCAAATAATTGAAGCCAGATCTTACACCCAGACACGCGTGTGTAGTGTTTCAAAATTCTGAAAATTGATTGACTACACACACGTGTCTGGGTGTAAAATTTGGCTTCAAGAATTTATTAGGCTTTTCTATTACAGGTAGCGTTCCAGATGTATTTTAGTTCAATGTCTTACCATGATTCCCTGGACACGTCATGTAAGGTATAGTTGATGCTATGGGTACAACTCTTCTCATGAACTCATCTCCATTCTAATCAAGTAAAACGACCATTACTGTCCATGCCAGAATATTCTTTAATTTATTCATTTTTCTATCGTTCATGTGAATAATTACAAAAAATGACGTCATCATGTTACCTCTCCGCCATCTGTATCAAGATCGTAGGCAAAGTCGCCAACATGAAGAGCTGCGCTGTACGCCCCAGTTTTAGTTTCTTTTATCAAGCTTTTAAGACTGGGTGCACCTCCATGTCGACCCATATCACCAAATACCAGAAGTTTGACGGAAGATTCCTAATGACGTAAATGTAATTGCCATTCTCCAGTTACAGCATTTACATTATAAAAGACGATTATTTACTAAATGATACGCTGTATGTGAAATCATTTCAAGCGCACGTGCTCATTAAGAAGAGGAATTACCTCGCCATCTGTCATGGAAACAAACTGGTATTGTGGACTAGATTCACCTCCGCTGTGAACCTGGTAGTAATAGTTTGTACCTGGACTGAGATTCTGAAAAACAACGTTGAAATTTATTTAAAAAACTCTGAATGTACACACGCATCACCTTATTTAATTTGAGCTTGTATTCCTATTTTTCAATTAGAGCAGATCGTCCATGTTTAGAGCATGCAGTCATGACCTTGACTGCATTGATAAAGCACGCACTTAACAGCATGAAATCACGTGCCGTTCACGAGGTCCAATGTCAAATTACCGAAGAGTTGTGGCTTAGCTTGCACATGTGTTGAAGAATAGCCACATTTCTAAATGGATATCTCTAAATGTGTAGATTGTAGAAATGGTACTCTCGCGGCCATGCTGGTTTGATTTATTCAAGCTCAGACACCCTCGTGTCATAATTAAAAATTTTCAACGATCTTTGCTTAGCGAGGCGAGAGACAAATTGATAGTTAGTGTGTTTTGACTGTTCATGAGATCAAGATTTACGGTAGCATGAGAAATCTCAAGGTTTATTAAAGAGCAGTTCAACTTCAATAGAAGAAGATATCCTCGTGGTTTCATCTTCTCCTATTCTTCTTTTATTGTATGATTGTTTTTTTTTATTCAAAGACATATATATACATTGCGGTAAGGTTTGTTTGAGGCACTTGATGAGAAAAAAGGAAAAAGTCGAGATGAAATATATTATTAATTATTTATCAATAATATATTTCAATTCGCCACAATTTCTTACTTTCATTACGGCTCTGTGTATTAGGCCTAAACCACGCGGATTACCATCCTTTAATACAGCTTCGGTTGTTTTAACCAACATATCCAACGAACCAGCTTTACGACCATATGTTACGTATGAAGACGAAGAATACTTGGGAATATTTTCTGTGGACCACACGACAATCATTTCTTCAGCGTTCTTTCCATATGACAAATGAACTTGATCAGGTCCAGTCCTTTCAATTTTATTTTGTGGTTCTGTTGGTGCTGCGCTATATAAACCGATTGAATGTAATATAAAGCCAAGCAAGGCCCACATTTTGCCGTTGAATAGCATGATTAGACTACTTGCTTTTTGTCAGTGTGAGTGTCGTATATAAAAATGATTTTAATTATGTATCTAATTATATATTCATCGCGTGATGACACAGCATTTCTATTGGCTTTTATCGCCATAACTCATATCACATTTTTAACATGATCGTTTTACACGATCAGCTTTCAAAAAACTTCTTTCGACATGTAGGCACCTTGATATCTATTCGTCTGTCAGGGAGTGTGTGTTTTATATACATTATCTTTTCATCAATACATTATATAAGTGCTGTATAAAAACATACTTCGGAGAAATTTAAACAACGTATGTGTGGCCCTGTATATCAATTCAGTATTTTATTTTATCAGCGTTAGCACCAGTGGTTCGCACGCACTTATTTCCAGGTGTGATAGTAGATCTATCTGCCAGTGTCAGACAGTCCTTTATCGGTGTTTGCTCTATTTTTACCCCGTACTTTATTCTTAGTTATTTCAGAAAATTTACCAAAATAATTACTGATATTGTGTTTGATATTGTGTTTACTGAACTTATTGTTTGTCCTTTTACATATGTCAATGACGATGGTCACACAGCTCGCGCAGGCCTGGTCACTAATTACATGACAATATGGCGGCGGAAATAGCTCAATTCGAATGGCAGTCCTCTTGAAAAAAATGACAGCAATTGAAATTTAATGTTTTTATATTTCCACATCATCTCATCCTCGCTTCCAATGAATTCATGGCAACTAACTCTCATACAGAATACTTCATTCGTATTAGAAATGAAATACAACGTTTCAACAATTATGCGAGACAGAACGACTTTGCTGTGACTGTGAGTATTGATGTGTGTCAGAGATTCTTTGTGACGTTCATAGGTTACTGGTCGTGATGATTTTTATCAAAATTCTCCTAAGTGCTGTTTCACCCTTTTCATTTGAATAATGATAAAATTTCCCGACGAAAACTTTATAACAAAATTTTACTTATATAATACTTGCTTTCGTGCTGAATGTTATTTTGACATTCTTGTGTTTGATACTAAGAAATTATGAAACATAGCAATTTGTGAAAGTTCCGTGTTTCTTTTCCCTTAAGGATGATGATACTGTGGCACTGGTTGCAACATCTGATGTTGAATTTTCTGGTACTTCTGCTATAAGTTCACTCCCTCCTGAATGGTATGTGATCAATGTAGTATATTAGTTCATATTTGTATTCACTCCCTCCTGAAAGGTATGTTTGTCGTAGGATTTAGTTCATTGCAGTATTTTAGTTTATGTGTGTAATTTACGACTCTTGTTTTTTAGGGTTGATAATGTTGAGGAGATTCAATATGAAGTCACCAAGATCAAACAAAAAAGTAAAGTAATTTCTATAGTTGATGATTATTATTGTATCGAGAATGGCATTTAACCTTTTCAATCTTTTTATATAGTGAAGCAACTATCTACTATGCATGACAAACATTTAAACAGACCTTCTTTGGATGACTCAGCAGATGAAGAACAAACTATTGAAATAACCACCAAAGAAATAACACAGGTTTAGGAGGCATTTTTATCAAAGCTTTTGTACAATATGATAATTATTTTGTTTATATTAGATATACAATGTTAAAGTGCTCACTACTCCTCATTTGACTCTGAAGATGACTACCGCTAAGGTTGTCGAAATGTCAGTCAACAACAACAAAAACAGTCCTTCTCAGGACTATACTAACCTGGATGATCGACATTTACAAACATGTAACGATACTCCCGGGTTCAAACCATTTACGTTAAAGTGCTCCTTGCTGTCAATTTTTTTAATGAATTTGATGAAACGTAAACTTGGAATAATAATATTGAAGTGTTGTTTGAATTGGACACAAAATCTTGATGCTCAGCACTGTGAAACATTCCATAAATGGCATAAAATTGTAGCAATTTTGGCTTAAAATGAAGTCTTATCTGGAGTATGGTACCTAAAATGTGACGTTAACTTTATAGCAAAATTACTATCCTATCCATCTTTTATTTTTCTTCTTACACCAAGTTGGAAGGCAAGCCCAACAGGATCCATGGTGTATGGTTGCATTAGCACTAGGATATTGTGATAAAGTATTGCAACAATTTTCAGTAATTTACCTCAGAGCTGTATGAACTGTGTTTTGCAATGCTTAGACAAAAAAAAATTGACTTCATAAAATTCTTTCACAAATTTTATGCTACGTCTACATTTCATCAAATTCGTTGAAAAAAAAATATTTAGGCGAGATGCACTCTGAAGTCAGCAAAACGAGCTGCACAAATTGTTGATTTTCGTAGATGTTTCATCAAAGTCAGGCTGCCATTCACAAAATAATTGCAAAATCAAAGTCTGGTAATCCAGAAGAAAAACGACTTGTCAAAAACGTTGTCTCATCATTAGCAGCAAGTCTACAGGAACTCTCTGGGAATTTTAGAAAGAGTCAATCAACTTATTTAAAAAGTACGTTTGTTTATCCTATAATCAGGTTTTACTGTTGGTTTTAAAGACTATTCTTCTGGTTAAAATTCAGAGATGAAAAATCGTGAGGAAAGAGAAAGTCAATACTTCAACAGAAATATTGGATCTGTTGGTTCTTCACTTTTAGAAGATGACAACAGTGAACTGTATGATACAGTAAGTAATCGTTTATTGTAAGTAGGAGAAATTTTTACAACATCTTTACTAACTTCTTTGAAAACTTGTTGCAACCAGAAATTCCCAAAATATTGTGTATTTTTTTGCCTCCATTCACAATCATTAGGGTTTTTCCGCACAACAAGTGAAATTGGTAGACGACAACACGGCGCTCATTCAACAGCGCGAAAAAGAAATTCAGCATATTGTATCGTCGATAGCAGATCTAAATCAAATATTTCAGGACTTATCCTCTCTTATTGTGGAACAGGTTGCATGAATTTATGTATTTTTATGGAACGTATGACGAATGTGTCGTTTTTTGTGTCGTCTTTATCGTTTCGTTTGCTCTTTCAGGGAACTATATTGGACAGAATAGATTACAATGTTGAACAAGCGTCAGTTAAAGTAGAAGAGGGTCTTGAGCAGCTGAAAAAGGTGTGAACATCATAGCAAATACATATTAAGATCTACATTAGTTTTTTCTTCCGTATTCAGATGATTATTTCCTTGCGTTTAGGGGGAGAAATATCAGAAGAGCTCAAGAAAAATGCTTATTATTATTTTACTTGCGGTAATCATTGTTGTTTTATTAATCTCTCTTGTTGCCACAAAGAGTAAGTAGTTTTTTATTTATTCACTTCATTTCATGGCGATGATTGTTGCGTTCGAGTGATGACGTCATGTGTTACGTCATGTATTACGTCATCACTGGGAAATCGGCGATCGACGCGAGTGATATAGCAACTGCTAAATACATACAATGATTAATCAAACTTTTGACTTAAAGTGTATTACTAGAACTATTAATACCATCAACGTTTTCGGTTTATGCGGAAGCCAAGCTTTATTGACAACCGTTAGCGCAAAAGTTGCTGTCAAATATAACAGTTTTTTCATCTATCAAGATAACGTATTTCTGAGTTATGCTCTCAATATAAGCTGTTTTATATAACGTGGACAATGATCCTTCGTTAAGTCCTCTCTATTACTTTAATAATCCTATACCATTCAATGAATTCGTAAATACAAAAAAATGTGTGCTGTAAATAGGCTATACAATATACTTGTCTTGAAAATTCTCTGTAATAATGATACATGACTAGATACTGTCTAAGATTCGGCTATTGCAAACCTTCTTGAAGTTTTTAGTCAATATAATATCTCCAACTCCCCGCCATTTTAATGTTTTGGTACCTCGAAATTACTGGAATCAAACGTAAATTTCATTTTAATTGACCTTGGAGTTGAGTGATCATATGAGTTGTTGCCAATGCTCGTGTGCAGCTCGTGTATAACTTATGCTTTTCAATGTAAGCTGAAAAAATACTGTCAGTAAAATCGTGATTTACTGATGTTCTTCAGCAGAACACAAATCATCATTTCGCAAGTGACGCGACAACCATTTCAGCATGAATAATGAATGACAAAGTATGCGAAGAGAGCTGGTTTGCTTTAAAACGTGTTAACTATTTGTTAACACGTAATTAAACTTGACACCAATTCTTCGTGTTGCGTCATCAAAGGAAAGCTAAATACTTCCATACTCATATTTCTAATCTCTAAATCCTCATGTGTCTAATGACAATCTTTCCTGATCTTTTGCGTTTAATACGTTTTCGCTGTCTTATCATTTTAATTTTGATGTTATCTACCTTTTATTTTAGTTTATGAAAACTGTCGTTGTTTCAATTAGATTGCTAAGAATCTAAAGAAAATGTGCTTTTAGTTAAAATACAAATAAATTATTAACCAATAGGTTAAGAAAGGTGTGATTTAAACACCAAACAACCTACAGCTGCTGCACTATCTCGTTACGCGTGCTATTCATATGCAAATACATAAAATTTTTGAGAGACCGTATGTCCGTTGATAATCCTATTTTATAATTAATTCCACAAGAAATTTTAATTTTAAATATCAAAACCCAAGAGAGTAAAGAGCTCTGCAAAACAACGTTATGAAGCGAAACATTTGTCTTTACTTTGAAGATATCATCAGACAATTCAAATTAAGTTGTAAATTTTTTACAGTAAATTCAATGTATTTCTTCAACAATTTTCACGTGTTTTTCTGACGTAAGTAAACAGCGTTGAACGTGAAGGATAAATTGAATGAAGAGTAACAAATTGCAAGTAAACTATCCATTCCATGGATACAATGATTGTATTTAGTTATCAAATTTCACGGCTTTTGTTAATATATGGGTTACTTTATGTGTGTGAACTCGATCAAACATTACATTTCTACCCCTGACAAAAACAACTTTATCTGTTATTTTATAATTTTATTCAATTTTCCTGTATGAACACAGGCGACATTACAAACAGGTAATGGCATGTGTTAGCAATTATTCTTAACGTCTTATGATTGGCGCAGATAAAATGTAAGTATCACCCATGGGCTAATAATGCAAATAATTTATTAAATTTCAAAACACGTGTATAAACGTATAAATTTAAAAGACCGAACCCAGAGGGCTGTAATGTTCACGAACGTCTTGTGAACATATTGGAAATGGCAGACAAAGGCAAAGAAAGGAGAACAGATCGGCTTATGGCGACTGATGCTTCGCATACTGACGACTCTACAATCCAAATGAAAAGAGATGTTGGATTAATCGGAGGTGTTGCTGTTATAGTTGGAACGATGATAGGAAGTGGTATTTTTGCATCTCCAAAATATGTTTTAATGTTTAGCGGTTCAGTCGGTATGGCTTTGGTTGTTTGGGGCGTATGTGGTGTTTTAGCCATGTGTGGTGCATTGTCCTATGCAGAACTTGGTACCATGATACCTACATCAGGTGGTGAAAGTACTTATTTACTGGAAGCTTTTGGAGGCCTGCCTTCCTTCATGTATATATGGACTGCATGTATCGTTATTAAACCATCACAAATTGCAATTATTTGTCTTGTGTTTGGCGAGTACGTAATAACTCCTTTCTTTCCCGATTGCTCGGAAAAACCTGAAATTCAAGTTATCGTAAAGTTACTTGCTGCGTTCGCTATTGGTGAGTATTATTTACAACTTAAGCAAACAAATAAAAAATTTCATTGAATTCCTGCTGCGTATTCTACGTTTTCTTGGAACAATGCTTCAAAATTTCTTTACGTAGGATGTTCTAATAAGCGTTATTGGTTTAAATTTGGTGAATTTTTGCTACTTTGCAACATTTTGATTTATGTTAAAAAGACAATTGCTTAAATTGTCCAACAAAGTGCGAAGATCATATCTACATTTAATTTCAAACACCGCACTGCATAACACATTCTTTCATTTTGATTTATGCTCGATACTCGTGAGATCGGGTGTTTAATTTCATCTGTTTTGTAATATAAAACCGCTGCCGGTAATGGGAGAAATTAATTAAAATCACTTGTACTTCTATAAAAACAATTTCCGAAAAATATCACTCTTTGAGACAATGAACATATCTAAAGAGAAAATTACATTAGTTTCAACGCTTGATCACATGCACCGAAGATTGGCAAAATTTAATTTTCTTTGAATTTTTCCTCGTTATTTGATAAATGGAAAAAACCTAGCATTGCCACTTCAGCCAGTGACAGATTATCAATCACTCGTGCATCGTGAAGATCCTTTATTCTTCAAATAATTCTTCATTTGAATGATTGATTTTTCGATCTTTTCTTAGCAATAAAGTTGTCCCCAAATTCCATTTTTCTTCTTGTTTCTTTAGTGGTGAGCTTGTCACAGGAGAAAAAATGAAAGTTGAGCAAAATTTCAGAGTTAGCAATGCAACATTTGTTTACACTCAAAGTAAAATACATCCGGGCGTCACCTCGAAAAACATCACTTATAATAAAATGAAATGTTTCCTTCGGTGGCAACGAAAACTTTCAATTTTTCAAAATCCTACTTGTATATTCGTGCGCTTGGTGATTGTATTAAAATGATTCGGTCACGATCTGACATATATTCAATATAAATGTTTATTTTTTTTGTAGCCGTCATTACGATCGTGAATTGTGTGAGTGTAAAGTTAGCAACGAGAGTTATGGTGTTTTTTACTGCTGCCAAATTGTTAGCTTTAGTTATGATAATCATAACTGGTTTAGTACGACTTGCACAAGGTAAGCTCTATTTTACATCTTATGAACACTTTAATAAATGGAGGTAGGGGGGTTCACAAAATATGCAACTGTTTATATGAAGCTACGTGGGGTAATCACTGACACTTTAGTGGATTAAACAAGAAAACTTACATGCTCTCTATGGAGTTTTTTCTGAAGAATTTTCCTCTTTTATACCCCCCGTTTGGTCTTATGTTGTTGCAGGTTTTAATTATGAAGTAAGTACTAGTCGCTCGTTTGATGGTACCGTAATGTCGGCTGGAATGATTGGCGAAGCATTCTACAACGGTTTATGGGCCTACGATGGATGGTAAGTTTTTGTGATGTAGATTTATCAATCAACTCATGTTTTGTTTTCACAACGATAAGACATTTTTGGGGAAACTGACTATTTTCATATCTAGGAACAATCTCAATTATATTACAGAAGAAATAAAAAAACCAAACAGGTCAGTCCTGCTTGTCCAGTCGTTCATTTTATTATGATGGAAACCATTCGTTATCATTAACAGTTCTGCCTGTGCTTTTGCATTAGAAATCTACCGTTAGCCATTGCAATTGGCATTCCATTGGTGACTGGTATATATTTAATGACAAATATTTCATATTTTACTGTGTTGACCAAGGAAGAAGTGTTGGAATCTTCTGCGGTTGGAGTGGTAACGTTAATCTTTCATAATAAACGCTTTCTTACTTGTTACGTTATCTTTCTACATTATTGTGGTCAACGTTCTATAGGTGTTTGCTCGTAGGATGTTTGGTGTAATGTATTGGATTATTCCTGTTTTTGTTGCATGTTCAACATTTGGTGCTGCTAATGGTGGTGCTTTGGCAAGTGGTAGATTGTTATATGCTGCAGCTAAACATGGTCATTTACCTAAATTCCTTGCTATGATTCACAATACGCGTGGAGTACCTATTCCTGGCCTTATTTTACAGGTCATTTTTGTCATTTGAACATTTTTGTCATTTGCTCATTATAAAATACATCCATTAATAATCGCCTCGTGTATTTTAGAGTTTAATCTCGTGGGCCATGTTGATTCCGGAGTCAAGTAGTTTTCGTACATTAATTGGTTATTTCACATTTGCTGCATGGGTCTTTTATGGTGCAACAATAGCTGGTCTTCTTTACATGAAGTTCATCAGTCAGAAAGATAGAAGCAGGCCTTTCAAGGTATTCGTTTAAATGAAACGATGTTAGTAATTTACTATTAATGGTAAGATTGTCAAGAACGTGCTTTGGTTAGTGTAGCAAAATAGTGGTCATGAAATAGGGCGACAGGGGGGGGGGGCACACAAGTCGTGTTTGTAGACTTGTTAGGCAACACGACAAAATGGGGGACTTTAAATGTTCTTCAGTTGATATCGTTATTTTTGTTTTTAGGTTTTCGTGTTGTTTCCAATAATTGTATTGTTATCAGCTGTTTATCTTGTTGCTGCACCGTTTTCAAAGGATCCACTACCCGCTTTCTTTTGTTTATTGTTTATTTTGTTCGGTATACCGGTGTATTTCTTATTTATCCATAAAAACAGAAGTCCAGCTTTTCTCAATAACGGTCTAGGTAGGTAACAACATCTTTACTTAAGTTTCTCTCCTTGAATTGACAACGTTTGCTATCATGCCGGCTATTCCTGCTTTCCATTTCTTTAGAAAAGTTCACGTATTTTGTGCAAAAATTTGCTGATGTGTCGTATCCACTATCAGAAGACGATATTGCTGGTTAAACTGTTGCTATTTTCACCGATGGTAATCTTTTTTCGTTCAAACAACTAATTTTTATACTATTTGTTTATTTTTGTTCACCATTCTTTTCCTTTGAATGACCGTAATTTCTCACCAAATCTAAAGTTCCTTCTCACCAAATTGCCAAAATAATGTTTTTCCAAATGCATTTCTGGTTTCTCTTCATTATTCATCTAAAACGGGCTGTCTAGAAATAAGAATAATTTGGGTTATTGTGTACTTTTTGTGAACCATATTGACGTGAAAATGATTAAAAGCTTCATTTATTGTAATGTTCTTTTAAAAGAATCGCCTTTTTGTGAACCATATTGACGTGAAAATGATTAAAAGCTTAATTTATTGTAATGTTCTTTCAAAAGAATCGCCTTTTTGTGAAGCATATTGACGTGAAAATGATTAAAAGCTTAATTTATTGTAATGTTCTTTCAAAAGAATCGCCATTATGATTCTTTATACGTGCTTATCAATCGGCAAAATTTTTTTTGCTCATGTCTTGAGATCTTCTCGTGATATTTCACGAGGCAAGTTGTTGGTTGACCTGACATTGGGAGGACTTACAAAGTTCAATTAAAACACAGAGCGGTTCTATTTGACTTTACTTTGATCAAAGTTTACCGAAAGCGGAAAAGTCTGGAGAAATTTAGAAATAAAAAAAACAAAGTCGGTGTAATTGCCTTGAGTTTAATAGTATTAAAGTTTAATTGACACGTTGTTGAACTTTGGAATAAATTCACCGAGCTCCAAGCTCTTTGGCTGATGTAATATTGCAGACGATTTTTTTATTTACATGCTTTTACCACGTGCGTTGAAGCGGAGCTCAGAACTGACACGAAACACTTTGTTTTTGCCCCTTTAATTTTGTCTTCGATTAGATCTCACAAATATGTGTGTTTAGAACGTTAAAACTAACGCGATTCTATTGCAAAATTTGTCAATTTTCATAAAAAAGTATTACGGGTAAACAAGGCACATGAACACGTTCTATAATTTCTTACGCGGCTTGTGATTGGTTGAGACAACAGAACAAGTTCATGTGAATCAAGCGCTTCGTACATAGATTGAGCAACACGTGTACTTTAGTACTACAGGTCTTTTTGCTCTACTACACTGTGTCGTGCTGTTTGATCAAAAGAGAAGTTAACTAATACAGGAAGTTGAAGAAAATGTCTGCATTAATTCAAAGCGAAGAAAGGCCTCCAAGCTCGCCGGAGAAATCCAAAGATGAGTTGTTAGTAAATGGTCATAGTCAACAGGAAGGTGGCGTTACTTTACGACGTGATGTTGGTTTAGTTGGAGGAATAGCTATCATTGTTGGTACTATGATAGGTAGTGGTATCTTTGCTTCACCAAAAGGGGTATTAGCGGCATCGGGATCTTCAGGGATGGCGCTTATTGTTTGGGCGATTTGTGGTGTACTGGCTGTTTGTGGGGCGATGTCTTACGCCGAGTTGGGAACAATGATCCCAACTTCTGGAGGCGAATACACATACATTCGCGAGGCATTCGGTGCTCTTCCTTCTTTTTTGTACGCCTGGACAGCTTGTCTTGTTATAAAACCCTCACAACTTGCCATAATTTGTCTAATATTTGGCGAATATATTGTAACCCCATTTTTTCCCGAATGTACTGATCGCTCTGACATTCAACACATTATAAAGCTTCTTGCTGCGTTGGCAATAGGTGAGTGAATCGACAAACACATTTGTTCTTAACTTCTGACTAAACCCTACACATTTAGGGAGAAGAATTTAGTTTTGCGCAATATGATTGTAATATTACTAAGTCACATTATTTATTCAACGTAGTTTAGGCGCGTGGTGAGTCATGTGTTTTTCATTTTACTTTATACATTATATTTCGCAAGAATAAGTTATGTGGAGAAAGTAGTTACTGCGAATGGAAACATTTAATTTTATGTTGGTGAAACTTAATATTTTCTCTTGTATGGTTAGGTAATCAAAAAATATAGCCAAATTATTTATTACTAACGTGGCGTTGATTCATTCCTCCATGATAAAAATGATATCGTAAACAAAGAATTAATTTTATTCATATTGAAAATTCCACCTGGCTTTATTACTACTAGTTCTACTCAGTAATCATTAAAATGATAACAGTGTACTTTCGTTTAAACTTCTTGTCTTCTGCTAAAGATTTATTACAGTATCTTGCAAATTTAATTGATCAATATTTTACAATGTTATGAATGACTTGAAAGTTTTCCTATTTACAGCAATAAATAACTCTTTACTTGTTAGGCTTAACATTCTCATAACAATGACTCTATTATATGTACATTGTTTTATGGTCTGACAAGTAAATTGTCTCTTAACTTTGTTATTGTATTGTTTGTTTTTTTAAGTTTTCTGTTGCACATTGATCAAAGCAAACACCTTGTATCCTTGTACAATGAACTGTACCACTTAAAACGTTTCCTCTTTTTAATTGAGACTGTTTTTAGCACAAAACTGAGTTGGCTATATTGTAAAAATCTAGTTAAAGCTAGCATGTGATTTTATCATTTAATGAAATAAAACAGCTATGAAATGTGATATTCCATCATCAGTATCCCATCATGTCTTGACATGTCCGAGTAATTTCATAATTAGAAAACTCAAAACCTTAATTTAAGTCTTACAGTATTTAATGTGGTTATTTTTATTCACTCAGTTCTAAGTAGCTTGAATTATAAAGAGATTACATAAAATATCTGTAATAGTTGATGCTCATTTGCTATTTAGACTTGTAAAATATACTCTGTAACCCAAAATCTATACCACCATGTAATTCATATATTTTAACACATTAATTATTTTTTAGCCATTATCACTTTGGTGAATTGCTTCAGTGTAAAACTGGCAGCTCGAGTGCAAGTTTTCTTTATGGCGGCCAAACTTCTTGCTTTGGGTATAATTATTTTGACAGGTTTTGTCAGACTTGGTCAAGGTAAATGCCATTACCATATCTTTCTCTTTTGGTTTTTTAATGCACAGTGTAATTTCATCCAAAATCTATTATTCAGGCTACAACACCGAACTAAATGCTGCCAACTCATTTGAGGGCACTGCAACTGTCAGTGAAATTGGATCAATTGGTATAGCATTTTACAATGGTCTTTGGGCTTACGATGGATGGAATAATCTCAATTACATTTCAGAGGAAGTGCACAATCCAAACAAGTATGGGTCTTATGTTTAAATTCATTGATTTGCCTTGTTAATCTTATTTTACATGTTTGTAAATGTAGATCGTCCAGGTTGATATAGTCCTGAGAAGGACTGTTTTTGTTGTTGACTGACATTTTCCACAACCTCAGTCAACAACAACAAAAACAGTCCTTCTCAGGACTATACCAACCTGGACGATCTACATTTACAAACATGTAACGATACTCCCAGGTTCAAACCATTTTCTTTATTATAATCTTATTTTGTTATTATTATCTTTAGAAACATTCCTAGAGCTATCATGATTGGTATTCCTCTTGTAACCGTTGTTTATTTGTTAACAAACATTGCATATTTAACTGTTTTGTCGAAAAATGAGATCATTAAGGGGGGAGCTGTAGCAGTGGTAAGGAAGACATACTTTCAATCCTTGATATGCGACATATTTTTTTCAAATAGCAGTCTTCCATTTAGTTATTTGCTGATAAGATGTTTGGTGTGATGGCATGGATAATACCTATGTTTGTTGCTTGTTCAACATTTGGTGCAGCTAATGGTTCTGCTTTATCTAGTGGCCGGTATGTGTACTATTAATATGATGTAATCATTTTGTTTTAACTTTTTTGTGTAACTTATTTTAACAATCCATTTAGTATCTTTTATGCTGCATCGAAAAATGGAGAACTTCCAAAATTTATGGCAATGATTCATAACACTCGATTAACTCCGATTCCTGCTCTTCTTGCTCAAGTAAAATTAAACAACTTCTTATTGTTTTGGAAGCTTAAAACCACCATGATATGGTGTTTCTAAAACATTGTAAACTTGTGTTTGATTCTAATTTATTTAGAGTTTCATCGCATGGGTGATGTTGATTCCTGAGTCAAGTAGTTTCAGTGTTTTGATTGACTACTTTACATTTGCATCCTGGGTGTTTTATGGTGCCACCATTTCTGGTCTTTTGACAATGAGATTTACCAAAGCTGATGTTTACAGACCTTTTAAAGTATATTTGCATTTTGGATTGAAAAGTACTTTTGTGCTTCATTTTAGTACAAAACATATTCTTTTTGTAGGTGTTCATATTTTTCCCGATAGTCATCGTACTTGCTGCCATATACTTGATTGCCGCACCATTTTCTCAAAACCCGTTACAATCGTTCTTTTGTCTTCTTTTCATTGCTGCTGGTATTCCCATCTTTTTCATCTTTATATATTACCAGCTTTGTCCAAAATGGATTAATCATTGTCTTGGTAAGAGTCTCTTATAATCGATTTAAGCATTTCGTGTCTCTTGTATAACTTTTCACTGTTTTGTTTTTGTTCAGATCGTTTCACATTTTGGGTTCAGAAATTTGGCGACATCTCTTACCCAGAATCAGCAAATGAAATTGTTGGTTAAGACATCATTTTGCTTTTTCTTCTTCATCAAATGTATATAGAGTATGGAAGAGTTTTAACTGCATTTTAGGATATGGATGCATGGAATATGCTGCACATTTGTTATTCATAACAAGTGTGGATTTTTCGTCATATATGAAAGTTATTTTAAGTTTAATTTCAACATGCGATGTAACTATTTGTGCGAATGAGTATAGTGTAGTTCTTATTCTATTGACTTTATTTATGGGTAATATTTGACAATTAAATTACACTTTTAATTCCTTCCGTATTTTGAACTGTTTTAGCTTTTACTCCAACTTAGTCATATTTTCCACATGTGTTATTTGAAGTATGAAACTCACTTTGGCAAAAGTTATGAAATCTTAGCTTAAAGCTGGAGAAAATAACATTGTTGCAGGAACAAAAAGCAAATTCTTGTGGGGTATTTGAAAGAATCGCGAATAACCTCTTATAGTATCTCAGGTAAGACACATTCAACATGTTTTTAGTCATGGTTGAAATATATAGGACCCAACCCCCTGGTTTTTATCCCAGACATTTAAACTTGGGTCGATAAATGAACTATTTCATTAGAAGAACTAACTAAATTGTAGATACTTAACTCTTCTTCCCCCTGAAATATTGAAAAATTTGAGGTCTGTTCCTGGCCAAATCTACCCCAGTAATCAGGGGGGGAGCTCTACTGTGGGCTGAGTGGAGCGGCCTATACTTCATTAGAGTAAAACATAAGAGTCGAGAAAAAATATGTGGAAACTTTTGTAGTATTTGATGATATTTGTATTTTTTTGAGTGATGGATTCAATAAAATGGTTCTTCAATACGAAAAAACGTTTGCCGGTACGTTATAGTCAGATGTAATGATGTAAAAGTAGGCTATTTTTATGCTTGCAGTTTGCCAGTACACAATGGCACTTCATTGTATCGATGGATAAGCTATTTCATTTTATGTTGGTGAAAGGAAATATTCAGACAAGTTGATTAAGTACAATTTTGTTGTATTATGTAGGAATGTGGTATAAAATTTTCCTGTATAATCTAGCAACTTCGGTATTAATCCATTGTATTGTCGCCTTGCTGTCGTTTTGCAGTCTTCGTCGACATAAATACGGAAGATTATTTTCGATAGTCATTTTTATTGTTGGCTTCTTATATCCTGTATCTGGTGGCGTTATTACTAGTAAGTCACGCATTAATTTTGAATGTTATACGGACATAGCTTTTCAGTTGCTGTAACAGTCCACAGGCTCAAGATGAAAAAGTATAACATAGACAGAACATATAATATGATTTATATAAGGCATTGAAATAGTACATTTGAATGGATATCATCAAATCTGTTTGGAAAGGGTGTTAAAAATGATATTTATGACTGAGGTACAATCATGTAAACCTTACTGGAAAAATAATTTCTCCCAAGATAAAAATTACATGTTATACAGGTGCTGTTAAATGTAAAATGTTATTGGTTCATGTCACATGATGTAAAATCAAAGTGAAAAATTGTTGCTCACTCATTTCAATATCAGAACAAATAAAATAGTTATGGAGCCAAAAACTAAAGAAAATATTTTTCGAGCTTGTGAAGTGACAACTATTAATAGAAAAAAGGAATCAGAAAACATTCAGTGTTTGACCAAAAATCTTGTGGTCACCCTTATAGAATTTTGCAATGAATGAATCTTGAATGAAACAAAATGCTTTAATATACACTCCTTTGTGAAATTGTGAGTTTTGTTTTCCCTCAAGTCCCATGCAAACATTGAGAGTCTTGTAAAACAAAATTCACTATTTCCCTTGAGAGTGTACATTAGTGTTCATTGCTTATTTGTTCTTGTTATGTGTCACTTAGAAAAGGACTGGGACTAGCTATTTAGTAGAAATCAATTAATAAATTGTGAAGTCAACACATTTTGTATTACATATTGAAAACATATGAACAAAAAATTTAAAATCCATATGTTTTATACTATAGAATAAACTTTTAGCTATAGTGTTTGTTGTGTTTGTTTTTTTTTATTTAAAGAGTTGTTGTATTTCTATTTCTACATCTTTTAGGTGCATTAATTTCATTGGTATATGACAAAGCTCAACTTGGTATGACCAATGTCATTGCTTTGTTTTGGGGTGCTGGCCAAGCTTTAATATTATTTTTTATCTCATGGATAAGAATCATGGCTACTTTATAACCCTGATTTCAGCAAAGGTATGCTTACATCTGTCTACATATGATCAATCTATTATTGTGTGTAGCCTGTGGAAGGTATACTTAGCTTTAATTCGACCCCAAAGATTTATCTGCACATAACTTATTTTTGCATTGTTCTTTGCAAACTGTAAAAAGCAATTTATGGTATTTAACTCAGTCATTGTTAGGATCATTAACGTTGAAAGCATTTGTCAAACACAAAGTTTTACAACTATTGAACAAAGTAGAATTGTTGATACGGGAACTATTGCTAATCATTAGCATATTAAGTGAAAATGGTCAATGGGCGGTAGTCCTCAGACTGTTAAGTGAACAAGGATAGTTCAGCAACACTCCCTGGAAAGTGGGGTGAAAAGGTGAACTCTTTAGGCTTTCAATATTGAAGATGTACAGACCGCCCCCTTAAAAATATTGACTGGGCAACCCATGCTGCTATTTGTTGACTTTGATAAACTATAAACTTTTCACCGTGAAATTTTTATTTAATTTATCCAAAATGAAATTGATGATGAGGAAAATATAAAGGAATTATTTTTTTTGTTCGTTTATACATGTTTATTTTTCGCATGAAGTTACGGTGCAAATCTTTTTAATTATTAATTTAACAATAAGAAGGACTTGAGATGTTGCCCACGTCAGTTAATCGTTATTCTAGGATGGGCAATACGGAAGATTTATTGAAAAATTCGCTCCTGAATCTTCCGTATTGCTTTCCCATTTATAAAAACACATCTACAATTACTGAGGAATTTTTATTAAAGTATTTTTCTTTTTTAAAAAAAAATATTCGAAAATACGTGAAAACATTAAGTATGTCGTAAAACAGTCTTTGAATGACGACTGACTTTAAAAAATACATTTTCTATTATCTGCTTAACGCCTTACACTGTCGGGACGCATATTAATCCTTTTTTTTTATATAAAATACGACGGAATTATGACAAATAATATGAATTAAACTCGCCTTACTCCAACCAATCATATCCAATATATTTCTGTAAGAATGACTCATGTTTCAACACATCTAGTTATTTACCTGTTCACCACCTGACATTGGTAGCATCAAAGATTTTAATGCCTCTAGCCTAGTATATGAATGCATCGCTGTCTTTTGAACAAATTGGTCATTTCGTCTTAATGAAACCTTTCATAGTTAATTTGTTGCTCGTATTAAATGGAAGAAAATGTTTGTTTTCTGAACCGTCTGTTTGTAAATTTGAAGTATATAGTTCTTTGAATTCATATCTCATGTAAGTTTTTCAACTTGAGTATATTTTTTCTTTGACGTCATCCAGCTTTTCTATCATCTGCTTACAGCTTTCGTTACATTCTACATCAAAGATTTCCAACTAATTTTTGTGGGTTCTTTTTCGTTATGACTCCGTTTGAGAAAAATGGGACGTTTCTATAAATTCTATGTTTTACAGGGTTTTTTTCAGCGTACAAATCACAACATGTACGCTTTAGATTTCAAACATTGCATAATAAAACGTTTTCTTTCCCTAATGCCAAACTATTCCTTGTCTAAAAAGAAATCGTTTGGCAGTTTTCGCGTGACTCTTTTTCTTTTAACAAGGGCTCTATTAAAGAGTATGACGCGAAAACCAACCAGATATTGAAATATCGACAAAGCTCTTCCGTGCAGTCACTTAAAAATTCGCCACACAAATTATGATATATATCTACAAAAAATTTACAATTCCATGTGTCCAGTTCATTTCTTGCAAGGAAATTAAATTAATCGAGTTTCAGCAGTATATTATGCTTTAAAGCCAATGTGCTTTGAAAATAAACATTCGTTGGATTGCATGTGATAAATGTGGTTATTAACTTATAATTTTGGTCTAAAGCGTGGGCTGCTTATTATCGGAACAGGATAAGACCTTACTACGTCATTAAGTACAATTTTATCCTTTGCCTTTAATGTATTCATTCAGAAGAAGACAAAGCTTGACGATCGCGTCAGCCAGCATAACTATCACAAACTCAATGGTCTAATATTTTTTGTGTTTATTTAAACGAAGACAAAGCTTGTCCTTAAAACATTCATTGCATTCAAGGCGGGTTGAGGGCGGAGATATCACAAGTATAAAGTTCAAATAAGAGCTACTTTGAGCGACACATGCTTTAGTCCAACGTATATGGTCAGGTAATATAATATGACTGTGACATTAACCAAACGATGACTGTTGTTGCTTTGCTTAAAAGTGTTTAAAATATATTCTTTTTAAGGTGTGTTTTGGACCAACGGAACGGTTTCTTGTTAGCATTTATACGAAGCTTTATCGCCTTGCCTATCTGGGTTGAATCGTGTATCTTTGTGGAGGATTATTATCAAATGTAACATTAACTGCAAGTTATTGCCTGTTGCTGTTGGTCAACAAATATATTGAGTGGGAATTACTTTTGGTTAAACAGCAATCAAAAGCCGCAGGAAAGGTTCTTATTCAGAATGAGTTCGGTAAGTTTATTAATATAGTTTTAGATTTTGTACGAACACAGTAGTCATCATACCCAACCTTTCCGTTTTGCCTTTATAAATAAATATTTAGGAAATATATATATGCGTCGCATACATCTGTATTTCGGAAGTAAACGATGTGCCATTTTTTGCTATTATATTTATTTAATTCTTGCGTTCATTAATGAATAGAAATATCTTTTATTAACCGGTCGAGTTTTTTTATTAAAATGAACCTCGATACATCCTATATATTGACTATAACATTTATTTAATATTTCATGACGACTATTGAACAAAAACTTATGAAAGTTTCTTTTAGATTAAGTCTCATTTCGTCTTTATTCAAAGAAGCGGTTTCTGTTTGTATAAGGAATATCATTATAGGTGATAACTACTGCATTTTGGGGATTATATTATCATTGTTGATATTAGAAGTAGCTAAATATGTTCTGATAATTTCTGCTTCGGCGTTGATGAAATGTTTTTCATATTAAACGTTAATCATCATTTTTCCAACTAAAGCTCCTGTTGAAAATGCTTATTATATTTTTAGTTATTTCATCAAAATGTTTGTATTTAAGCTAGGGCTTTGTTTGTAAAGGTAGCAACGAAGGACTGTCCCCGTCTTGTCAAGACATGCATAATTCAATAGTTTATGTTTAACTACCGTAAGTCGTTTTCATACAGCATGTTTTATAAAACAAATAGTAAAATGTCTAAAGTGAGGTGTTTTGCTGTTGTGTTATCAAACCAGTTAAAATAAACTTACATTTTTAATTTTTTATTTGAACATTATCAGTTCACATGTTGTATTTCAGAGACAAATTTCGACCTTCTTTGCGGATGCAACGGAATTTCAAAAATCTTATAAGCAAACCGTTCATTGAATTAAGCTACCTGTGTCTATTAGTTGTTGTCATCATTGTTAAAATTTAATGCTAACAATGGTAAATTGTACGTAATTGTTGGTTGTAACAACGTAATCCTTCTTAAAACTTTGATGAAGTCAATCTTTTAATAATATCAATCAGAAAACGAATATATGACTGATGTATGATGCTTTCTGCGCATCGTGTCCTTAATGTGTGATTTTGATAAAAAGAACTTTATTATCATGTGCTTAAGATTTAAATTACACTTGGTCATGTTGCCATTAACGACTAAGGATTCATGCTAGGTAAATATAAAGATGTAACTGCCAAGGTGATAAATGGTTTGGCAAGAAGATTTTAACAAGGACTTCTTATGTATACATTAATCTTTTTACCGCTTCTTTATTGAGGAGTTAACAGAAGCCTGGTAGACAGTGTCATTAGGAGTAGGGTGTACCAGCATAAGCATGAATACCAAAGTTATGAAGCAATCGGATGTCCAGTCACTTCTTTTAGTCATTTCCTACCTATGTGGGCTGTCTTATATTGATGTTGCGCCCATTGTGTTAACGATTGTGCGAAAAATTTACATGTTTGTTTCTTCTGCGCCCACGTTCATTATCGTCATGATTGTTATAAAATTGTTTGCTCAAACTAGAGGAAATCTCCAACATGTGGACTTCATTTCACTAAAATATCGTCTCCACTGAACAAACATGGCGTGGGTGTCACGTACAATTAGATAAAAAAAGTCCGTTATGTTTTTTTGTAACCCTACTCTGGTATGAAACGACATTTATTGTGAAACACGATATGAAATCATAATAGTGTCAGTAGATAAGATTGATGTGTAAGGTCTTTATTTGTATTGGTGCAGATAAAAAAAAACACAGTGTTAGTTAATTCATAACCGTTTTTCACAAACATTCATAATTTTCAATAAATACGTGGACGTCACAGCGCATGCGCTAACATCTTTCTTTGATGACGCATGCGTATTAGCTGTTTCTCACGGTCTTAATTAAGAGCGAAAACCTGGATTTGATGTTTGATGTGTCATTATTATCAATAAGGAAATGTGATTTTAATATTTTCAACGAAGGTGGTTATTCCACTTAATCATCTTGACTAATTTTTTCCTCAGAACACATCAATATAACAATGGTCTTAACGCTTTCTTTGTGTATTAATGTATCGTGGGACATGTTCGTTAATGTTGTAACGTCTTCATTCTTCGGACCACAGTGTTTTTCTTTGAATGCTGTTATTGCAGTTAAGATTTAATTGGTTTATCGAGGACAACAGCTGTTGCTCTACATGGCATGTTGTCAAACTGTAAGAAAATATTCGCTCAATAAAACTCCTGTGTACTAATCATCTGTTTAATCCAATTTTAACGTGGGACCAAACATTCAATCCAAGCAGACAACATAAAGTTACTGTGCTATAAAACCTTATTACAATTTCTATATGACGTCACGTAACCTTTGACCATGTTAAGTCAACATTTTAGGAAATATCTCCCTTGGAATAATTTGAAATATGCACTTATGTTTTGCCAATACATTGCTCATAGATAAATGTTGGATTCATTTCAATCACGCTATATCGTATTAGAAAAATGTAAACTATTAACACTCTTATCCGCAACGAAAATACAAATCAAATTTCGAGTATTTATCGAGTTGGCTACAGTCCATGTAATTCACTCCTCACGCACGCAAGCTAAGGAAATCACGCTGAGGAAATCACGCTATATAAAGTCAAGGGTGTATACTCTCTGCTCATTTGATGATGTGCTTGCGTCTTCGTGATTGTAAATAAAGACAGTTTTTTGAAGCAAATATACTGTCCTCTTTAATATGCACTGTAAAATGATCGGACGTATGGTAAGGTTTGTTTGTTCAATATCATTTGGCAATATCTATAAAACTTAACACTTTTTTATATTGCCTTAAACTTGTGCTTTTGTAGTTTATCTTAACTTTGCGGTTAACATTCCTTCATAAATAAATACCTCGATATTTATAACATATTTGCATGCCACTACAGTCATAAGTATTTCTCTTATATTGTGTTGAGTTTAATTTGTTCTCAATGTATTCATACGACAGGTAATTTTGAATGACTGGGTTATATTTAACTTTTTCTTAATAAACACGAAAGCAATAACAACTTCAGACTGTTATCTTTAAAAAAGACAGCAGATGGAAATAGCCTGTGTTGTTATTCTATGCGTTTTAAGTTTTCTATTTAATTCATACTAAAATGATGAACTAGTTAAAGATCTTTCACTAGTTAAAGATCTTTCAAAGGAAACTCTTTGGTTGTATCTTTTCTTTATGCAAACGAAAAACATATATCTTTTTATGGCGTGATTTATTTGATGCTCTAAAGACATCGAGATCAGTATCTCCAGACAAACGAACAAAACAACACTTGAGTTTAAGTACTTAACTAGATGTTTGTGTGAGTTGACCCATGAAGTCAGTCAGGGATATTTTTAACGAGATTATAAAGAAACCTCAGCCTAGAAATTTCTATTTGTTAAATTAATATTAATTACAAACCACGTTAAACGAACGTGTTCAGTTTTTACAAACTTATTTCTTCAAAGTAAACATAAACATTTATGCTTTGATTCTACATTACATTGGTGAACTCTGTAAAGTTTTATTTAAAATTTGAAATTTCTTTTTATGTTAGGTAGTTCGCGCTAAAGCTTTGTACAACAATGATTCGGAGGCAGACGACGAATTGTCTTTCAAGAAAGGAGATATCGTGCATGTTATTGAAACTGATTTCGAAGGAATGTTGGGGTGGTGGTTGTGTTCACTTGGGGACAAACAGGGTGTAGCTCCTGGTAATAGACTACAATTAATATCCATTGACGATGATGCAATGGGACCTTATGATGCTCATGGAAATGCGTGGAAAGAGTCGTATGGTGACGTTGACTATGATATACCTAAATCTTATTCCCAATCTGAACCTGAAGATTATGCGACACCTAAATCCGACTCTCAAAGACATGGATTACTCTTACCCAGTCCTCAGGCTGTTAATGCTGAGCGAAATAGTAACACATCCGATGGATTGGCGACAAATGAAACTTATGCTGCACCGTCTTTGCGCTATAGCTCTGAGAGGTCTAGTGACGAGTTTCGATTGTCCAGTGAAATGTCCCACGGAAGTGGTTCTGATGAAATGTATGATGTACAGTCTCGTAATTCCCTTGAGTCAGATGATGGTCAGCAACCCAATCTACCACCCAAATCAACAAATACTTCATATAATTCTCCATCAAGTTCAAGATACTCCAACCAGTCAGATAGTCCGTACAGCTCATTAAACAGCCACGAGTTATATGATCGGTTGCCTGCCCACGAGTTATATGATCGGTTGCCTGGCAACGAGTTATATGATCGGTTGCCTGGCAACGATTTATATGATCGGTTGCCTGGCAACGACATGCTGTATGATAAATTACCTAATCATGAAACGTACAATGATGACACAAACCGAACTGTTTCCGTCAGCAGTCAAGATTATGTTAACATGTCAAGTTCTTCCTTCAATTCAACTAAAGATCTTTACGATGTACTACCATCCACATATGGAGAGGATTATACATTTCCTGAAAAACGTCAGCAGTTAGAGAACACAAAACGAACTATTTCAGTTAGCAGTCAAGATTATGTTAACATGTCCAGTCCTACTTTCAATCCAACTCAAGATATTTACGATGTACTACCGGCGGCTCACGATGAAGTTGATTCATTCCCCGACAGGCGTTCGGCGCAACGGTTGGCGGATGGCAACAATAATCCTACAGACGACAAAAATGGAATTTATAGAGAGATACACGAGAAAACAGAATCGTACAACAGTTCTACTGGCGAGAAAAAATCAGGAAGCCTAAAGTCAAACAAGAACTATGATAGTGACGATTATATTGATTATCAGGAAATTTATGGAATGGGCGATAACAGTGAAATATCGAAGGTAAACAATATTAGTACTGTGCACCGGAGTGCCAGAGTTAGGGCGCAGCAACGGCTATTTTTGACTGCTGGAGCCGGAGTTTGTTCATCTCCGGCAAAACTCCTGCAGCTGTTGTTTGTGCTGCAAAAAACTCTCACTTTAGTAAACGTGTCTGATCACAACATTTTTGTATCAACGAACGATAACTATCGTCTAAAATTGAAAAACTTGCATGAAAATAAAACATTTTGTGCATGGCACAACATGACGCTAGATTGCGTTCACACATGCTAATTTATGATTCAAGGTCGGAGTGTGGAAATTGAACTTTACATATGAAAATTTTACTAATAATATACCTTAAACTGTTGAACAGGGACTTGCAAAATTAACCAACCACAACCAGTGATTCGAATTATAAAATAACCAGAGCCGGAGTTTGAAACCGGAGTTCAGATTTGACAAGAGGCCGAGACTGAAAAACCGTAGTTTGCACAGTCCTAAACAATATGCAACAATATTGTCATTTTAAGAAGAATTTTAACGATTTTTTTGTGTAATTAATTTAGAATAATCAAGGTCAAATGAAAGAGTCTGTTCTTGGAAAAATTAACATGGCAAAAGTACGCGAGCTACAAATATCACATGGTTCAGCTCTTCAAAAACTTCATAAATTGCAACAAGCTGTGGATGTTGCAGTTACGAAACTTTTGAGTTTTGTTACAGATGACTGGAGACGTCCTGAAGTTTATGCTTTGAACATGAATGGTATCCGTGATATTTCTGGCAAAGTGAAAGTCGCTTTAAGACTATTGACGGAGTTTGGATTAAATTCTTTGAAGAATTCTCAAAATCTAGGTGACGAAGAAACATCAAAGAAGATCGAAGGAAGCCTGACGCCATTATTAGAGTCATATTATTCTATCAAAAATGCTATACAGCAATTGGATGAAAGTAATTGGAGATCAGCGTATCAGGAGACGTCTGATGATAATTTGAATACTATAGTAAACCTTGCACGATGTATACCCAGTGGTGCTTATTACCTTGGGGCAATTGTTTCCAATGTAGCATCTAGATTGTTTACGGAGAAAACATCAGATGGTATTGTCAAGAAAGAAATGATACAAAATATTGTCAAGCAAAAAACTGTATCCAACAGTCCCGAGATGAGTATTGTACACCCTGATGCAACATTCATTGTTGCAACTAAAGACACAAGCTCAAAAACAGAGGTCAAGAACTCAAACACCACGCATTCCCTTAATGGTGCAGGCGCTTTTTCTAGTAGCACTCACAATGAAAATGTGTTAAAGGTTGCGATGAATAAAACCAGCTCAGAGCATGTTGGAGATGGAATAGAAACACAACTTGTTTTACAGTCCATCAAAATTCCAACGCCTGTTCAATCGAAGCCAAAAAGAGACAAAAATAGATCGGACAGTGGTTCAAATACTTTAGTTGCTTCTTCTGTATCTTGTCAAAATCCTAGTACTTCAAACGATGCAAGCACGGAAGCCCTATCGCAGCAGGTGTCAGAACTTACCAATAATTTGCTTAATCAAATTGACACTGTCAAACCTTCCACGCACGGTTTTACGAGAAAAGGAAGCAAAAGACTTAGTCCGAAAACTGTGCGTAGATTATGTTCGATAACCTTGAAAGATGATGATAAAATTGGTGATAGAATATTTGAAAACAACGCTTCAATTCCTCCTAAACCATCCCGACAAAATAGTTCTCCTGTAACTCCCACCAACTTTGACAACAAACGATTATCGCTTACGGGAACGATGTCAGATCCGAGTTTCACACACTCGAGAATTTCAGACGAGAATCGTTTACAAACTCTCGAGTCCTCAGTTGAAAAAATGAACTGTGAATTGATCGTTTTGAAAGAAGCGATAAGGGGTTTTGGTGATAGCGTTCGCGATCATCATAAACCAAAAGATTTTGTTGCACACAGCAAGTTTATTGTTCTCAGTGCACACAAGTTGGTGTTTATTGGCGATGGTGTGTCTCTATGTTTGCAAGTTGACGATGGTCGAGTAATCTCTTCTCTGACTAATACTCTTTGTGAAGTAATCAACGCGTTTGTGGAGAGTATTAAAATAGCAGCACAACATTATCCAGAGGAGAATGCGATGAATAATATGATAAAAAATGCGACAAATGTCACAGAGAAAGCATTGGGCTTGTATAGTTCGATAAAACGTCTAACTAGAAATAACTGATGTCCATAAGTAAAATGAATGGAACTACTCCAACGTTAATGTTGATGTATTTAGGTAAATATAGGAGTATATCTAACGAGGTTTGCTCATATCACTAACATTGAATTGTGTTATTTTGAACCACAATTCCAAAATCGTTCAGTTCTATAGTAAATTGTTCAGTTGATTCAATAATGTGGATGACCAAAATTTGAACCATGCAAACTACATGAACAAATTTTCAATAATTTTTAGTCGATAATGTATTAATTAAATAGACAGATGTAGTTAACAATGACAATGTTATATCAAAGAAGTAGGTACTTAAATGATAAATTTACCAAAATGGTTAGAGTTGCTTTTTTTTTTGTTTATGACGATCAATCATTGGACGTTGAAGTCAAATTTAATGACGTCAGGCTAAAAAGATCTCTCATCGTCTCACAAAACCAACACTAATCTTTAAATATTGTAAAGACACAACTAAAAACTACACCAATGTATAAAAGAGAACGTCTAGGAATCTTTGCTCTCAGTCTTCTTCAATGTTTAATTCAACTGGTTTTCCATCAGGACCAATGGCAGCAGATTTCACTAAACCATTTTTGTTTAACTTGCTCAACAATTTTGCTAGTTCCTCTGCCTCTGCTTCTTTTTCTTCTTCGCTCATTTTATTCAATGGATTGTCAACTTCGACGTCTGTTTGCGCCCCTAATAATGGGAAAGCAAGCATTCAGGTTTTACAACAAACATATTTTGCTTTTAATGAAGTATTAACAAGAAACTACCTGTCATTGGGTCAATTTTATCTTTTACTTTCATATACTCTTCCGTGTCGGAGTCCTCATCATCATTGGAATAGTTTCCCATGTTATCGTCATCATTTCCAGCCATTAGACCATGATCTGCCAGGAAACCTGCAGCATTTCCATAGCCCACGTACTTTGTGAGACGTGCAACGTTTTCTTTGCATAATACAAACAAAAATTCGCCAACAGATTCCTAGAACAATGAAGGGTTTGAGTTGATTTCTGAATTGTGATAAAAAGTTTTTGACTATGTTTTTTGTCAATAGAAGGTGAACAATTTAGAAACCTTTATTTCGGGAATAGCAGAGGTAAGAAGCCTAGCTAGTCTTCCTCGGATGTTTTCAATATCTTCAGGTTTCTCTTTACCAACATGACCTAATGATGGTAACACTTGTTGACGTAAATATTTACGAATGATTCTGTTGTGCTTGGAAACAGTTGTCATAACAGAGAGAAGAGGAGTTACATATTCTTTTAGATTTTTGTTTTCAATCAACCTTTGGTCAAGAATCTGTAGTAATACACAAATTGCCTCCACATTATAGCACTGAAAAAAAGATGAGATGAATAATTTAAAATTAATAATTTCAATGAAAAAAACGGCATAAGTAATTTCCGTCTACCTCAAAGATTACGGGGTATTTTTTTGTATTTTCCTTGGAATTAAAAGCATTCATTAATTCTTCTGCAACGAGTTTATCAATTCTCCAATGCAAAAAACGATAGGAATCATAAGGAAGATTGATCAACATATTTATAATATGATTTTGAAGATTCTTTGGTTCATCATCAAGTTGCTTGCATTTGATAAGCAGATGGCAAAGTATGAAAATCAATTGAGCACTCAGTATTTTTAGGTTATTTTCTGGATTTTCTTGGCTGATGTTGATGGTAATATTGAAGAGAACTTTAAGCATTTCTCCAAATATCTCTATGTCTTCTTTACTGAGTGAAATCTCAGGCAAACAAGGCCTACAGTCAAAAGAAAATGAGACTTATCCATATCAACGATTCTGAGATTCAAAAAAAATAATTTAACTACCTGGATGATAAAGATGAATCTGAATCAGTCTCTATCATTTCTTGTTCTTTAGTAAGAAATTCTTGTCTGTCATCATGACCAGGAATAACTTGATTTAAAGCTTTAGTCAACAGCTCAACAGCATTACATCGTAATGCTTCCATTCGTTGATTTGCCTCAAGAGCAGTCACAACAAACAATAATCTTAGATCAAAAAATTTCACATCTCTTGGAAGATCTGATTGATCAAACCAAGCTAAGCGTTTACACAATGAAGAAGTACAGTTGTATTTAACAACATAATCCTTAAACTGCATACTTTGATACACTAAATTACAAACACATTTCAAAGCTTCAATGACTTCTTCTGATCTAGCTATAACTCCTTCTAATTTCATTGGACAATTTCCAGAATAAAGGCCAGCAAGTTGAAGGAAAGTTTGACAAGAATTCTCCGTTACCATTTCGTCTAAGTTGGATTTGTCCCTACTTAAGATTCGTAGGGCTTGTAAGCATCGTGCTGTATAACCATCAAAAGCTTTCCCTTCCTCACTGCTCAACTCGTTTATCAAGCAAAGAATAAACTCCTGCCTTAAAAGTTGATTTATATTTTGAAACGAGAAGGTAGTTACATTTTCCTCACAGAAACAAATGAGTTTGGATTCTTTTACAGCGCTCTTCTCTTTTGTAGATATAGCATTTAAAAACTCCTTGATTAATTCTTCCATATTTTTTTGCAATGAAGAGGTAGGAAAACGAAAACAACAACATTCATGAACAGCTGTCAATATCAAAAATGATTTTATCAAGACTTGTGCAAATGTGCGTTGTCAATAACATAAATCCTTGACAATAGTTTTCTTTCCCCCCTGATTATATTTTCCTGTTATTATGTGAAGGGGGGTGAGAGTTCGTCACTGTGCTTTCATCTTTGTATGATACAGTATGACGTCTTCTGTTTGAAAAGTTGATTTGATATTAACTGACTATTTATATTTATACAAGTTCATGAATTATTTTTGTAAAGTATAATGAAAATGTACTGTCTGCATTTATTAAAGTAGTTATAATTTAATCATGAAGTTGGCGGAGGACACAGGTTTTATATTGTTAATAATAGATAGCGTATTTTCGAGGATGGAAAAGAGTAGCAGTAAAACACGATGGCGGCAATTTTTGGCTTAACAATTTTTAAGAAAAAGCAAATTCACTTACGAAAACATGTCTTTTCTGTTTTGAATTGAGCTAGTACATAGTTTCAAAAGATTATGTCTGAAGGAGATACGTGGTCAGAGCTACAAGCACATAAAAAGAGACAAGATAGTTTAAGAGAGAGAATTCAAAGACGAAAGAAAGAGAGACATGGAATTCTTACAGCAGCTTCCAATGGTACGACATAAAATGGCCACTGGGCTTTAAGTGCAAAGTGATGAGTTTTAAAAACTTTAAATATCTTTAAGATGGTGTGTCAAAGACAAATGAGAAACCAGTCACTTCAACTTTGGATGGAAAACAGACTATTGTATTGAAAAATGAAATTGTTGTTGAAGCTAAAACTGAACCGAGTAATCTGAAAAAAAGCAATTCTGTACTTGAGAAATGGATTTTAGAATATTTGTCAGATAAAAATCTATCAATACCAGTCAGTTCTTTACATCTTGCATCCAAATGGTGTGAGGTGAGTCCATGCAAAGACTTTATATTTGCACAAATGCACATTTATTTATACCTGTATAACAAAGTTAGAGTTATTATTTTTAAGTCATCAAATGCTTCACCATCTTCAATAACACATGATGATGTTACTGATCTTATTGAAAAGTTGGCCATACAAAATTACATCCAGTATGTCAAATATATATTTGTAATATTGGTGGTTATCAAAACACTTTAAATATGAGCTATGTAAAATGGTTTAGGATTAAATCCAGCCAATCGTCTGAAGGAAAGACATGCATTCTTATCACAGAAGTTGACTTATCCAAGGTTTGACAATATTAGAAGTTGCACTTGTGAACAGTCAAGAGACTGAACAGATCTTTACTGTGCAATACAAAGTTTTCAGTCTGATAGACAGTGGTGTTATTTATGTTAAATTCTTTATGATTTCAGTTGAAAGCAGTTGTTCAAGAAATAAAAGCTGTATCTGGTATTTTCTTATCTTTTAGCACTTTTTGTAAATGCTATTAATTAATGATCTGCTGCTTTACTTTAGCAAACTCTTCTTCAATGGGACCAGTCTTAAAAAAAAGGAAACAAGAAAGGTTTGCCATTAATGTCATTTTATTTTACTTCATTTTCTACAAAGATGTTCATCATTAAATTTTATTTTATGCAGAGGATCTTCAAGGGAAGGTTCGAGATCACAAGATGTTTCACAAAAATCTAAAAAGAAAAAACTTGACAATGATGACATACAATCTATGTTATCGACAATGACATCTATTGAAACAGAGGTTTGCACTTTGCATTGTTCTTACTGGTGAAAACTTTTGTTATAATCATGCTACATAACAAAAAGAATTAATTTACTTTGCATAGACAAAAAAGCTTGGGGAAGATGTACTAGATTTGTTAAATATAAAATCAGCTAAGGTAAGTATTGGTTACTATTTGGTTGAGTTTCTAACTGTGTAAAAAATAGATTTTTTTCTTAAATTATAATCAGGAGCAGTTAACAGTTGAAAAATTCAAGAGTCAGGGGGGAGCAAATGTTCAGGAATTTTGTGAACATGGCACTCGAGATGACTGTAAAAAAAATAGAAATGGTGTTTGTAAAAAGGTTGAAAAATAAAAATTCATCTTCACATAAAAATAATGACTTTCCATCATAAATACTCAAAATTTCTCCTTTTTCAGGTTCATTTTAGGAAAATTATACAAAAACATACAGATGGTAGCACTTGCTTTAATCCTTTTTCCTCCCCCTTACAATTTAAAGTAAAAAGTGTTTCATTTTCTAGAGTCCTTGGGTGACTGTTCATTTCTTAACACCTGTTTTCATATGGATACTTGTAAGGTAAATGAAGTATTTTCATATGGATACTTGTAAGGTAAATGAAGTATTTTCACATGGATACTTGTAAGGTAAATGAAGTATTTTCATATGGATACTTGTAAGGTAAATGTAGTGTTTTCATATGGATACTTGTAAGGTAAATGTAGTGTTTCATATGGATACTTGTAAGGTAAATGAAGTAGTCAGCTTTCAAAAATTTCAACATCTAGTTTAAAAGTTACTTGTTTCCCATCAATTTAGTATGTGCATTATGAAGTGGATTATACAGGAGTTTTAAAAGACAAGGACAGAAAAACTGATGAAAAAGATAAGGTTGTTCATGTGTGAAGCTTTAAAGTAAAGTGCAGGAAGGAAATTTTATTTTTTCATTAATTTTATACTTGTAGCAAAATGAAACAACCATTTCTGCAAGTGGCAATATAACACTTATACCACCACAGGTAGATGTTTTTATACTGGACATCACTATTGTTTTCTGTCTTTATGTAAGATGTTATAAACTGTCTTCTTTAAACCTTCTGCAAGCTTGGGATCACAATCTGCATATAATGAATATATGAATATTGCCCAATGCCTCCCAATTGTGTGCATAAGTGGTTCGACTATGTTTAATTAATTTTAAATAATTTCTTTTTATGTAGTGGATTCAATGTGATTTAAGATATTTAGACTTTGCTGTAATTGGTAAATTCAGTGTTGTTATGGCTGACCCCCCCTGGGATATTCATATGGAGGTTTGTGGTTTTTCATAAAGAAATGTGGATTACATTGATCATTTCTTGATAATGAATTATAATAATTTGTATTTAGTTGCCTTATGGGACAATGTCTGATGATGAAATGAGAAAACTTTCTGTTCCAAAATTACAAGATGAAGGTTATATTTTTCTCTGGGTAACTGGAAGGTAAAATATTTGAGCTTGAACATTGAGAAAATCTGTAAAGATTGGGGTTTCATCTTGACCAATGCTTTGTAGGGCAATGGAACTTGGTCGAGAATGTTTAAAATTGTGGGGATATGAGCGTTGTGATGAACTTATCTGGGTGAAAACCAATCAACTTCAACGTCTCATTAGGACTGGACGTACGGGACATTGGCTAAATCATGGCAAAGAACATTGCTTGGTTAGTGCGTCATTGTTAGTTACACTGGGTATTCATTAGTCTTCTATTGTTATCAATCAAGTTAAATCTTGAGTATTTTGGTAGATAGGGGTTAAAGGGAAATGCAACAAGATGAACAAAGGTCTAGATTGTGATGTTCTTGTTGCTGAAGTAAGTTGTTATTTGTACGTAGATAATAAATATGATGTATAGTGTACATTTCATTTATTCTATCAAATTGTAAATACATGGAAAATTCATTGAACCACAGATTTTATATGTATCATGGAATGATAGTTATCAATCTTTTATCTAAAGGTACGGTCTACTAGCCATAAGCCGGATGAAATTTATGGTCTTATTGAAAGACTTTCTCCTGGCACAAGAAAAGTTGGTAAGAATGATGTCGAACATATTTTGTAACTGATAATAAAGAAATGTGTCAATTAGATTTCTTGGTATTTTGTTTCTTTAGAGCTGTTTGGTCGACCTCATAATGTGCAACCAAATTGGTGAATGTTTGAGTTTCAAGTTTTTATATCCTATGTATAATTTAAAATATTATTTGTTTGCATTCTATGAAGTCTAAATAAATTTTTGTGTATCAAGGTTAACACTTGGCAATCAACTAGACGGAGTTCGTTTGATGGAGTCCGATGTTGTTGAAAGATTTAAAGTTAAATATCCAAATGGTATACAACATTTGACATCGAAATAGCAAAAGTTATGCTTTTTCTTCACCATTACTCAGGTATAGTCTCTGTTAGAGTTTTATTAAATTTTTTAAAATATAAAATTGTCTTGACGATGTAATATGATTTTTTCATAAATAAATGTGAAAATAAATTATCAAGTGAATATTTACATGAATGCAAACAATTTTTTATACTAATACCAACATTTTTTGTACACTGATCACATTTTGTGGCTACCCCCCAGTAATCCCCTCAATATTTAGTTATATTTGACCATGTTGATTTTTATTCTGCCTTTCTCGAAGTCTTGAACTTCTTCGTAACGGGTGATTTGATTTTGAATAAATTTGTGTCATATCTTTCTTCTCAGCTGGTTCATCATTGCCATACACCAACTCACGAATAAAGGAAAAACGTACCAAGAATAATTTCCAAACCATGAACCAACCTGAAGTTGATGAAGATTTTGCTGTCAATTGTGGCATTGATTCAAAAAGTGCAGTTGAATTTATGTTAGGAAATAATTTTGAAATGGTTTATTAAATAGTCATTGTTATGGTTTCAATCCCCTTTTACAAAAATAAAAATTACATCGACCTAGTAACGTAATTTATGAATTGTTCAGATTTGTTGAATAACGGTCAAATTATGTTTCAAATTCTTACCAAATAAAATCAGCAATACAACAATAAATAGCGCACCAACAGTGGACAAAATTGCTAAAAGCACTTCCTTAAGATCAGAGCTTTTAAGAAATTCGGTCATCGTTAAAGGTTTTTGAATAACAGCTGTTTCAAATTGTTGCTAACACAAAATGATCATTATTAGTTTGAAAATTGTGACAATGACGCGTGGGATTCACGCATACAAACAAAACTCGCGTGTGACAGCGTGTGCACTGGTTCACATGAACACTTGACCATGTGACCTTTCGTGCGTGAACTCGTGACCTTTGAAGGTTGAAAACCCACGAAAACAAACGAATGGACAAATTACGAAATTAATTTTATTTTTAGGCTCTCTAGTAAGCTTTTTAAATAAGTAAAGCATGTCGTCGAATGAGAACGAGGAGTTAGATAAAAATGTGAAGACAGGACAGTACAAATTGTTCCTACGTGAAAAACTTCTGCCATTTTTATACAAACAATTTATGACGATAACCATTGTTGTCTTTGTTGCTGTTGGATTCATTTTACCTGAGCCTGGAAATTGGGTTGGCAGTTTTAAAGGATCATCATATATTTGTGTTATTGTTGTATTTCTTCATTCTGGCTTGAAATTGAAAACGGATGCATTAAAAAGTGCAATAAAGCAATGGAAAGCTTTTTATTTGGTATTACAAGTATTTTGCTTATATCAACATTAATTGGAACTAAACTTTCCCAACTTTTACCGTTTGGAGAAAGTGTTGGCACAGAGAATACTGCTAACCACACATCTAGGGAAAGTATTGTTGGTCCGCATGAATTCCTTCTTGGTTTAAAGTTTTATTACATATCTCCTTCTGCAATTGCTACTGGAGTAGTTTTGGTGTGTGAGAAAAGTTAGTTGTTGATTTTAATGTCAGAAATTACATACTGATTATGACTTGTCTATTTTTTCAGACATCTTTAGCCGGAGGTGATGTGACTGTTGCATTGCTACTTACAGTGACCACAAATACTTTAGGAGTTGTGACAGTTCCTTTAATGGCAACATGGCTGGTTTCTGTAAAAAATGTTAAAATTGATGAAGTTTCATTGCTTGTTAAGCTCCTTTGTACAGTTCTAGTCCCACTTATTGTGAGTTTACAATCTTGTTTTATTTTTATAATGTACATTGTGAATTTCAAACATTGATTGCCATTGATATTTGTTTGTGAAAGGTTGGAAAAATAATGGCACAGATCAAGAGAGTAAACACATTTGTACAAGATAACACAAAGATTCTAAAGTTAATAAGTATTGTATTTCTGGTTTTTATACCTTGGATGAAGATAAGTCAGGCAAAACTTTCTGGATCATTTAAAACAGTTACTTTTTTAAATCTGTTTATTGTTGTGTTGTGGGGTCTGGCACTGCATATACTTATTCTTGTGATAAACTATATTGGTGCACGTCTGATACAAGTCAGTGTTCCTGTGAGGAAAGCAATAGTTATCTTAGCAAGTACAAAGACTTTGGCTATCACCTTATCAGTGATTAGTTTTTTACCATCAAACGTTGGCAATGCTGGTGTTATGAGTTTACCTATTACATTAATGCATGTTGTGATACTTATATTTGATTCGTTGTGGGTGGTTCATTGGAAATCTTCTGAAACAGTTAACAATGATTCCAATGATTTGTTAATAACTTCAGACATTGAGCACAGTTCTTATAGTGTGGTTTACGTCTCTTCATTGTAGGTTTATAAAAGTAAAGGATGATTTGAGCAAATATGAGTTTTATGAAATACTTATTTACTATGGTGTAGAGTAGACAACGCTCAAGTTCTCTCGATGTGCCACGTATATTTCCGAACATTAAGATATTTATTTTTATGAGTGAATGAGTATAGAAATATCTAGACTAAAATAAAGGATCTTGCCCAAGTCTTATCCTCTATAATCATTATTATCGACAAAGCAAGTATTTTTACGTTTGATGAAAAACAGCAATATAAACCATTCGAACTATTAACTTATAGCTTAAACGTAAATATGTTCATGGAATTTAATCCCGACAATGGACCCCAACCTATTCGCTTGATTTCCTGTCAATTAGAATCAAAGCATTTGGTATTGGATGAAACAATGTGAATTTTGTGATTCAATAATGTGGAAGCACCTATAAATTTTGACCTTTGAAGTGTACGTATGTACAACAAAGGGAAGAGGTTTCTCATTATTTACGGCGGGAGTAGGTTTCGTGTATTTTCATTTTTCTTGCGTGATATCGATGATATTGTTTCGAAAATCTTTGTTTACATGACATGTGTCTATGTGAGCATCATTGAGCAATGATAGAAGTTGAGATGGCGGAAGATTCAAGCTTAATTCAGTCGATCATTGACGATCTTAAGGTTTCGTATGTTATTTCATTTTGGAACAGCTTTTGTTATGGCACCGCGTGCTTGTTGTTTGGTGTATAACGGATTTTTTGTATGATTTTTAGGGCACTTCGCCGCTTTGGGAAGATTTTGTATGCAAAGGCTCGAAATTTCATGTTGCTCTACGGTAGGTAGTTCCATGAAAACATTTTGTTGTCATTCATCTCTGGTCGCTAATGTGTTCAATCTTGTTGTATTTTTAAATTATTTTTTTGAATTGTAGTTCGGCAGTAGTTACTTTCGAGGCATTTCTTGATTCTATGACGAAAATAGCTGATGCGGCAACGTTTTCTAAAGGTAGGATGGGAATCGTGTTAGGTCTCAATAGGAAATAGTGGTATTTTTTTGGTAAGAGTATATTTCCGATGATGTCGTTTTTGAATGACAAAACACTTGCTGTGTTCTGTGTATTTTATATGTTTTAAGTAAATATTTTTAATTTGCGTCTATCAGATGAAATTGATTCGCACGAGTTTATTTAAAAACATATAACTTTTAGTTCAACCTAGGAAACTCTGAAATGTTGTAGCATTTTTTCACTCTACTGACGACCGCGAAACATAAAAACCGTTTATTTTTGAAAAGGCATTGAATTTATCAACCGTAAAATTCAATTTTATTACTGAATATTATTCATTTATCATTAACATTACCAATCAATTATGTTAAATTGCTGTGTAAATGAATAATACGTGAACGCGATACTTCGGATTACCAAACAATACTGGTTTGATAAATGAAATTGATATAACAGGCGATATTTACATTTTAAGATCATCGTCATTATAATATTGTGATATTGGTGAATCCACGTGGAACGATACAGCAAATATTGGCTATAGTTAAGACACATTACCATGTGTGTTTCGCGATAAAGTTTGGTCGTTAACCCAATCTTTGATTTGTATCATGTACATTCACATGTCTGTCAACATTTAAGTTCAGTAGGAAAATCTGTATTTTCAATAATATATTTATTAAAAACATTGTTGACCCAGCTCGTGTGTTTGATGAAATCCTTTGAGTCCATTAGCACTATAAAACGTTATGACGATAAATGTGACACTTTAATTCAAACAATGCTTTGTCAATTTTCTAATTTATGATGAAATGTACTGTCATACCAATGTTTCTACTCTACTATTAATATCGACTGCCTATTCACATTTTATCTTTGGGATGTTGCGGTTTATGACACGGACTTGTTGAATTTTAATTAATGTTGTAAGCATTTCAATACAACGGTTAATTTTAGAAAGAATTTAGAGCTATGTATGGTTGTATGACGTTGTGACTTGCTGCGACGCTATAGTTCGTCTATTTAGCCATAAGAGTGAAATACCTCTATAGTATTCAACAAAAGGAGGGCATTCTATTGCTGTGAAAGATTTTTATATCACTAAATAATTTATAAATGGAAACGTAGTAAATTATTTATTCTATCTTAGATTGCCGCGATAACGTTGTATGTGTATAGTTTTTATAAGCCAGACGATTTTAAGCCATATGATGTGTTATCTCTACATATTGGTCTTGTAATGTGTCATCGTCAGCTAATCCGTGCATAATACACATTACACAGTATATAGAAGGAAAACGTGTGTGTAGGGCGAACTATAGTGTATGGTACGCAGTGCATGGTACCTAGTATGTGTGGTGGTGTCAAGGAGGATCTTATTCATATATTTACTGTGCCTGGTTAATTTCTTAGGAAAACATTTCACTTGGTATAACAGAATAATTGTCCCTTCAATTTACGTAACAACGTTTGATTGACGTCCTACATTGTGCTTGGTACATATATATTTCATCTATAATATGTTTTTTTTATCCTCCCCGTGTGTGGTGTATCTAAGGTACTTCAAAATAAATTACCGTAGCTTATTTTGTGGTTATCTTTACATTTCCAAATACCTTAGAGGCAACTCCAACGGTAAGGTTTTAAACGGTAAAATTCAAAACCAAATAGTGTTGGCGTTTTGAAGGTTTTTGTGTTAAAAAATTGAGCAGCTATAATTTATTTTGACTGACGCGGTGTCCGTTGCTGATTCTGAAATAAAATATAAATTTGTTTTATCTTATCGCATTTTGTCCTGTTTCAATTAAATTAGCATTTCCTGATCAAATATTGAAGAGAGCGTTGTCTGGAGAAGTTTGACAGAAAACTGCTGCACATTTATTTTTTCAAGTAGCTAATATTGCCACATGTTTGATAAAAATATTCATTTTTCATTTTCGTGCCAAAATTTTCTTCTGTAAATTCAAAATAAAACTCATTCGTAGCACGTTACCGCGATTTTAAATCGTTTGTGAATTTTTCCCGTTTGAAAGCGATGACTATCCATGTTTTAATGGTGTTTTTCTTTTGTCTACAAGCTAAAACAATAATGTGGGTTAGTTTGTGAAAAGTTGACATTTCCAAAATTATCTTACGTCATGCGGTGTTACAAAATCTTCAGTCATACAAGGTCATTGGTTGTGTTCAAACTGACATAATATGTAGATATTTCCTATCTTTTCCACGCCTTATGTCCTTATCTTTAATTTCATTATGGATGGTTTGTTGTCCTGCTGATTATTGAACTTCACTCGTAAATATAGTATAAAGCAAACTCCGAAAAAGCAAGAGATCTTCAGATTGCAAAATATGCATCAAAACAAGACGAGAAGTGAACTGTAAACTTTCGACTTTATTTCAAAGTCATCCTCAGACAGAATGATATTTAAAACCATACATACAAATATATATTTACAACGCATGAATTACGTAAACAGAAGTAAGCAATAGAAATTAAACAGTATGATATTTACAAAAGCAGAGTTGGAAGAGGTGTAGTATTTCAAAAGGATGAATTGAAAGTACAGACCCCACTTGTAGAATATCGTATCACTCATAAATATTTTTGTTGTTGTTTTATGAAATTGCCAGCTTGAAATTGTATTTTTCTCTCGCAATAGGTTTTGCGATTTTTCAAGTAGTTTTCGATCTGAATGAACGAAATCTAGTCTTGAATGTACAAATAAGTTTTAAGTCTAGGACAGAATTTTTGACGTCATTAGTGCGTCATATTTCGTGTGAAATTTCAACGTCGGATGTAAATTGTATTTGTGAAAGAAACTATTAACTTATCGTTATCATGTGGGGTTTGGATTGTTAAAAAATGTTTACTCATATGTTCTAGGGGCTGCCAAAGATGTTGGAGGGACTTTGACCAAAATGGTTTACAAGCATCGTAATATCATGCAGAAATTGAAAGTTCTTTCCGGGTGCGTACCATTGAGCTCTATAAGACCTTATAAGTTATTATAGAACTCAATGGTGCGTACTTTCAATGAGGATTGGAATATTGTGCTTCCGTTGCTTTAAGTTAATTTTCGTTTTTAACCAGGCTATTTGGAGATAATTTTCTCATACCTCTTCAAGAGAAGATTGACGAATGGAAAAAGTCAGTTAACATTTTTGATAAGGAAAACTCGAAAGGTGAGAGTTGTTTTTTAACTTAACTTTGCTGTCTGTAAAGTATTTTCATGTTTTAATCATTCTCGTGTTACAGAATACAAAAAAGCAAAGCAAGATTTGAAAAAGGTCACACTGGAGACCGTTCGTATGCAGAAGAAAGTCAATAAAAAAGGTATTCTATTGAAAAAGGAGAAAGGAGAAATGTTTTTGTCAACAAGATGATTCGTGAAATTACTTCTTTACATTTAAATTCCTGTCGTTAATTTTAGGAAAGTTTGGTCATAAACAAGAACTGGAGGCACTTATGAGGGTTGGATGCCATGAAATGTTTTGTTGTGATTGCAGTTTATGATGTCATAGCTTTCAGATATGATGATGTCATAGCTTTCAGATATGATGATGTCATAGCTTTCAGATATGATGATGTCATAGCTTCTAAATATTATGACGTCGTTATTATACAGATGTTTTGTTTTCCTTAGATGCGCAATGCACAGTTTGGTGTGTTTGAAGAACATCAGAAACGAGCTTTAAGGAAAGTTTTGATTGAGGAACGCTCGCGTTATTGCAGTTTTGAATTTGTTTCAACCGATCGTGGTAAGATTTTGGTGCAGACTACCGACGTTTATTATTGAAAGCAATTCATGATTGGTTTATTTTTCAAAAGGAGCAAGAAGTCTCCCTTATTGATGATGCACAGAATTTATCGGTTTTGTTACAAGAAGCTGCTCGCCAATGTGAAAAACCATACGAACTTTCTCAAGCAGGAGAGCATATGATTGAAGAATTCAAAATTTCTGAACGTGGCTTTTATGATGAACAGGTTTATATAATTTCGATAATAATAATACCAAAAGCAAAACAATGGTATTTTACCTCTTTTTGTCATTTCAAAAATTTCATCTTTTATCAAGGGTACTCCTCCTAACAGTCCCACAGGTCGGCATCGTAAGAGTTCATTCAGTTTATCTTCGGAAACTTCCTCTCGTTCCAGTTCTCCTACATCTTGCGATGGTTCTCCAGAGAAGGGTACGCTTACACGTAGTATGAGCTTGTCATCCGCAGTGGTGAACAGTAAACCTGCGCCCCCGGAAAGGCGAAATAGCGTCGTCACTACTCAACGTGGAAACTATTTTAAAAAAAATTTTCCAACGTCTCGTATTTCGTTAACGTCGCTAGATTCTTCAACGAACCAGTCATTTTACTCGTCTTACTCATCGTTAGACTCACAATCAGTTGACTGTCCTCCTCCACCTCCTGCCCCTCCAATTTTACCACGTGCACCCCCCAGTCCTAACCCTAGTGAAATGAGTTTTCCTCCACCACCACCAATGGAACAACTAATGAGAGGTAAATTATAACGTTTCCTGCTACATATTGATTCCATTTATTTTCTGTTGATCGTATATTCAAATGCTGACATCCTTTCAACCTCATTCTCGCCATCTTTAGACAGAACTCGTAAAATTTCATGGGCGCCCATGGATTCTGGATTCTATGCAAGTATGTCATCATCGTTGGATAGGACATCATCTGCATCATTGGCTCATGTTCAATATGATGACAATGATAGCGGTCATTATGAAGCTGTTGTACCCTATGAACCTGGTAACCTTGGGGATATGGAGGGATATTACGAGAGTCCCCAGTACATCATGCCAAATATGAAGATAAAAAGGAGTAACAGTGAGATAATCAAGGGCTCCCGACACCCCAGCTTCCATTCAAAACGTAGCATTAGTGTAAATGAAAACGAAAGATTAGAACCGAATGATAAAACTATCCAACATATACGACGAATTACTCGTCAGGATCCACATGCAAAAATGGTGGATTTCAAAACAGATTTAAGTGCTTTAATTGCTGAGAATGCTGCCGTAGTAGCTGCACATTTTCAAAGAAAAGACGACAAGCAAATGGAGAATCCGAGACGAGGTTTTGACAACGAATTCTTGGACGAAAGTTATAAAGTCAACGAAGATAACTTTGAGCCATCTAGTTTTTTGGCGCAAATTCAACGTCGCAGATCAACCATGAAATATGTAGCAAAACATAAATAGTCAAGTGACTTTCTACATCCACTTTTTTGGTTTCGTACAATTTTAAACACGCTTTTGCAGACTGGGCCGAGGTGAATGTTACCTCGACTTGAGCTCTGACTTAAGTACTAATTTTTACTATTTTCTCACAATCAAATTCGTTCTTATAGTTTGTTGGAGTTAATGAATGTATATCTACTTGAAAGTGAAATTCTTTAGGTTTTAAACAGATGTATTGTAACAATAAGAATGCCGTCTGATTCGATTTCCTAGAACTATCTAATTTAGAGAAAAAGGATCAAGTTTTATTGTAAATTTGAAGTTATATAGATTTAGTTTTGTAATGTACAAAATTAGGATCCTTCGTGTGAAATTGACAAGTGTTTTTTAAGCTCTAGTTCGGTGGCGTCCAGTGGCGCCTGTTCTGGTGTGATTCCAAGGTATGGTTCAATACTTCCGGTAAAGTGTTTCTCTGTGATTGTTTGCTGAAGAGTGAAAGCCAATACAAGTAAATAATACAATACTCTTGAACGTGGTGAACCTTTCCTGTTTATTACTATCAAATTTTTTGCTGTTTGTTCTTCGAGCAGACGACGAGGAAACGGTTTTCATTTTCAATATGGGCTCTTGCGCTTTGTACAATGTTGAGTGGTTTAATTGTTCCGTGCGTTCTGCTTTTATTGACTTTTCACTTTTGAGAGAGAATGTCTAAGTTATCGGTTGTTTTGTAACATCACTTCAAGAAAATGTCGAGAAGAACAGGTATTATGGGAAGTGTTAGTAATTTTGGTAATTCATTTCGTCGCGTTCCTGGCAGGTTAAGCAGACGTTGGAAAAGTGTTGAGAATGAAGAATCAAATACTGTAAGCAATACACAACACGAGGTATATCAACGTTGATACGTCAAATGAAATTTATTTATTGATTATTTGTTTTGTTTATATTCTCCTAAATATTTTAAATTCCAATATACGATGAAAAATGTTAACCATTGTGTAGTTTAATGTCTATGGAATTAAGACTTTAATGGAATCACTTACGTAGAGAAACATCACATGACATGAAGAACCACCAAGTTCTATAATTTTACTATTTTCTTTACCATCATTAGATCAAGTCAATTTCTTATCTATTTTAAGTGATACATTAAGTTTGGCCTCATTATTGCAATAAAATGAATAATCGTGGGTGTATCATTGCAATAAAATGAATAATCGTGGGTGTATCATTATTGCAATAAAATGAATAATTGTGGGTGTAGGAAGCAGGGGTATGGTGGCTGAGAACTGCCAACTGTTTTTTTTTCATTTTAAAAACCATAATTTATCAATTTGAACAAAAAATATTGAAGTGGAAGAAAAAAACTGATTAAAATGATTTAAAGTGAAACAAAGTCAAAATGAAATTTAAATGAAAAAACCAACACATTCTCATTGGCTATAACTACTTGTCAACCTCAGACCCTTCCCTCGATTTAAATTTGTTCCTATGCCTATGTTTTGTATAGTTATTTAATTCTGAGGTGAATAACTAGAAATTCTTCCTTAACACTTATTCTACTTCTATTTGTTTATGCAGCAATAGAACTATTAAAACATGATTGAAACACACACTTCAAAATTATTAAAAATGATGTTAAATTTCTTTATAGGAAGCAGAACAACAAAGAATTTTAATTGGTAATCTTGTCAAGGTAATAAAATGATCAGTTTCTTTTATTTTTGTACTATGTATGACTGGTATTGTTTTGTGATTTCTCTCGTTGGCCATCTTTGCATTTGAGAATAAAAATTTATTTCATAATATCATTTGTTTGATATAAATTTTCAATTGTGAATTATTTTCAAATACGCTGATTTGTTTTTAATGGAAGAAATTATTAAAACAGAAAACATAATTAAATTTAAAAGTTGTTTTTACAATAAATATATGCATGTATTTCCATATGAATAATAGAAAAGAGTTTTGTGTCATATTTAGTTCATATCTAGCTAGTTGTGTCTTTAAACTTTTCATCTTTCTCTAGCTCATTATAATCAATAATTTTCATATCTACATCAATGCTTGCACCTATATTTTCATAAACATTTGGTTCTTGAATATCAGGCAAAGATAGGTTAGGCTTTGATTTTTCTTTACACCTCAGAATGACAACAGTTCCAACTAAAACGATAAATGATAAGATAATAACAGGAACTCCCCAAATTAACCATTTTGATGATCCTCTTTGTCCAAACTTAGCTTCGGAAATAACAACACTATCACTAAATGGACTGCATCCTTTTGTATTACACACGGCCATACGTGCACTATAGATATGGTGTGGACTCAGATTGGACAGTTTTATTTTGCATGAAGTCAAGTTCGTTGTATTAAGTTGCTTGCCATTGCCTGCTTCATCCCAGTAATTTATCATTAAGGTCTTCAGCACACCATTTTGTGTTTTCTTTTCGGGAAATTTGCAAATGACTGTGATATCACGTGTTTTGTTCAGAAATGTATTGCTTTCACATGTTTTGGCATTACACATGATTTCTGGAGGATTTTGGGGATTTTTTTCTGGAAATATAGTACTGTTACATATTTCATCAGACCAAAGAGCGCCATGAGTTGCTTGATATGAGAAGCAAAAGCTGCAGAACGTGTTGGGTGTAAACCAATTTTTGTTTCTTATTGTGGTTTGCCATTCTTTTTTAGTATACTTAGTAATGTTAAAGCCATTTTTACAAAAGACACGTATTTTGTTGTCAACATATTCAGAATTTTTTTCATTTCTCCATTTCAATGTAACTCCCTGCAATAAAACATGAAAAAATTTTCAGGATCATTTTGTTACCTACGAGACTGTCGTGTTTTAATTGCATGCGTTAGTCTTACCATATCTAAGGTTATAACCTCCAGTCGCGAGGGTTTCTTTCCCATAATGATAACATTGAAATGACCAGGCCCTTCTGATTTTATTCTATCTGCGCTGCCTTTGGTATACAAATGAAACACGTGGCTAATAGTTCGACTTTCATCTGCATTATTCGTAGTGTTAATGTAGAACTGATAGTTTGTATATTCAGCGATAATATCTTCGTCAAGAGTTGAAGCTTTGCAGGTTAAATCTACGCAGTCAAACTTTACGTTTCTATAATTAGGACAAATATATTCAGAGTCAACGAACATGTATTCCTCGCAATAATGAAGTTCGTAGTTGATGTTCTTCATAGTCAATGCTGTGTTGGCTTCTAAGTAGAATTCCAAGTGTCGTTCAACTCTCGATACTGCGATGAACCTGATAGTTGTAAGCTTTATTCCAATGTATGGTATCACTGCATCGTAAGATATATTAATTAAATTAGATTTGTTGATAGTTAAATTTCCATCACATGTAAATGTTTTCGACAAGTTCGTGGGATATACAACTGTTTGCGAAAGTCTTTGTACGGTCAAAGCTTTGAGTTTCTTTTCATCATCACTCCATAACTTACTATAATTGGCCGTATTTTTGACGTCCATAAACAAGATGAGTTTGATGTTTTGCCATTTTGATACACAAGCCACATTAACTTCCGACAACGTGCTAATGTCGCCCATTCCTTCATCAAAATTTGTACAAAGTACAAGAAAAATATTGACCAAAATTGTAATAAAGACCATGGTTTTTTTATCTTTAATACGGACTTAGTAAGACCACAGTTTAACACAAAGTTAGTCTGAATGTGAGTTAACTCACGAAGATTAATATATTATCTCGCGCCATCTTAGTGCGAATAATGTAAATTGCTAAATTCGTAAATTACTGAAAGCGGAACTGAATACGAAAACAATCATATCGATCGAAATGACAAATTTCCCCTATGTTTTTGAAACACCTTGCCGTACACAAATACGAATTTAGTTAATCATGCTGTTGGTATTAAATAAAGCTACAAAAGGCGGATGTTGTGGTTATCTTTAACTCAATATATTTATTCTTGGAAAATTGCATGATGAAATGTGCAGAAATGATTTGTCTTGGCCAAAAGAGGCGTTCTTTTTTTGAAAGGGAATTACCCTTTGTTAAACTAGTTACGTATTCAATACTAAAAATTTTTTTGATAACTTAAACAATAATAATATTTTGTGGGTCTATTTCAAAATTTCCAAAATATATTGTGGAATGGTTAGCAACAAATCAATTTAAACTTTGTTCCTTTTTGTGTTTGGATTAAAATGTCATAAATATCAAAAATCATAAAGGGAAAAACTGACATCATTTAGTTGTTAATGTTTAAAACTTTGTAGGAAAGAACATTAAACTATTGTCATATTGAAATCTTGCAGTGAAAACTCTCTGTTTTCCCGTGTTTTTAGAGCGGCCGGTTGAGTGTAGACGAAGCAATGTCATTCGCCGAGTCGACAGGTTTAACTGGGAGTAATGTTACACAGGTGGTAAAAACTACATTCAACTTTGGTGTGTACAAGTATACCAAAGATAAATCGCGGACAGAACGTCACATCTTGCAGTTTGACTTTAATGAACAAACTATATCAACGATTCAAAAAGGAAAATTCGGCAAGAAGATAGCTTTTAATGAAATTCGTGACTACGACAGTGAGGTAAAAGCGTTTTAATTGCATTCGCCAACTCTACTGACCTCGTATTTTTCTTTTTTGATGAGCATAAACTGTGTTATTATTTGATTCTTACATGGGATGACACTTTTTTGGGGGCTGTTCTATTCTACAGTAATTTCAATAGTTTTTATTGGGCTACTAAGAATTTGAGGGCGTTCCCCACCCAACCACCTCGCCCTCCCCCCCCCAAAAAAAAATTTTGTTCTTTAGTTTGATAAAACTTATAAACTTGTTGGTCAAGAAAGAACTTTGAAGGAACTGAGTTTTTTTGGATATTCAATCATTAAACATTATTATTGAGGAAATTTTCAACTACTATCTTATAAAAAAGCTATTGTACCAGTAAAATTGCACATAATAACACAACGTTGTTTTATTTCTGATCCTGAGACACAAGTTCGGTTCCTGGTACGGTACTTTGTTAACAAATACTTTGAATATTTACCAATGTTAAAAACGTCTGTTTTAAAATATTTTGGGGAATTTCTGTTCACAAAGTTCCTACTTCTACAAGAATATGTTTGTGGATTACTCTTTTTAAAACTTTCCAGGATGATTTGAGGTTTTTCATCTATTGTGACGAGGGCGAAATGGAGTACGACGCTGATTCCGCCGAAGAGAAAAATAAGGTTCAATTTACTTTTTCTTTATGCTTCATTTGTTAGTGCTGACATTTTCTCGGATATTTACAGATTTGTGCTCTATTAGACGGTATTGTTGTCGAGAATAAAAGCGCACTTCTGTCTGGTGGGTTTTTGAAATTGGACTTAAAGAAGACGATGAATTTTTGATTTGCTGACATTTGTAATTTTCTATAGGTGGACTGGGCTCCTTATCACGATCAAGATTTTCAACATTGTCACCAAATAAAGTTATAAAAGAAGGACAAATCGAAAAGCGCGGACATAATGCAGCGTTTCTTACTTGGGCAAAGTATTTGAACTTTAATATCAAACTATTATACCTCCAGGGAAGGAGGGAGTGTCTTCATCATTTATAAATGATGTTATAGGAGGTTCATAAGGATAAAAGAAGGAGAGTTGGCTTATTACAAAATCGGTGAAGAAAATTCGGTATGACCTTTCGCAGTTTGATGTTTTTACGAGTTTTGTATGTAGCACGTACTGTACAAACTTTGTATTTACTTTTTTGATGTTTCAGACTGCGTTAAATATTGTCAAACTTGGTCCCGGGCATTCCTTTATAAAGAAATATGAACATAATGTATTTATTGTATCGACACAAAAGAAGGAGTATAGGTACGTTGTTTATTGAAAAAATTATTGTGTCACTTTAACTATTGTCATTTCTCAGTATAACAAAGTTTTTGCGCAAAAACAATGGATTTTGCAGCGAAGATGACTGATGTTAAGTCAAAACAAGTCTTTGCTTTGAAAAACCAAAAGTAACATCGAAACATCTGCATTTATACCCTAATGTTTGTTGTTTTTTCTTTAATAAAAGTTTTCGTATTATGAATCCAAACAACACGAAAGATGTAAACGCCATAAAAAAAGAACGTGATGAATGGTTTGAAGTAAGTGCTTCTCTATGAAAGTACATAAATTTATTAACGTTGCTTATATGAAGTTTTATTGTTTTTATGTAGGCACTATCACATGCTCTACAGCCTTCCAGTCCTTATGTAGCCGACATGTCTCCTCTTTCATCTCCTACAGTACAAAAACAAGGTTTGTTTTTTGCCATTTTATACTAAACTGAACGTTTTTGTTGTGTTATAAAGTAGAGAGTATTATCTAGCACCACAGCAACAAAAACATTAGAACAATGGCAAAAATTTTTAGAACAATGACAGAAAATATTAGAACGATGATAGAGAATATTAGAATCATGACAGAAAATATTAGAACCACCGACAGCTTGAGCGTTTTAAGACTCACCTCACGAACAGTTGGGTTCATTTCCATTTCCTTTCTTCAGATATTCTCAACTCTGCCTTGGAACAAGAGGAATTTCTCAAACAAATTGTCGAGAGTCTACAACAGGTTAATCACGCGAAAACTGTATTTTGGAACTAAATTTTCGAATGATGTGACTTTAAATGATGCAATTTTTTTTGTTTTGATAGGAATTAGAACAATTAATGTCCATTATGAATGTTTTAGATGCACCAGTTCACGCCACTTCTCAGGTTTGCTTGTAAATACTTACATCACTTGTTTACTTCAAAGAAAAAGAAAAAAAATAATTAAAAAAATAATTTGATGTATAGATGAAAAAAGTTAACGAGATTGTGCAAAAATTGAATACTCAAATAAAGACCGGCTTATTAGCTTGGACTATGTAAGTAAGGATAATCCTTAGTTCAAAGATTTTACTTACCACTATAATAAACTGCACACGTTACTTTATACAGGAAGTCCATGGCAGCTATGTACAATTTCTCAAGTCCTCCTACGAGCCCTCGTCCTCTCACAATATCCAGAAGACATCCATTAAATTCAATTCGTGAAGTTAATGGCGTTCCAGCTGACGACAGTGGCGGTAATAGCAACGAGTCATTGTTGCCAACAAAGATGGGGGATGATGGTGTATGTACAGAGACTTTTGGGGATGTTAAAGGAATTAGTCCACGTAATATTTCTAACTCAAATCACATTCCTGAATCAAAAAATGGCAATGGTAATTAAGATAAATTTGAAATCAACAGCTGAATCTCTCATTAACTTTTATTTTCCTTTTGTTTCAGACAATCAACATCTAACAGCTGGAGTTAAAACTGAATCCACAACATCGTCTCTTGATTCTTCTCAGGAAAATAATTCGCAACATTCGTCATACAATTCGACACCCAATTCATCCGAAGGTTCTGCTTCAAGAACTTCAGTTCATTCATTGCCATCCCCCATCACCACTCCATCTTTGTCCAGTTCTTCAATTGTTCCTCCTCCCCCACCTTTACCTGGAGGGGTAGCACCTCCTCCCCCACCACCACCATTTGGTATGGGCTCAAAATCAGCCCTCCCACCCAAACCTGTTGTAAAACCAAGTACCAAGGTTCGACCATTCTTTTGGACGAAAGTTCCCAATAATCTGGTTAGAAAATATCTTTAATAAAATTTTATTGCTCTCAATAAATACGGAAATATCACACGTTATGAAACTCATCTTTCAATTCTCTCGAACTTGTTTCTTTTCTTTTTTATGCAGCTTTTATCATCAATGTGGAAGAAAGCCGAAGATAGAATGAACGAACTTGATTTTAAGATGATCGAACATCGATTTCAAGTGGAAGAAAAACCCAATTCTACAGAAATATGTATGTAAATATTGAGCTGGGAAGTTGAAATATCCTCTAGAACTATCGTCATTGGTTGCATTTATCTTCTATGATTAATACAACCAATAAGAAGCCGACTAGTAATGTTGATATTTTTTTTAAAAATGGTTGGATTAGTCCTTTATTGTTTTTTCAAATTTAATGCTTTTTAATTATGTTGTCAACTTTTTATTGCCATAGCGCAAGCAGTGAAAAAGAAAAGTCTTTTGAATAATAAACGTGCGCAGAATTTAGGTAAGAAACCTGGTAACGAATTGGAAAAAACAACGTACATCATTGGCTGTGTCTCTAACCAATCAACATGGCCTGGTTGTTTTTTCTTTAGAAATCTTCTTAACTGGTGTTCGATTAAACCCTAAAGATATTGATAGACGATTGAAATTCCTTGATGAAAATGACGGCGGTTTGCCTCTAGAAATTATTATTTCCTTGAAAAGGTATTGTAAAGTAGTTTCAATTCTTATCAAAGCTAGTTGTAGCATTCGACTGACTGCTTAATTTCATGTTTTTTTACCTAAGGTTTCAACCTAGTACTGAGGAAATGGAGATGTATAAAAATTACAAAGGTGCAAAAGAAGACCTTCCAAAAACTGATCATTTTATGATGAAGGTAAAATGAAAAATGATTTCATACAAAATTATTAGTGTTCAGAATGAATATTTTATTTTTAGCTGTGTGAAATTTCTGATCTAAATGCACGCCTTGATCTCCTTCTGTTTATTCTGGAATTTCCTCTTCAATATGAAGAACTTTCGCCCGTGAGTATTTCATTTATCTTAAATGAAGTTCACGTGTTTATTTATTCTCCTGTGAGTATTTCATTTATCTTAAATGAAGTTCACGTGATTATTTATTCTCCTGTGAGTATTTCATTTATCTTAAATGAAGTTCACGTGTTTATTTATTCTCCTGTGAGTATTTCATTTATCTTAAATGAAGTTCACGTGATTATTTATTCTCGTGTGAGTATTTCATTTATCTTAAATGAAGTTCACGTGTTTATTTATTCTCCTGTGAGTATTTCATTTATCTTAAATGAAGTTCACGTGCTTATTTATGTTCATACAGAACATCTTAAGTTGTGTAATGTCTCCTTTATACAGATGGTATCATCAGTTTTGAAATGTTGTGATGACATCATTCGTAGCAAAAGTTTACAAATAGTCATGGAATATATTCTTGCCATTGGAAACTTTCTTAATGGTGGAACTGGCAGGGTGCTGCACATGGCTTTCAAATATCCTCTCTTCCAAAGGTTTATAAAACTACATGTCGTTTAATCTTAAATCGCTTGAATCATTAGAAAATATAGTAATCAGCTGAGCTGTCCTTTTTTTTCAAAATAAGATAGTTATATTTTTCTCTTCTTTCACAGTTATCGGACACACGAGGCTCTGATAAAAGTTACACTCTGTTGCATCTGCTTGTTGATGTATTGAGTGATAAAAAGGAGGACGCTTTGTCTTTATCTGAAGATTTGTCAAGTATAAAGGACGCCATTGAAGGTAAAGCTTGATAAAATACATTTGTTTTAACTGTCATCCTACAATTGTCAGAAAGACAACAAAATGCGTTATATTGTCCTTATATTATAGTACAGCTAGTGTTTCTTAACTTCTTTTACTTGTAGACTTTTAGTGATTAATGTGTATCCACATACATGTATATAGATCAGTTTTATTGTCTGTTTACTATTTTGGTTTTAGCTTCAGTAAAAGGACTTACAGCCGAGGTTGAAGGTAAATTATCAAATAATGTATTTCAACTGTCATTTTATCTCTTATTGATTTCTTAATAACTTTTTTTGCTTTAATGAAGTTTTGTGTAAAAGTTTGGCAAAGATCACGAAGTTAAATAGTGATCTTCATTCAAAACGGAAGAATTTTGACGCGACGGATGAAAATTTCCACAACGACGTAAATGTATCCTTTGTCTTCCCTGTATGATGTAAATGTATCCTTTGTCTTCCCTGTATGATCCACAACGACGTAAATGTATCCTTTGTCTTCCCTGTATGATCCACAACGATGTAAATGTATCCTTTGTCTTCCCTGTATGATCCACAACGATGTAAATGTATCCTTTGTCTTCCCTGTATGATCCACAACGATGTAAATGTATCCTTTGTCTTCCCTGTATGATCCACAACGATGTAAATGTATCCTTTGTCTTCCCTGTATGATCCACAACGATGTAAATGTATCCTTTGTCTTCCCTGTATGATCCACAACGACGTAAATGTATCCTTTGTCTTCCCTGTATGATCCAAAACGATGTAAATGTATCCTTTGTCTTCCCTGTATGATGTACAACGATGTAAATGTATCCTTTGTCTTCCCTGTATGATCCACAACGATGTAAATGTATCCTTTGTCTTCCCTGTATGATCCACAACGATGTAAATGTATCCTTTGTCTTCCCTGTATGATCCACAACGATGTGAATGTATCCTTTGTCTTCCCTGTATGATCCAAAACGATGTAAATGTATCCTTTGTCTTCCCTGTATGATCCACAACGACGTAAATGTATCCTTTGTCTTCCCTGTATGATCCACAACGAGGTAAATGTATCCTTTGTCTTCCCTGTATGATCCACAACGATGTAAATTTATCCTTTGTCTTCCCTGTATGATCCACAACGATGTAAATGTATCCTTTGTCTTCCCTGTATGATCCACAACGATGTAAATGTATCCTTTGTCTTCCCTGTATGATCCAAAACGATGTAAATGTATCCTTTGTCTTCCCTGTATGATCCACAACCATGTAAATGTATCCTTTGTCTTCCCTGTATGATCCACAACGATGTAAATGTATCTTTTGTCTTCCCTGTATGATCCACAACGATGTAAATGTATACTTTGTCTTCCCTGTATGATGTAAATGTATCCTTTGTCTTCCCTGTGTGATCCACAACGATGTAAATGTATCCTTTGTCTTCTCTGTATGACGTAAACAGCTTGAATAATTTCATGGCTAATAACACAAGCCTTTCCCTTCACGATGTCGTAGAAATTTGTTAGTGATTACGAATTCACACTCAGAGATTTAAACGACAGATGTGATAAAATGAAAGAAAGCTATTCGTCATTGTTGGTAAGTTGACGACGTGTAGTTTGGTTTTCTTTCTATCTATGGATTCATAAACATTTTTTCTCGTTATTTTCTAGACATTTTTTGGCGAACCTTCTGGGAAAAATTCTGAAGACGTTTTCTCTGACTTGCATAAATTTCTTACGAAATTTTCTTCTGTTGTTGAAGAGAAGAACAAAAGGAAAGAGTAAGTGTTTGAATCGACAAATCTTTGTCATTAATACACAAAGATTTGACATTTTAAACAATAGAGTGGCAATTAGCAATTTTTTGGTTCTATAATATTTAATCTTGCCACTTTGAACACTTTTGTCTATGTTAAAGTATGTATATTTTGTTCTGTAGTCATGATATTTCTGGAAAAGATGGCCTTAAGGTATCAAAATCTCAACAAAGATGGAGTATTCTCAATTCTGAAGTCTGAATATCTCTGTATCTTATATTTTGTGTAGAATCTTGAGCAACACAAACAATTGATTGATGAGATAAAAAATAAGAAGGTTAGCTGGAGAAAAAATAATTTTAAAAGAAACGTCATTTGGCGCTCATTGACCTTATACAACAAAGTGTGCTCGTCAGTGGAGAAAAATATATTTGAGTGCGTTAGAGGAAAGGAGGACACACTCCTCTTACTTGTCGTTCATCTCCACTTTATTTCAGAAACTATCTTGTGTTTTTTTGTGTTGTATGATTTTGAAACTTAACTGCATGCGCAAAATAATATAGCCTACATGAAGTAATACCTTACTGAAATGGAGTTCTGTATGTGATTGTAGGCTCCCTCTTGCATATGGTAACTTTTTCCTTCTGTTTTTTTGTTCATTACAGAAAACAAGTAAACCCCTATTGGAAAAACAGCAAACACTACCAAAAGGAAATGCTGTTGAAGAAAATTGCAAATCAACTTCGTTAAAACGCCAAGGAACTTTACAAAAGTTAAGTGGTGGTGAGCATCGCCAACCGAAGTGGGATGTCCGCCATTTTGAACTTGACGAATATGGATATTTGTGTTATTTTGAAAAAGCTGGCGGTAAATTGAAAGGAAAGATTTATTTACGGAAGCTGAAGTAGTTATAAGTAAACTTGATAAATTGAAGGTTGAAATTATAACAGAAGAACGAACGTATGTTTTAAAAACGAACTCAGAAAAGGACGCCATTGCTTGGAAAAATGACATCGCTAATTTTACAAAATAGTGAAGTTTTTTTAAGTTATGTTTTGTTATTCGATTTCTTTAAAAGAACAAAATTTTGTTACGATATTCTTTAAATCGGAAATATTTTCATGAACTGAAGGTGTTTTCTAGTTGGTCGTCTTTTCTTATCAGCTGATTTTTATGAAGACAACTTTTTCTGAAGACAATTGAAGATTTGTCAGTTTTTAATCATAAGCTTTTAAAACATCCTTTTTTCATTAACAAAATTTAAAAAGCTGACAAGAGAGGCTACGCATCTTCCTAGAAGAGAACTAAATGTATACATACTAAATGTTTTCGTAAAATTTTGAACAAGAATGTTATCACTAATAGAAATAACGTATAGGAAACGTTATTTCACCATTAAAGTTTTTCTTAGTTTTTGCTTGTATCAAGATGGAATATTACAGCAATGGATGATGCCGATGATCAGGTAAATAATATCATTTATATGACCACATAATTTGCCCTTTGTAACTTTCCAAAATATTTTCTTTTGCCTTCTAAAAAATAATTAAAACAGAATGCGGTACATCTAGAAGTCTTAGCTATAAAAGATTATAAGATAAGTTTGTAGAATAAAAATGACCAAAGAATTTTTTTATTGCTATAAGCAGAGAAAGCGGAATTTGCTGTGCTTTGCGAATTTCATTGACACGTGACGTCGTGTTTAGGTCATGTGACGTTGCTGACGTTTTGTTATATTTGGAAGTTATGTACATTTCGTAATCTTTGTCGATTAGACTTCCTCTTTGAGAAGGATTATTGTACTAATGTATATGCCTTTGCAATACACTTTCCAACATGTGGAACTTAAGGTTTGTGAAGCTTATAGGTAATATTTATTCAAAATGACAAGTATATACTGTACTTACATTGTAGATCCACACAAAATGTGTTGAAATTTATTTGTTCAATTTTATAAATGGCTGCATCGTTTTAATGCTTCCAGTATGCGCAATTTTCTCATTATTTCAAGAGATTATTGCATTTTTTATGAGAGATAATCGTAGTGTATAGCTTATGTATTATTTTATTACATATTTACATCAACTTTATCACTACCAGATAGAAATGGCGCTGCAACGCGCGAGTCAATTGTTCAATTTAGCAATTAATATGATTACAATAACTTTCACTTTTATCAGATTCTCTTGATATTTGACTTTTCATTCGTGAGCTGCTGTCAACGAACTTTCACGATCGTTGAAACTTCACTAATGTCTTGTTGACGAAAAAGATAGCTGAATAAAGAGATCTCTTGTCGTGTAAGTGTTTAATCATGCTTTAATCTTTCGATAAGATGCATTGTTCCCTGTGAGACGCTTTCACACATTTATGATTATAAATTTTTGTTTTGATCTTTAAAGGATTATGATGAGAGTAAATTTGTCTGGCGAATGTTGCAATGATGTTTGTAGTGACGATGATGAAGTCTCCAATGATAACTCGCCATTGGCGAACTATGTGAACTGTGAAAATGTGATATTATCAAAGAAAGTAGGTGTGATGTGGAATATTAGCTCGTACTTGTGTGATATTTGGAGGCCGATTGGTCGTGTTTTATTCAATAATGAGAGCATTTTGACAAACATTGAAGAAGAACATTGTAATGAGGATGAAAGAGAAAAAGCTTATCAAATGCTGTTGAAGTGGTCTCGACAACATGGTAGCGACGCCACGTTAAAGAAGTTGCTCGATGTTCTTTTTGCCATGAAGAAAGATGAGATCGTTGATGCCATTATTTTGCAAGTAAACGATGCTGCAAGTCCTAAGGTAAAGATTGATATACTTCGCATTTTTTCCTAGAATTTTTTCAATAAATATTTCTACATATTTGTTAGCCTTCGCCAAGTTGTAGTGAGCGAGCCAAGAAATTGGAAGAGAAAAGTCGTGCAAAATGGCAAAAAAATGCTTTGAAAAATTTCAAAAAAACTTTACAGTTATACGAGGAACGTCTCCAGGAGATAGAAAGGGTTCAACAACAGCATTTCATCACGAAGGAAGCACAAGAAATCAAAGACAGCCTACGCGACATTGATAGAAATTACTTCGCTGATCATCTCAATTGGCTTCATGCCAAGATCGAGGAACTGGAGTACAGTGGTCAGCGGTGTAGTTTTCGTGAGCAACAACTTCGTGTTATAGCTGATCGGTTGTATAAATTAGATAAAACTTTGGGAAAGCACTGTGAGAGTTTGGGTGAATTACGTGTGTTAAATTATCAACAAGTTGAAGTAAGTTACATTTTTTTTTTATTAATTCTGCTCACCGCAAACTCATTGTTTGTTCTTTCCTCCCTGGGTTTTTTTAATCTCATTTTTCTCCAATGGAAGTTTTTTCTAAAATTTAGTGTGCTTTTGCTGGCTTGTGCGTCTTTCGTTACACAAAAATTCCCATTGGACGACAATCTCGACGATACAGCAACAGCAAAGATGAAGAGGTTGGAGTTTAATTTTGTGATTTATCTTAGCAACATTTGTTTTACAAAGATGATATGCTGTTTTTAGGTTAGTAATGATGATGAGAAAAAAATGTGTCCCCATATTCGACAAGAGGAGCACACTAGAAGAAAACTTAGAGTTTCCATTACAGACGATGATGAACAATCTCAGTTGTCAGAATTTGTTGCGCAATTTTGTCGACATTACCAACAAAATAGACCTTTTACATTTGAGCATTGTCTTTTTAATGGAATTTCTCCAGGATCACGTTCAACTGTGCATATCTCTGCACCACCACCTCTATCAATCATTGATCCTAATACCCTCCCTACTCCACGTTATCAATCGAGTGAAGTGATAACTGATCTTTTTACGAGGCCTAAACAGACACGTCATTTGAACGGTGAGCTTGGGTTCTAAATAATGCGATCTAGTTTCATTGTTTTTGATATCTTCAAAATCAAATGTTTTTAAATCTGTTTTCATTAGGTTGGGTGAATGAAGTCAGTGTTTGGATTTAAGAAGCGTTGATTGTAAATCCATGTATATATTTAAAGCGTGTTTTTGGCAGCTGTTGTATCTTCATAAATAATTACTTGTCGTTTACTGTTGCATTTTTGATTTAGTCTTATGACTATTTCTAATATCGTCAACACGACTACACAGTTTTTTTCATCATCAGCAATGTTAATTAACGATTACGCTTTTGAAATCAAGTGATGCAATGCATCGCGATGTTGTGATGCTGCACCTAATGTTTGTGTCAACCGCAAAGTTTTTAGCGGAAATGTGTAAACAATTGAAAGTGAAGAAAACGTATTTCCTTTCGTAAGGGACGTCTATATTACGTAATAAATTTTTAATATGTGCTTGGTGTAAACTTTCATTATCCAAACAAACGTCATTTAAAGTTGAGATAGCACAAGTGTTACGTTGAGAAATAAAATGGCTTCTTCATATAAACTCCTTTTATTAATCCTGGTGCTTCTGTATTTTCTTCATTATGTAAACGAAACAGAAGCTAAAGCACGAAGATCGTTTAGAACTCGTGGTTCGTCAAGAACTCGTGGTTCGTCTAGAACTCGTGGTTCGTCTAGAACTCGTGGTTCGTCTAAAACTCGTCGTTCGTTTAGAACTCGCGGTTCGTCCAAAACTCGTAGTTCGTATAGACGAAAAAAATCACCTCCAAAACAAAGTGTTACCAGAAGACGGCAAACAAACTATCGTTCCAGTGTGTCCTTTCGTGAAACACGATCATCTCGAACACCTTTTTATAAACGTTTTGCATTAGTGGCAACGACAGGTTTTCTCTTTTATTCTGTTTCTCGTTCTCCAATTTACAGGGATTATTATCGACCATACAATGGAGGATCTAACATTTTTATACCAAGACGACGAGCACTAAGAATTCAACAAGAGAAATATCGTGTTTTGACTACCGAAGGTCATCTTTGTCCCATCAACGGAAGCCTCCTTCAACTTGGCCCAGATTATGTCAAGCGTGTCTATACGGAAATTTCTTACAACAAGACCAGTAATGACGTCAGGGATCTTCCATCTCAAAATTACTCTACGATGGGGGCAAAAAACTTTAGCATTTCTGATAAGGCAGTCGAAGATTACGTGACTAATATAAAAATGCGAATTTGGTTTAACGAAAGCGTCGTTATGCTGAATGAATCCAATGTGAAGAACCGCAGCCTAAAGCACGACATATTTAACTGCAGTGTTATTGAATATGAATCAACAGCCTATGTTGTTGAAATGATAAACGGTTGTCCAAGGATTATGACTTTTCCTCTCTATATTTTAACATTTTCCTTGTCTTTTTTGTTCAAATAATTTAAAACAAAGACAAAGAAGTCGACACACTAACATTTCAAGTACTTTCAATATACTTAGCCAAGCTTGTAGGTGTTGTTCCTTTACTACCTTTGTAATGATATCTTTGTGTATTATTGTGATATCTTATGTATTAATATAACACATACGTTTGTATTATTAAATATATATATACATACCTTATATCTTAGTAATTATACATGGTAATTACCCGTCCATCTTGTTGATGTTTATATTTTATATTACATAACGTAATGGAAAATCAGATAATTCGGATGGCGATTCTCACAACATGGCTAAGGACGAAGCATGTTTCTGAAACATTTCTTTACTAAATTCTGTTGAATTTTTTTTGAGATAATGTCTCATAAGAACGGAGGTAACGGAGTTACTGTATCAGTGGGCGAACAAGAATGTGATTTTGTGCAAAGTGAAGAAGGCTGCCAATTTTTTCTGCAAGAAAAGCTCTGTTGAAGGAAATCAGAATAAATGATACATGTATTATTATTGGCGAAACAGCATCGGGAAAATCAACACAACTTCCTCAATTTTTATATCGTAGTGGTTTCATGAGGTTTGGCATCATTGCTTGTACACAACCACGTCGAGTTGCTGCTATAAGTCTAGCTGAACGTGTAGCATACGAAATGAAAGTGGAATTGGGGGATAGAGTAGGATACACTGTAAGGTTTGAGGATATGACCTCCGGTAATACAAGGATAAAATACATGACTGATGGCATGCTTCTAAGAGAAGCAATACAAGATCCTTTACTGAAACGTTATGCAATAATTATACTTGATGAGGCTCATGAAAGGACAATACATACTGATGTGTTGTTTGGTATAGTAAAGTCAGCACAGAGAAGTAGAGGAAAGTCACGTGACCAAACATTAAAGGTGATTGTCATGTCGGCAACACTAGCTGCAGAACCATTTTCGAAATTCTTTGATGATGCTAGAATATTGTATATTGAAGGACGACAATATCCTATTAAAACGTTATATTCTGTTGATATGCAAACAGATTATCTACATGCCGCTCTTGTTAGTGCTGTGCAACTTCACAAAGAGAAACCATTGGGGTATGTTGACGTGTATATTCCTATGAACAACAATAAAAGTAACCATCTTCCGTTGTGTTATTTCAGAGGTGATATTTTAATTTTTCTTACTGGTCAAGAAGAGATTGAATTGCTTGCAAATCTTTTGAAAGATTGTTTGAATGGTAAGAGTAGTATCTGACAACTGTTCATTTTATAAACATTTTTAAACTCTACTTATTTTTTGTTTCAGATCCAACAGTGGAAATTTGTCCTTTATATGCAGGATTACCCTCCGTGTTACAATTGAATGCTTTAAGACCAACACAGAGTGGCATGAGAAAAATAGTTTTATCAACTAATATTGCAGAGACATCGCTTACAATTATAGGTGTAAAATATGTAATTGACACTGGTTTTGTCAAAGCAAAAGGTGTGAAATTAATCATTGTTATATAAATTTGTTGTTATCAAGGTATGTAGTAAAATAAATGAAGTTCTTCTCATTTGTTGAATTATTTTTCAATTTTTAGAGTACAACCCAAACACAGGTTTTGATGTGTTAAAAGTTCAACCAATATCAATGGCACAGGCTCGCCAACGTCTTGGTAGAGCTGGAAGACAGTGTCCTGGAGAGTGTTATAGACTTTATACTGAGGAACAGTTTTATAACCTTCAACCAACAACACAACCAGAAATACAACGTTGTAACCTTTCCAATGTTGTTTTGCAACTTATGGCATTAGGGATAAATGATGTTTTATCATTTGATTTCTTGGATGCACCATTAAAACAAACAATTATCAATGCTATTGAACAGTTAAAACTATTGAAGGCTTTAGATGATGATACTGGAAAGGTAGTTATGTGTTCCTATCATAAGAAGGATATTTACATAATAAACACAATGAAATGCGTGCGCTGATTGGTTTAGAGCTGTGTTTGCATTAGCCAGTGCAAAACACATCCAAGCTCAACCAATCAAATGAATCATTACAATCAATAAGTCAAAAGAATCTGCGAATCGATCAAGAATACATTTTAGAGGAAAAATTAAAATGTTTGTCTGTTTCGCATTCTTGTTATTTTATAAAAGAAGTAAAAGATGTTTTTCAGGTTTGCACTGGCTTATGCAAACTGAGGAGACGTTTGTGAGAACTCTCGAGCATATGCAACTGATCTGCTCTCGAGTTCTACCAAAGGTCTCCTCAGTTTGCATAAGCCTGTGTAAACCATTGATGTAAAATAAATGGAACGCTACCTGATAATAGAAAACCCTAATAATTTTTTGAAGCCAAATCTTCCACCCAGACACGCGAGATTACACCCAGACACGCGTGTGTAGTCAATCAATTCTCATTCCGCGAGAGAATCTCGAAACACTAAACACGCCTGTCTGGGTGTAAGATTTGGGTTCAATTTATTGTTTCAAGTGGCGTTCCGTGTAGTTTTGTTCAATGGCGCAAACACAGTAAACATCTTTTATTTCTTAAATAGCATACAAATTTTAAGTTTTATGATGTATGTTTATTTTAGCTTTCCGATCTTGGACACAAAATGTCCCATTTTCCTTTGGAGCCACGTTTTTCAAAAACTCTACTCATGTCTCGTGATTTTGGTTGTGGAGAGGAGATGTTGACGATCACAGCCTTGCTGTCAGTAGATACAATATTTTATACTCCAAGAAATCGTCGTGATATTGCCTCTGCTGTATTAGAAAAGTATCGCTCTTCACAAGGAGATCTTATAACTTTATTGAACGTATATCGAGCATTCAAATCAGTGCGCGGTAAGAGTACGTAAGTTGTTTGTTGTTTGTTTATTAAATCTATATCGTAAATGTTTTATTTTATTTAGGAAATAAAGATTGGTGCGCGAGTAACTACATCAATGTTAAAGCAATGAAGACAGTTTTGGATGTTCGTTGTCAACTACGAGAATTGTGTCGAAAACTTGATATTTCTCTTGAATCGTGTGGACAAGACACAAGCAAAGTTCGTCAATGTCTTTCTGCAGGGTTTTTTCTAAATGCTGCTGAGTTACAGCTAAATGGAAGCTACAAATGTCTTGGACATAAGATTTTTTCAAACATTCATCCATCGTCATCTTTATTTAAATGCAAACCAGCTTATGTTATTTTCACCGAACTTGTTCAAACCTCGAAATGTTACATGAAAAATGTAAGTGTTGTTGATCCTCTATGGCTTATAGCTGCTGCACCTCATTACTTTAGAAAACTTAGTTTTGATGGAAAACAATTTCATTCCGTGATTACTTAAGCTAGTAATATACGGTCGTACTATTGAATCCAATATAATGAAGTGGACTGGAAAAGTATCGTGAGAAAAATGCACTAGAAGTTCTCCTTATAAAATATCAAATTTCTTGAAATGGAAATGCCCATTTTATTTGTCGACATTGGAATTTTGTAATGGATATTATACATGGAGGAAGTTGTGTAACTATTTTAAGTCAGGCGAATAAGGTTTTCTCATTCACATTTGGAACATCTTAAAGAAAAGACAACGGGGTTTTACAACAATAACGAAAAGCAATACCGCGGAATAAATAAATCTCTTCTGCTAATTTTTTTTTGTTTTTGAAAGTCTATTTTACCAAAACAAGTTTCTTGCAAGTGGATGATTTCCACTTAAACATTTTTCTTTGTTTTGGTAATCGTGACCGGACACATTAACTAATATTAAAGAGATCGTGAAAGCACTGATCTCTATATATGTACTGTATCCTTTTTGTCTCGTTGCCACAAGTTACTTGGCGTGGTTTTCCTTACAAAAGCAAGTAATTTAAAACAGACGTGATGCAGTTTATATAAGCAGGATAGCATAGGCGTTTGAATAATTATTTTAAAAAAATTTTATTCAAAGAGTTGCAAGTTTTGAAACATATTTTTACTTAACGCCCTCCAAAGATAATTTTGAGTCGACTTAAGTTGTTATTCTTGATCGACGAAATATGATTGGTCGAAGTATTTTAATATTCAACCATTCGTATGTTGTTTGTCCGTCTGCTACGAAGCGATCGACTTTCAGCCATGATTTGCTTCTTATACACAAACTTTGACAAATTTCAACAATACAAGTAGGATAAATGTAGTTTGTACTAAGATTTCAGCGCTCAAATGAAGGACTGTTTCATATACAACATGGGTTGTGCTATGAGCGCCGAAGATCGAGCTGCTAGAGCACACAGTAAAGCAATCGATCGTGAATTACGGCAAGAGGGAATCAAAAGAGAGAAACATGTTAAGCTATTGCTCCTTGGTAAGATGTTTATTTCGCATTAAAATTTATTGTACACGACTAATCTTGGCGTTATCGTCATGTTCTCATGTTATATTTGTCAGAGATGTCGTCTTAGTATTACCATCTCGATTTATACATCAAACTGTTTTCGTCCCTCCCTCGCAAATGAGTTACACGTAAACAGTACTGTATCACATATATTTATTTTCCATGTCCTCTCTTGTACGTTTATATGTTTAATGTTGGAGGAATATTTCCCTATCCATTGGCATTTGACGTCGTTGATTTAGACGTGTTCTACATTATACAGGTGCTGGAAATTCTGGCAAAAGCACAATCGTAAAGCAGATGAAGTAAGCCAATTTTATTAAAATAAAAATAAACTATAACGTTATAATCGATCTGATGATGAGCACAATGTATAAGAAGGAACATGAATTACGTTAATTTGCAACATTTATACCTTCTACTAGAATCATTCATGATAATGGTTTTTCACCCGAAGACTACATGTATTACAGACCTTTAATCCACGGGAATATAATTACGTGTATGATGCAAATTATACGCGGAATGGACAAATTGAAAATTGAATTTTTAGATGAAAGAAGATTAGTAAGTTTTAATGGCATTATCGACATTTACGCGAACTTTGGTCGACAATAAAAATATTTTTCGACATTGGCACCCCGCTTATTCATGGATAATTATTTGCCCTTTTTTATGTAGACAGATGCCAAACTCGTCTTCGAATTAGTTGCTAGAAACCAGGAAAGGGAAGCATTTTATCCTGAACTCACGGAAGCTTTAAAAAGACTATGGGAGGATCCGGGAGTTCGACATTGCTTTTCGCGTTCAAGAGAGTATCAACTTAATGATTCTGCAGAATAGTGAGTATTAATTAGTCATCAAAATAACCTATGACATGTTTGCTTTTTGTGGTTTTGTACCTATTTTTATCATCATACTCGTGTGACTAGCAGCAATATGCACAATGTTCCTTAATCGCTAACCTGATATAGCTTTGTTTCCTCTTTTGATGAGGAGTTTATGTCTAGTGGAGTCATTCTTTGTTTTATGATTTGAAATGTATCTTTTCATCATTTTAGTTATCTTGATTCTCTGGACAGAATTGGGAAGAGCAACTACAGTCCCACGCAAGAAGATATTTTACGTGTCAGAAATAGGACAACTGGCATTGTAGAGATTGAATTTCATTTTAAAAAACTTCATTTTAAGTGAGACACTTTTGTTTGTCATTTTTCAAACACCCTTTTATTATGTGTACTTTTATGATGTTTAGGCTCTGTGATGTTGGTGGCCAGAGGACTGAACGTAGAAAGTGGATTCACTGTTTTGATGATGTAACTGCAATCATTTTTGTTGCGGCTCTCAATGAATATGATATGATGTTGGAAGAGGATGAGAAAATCGTAAGTGATTATAAAGTTTTTAAACTGTGTTTTCGCTGTTGCAGGACCTTCTCTTTGAAAAAGAAGAGTTGTCTATGAACTTGTCAACTTTGAAAACATCTGTTTTATAAAGTTTTTCATGTTTATTTTCAAACATTATAGAACCGAATGACAGAGAGCTTAAATCTTTTCGATTCAATTGTGAATAATGATTTCTTTGCAAACACTTCAATGATTCTTTTCTTAAACAAGAAAGATTTATTCGAGAAGAAGATTGTTTTTTCACCAATTACAGAATGTTTTAAGGATTACAAAGGTATAGTTATTTTTTGAAGATAGATTTATGATATCCTAAAGACTTTCATCGTACATGTCGCTTATCTTTGATGTATTGTTCTAATATTGTTCTAAACCTAATTAAGTATGACGTACGTTGTTCTAATTGTAGTTTAATATCTTTAATTCACTTTAGCATACTCTAATTGTGATACATTAAGCAGTATTTGGCGATGCGCGGCATTTTTGTATATTTAATGCAACAAATACAAATTTTTTTCCCTTCAGGTGATCACAGTTACGAAGAGGCATGTAATTTTATTCAACAGAATTTCGAGAACAAAAATTTGAATGATCGAAAAGAAATTTACGTTCATCGAACTTGTGCCACAGATACGAAGAACATTGATGTTGTTTTCAATGCAGTTACGGACACAATTATTGCAAAGAATCTCATGCGCTGTGGTCTCTACTGACCTTGTTAAAGAGGGCCTTAACATACGTAAAATATTTACTGAACATGTGCCTTCCATGAAGAAAGGGTGCGATTTTTACTGCTTTGGTGATACACTTCAACAAGAATTGTTTCAATTGTTTACCAAGTCAATGGAATCACAATGTTCAGAATGCTTATGGTCATGTATTTTGTCTCTTTTTGAAACATGTAATGGTCCGTCAGCGTACTGACGGTTGTTATTCCTTTCATCAAGTCTGGACTATTTCTTCAAAATGATTTGGTAGAATTCTTTTACAGTGTTTCAAGTGCAATAATTTTCACACACTTTTCTAGCAAGTTATTGCAACAAAACTGATTTTTATGTATATGTAATTTCAGATTATATTTATATTTTAATTTTATCAGCGAAAACAGGATTTTTCGTAATGGTTGATCCATTTTAATTTTCTTTGTTTTACTTTATCAAATAGTATGAATTCCATATTAAATTCATCCTGTCAGTACTCAAATATCTTTGCTTTTATTTTATTATTATTATAACAAATATTTCAAAATCATTACATTAATTGTGTTTCCTGACTTCATGTTATTGTAAATTTAAAGATGAAACATGACATCGTTCAGAGAAAGTCTTTTTCGATAGTGTTATGTTTTATTCACTTAATCAAAGATAAGTTTTGGGCCGCTGTTAAATACCCCTTGATGTACCCTCCCTACTCTTCGTTATACGCTGATGTACCCTCCCTACTCTTCGTTATACGCTGATGTACCCTCCCTACTCTTCGTTATACGCTGATGTACCCTCCCTACTCTTCGTTATACGCTGAATGATTGTATTTATTAATCCTCCATTTTCGACTTCTGTTTACGTGAAGAAAAATTTTACATACATTTTTGATTGAAAATAATCTATATTAGCTCTTTGAGTGCAGGCCTAAAGTTTCCCGACTCAAAAAAAATATTTCTATTGTATAGTTCTGGCAATATACTAAAATTGCAAAGCTTCTCTATGATAGTATTTCGTAATTTGGTTTCTCATAAACATGTTTTAAGTATGAAAGGAGGATTTTTTGTCAAGTCTTTGGCAATTTTTTAATACCTTTTTTGTTGTATAGGAAAAGATAGCAACAGTCAATTACGTCAAAGAAATCAAAAACATTTCCTTAGATGAGTGAGGTAAATTTCTTTCAACGTTAGGCCGACGCCTTATTTTCAAAATCATTGAACTGTCACTTAGGTCGTGACACGAACCATTCAACTTCACTCAAATTAGTTCCGTGCATTGACCTCAATAAGAACCGGATATATCAAATATTAAAGTCAGTGCTTTTGCGGTTTATACAAACACATAAATACAACTTATTTACAAATGTAAACAATTGAAGACAGCTGGAAATTGTGTAGACGGTATTTAAAAATGTACATTACGAAAGATGTGTCTCGAAAATGGCTTAATAATAGTAAGGCTTTTTTTAATGATAAACCTTAGGTGATCTCAGTGGTATTTTAATAGTCATTGAACCAATGTTTAATTGTTAAATGTCAATGAATTATTTTCGCCGCTCATGAGTCATGATATATTTAATATTGGTACACATACGCTCCAGCTAAATACCGCACCTGATTATAATGATTTTTTCGAGTGGTTTTATTTGAAATGTTGGATTTTTTGTAACTGTATTGCGTATTTTGACCTTTTATAGTTGTGTAGTCTTCTATTGTAACTGATCTCTTGGTCTGATTGATATGAAAGCATTATTGAAAAGTGTATTAGGCTGTATTGACGTTGCCAAAAAAAAACAATGGACCAATACATGAAAGTGCTAATTTTTGTTGCGTCATGTTATTTTGGTTTTTCTTGTAGTTTATGTAATGCTTTTAATGTTCGTGCTTTCTTCAAACGAAGACTTTCTGGTGAAAGCCAGGAGAACTCAATATCTAGGTAAAAATGTTTTATTTGTTTTATGATTCAAAAATTGTTTTTCACTCACCTTCAAGTCCTTTTTTTGTTTTTAGGTCGACGAAATCAATGGCCAAATGCCACCATACCTTACGTCATCGACTGCTCTATAGGTAAACTGACATATTAATAATCTATGACTGGTCTTCGTGGAGCAGACGATGTTCATGTCATTGAAATTATTTTTAGCAAACGTGGTGGGAGCAAAAGATCTTATAAAAGCAGCAATGAAAGCATGGGAAAATAAGACTTGCATTCGATTTGTGAGGCGAACAAATGAGAAAAGATATTTACTAATACAAAGACAAAAAGGGTGAGAGTTTTCCTGTTGCGAAATAAGGACATTTGCTTATAAGTTGTTTGATTGTGTTTAGTTGTTGGGGCGAGGTTGGTTACAAAAAAAGAATTTCTAAAATGTCAATTGGCGACGGCTGTGAATTCAAGTATGTGATTATGCATGAGCTAGGTCATGTGATTGGATTTTTTCATGAACATCAGCGGGCGGACCGAGACGAGTTTGTGGAGATACTTTGGGATAATGTTATAAACTGTAAGGGATATTTAATTTGGGACAATAAATTGTGTCTTCTGTTGCTCCATTTAATGCGTATCTTTAGCGATGTTGAAGCAATTCTACAAGCGACCAAGAAATGATCAAATGGACACAAAATTACCATATGATTATTCCAGTATCATGCATTACAAGTTCTCTGCATTCACAAAGAATGATTCTTTACTCACGATCATTGGACGAGATGAAAACTCTACGCTGAATGCAACACCGTATAGTTTTATCACAGATCTTGATGTTAAAAAGACACAAGAAATGTACAACTGCTCAAAAGGTGAGCATTTTTCTTGAGGATTTTTTTTTGGTAGTTTCGATATCAATTTCGTGTATTCCTTTCTTTCTCGAACAGTTGTGTCAAAAGAGCATTGTTGAGGAAGTAAAAGGTTTTTGTTTGCTGTGTTTGTCTTTATGTTTCAATAAACGGTTTTTACATGTAAAGATATATGAAGATTATTATTTTCTTGAACAACGTAGAAACGGAAAACAACATTACGATAAAGGAAGGAGACAAGAAAGACGAAACAATAATTGAAGGTAAACGAGTTAAATCAACAAGACACTGAAATTCTTTAATGCGACGATGAAATCTACTTTTCATTTTTATACACTTCTAGCTGTGAAAGTTTCATCATGAGTCCCGGATGGTTTGCAACCACTCGACGAGAAAGGAAAGTTAGCATTATGATCGATGGTAAAGAAATGTCACAAAATAGACAGGGAATAAATGTGGTTGTTTTTGATTATCTCTCTGGTAGGTTCATCCTCTTCTATTTAATATCTTCGATTTTCATATCCTTTTCATCCTGTCTGATTTTTTTGACATTTAATTTCATCGTCATACTTCTATAGGAAGGCGAAAGAACTCTATCATTCGAAGCATTTCGACGAAGACAGCGGCTCGACGACTTTCATATTTTATACGAACATCTCAAAAAGGTCATATATAATTTTACTGCAAAGTTGAAGTTAAAGTTACATTAATGCATTTATTGTTTTTGTAGAAGCTATTTCCTTATGGCAAGTAACGTTCCTTCGTTTTCACATCTCCGAGAGGCAAGATATTCTTTCAAGAGTATTGGCATTATATTACCTCAAACAATTCCTTCCGGTAGCTCACTGTGTATGGTTGGTTATAAAGGAAAGGATGATGTCACTGTGAGATATTTGATTGGATCTCCAAAAGAGAAATTTACGTTTCTCACCATGAACATAACGTTAGCTTCAGGTAAAAATTTATCAATTACGTTAAATTTTTAAAACTTCTTTATTCATTGTTGACATTCAGTTGTAATAAGAAAATTAAAACGACGTATTTTTGATAGATTATAATTGTCAAAATGATGGCCGTCTTTGTGGAAGGCAAGCTAAACAAGGAAAATGTAAAAGCAATCCGTTATATTACATGAGATCTTGTCAAAAAGCATGTAAAGCGTGTAAAAAAGGTTAGTTAAAATAATCATAATAATTATCTTAGTTACAAATGCATTTGTCGTGTTTTATATTTTCGTTATTTTAATGAAATAACGATATTTAGGCAAACCTTGTGAGGATGAAAACAAAAATTGCAAATCTTGGGCAAAGATGATGTATTGTCGCTCACATCCAAGCTTCATGTTGAAGTATTGTAAAGTCAGCTGCAACGTTTGTAGAAAAGGTTCAGCAATCGAAGATATATTTTAATTATGATTGGATTTCTTCAATTGATTTCCATTTTTAACAGCTTTACCTGCGCGTAAGAAAGGCATCAAAAGAAAAAACATACGAAGGGTTGTGGTTGTAAATCATGCAAAAAAACGAGTAAAGAAATTCTTTTCCGAAAATGTCGACGATGAAGAAGAAAATAAGAGAAAGTTTGTTGGTGAGGTATTTTTCACCCTTTGAAATTCGTCGTTTTCAAATAAATGTGATTTGACGTTTTCTTTCTTTAGGAATAAAATGTCAAGATGAAAATGAATTATGTCCATCTTGGGCTTCGTCTGGTCGTTGTGAAACAGACTCATGGGTGACGAAAAACTGTTTACTTAGTTGTAAAGCAAAGGGCTCGTGTGACAAAGAGCAGATAAAACCTCCAGGTTTTAAAATATAAAATTAATAAATAAATTTAAAATATCACCAATAAGTAAATAAAAACATTCATTAGTAGGAAGATGCACAAAGCCTTTAGGACTTGGCTGGGACAGAAGACTTCCTGATGAAAATTTTTCCGCTTCATCGTTTTATAAAACGGGTCTGCTCTACTATTCTTTATTTACGAGCGTAAATAATCGTGAATTGAATTTATGATTTTTTTTAATGTTTGCCATAGGTCTGTGGAATGCGAGCGCAGATAATGCAAGACTGTACATGGAAGATGATTATATAAAATTTCAGATTGGATCATGGTGTTCAAGTTTTCCTACAAAAAAGGGTGAATGGCTGAAAGTTGATCTGGGAAGGACGAGAAGAGTGAGTGCAGTTGCTACACAAGGTATGCTATGGTGAAAACTTTGTTATTTATTTGGAGCTTGTGACCAACTACTTTATTTAAGATGAAACATTTGTTAAAAAACTCCTGGCCATTTCTTATTAACAAATATCAACAAATCTTATTAACAAAAGCTTCTCTCACCAACGATGGAACCGCTTTTCAACTCTGTGTTACTTAATTGTGCAAGTTTTATTCAAACTATTCTTTTCACATCATTTTACAACGCTGTTTTTTACAGGAAGATTTCGTTTTTACGAGCACGTTAAAACATACAAACTGTCTTACAGTCGACACGGTAAAACATGGAAATACTATTATGAAAATAGACGTGAAAAGGTTGGAAACTTAACGATAATGAATGTAAGAGCAAATTTTGTCTACATAGTTAAAGCTTTTGTTTTTAGGTATTCAAAGGCAACTGTGATCACGTCACCCCAGTTTTGAATATTTTTGAGAAGACCATCGTAGCTCGTTACATTCGCTTTCATCCTTTAACGTTTTATGAAGGTATTTGCATGAGAGTCGAGATCTACGGATGTTGACACTGGAATATTATTGTCTCTATGACATTAAAAATGTTCTCTCTCTCGTGATAGCTATCTAAATTAATAACACAAATTAAATGAGTTTTAAATAGTTTTTGTTGTATTTAAATGTGAAAAAAAAATTACTTTTAAAAATTTGCTACATCTGTCTTGAGCTGTACAAACCATAAAGTTTGTGGACGGGTAAATCACATTATTCTGATGTAAGGAAATGGGTCAGGGGAAAAGTATGTGAAACAAGGACTTATCTTGATTGATTTTGCGAAAAGTTGTTATGCACATCTCAACACAAGATTTCTGCTTTTGACGACAATACAAGATGATGACGACGACAATACAAGAATTCTGAGTGCATTAAGTTATGTTCAAAATTTTTTATTTATCTATTGTTTTCATACAATATGTTTGTTTGGTTTGCTTTGTGAAAAACTGTTAATATTCCCAAACGTCATATGTTTCCCAACGTAGAGCATGCATCTGAAGCCCAACTGAGAAAAGTTTGTGAAGTGGAATATCCAAGTTATTGTAGCTGTTATTGAAGATGAAAATGATGTGAAAGGACGTCAGCAGCACTCATCTTAAAATTCGTTTAATTTTGTTGGATTATAGTGAGGTTTGCGTTTCGATTGTTGGAGCTCAACTTGTTATGAAATGGAAGTTTTTATAAGAGGAAAGTCTAAAGAGATTGTAAACGATTATTTTTCTTCCTCCTGATAGTGTCATTTTTCCTGTCGAAGGTGCACATAAAGTGAGAGTCATTTAAAAACACGACATTTCATTCATAAGAAAAGAAAACGAAACCATTTATATAAAGGTTTGTGGTTGTATTTACTTCTGTGTGAAAATGATACACTTATTCTATTTGTATAGTTTTTGGTATGAAATTTCTGGAAAATTTTGTAACTTGAGATTTAATCAAAAGCATAAAGCTGTAGCTGTAAGTTTCTTATGTGTTCTTATACTAAAATTTCTGTAGATAACTATAGTGAATTTCTGTTAAAATCACTGACATGAGAACAACCATTTCTTTTCTGAACCCCTTCTGTTTAACGATCAACATTCAATAATGTCATTACACTTTTACACACGGCAGCAGTGCAAGGTGTATGGACGATGCAGTTATTGGTCACCACGAGCCTAATTACCGTTGTATGTCTACTCCTCATGTAACAAGAAAGATGAAGTGGTGCTAGTTGTTGAAAGCAAGTGTTAAACCTCAATTTTTTATTAAATCTCTTGTTTGGTCGTGGTGAAAGTGGTCTTTTAATGGTTGAATTGGAATTATTTAAAGTACAATTTTTGGCTTTTATATTCCTTACAAGATACTACTTTCCAAGAATGTAGGTGATCTTTGCTGCTGGAATCGTGGCCAAAATACTGTATAGTATCAAATGGTTACTTGATGAATTTTGGAAACTATGCTAACTGCTTGTTGAACAAACAGTCTTGATTAATAGTGCGAAGGAGTACATGAACTGTATGATTTTTTAAATATCGTTCATGTCGTCTTTTAGAAAATAACGCCTTTTCAAATATCGTTCATGTCGTCTCTTAGAAAATAACGCCTTTTCAAATGTCGTTCATGTCGTCTTTTAGAAAATAACGCCTTTTCAAATGTCGTTCATGTCATCTTTAAGATAATAACGCCTTTTCAAATGTCGTTCATGTCATCTTTTAGAAAATAAAAACTTCTTCAAATGTTACAAATGTCATTTACAAATATGACAAATGTCTTCAAAAGTCGTTTTTTTTAAATGTCACAGAGAATACTACTGGCAAAGAAATATTTGACAAATTCTAACATTTATTGATGAAAATTTACAACATTAGGCTAGAAGAGATATTTTGCTTGAAATCAATTTTTTATGTTCCATGGTCTGTATATGTTGCTCAAAAGACTTTGAACTTTGTTTGCTACTTGAACGATGTTGTAGTTCTTGCTGCTACTGCTATTTTAGTTATTGCTAAACTTAAAGCGTCTGAAGTTGTAACTTTTTTTTTACTTTTGTTGCAACTGCCGGATCTCTCGTTGTGTATGCTGAAATGGAACATACATCTGTGGTCAATTTCAAGTTTGTTTCTGAGTTGTTGTATGAGCGTATTCACTCCAACAATTGGGTTGATGGCAAAAACTTGTGAGTTACTTGTTGTTATTGGTCAAATATCCAGCTGTTACAATGCTTCAATTTCAGAATTGGTTAATGCACCTTTCTCCAATCTTTGGGAGTTATGTGTATTAAGTATAGTCCTTGGGAGTTACTTGCATGAACTATAGTCTTTATGAGTTACTTGCATGAACTATAGTCTTTATGAGTTACTTGCATGAACTATAGTCTTTATGAGTTACTTGCATGAACTATAGTCTTTATGAGTTACGTGCATGAACTATAGTCTTTATGAGTTACGTGCATTAACTATAGTCCTTGGCATTAAAACGCATGAACTACAGTCTTTCGCATGCAAATGTGTGAAAATGCAAACACTAGTCTTTAACGTGAAGTGTGTGAAAATGCAAAGACTATAGTCTTTGGCATGAAAATGTGTGAAAATGCAAACACTATAGTCTTTAACGTGAAGTGTGTGAATATGCAAAGATTATAGTCTTTGACATAAAAGTGTGTGAAAATGCAAAGATAATAGTCTTTGACATGAAAGTATGTTAAAATGCAAAGACTATAGTCTTTGGTTTGAAATTATGTAAAAATGCAAACACAATAGTCTTTGAAATGAAAGTGTGTGCAAAATGCAAAGATTATAGTCTTTGGTGTGAAAGTATGTTAAAATGCAAAGAGTAAAGTCTTTGGCATGAAAATGTGTGCAAGTGCAAAGACTTTTGTCTTTGCATTTTAACACACTTCTAAAGAAAAAGGCAAAGGCTTTAGCGTTTGCAAAAACTACTCTACACACTTTTATGAGAAAAACTATAGTCTTTGGTGTGAAAGACTATAGTCTTTTCCAAGAGTATAGTCTTTGCATATTTACACACTTTCAC